AAGACCGTAAAACAAAGGTCTATCGATATCACACCTGCCACAAGTCGAACGATAGCCTGCAGATGAGCAGGCTTAAGGGGCGCCTGGGCTGAGAAGCTACCAAAAATCAACGTCTGCCCTTGACTTGCGGTGAAAAGACACAGGCAAACAGATGATCGAACTGAACCATATAATTGCTCATGTCATTATATGTGTTGCGGCATCACCATTCCCGAAAACACGAGTATATAAGCTGCAGCTGACACTGCCTTGTCCAACAGGAGCACCCAGAGTCCCAGGACTATGATTCAAAAGACATACAATGCTCAGCTTCATGTTTCTATGTCATGGGTTTCTAGCCGCCTCTACTGCTCTAAGTTATGGCCTTAGCTTAAACTCTCGTCATGAGAACATCAAGAGTGGAAGCAAGTTGACATTCAAGTAAGCTGACCGGATGCGTCGGTTCCTGTCAGATAATACACATCAGGCAGATCGTGCAGAGACTTGTCAACGACGGGCGGGGGAGGCCGGAACGTCTTTGTGTAACGAGCAGGCAACATATGACAAAAGCTGAAGCTATGGCACGATCTGAACATGTCAATTACTACCCTGCTAGCAGTGAAACTCGGGCTATTGATGTGAGATGTCTTTACAACGAAGAAGTGGTGGACATTAGGTACGCTTAACAACGAACTGCCTGAGATTAAGTATATAGTGTCGATGGTTCAAGTGATGAGTAGCTCAAAAAGACAGTTCGAGAGGATATACTCCATTATCGGACGCTCTCGTGATATATAGGATCATCCCTCGATTAGATGTTTATAACGAGGCAGCAGTGTGAGCGAGAAAGGTAACACATACCATAATATCATATTTGACCGATAACAAAGACTTGGAAGCCAGAACGTTTTAATGTACACATCTGACAAGCTTGTATGCCAAGACAGGGTTTGAAACGATAGCAATCATCCGCATATATCTGGTAGGCTTCATAGTACTACAGGCCTTGCAACCTCTATGGGCCACATAAAAGTGACACGTCGACAACATGAACCTAACATATCGGTAAATCCATCATCTTATGTTGTGGATTTATGAGTAGGGTCTCAAGAACACGTTATTAACCGAGCAACACATGGACAAGGACTAAAGTACAACATAACGCAATGATTTCACAAGATATCAGATATCAGACAGCGCTGAAGAATAAGGAACGACAAAAGTCTATCGAGTATTGTGTTCCTTTAGTGAACATTGTCATCGACCTCCAAAACTCGAGGCCTCCAATAAGGGAAGGATATTTTCTCCGCATCGTCGTCGTCGAGTGTTCCCCATACCACTCGACACGGTCCCCATCATCCCAATCTAAAGCCATTATTTCGAATACATGTAAAAAGAGAAAAGTGCCAGTAAAAACGCGTGGCCAAACAGGTCCGCAATCAAATCATAATCCAGACTCAGGAATAGCGAGTCAAGTCTAATCGAGCCACCTGTCCCTCTAACAAACAAACAAACGCCTTGGATGTCAAGTACTTTTAGAAATCCGGAAACTCCGAATGCGAGGCTGTCTAGTCCATGTCACGAAAGGGTTGTGGTTCAAACCCCCAGATGCAGGATCGCCTTACCATCGACGGTTACCGATGGGCATGTTGTTGGAGTTGCTGGCTGGAGGTCGAGTCAGCTCGAGAGGTGTTTAGCTGATTCAGCGTCGGCGGAACCCACCTCTGCCACCGCCACGACCACGACCCCATCCGCCGTAGCCGCGACCGCCGCCGCCGCCACCGTATCGAGTCATCTCAGCAAGACGAGGATCAATCTGCTGCTTGGCCTCCTGGAGAACATTGACGAGATCACGAGCCTGCTTCTGGTCTGGAGAACGGATTAGTATGTTGGCGGAAAAAGACAGTGAACAATGGACACTTACTATCAGTGGTGAAGAGGGTAATGGCGGTACCCATGGCACCAGCACGACCGGTACGACCAATTCGGTGAATGTAGTCCTCCGAGTTGTTGGGGTAATCGTAGTTCAACACATGGGTGATGTTGCGCACATCTTTAGCGAGAATGGTTAGCAGGCGAAGAAGGGGTTTGTATAGCAACGTTCCAGCACGGAAGATGAAGATCGACGGCTATGCGAATTGGCAAGCCATCTGTACTTCACTCCTGGCGGAGATAGGGCAATAGAAAGTGCGTCAAAATGCCATCCTGGAGTATGCGGGTCACTGGGTCCTGGAAACAAGAGAACCTTGGCCAGCAGCTTGATCAGAGGCAGTGATATGCCAACTCCACACTCGTACCACGGGAGTGAAAACGGTACAAGAGTGGAAACACGTGAGTATAGCAAAGTGAAGGCTACACAACGGATCAAGACCCCGTTGGTTGAGAACCAATTGGACACGATAATTATCAGGCAGATTCGCACAGTCAAGAGAGCCCCTAAACACGAGAGTAAAGCACAGCATATGCTGTAGCTGGAAGTTGCCATGAGGGAGGGGAGGGAGGAATGATACATACCGATACCACGCGAGGCCACGTCAGTAGCCACCATGATGGGAGACTTTCCAGTCTTGAACTGGTCGAGCACCCAATCACGCTCGTTCTGTTGCTTGTCACCGTGGATGGCTGGTAAAGGTTAGCAATCGTTCATAAGTGTTGTAGTGAGGGTATACCGACAAAGCGCAGGCCATCCGTCTTGGCGGAGGAATCGAGTAATCTCGTCGGCAATTCGCTTTGTGCCGACAAAGATGAGGATCTTGTTCTCCTTGTTCTCCATAACCTTCTCGAGATGCTTGATCATGCGGTCACGCTTCTCCATTTCTGTGACAACCTCGACAATCTGAGTGATTCGGTGGTTGGCAGCAAGCTCCATAGAACCGATGTTGACCTGGATGAACTCCTGGAGGAAGTCAGATGCCAGGGCACGGACCTCCTTGGGCCATGTAGCGGACCACATCAGAGTCTGTCGGTCGGGTCGAATCTGGCCAATGATCTTGCGGATTTGGGGCTCGAAACCCATGTCAAGCATGCGGTCAGCCTCATCGAGGACAAGGTATGTGACACGGCGAAGGTTTGTCTTGCCAGCCTCAAGCATGTCGATCAGACGACCGGGAGTGGCAATGCACACTTCGACTCCACGAGAAAGATCACGGATTTGGGGACCCTTGGGAACACCACCGTAGACACAGGTGTTGCGGATGCGAGAAGATCGGCCGAACTTCTTCATCTCCTCTTGAATTTGAACAGCAAGCTCACGGGTAGGAGCGAGGACGAGGACAATGGGGCCATCGCCAGGAGCGAGGAGAGGCTGGGCGTTGATGTGGACGATGGAGGGAAGACAGTATGTGAGGGTCTTTCCGGAACCAGTCTCGGCAATACCGACGACGTCGCGACCGGAAAGAGCCATGGGCCAACCTTGAGATTGAATGGCGGTAGGAGCAGGGAAGCCTTGGGCCTTGACCTCATCCATAACATATCGAGGGAAGCCAGCCTCGTCGAAGGTCTCAACGGGACGGGGGATATCCTTGCCAGCAATGGTCATCTGGTGCTTGCGGCGGAAGGCTTCCACATCAACATCAGATCGGCCAGAAACGTCGGGGTGCTCCTTGTAGAAGGACTTCTCGAACTTGGGGAGGGTGCTGAGATCTGCACAACGGTTAGCAAAAGAAGGAATATCGACTGATGAACAAAACACATACCGAAGTCTTGGTTCTTGAGGCCAGCACCGAGAGCGCCCATGCGGTCACCACCGGCACCTCCTCCGAAACCACCTCCGCCGCCGTAACCACCACCACCTCCGTAGCCACCACCTCCGAAACCACCACCGCCGCCGCCGCCGTAACCGCCTCCGTTGCTTCGACTATATAGTATGTTAGAAACTGACGATGATGAAACTGGTGTTGTTGCGCGGTGGTTGATGGGTTGACACGTTGCCGTTGGGCAAGGTTGACCGTCACCAACTCGCGCGGACCACAAAGAAAAGTTGACTTACCCTCCGAAACCACCACGGTCACCGCCGTTGCGGTCACCACGATCACCACCGCGATCACGGCCATAACCACCGCCGCCGTAGCCACCGCCTCCGCGGCCACCACCGCCGCTGTATCCGCCGTCGTAGCCGGACATTATTGTAGAGAGAGAAGGATGAGACGGAGTCTTTTGGAATTGACCCGTCGAGGAAAGGGGGAGAAAGTGTTGTTAGAACAAAGAGAGTCGTGGGAAACGCGGTGTATTATTTCCAAGTAACGAGATTAGCTCGTTTTTTTGATGGAAAGAGAGTGCGCGCCCGAGGGTTGAGATGATGTCGGAAGGGAAAGGAGATGAATGGTGAGGATGAGTGGAAGTTTTAAGTGAGCCTGAGATTCCTGCGCGCTTGGTTTATTTTATTTTTTTCGCCGCTAACAAAAAAAGTTGATGCACCTTGCCTGCGGCATGTCCGCCTAGTGGCTCCACTTATGAGTTTTCATTGGTTTAGACCGGTCCACTAGAAAGAACCCTTTGAAGCCTGGAAGAAAAGCCGCCACCTTAGTCAGGGACCTGTGGGGATTTTGTATCCGCAACTACCCTATACTCTGATATCGCAGTTTCGCGCCTCGTACCAAGCACGGTAACTTGAATGGCTCGATACTGGTTGGCTCTCCTTATTGAGATGTTCCTGTATAATTGTGCATACTTATAGTTGGCAGTAGTTTATGTCTATTTATGTTCAGGTGACTGCGGCTGTATATCTATGTATTGATGCAGCTTGTGGCTACATAATAAGGTTGAGTTTTCATGTCGGAAGTTTTTGACGCCCAAATTGTCAACGTTACCCTGACTCTGCTCGACAACCTTTGGCTTACCAAAACTCAAATTGGAACTTACACTGGGTCTAAAGCACAATCTATTAGATTGAATGTTCCTGCACGAAAGGGTGAAACTTTTGATTATGCGACAGCCCTGGGAACTGTACAGGGCGAGCCTGCGAAATTCACATAGAACAGACAATAACAACTCTACGCATGATCTTAATGCTTTTTGATGTACTATTCGTCCATCTGTTCCTTTTTCCACTTGGCATCCAGGGCCTCCTCCATGGCTTTCCTGAATGCACCTACAAACTCCCAGCAGTCCAAGTATGTGTTATATAGTGGTGCAGGCGCAACTCTAATCACGTTCGGTCTACGCTCATCAACCAAAACACCTCTCCTCTCTAGACCTGCCATAACCTCGTCCAGCAGCCCGTCGGCCAGAAGGATACTCACCTGCGCCCCGCGGCGTTCTGCCTCGCCAGGTGTGATGATCTGCCAGTAGGCGCTCATGTCCTCTGGTAACTTCTGCAGTTCTGAGACAAGATATGCTGTTAATTTCGTGCTCTTGGCGCGTATGGGAGTCATTCCGCCAGCAAGCTGGAATATCTCTAGAGATGCGCAGAGAGAGGTTATGTCAAGGACGGATGGGTTGCTGAGCTGGAATCCTGCTGCGCCGGGAACGGGGACAAAACCGGGTCGCATGGCAAAGCGATTATTCTTATCGTTTCCCCACCATCCAGCAAGTCGCACATTATGTGATCCATCATCCCCGACCTGTGCGTGTCGCTCGTGGACAAACAGGCCACCAATGCAGCCTGGTCCACCGTTAAGATATTTGTAAGTGCACCAAGCCGCAGCGTCCACATCCCAGTCGTGCAGCGACAGAGGCACATTGCCTACCGCGTGAGCGAGGTCCCAGATAACAAATATGCCACGCTTGCGAGCGAAGGCAGTCAAGCGTGGGATATCGAGGAGCTGGCCCGAGTAGTATTGGATACCAGGAAGGAGGAGCACGGCAGTCGTGGAAGCGTGTGTATCGATAACGGACTCGATGTATTCGGTAGGAAGGATATCCTCGTTATTGGGAGGTTCGAGGGTGATCATCGAGTCTTCTGGGCGTAGTCCGTGATGGCGTATCTGCGTCTCGACAGCATACTAGTCGGGTGTTAGCATGCTGAAGTCCAATGCTGGGTTCGATTACCGACATGGTCACTTGGGAACGCCTTGCTCTCCAGGATAATCTTATGCCGTCCCTTTGTATCGGGCTTGTAGAACGCTGCCATCAAAAAGTGTAGATTCGCTGTGAGAGTCTGCATGACAGCCACTTCGCTGACCTTGCCACCCACAATGGGAGCAATCATTTCGGCCGCGTGAGCATCGACATCTAGCCAAGTTGGCAAAGGGGAGTCGTCAAGGGGCTTGAAGTGGCCCTGAACACCCTGCGTGCGCCATGTCGTGAGGTATTGTTGGATGCGTTCTACTGTGCGCTTGGGTTGGAGACCTAATGAATTGCCCACGAGATAGATAGCTTTATCGTCGGCACCTATGAAAATTAGCACGAAAGGACAGAGAGCGCATAGTAATTACTACCTGTGGTGTCATGTGAGAGGAGAGTCTTGCGCGCTACGTCAGCTTTTGATGGGATATTGAACTCGTCACGAGTATGTCTGAGAGTGTCATTGGAGTCAAGCTCAACGGCGCGGTCCCGACCGGAAGCATTGGACGAGTCACCCATGACCAGGAGCAGAGATATCGACTTATTAATAGCGAGATACACGGCCTACTGAATACCGGTATGAGGCAATGAACGAGTGCTCCTCTTCCCCACGTCGTTCCTTGAGAACAAATATGACAAGCTCCGCACATCGGCTCAACGCGGGGAGCTTCTGTGCCCCGCACTCGAGCTACGATCGTGGGATGCTAGAAATCCATTTGATATCCACATGGGGAACAGGCCAGACGAAACCCGGGCGTGCAGATTACATAGAGTGCATGCTTTCAGGGACCGCAGTATGGAGAAGACTTATTGAACCTGTGTTGTTCCATGCGCTAGTCATCTGTTGATATTCTTGCTGGGTCAGTCACGTCATAATCAGTTGATCTATCACATGTTGTGTGCATATACGAAAGACTGAGGCATTGTCACTGACATATGCACCTTGAGTCTTTATTCACGATGTCAAGTTTTGTTCATTCGTTTTCCACCAACCCCATACAACTCTCCCTGCTTTTCTTCGCGCTCTAGCTATGTCATACAAGGGGCCTGCCTCTCCCGTCTATATCCGTGAACAAAGAAAAATTACAGAACAAAAAAAAAAAGAAAGACCAACTCGAAGTTTACAAGAATGAAGCATTCCAGCCCCAGCCCGATTCTATATTAGTCCGGTCCAGTTGGGTTCCATGGATCAACACACAATGCTCCAAGTACACCCTCCCAAGAACAGATGATCGTAAGCTGCAATCCATGGACAGTTCGATGTCCTTGGCTAACCGCAGCTCATATCAGGGTATCGAACCTTGTTGCATAAAAGGTTTTTTTGTTGGATCGAGGGTTTACTCGCGAGAAACGTCACGGCCGAAAGCCTTGGACTTGAGCCAGTCAACAGCGACCAGGACACGGTTTCGGGCTAGAGAAAATTTGTTAGTATGGCTGTCATGTCTGGATCAGGTACTTTTAAAAACTTACTGCTGAAGCACATGGAGAGGTAGGCACTTCGCCAGAAAAGGTAGGTCAAGCCACCACCACTGGCAATGTTGCCGTTGAACCAAGGAACATCAGCGACAGCCTTCTCGCTACCAATGTAGGCGAGAGAGCCCTGGTGAGAGTAACGGAAAGGCTTGACATCCTTGATTCGGCGGAGCTGTCTCTCGAGGGTCTCAATCTCAGCGGCGATCTCGGCAGAATTGCCCTGCTTGAGGTTCAGGCTGCTGCTAAGCTCCTTGATGCGAGCCTCCTGGGAGTCAGTCTTGGCCATGTTGTTGAACAGACGAGCCAGGAAAGAACCCTCCTGGGAAGCGACCTGAGCGGTAGGGGCGTAACCAGCGACGGCGCAGTCACCGACAGCCCAGATGTCGCGAGTTCCCTGGACAACGAGGTACTCGTTGACGGCAAGACCGCGACGAGAGTCCTTCTGAGCAGGAACCTTGCCCATAAGATCACGGACAATAGGACGGATAGCGTTACCAGTGGCCCAGACGAGCAGACCGTAGGGGATACGGAGAGTCTGCTTGCTACCATCGGGTCCAGCGAACTCGGCCTCAACAAAGTCCTCTGTCACCCTCTTGACCATGGTCTTGAGCTTGATATCGATGTTCTCCTCACGCAGGGTGTTCTCGGTGTACTCGATGAGCTGCTTGGAGAAAGAGGGGAGGACGTTGGGAAGGGCCTCGATAAGAGTGACCTTGAAGCGGTGGCTGATCTCGGGGATCAGCTTCTTGATGTCTTCCTCAAAGAAGTCGCGAAGCTCTCCGGCGAACTCGACTCCGGTAGGACCACCACCAACAACGACCATGTGCATCAGACGGTCGATCTCCTCCTGGGACTGGCCCTTGAAAGAAGCACGCTCGACGCAGTCCATAATCTTCTTGCGAATTCGCTGGGCGTCACCAATCTCCTTGAGGAAACAGCTGTTCTCACGGACACCAGGAATACCGAAAGTGGCGTTCTCGGCACCGACACCAATGACAAGCAGGTCATAGGGGATCTCGGTCTCGGATTGGGGGCCCTTGCCCTCAGTGTTGTCCTTGATCTTGATAACCTTGCGGTCAGGGTCAACGGAGGAAGCCTCAGCTTCGTAGTACTTGACAGCACCCTTCTTGTGGCGGAGAATGCTGCGAACAGGCTCCATGATGGAGCGGTGCTCGATAAGACCTGTTGTGCATGAGGGCAACAGGGGGGTGAAGAGGAAGTAGTTGCGAGGGGAGACGACGATGACGTTGTAGTTCTCGGTGTCGAGGTTCTTGAGGAGACCAACAGAGCCCCAGCCGGATCCTAAGGAAGGGTATTGCGTCAGTAACTTGATCTGGTATACAAGAGGAGCTCATAGCTATGCGCGCCAATTTACTTACCCAGAACAACGAGGGTCTTCTTGGAAGGGTCGGGTTGGACCTGCTCTAGAGGGTTGCGGTCGTCGTAGATAACATAACATGTGTAACCGACGAGGGCACCGACAGAGAGGTATGTGATTCTCCAGGTCCATCGCAGGGTACGTCGGATCTTGCCAATTTTGGGCTTGGGCTTTGGGGCCTCATCAGCGTAGGCTCTTCGGAAGGCGATACGGCCGGTGTTGTTCAGCTTCATGGCGACAGAAGGTCGAGCAGAGGTCTTGGAGACAGTAGAGAGGGCGCGGGTCGCAATGCGACTGCTGGGGGCCATCTGGCCGACCCGGGAGAGGGCCGTCATGGCTCGCGCAGGGGAAGCCATTGTGAAGGGTCTGGTAGGGAGAAGCTCAATTGGGAGCAATCGGTGGGGAGTAAGGAGGAAAAGAGAAGAGTATGATGATGGGAGACACAGGACTAAGAGCCTCTGGACCAGTTGACGGCGTCGCAAGCGGATGGAGCTGGTGACGGAGGGAGGTGAGTCGAAGGAGAATCAGTCACATCCCACGAAACTGGGCGAGAGAATTTAGTTTAAGGTATCCGTAAGGTAAAGGTACTTCAGGGCCTTTAGGTTAGGTCGGCTGGCCGGACACAAGGTAGTAGAGAAGAATGGGGTGTAAAAAAAGATGATGGCATAATTCTATTGGCATGTGCTTGATTTATTTCGTGCTCTCCTTGAGATAAGACACGGCATCTCGTCCATTTCTTGCTTGTGCTTGAGCTCCACTAAAAAGTTCAAGCTTAGCGGAGCGGGTCAGCGTGGGCATGGGCTTTCCATCCTCTCAGCTTTTGATATGACGCCCACTGAACGACATCCATAATATCATGGACTCGATTGAATTGATTTGCACGGCCGAAAGATGGGATCTCGGAGTTGGCAATACTTGATTGGGGTCGTAGTTATTACTTTGTGACCTTTCATTGGAGTAATAAACCCTCGATTTACCATTCTCTGTTGTGACCCCTCGCCCCCCGTGATAGTCGCTTATCATATTTCATCTCCAAATTCTTTCTCCAATCTCAGTCCAATCCAATGTATCGGACCGGGCTTTGGCCCCGATCCGTAGCTCTGGTTCAATCACCTCTTTGAGCAGTGAAAAACGGGGGTTAACTGCAGTGCTGCACTCAATTCGGAAAGAAAGAAGAAAAAAACTCATACAGCTGGGCTTCTTTGCCCTTGGCGCCGTCCATGAAATCAGCGAAACTCCACTAACTTACCGAGCAAACCCCTTGTGTAGTTATGTATAGGCTATTACCACTCTCCATTCTATTCATGACAAGTGCCTGGTAACTGAGCAGGCATCCATCCTCTTTCATTGCTTGATTGACTTGTCTGTCTGTCGTTATTATCTTGAACAAACGTGCATGATTTCGTCACCCACTACCACATGCTTGTTGCGATAGACATAGACTGTGGTCACTTTCACAAGAAACTCGGTGTCTCTCCGTTTCCGGACGTCCGGTGTTTAATACGATGAATGTGACATTGATCCATTGTGGACTACTCGATCCTCGGGGTTTTTAGCCGTAGGAGCGTGGAAAGCGTGGGCTTTCTAATAACCGCGCATATTCACTGAGCACTTCGACAGCCTTGTCGTGGAATACTAGACAAACCTGACGGCACATATTGGAGATCTTGCTTTTTACGCCCCGTGATTTTACATCCTGCCAATCAAACTCGATGCCGACCCTATGTTCCCATCCTGCGAATAGGGATTTGGTACGACGTTTTGGGTGAAAACCGCGACCCTGAGGGTTAACCTCGCTGTCACATATCAAGTAGTATTCTGAAATACTCCATAGGTATCTCTGCGTATGATCATACCGCGGTGTGTCGGTGAGTGTACCGGTCCACCATGTAAACCGGACGAATTGATATTCACAACGTTGATATTACTCATGTAAACTAGATCTAGAACGCGGATAATCTGAGACGTAGCAGGTAACTTAGCATGCGCGATTTGGACTCTTTTGGGAAACTCCTAGCGCATTCACATGTCGCTAAATAACCTCATGTCCAAGAGGTACAGGGTATTGCCCAGATGTAAACTACTATACGGTTGTTGCGAACAATAAGCGAATGGCACAATAGTAGTTGTAATTGAATTGCAATTTGTGACAGAAGCAATTGCTCTTTATCTACCACCCCATGCTAGACGACTAGAGGCACCAAACCTGCGTCCTCGACCTGCTATATGCTTCACAATCTATACTTCTGTCAGCCTCCCATTAGTCTCGCAACACCATTTTACATCCAGCCGTTGAAAGCTACGTGATAAACTGCCGTCCCCAGATTTTGAGGTTTACTTTATTTGTACTATACCCCAGGTCCAGGATAAAACCAACATTAAAGGTCTATATCCTTGATAGCGCATATCGGAGCCGCAATCAACTCAAGCCTTCTCTCAACCCTGTATCCGTAGATGCGCAGGAAGGTTTACTGTGCATCACAGCTCGTGATAATCTAACCCGAACCTAAATCTCCAACAAGGCCTTTTCCTCCTTTCCGTATAGTACCCGTTCTGCTTGCTTCCATTAGACCGGGTGGATCTTATCGTGGAGCTTCAGAAAGTCAACGTCCATGTCCACAGGCGCGCTAATGACGGATCCGCGCTTCTTCTGGGCTTCGTTTATTCATGATGAGAATGAAAGCTGGGCGCGAAATTGTAGGCGAGCTGCATGATTGGAGCGCATTTCTTGAGGTATTCAGTGAGAGAGCCTAAAACCATGCCTGCTCTATTAACTTCAATTTCAATTTCAATTTCAACTCCAACTTTTATCTTCTTTGTGTTGCATCGAGAAGATGGTGATGGAGGCAAGGTCACTAGTTATTTCAAGGAATGACTTCTAGACATAATATGCTGACACTTATTACCATTGATCAACGCCATTTGTTTCCCGTAGTATTTGGAAGCATGCATGAAACGACTGGGTTGGTACGATTAGTGTCGTGTGATGCCTTTCCTCTCTCGTCTTCTCGACCGATAGATACCTAGATACTAGATCGATCTTGATACAGCTTCTGCGTTTCACCAAACACCATCTGACGACATGCATTCCGATCTTGCCTACGGAGTCGGGAGTACCTAGTTCATCATCTGTGATCATCACTGGTGAAGCGTCAACGATTATTGCCCCCCACAGCTGACGCAAAAGCTTTTCCAGGGTCCATCTTAAGGAATATTTTATCCACCATGATTTAACATCAAACACCCACTTGACGACTCAGGCTGTTGGATATCGGACCGTCTTCACGCGCAGGATTTTTCCCGGCTGGTGGGGACCGGCATTTGACGATGGATGATGGAATTTGCCCCAGATGAGGCTGGTTAGGAAGCGTGGGATACGATCTGAGGCATCGGGCGAGATGGGATGTGACTCGGCATGTTCAAGGTTGCGGAAGGTTTGATACTAAAGGAGCTTCAGATTACTACGGAGTTTGTCTCGGATTGGCTCATCTGAAGCAGGAGAAGCAAACCATATGTCGATCAGTTAAGCATAACGAAAGAATGGAGAACAATTCAATGCCAACCTGTGGAATTCAAGTTCCTGCAGTATGGTTAAGCCACAAGCGATAATATGAAGAGAACCCTTCTTTAATATCCAATCTTGTACGAAAAACGCAGCTATTCGAAAACCATTGAAAATGACCGTGTTATGGCCCCCCCTGCATGAATACCATCATTTGTCTCTGGCGAGACCGAGGATGGGCTGAAACAGGAGGAGCCTTATTTCGAGACGAATAAGAGATCCCTGCCCTGTTGTTAACGATGGACGCGCTGAGGCCAACTGCCTCTAACTCAGCTGCCGCCATTTCTGCAGCAGCCTCGTTACTGTTCAGCAGCTGCAGAAGGACAGGCCCTAGGTAGGAAGGTAGTGTCCCCCGGCCCTGGCCTGAACCTTCCATACCTAGCTCGCGGTGAATAAGCGACAGCAAGCGTTACAAACCGACTCTGGCGGTGCTGTTCAGGCCGCCCCAGCCCAGCCCAGCCCAGCCCAAATAATAACAGAGTCAAACAAGATTAATCAATTTGATTATTCCTTTTTGGCCACCCAATGTTTATCTCCCGCTCTGTCGTCGATATCCGTGGTTTGGGAAGCCATAGGAAGCTATAGCCTTGCTAGCCTTGAAAGCTCAAACCATCATCTAACGACCTCCCCCCTGAACCCTTCCCTTCCCTCAGATCGACCTGATTATATGGATATGGGGGGGTTTACAGATCCTGGCTGTGTATCCGTATCGTATTGCATCGAATGCATGTAATGTAATGTAATGTATCCGTGACCGTTGATCGTGTTTCATCTCACGGACCAATTCTTCTGAGACTTGAGCCTCTCTCTCTACGGAGTTACTCTTCCTCTTTCTCTCTCGTCCTCTCATTTTCCCTTTTCTTCAAACAGCAGAAACACCATCTCTGTTTTCTCGCATGCCATAAACTGCCAAGCCCCCAAACTTTCCTTTGTTCTTCTCTTCCTTTTTTTGCTCTTGATTAAGGCTGGACCTTCGTTTGAATTACTCTCATTTACCTGATTCAAGTCAGTGACTTTGATCGTTGCGACACTCATTTCCCTAATAACCCCCCCTAACCCACACATAGCCTTGGGTATTTCGCATCAAGACATTTTTGAAGAACCTCTTGACTGGGTTCATTAATACTTTTATTCTTATATAAGCAATATCTCATTCAGAAAAACAACAACAAAAAATACTGCGATGGCACCCTTCACTGAGCCTCATCACATACGATGGCAGAACGAGGCAAAGAGGGCATTTGGAGCGACTCTGCCGGCTTGGACTGTTGCCGACGACAACGACGACTATGATGTTCACATTATGAAGACTCCCTCGAGGAGATCGAGGGCCAGGCGCGACAACAGCAGAGTTGCATCCAAGGAGCCTGAGGTGATGATTTCTATCCTGAGGGAACCTTTCAACAAGCGAACAGAAGACAAGGCAACCAAGGAGACGACTATGGAAAACGAAAAGCCAACCACATACGACGACAAGCTTGAGGGCGAAAGTGATAGCGAAAGCGGAGAGGACGGCAAAAGTGGCAGTGACTCCGATAGTGAAGATGATAAAGAGGACGGGGGTGAAAGTGAGAAGGAAGAGGACGAGACCGAACAAGACACCGCAGACGCCGACTCAACGGACCCCATCAATATCAAGTTGCCAGCATCATCAACAAACAACCCATCAATGGCCGCTCCATCGGCGGAGGGAAGTGCAGCGGATTCTGGAGGCCTGGTAAGTCTGACCCTTTGACCCGCTGATCGTGTGACTTGGCGTTTTACATTGAACGACATGTCATCTTGCCTTACTTTACTTGACTTGCATTGAGAGCTTGGACTTGCTAACTCCTTATAAGGTTGCTGGAAGCGATGGCGTACATTCAAATGTCCACAAGATCCTCTTGGGTGTAGGATCAGTCGGTATGTTGCTGCCCACTCTCAAACCATATTAGCTACATCTCCTAACTGTACATTCAATCCAGGTGGCTTTCTACTCTTACTTGGTCTTGGTTTTCTCATCTGGAAGTTCTATTCAAAGCGAGACTCACCAAAGAAGACCGTTCCTGTCGACGACATGTCTTTCGATAAGCCCAGTCGTTTCGAGACCCTCGTCTCCAAAGTCCCCTTCCTCGGATCACGCTTCGGCCACCAAGGCTGGTACACAATCGAGGCTCCTACTCCTCCTCCCTCATATAGCGCCGAAAAGATGCAGCCCCTCTCACCTTCACCCACAATCCTCTCACCTCTACCAATGCCACCTCTTCCCAAGCAATCCAGCTCTCATCTTGCCGTGCCTACTAAGCCTTGGGGTGCTTATCGCATGAGCAGCAGGACCACACGAACAAACTACGACATCGACGCTATCAGCCCTACAAGCACAACGTTCGTTGAGAGCGCCACCGCTGTCCAGGTCATTGCTCGTCATGATCCCAAAGAAGGTCTCTCATCAGCCGACAAGCCGCAGCACAAGCGAGTCCCTTCTGCGATACCGTTGCCATACGATGTCACGCGCCGCCAGACTGGCGTCAGTGAGCTATCCTCCATCTCTTCTGGTTTCGGCGACTACGACATCGTCGTGACACCGACCTACCAGACCATCCAAAGTGTCCCTTCACGCCCCGAACCTTCTCGCCAACCCACGTGGAAGTCTTCTGCCTCCAGCCGCCGCGATACTACATCCACCATGGCTTCCGTAGATGCTCGGCCACGATTCCGCTCTGTTAACTCATGGGTAAAGCAGCAGAATGGTCAATTAAGACGAGCTCAGAAGCAACAAGAGAACGGCTATGATAGTGACGCTCCCCCAGTTCCCGCTCTGGCTTTCCCTCCAGACCAGGACTTTAGATACATGTTGCCTGATGACGAGAGACCACGTCCAGTGGAGATGGTCTAAATTTGATTCAGGAAACAGGTTTATAGGCGCTGGTGAAACGGGTTCGGCATACCATGGTCGGGTAAATATTTACGTTGGAGTTTGTAACATATTCGCGGAAACATATAAGACCAAGTGTACACTCAAGATTCTATGTCTATTAATTGATCGATCCATACAAGGACCCCTTTTTTGATATCCGTGCAAACTTAGGTCTGCTTGGAAGGAAACATCTCCCAGAACCCAATCTCCATCTGTGCTGTGTTAGTAAATGCCCCCATTTCCGGAAATATCAGGGGTATGCAAACCTTGAGAGCATGGATAAAGATCTGCACAAGCTCCTCGATACGCGAAGGAGACTGCAGCTGAATATGCTTTTCGAGCAGGGCTGTGCAACGGTTAACTGTTGGAATCTCTAACAGGCCTTGTTCAAGACTTACCAGAGCCCAGTTTCACGGCATCGGTGTAATCCTCTTCATTGTAGTTCTTGATCCATGCCCAATATGTGTTTCCTTCACGCACAGTCTTCTCATGGTCCTGTAACATCTTGGCAGCTGCGCCATAGCCAAGCAGGCACGGGGCAAGGGCCATCTGAAGTCCGAGCCAGTCGCCGTTTTGGCCAACATCGAGAACATAGCGGGTGTATGCGGTGCAGGCTGAGAGTAGCGTTCGGGTTAGAAGTTAATATGATATAACGTGCGTTGACTTACCCTGCTTTTCTGGTGTGGCACGGATCTGATCGATGGAGACTCCAAAACTCTCGCAGTATGATGTATGGAGTTTTAGCTCGTGCATGATATGCTGCACAATCTCCGTTGCCTAGTCTGATAAGAAAACGTTTCATATCGAGATAAGAGGACATACCCTGGAAATATCCTCGATGTTTTGTGCTTTGTAGGCGGCGAGAGCGTTAGCACGTGAGAAATGAATCTATGGACATCGATTAGCCAAGCATTAAGATATTCAGAGAGCCGAAGTCTGACCAAGTAGAGATAATCTTGGATGATGTAGCCTTTGAATGACTCGAGAGGCAAAGTCCCGTCACCCATGGCCATGACGAAGGGGTGGTATACAAACTCCTTCCAGACATCCCGAACATCAGGACGCTCGAGAAGCCACTCAATAAAGTAGCCACTGTTGTTTTAGCGTTAGTAATTGATAGACGAATCATAAAATGAGGGCTTTGAACGTACGGAGCGAATGGAAGGGAGTATGTCGAATGAAAGTGGTTCAGAGGACCATGCCCCTTGCCCAGTCCGGGGGCTGTTCGAATCGCAGCTTCAATGTATCGACAGGCTGAGCGAACAGCCAGGGGCGTATCAAGTCCCTTGGCCAAGTTGGATGCAATAGCAGCTGGTTTGGTCGTTAGTATGCCTTAATATTCGCTCAAGCCAGCATGCCACTTACACGCTAGAGAACATCCCGTGCCATGAGTACTCGAGCTTGCTTGGTATGGGCTTTTAACCCTGACAATCTCTCCATTACCTCCCACAAGCACATCGACAACAACAGATTTATCATCCTCATGCTCAGCCACGGTCAGATCTTCCTTCATAGGACAGTGTCCACCTTTGACGAGCACCCACTTAGGACCCAGGGCCTGAATCTGCTGCGCTATGGCCTCGAGGTCTTTGACACCGCGAACATCAGGGGCTTTCAGGCCGGTTTGAGAAAGAATTAGGATTGCCTCGGGAATGTTTGGTGTGAGAACTGTGGTGTGTGGCAGAATATGCTTGCATAGATACTGAATGGCTTCGTTGGGGAGGAGTGTGGCTCCAGAAGTCGAAACCATGACCTGTGATGCAGGATGAGCATAAGAGAAGTGCTATCGTATACGTTCAAGGTAGATGATGATGAGACTTACAGGGTCTACAACAAGAGATAAGATGTTATGTTTCACAACAGCTTTTGCTACCATCTCTATGGTCTCTTTAGAAGCCAGCATGCCTACCAATATACGTTAGCCCACTTCACATTATGGGAAGTAAGCCATTGATTGATCAACTCACCAGTCTTTACGACATCGACACCAACATCCTCAACACAAGCGTCAATCTGCTGTGAGACAAACTCAGTGGGAATGACATGAATGCCCTTCACGCCCTGCGTATTTTGCGCAGTGAGAGCCGTGGTAGCTGTCATGGCGTAGCAGCCATGAGCGGCAATGACTTTCTGGTCCGCCTCGAGTCCACTAACCACAAACACATCAGTATTATAATTACAAACTCTACTCAGAACAAGATTCCACCGCAAATGCTATAAACCAGCTGTATATATCATGTCGCTTCCAGGATATATGAGGGTCAACTTACGCTCCGCCCGAACTGTCCGACCCCGCGATAACGAGCACTCGTCCTTGTCCCATGATGACAGTACTGCCTTGCTTGCGAAAGAGCTTTATGCTCTGGGATAATGATTGAATGAGTGGCCTGCGTGACGAGATATATGGTGTGCAAGAACTAACTAAACAGCATCATCAGATGTTATGACACTCTTAATCCCGCGTTTGGCCGCTCCGGGCATCGGTGGGGCCCAGCAACTCACTGTCATCATAGGTCGTTCCATAACTTATCAGTTCATGATGTTACTTATATATCTCATAGTCACTTCATAAAGCCTACCAGTAACTTAAAACTCCTTGATAGATAGTTTCTGAAGCGAATGGACAATGCTCTAGTAAATCTTCTCAAGATGCTCAACTCTACCAGGCCTCTTACTCCTAAAAAACAGCTCATAATTGAGCAGCCTCCCTTCCTTGACCTTTTTGTCCGAAACTCCTTAACCCAAGTCCCTGCCCGGACACCAATTCTCTTATATCCACTGCTTGGCATACATAGGTATCTATAGCTCGAGATTCGCCAGCCCCCTCGCCCTTGAACGCACGCGCCATCATCATTGTTGTCATTGGTATCGTACAGTTGAAACTTTCCAACTTCATCTTGCTTTTGGCTATGTAGTCATCTCGAGCTGTCCCCGCCATCATCTTATCGTCTCAACCTAAGAGGCGCTGGTGTAAGATCTGGTGGGGGTGCCAGAGGTTCACTGATACTGCGCTGCCTCTCTGTCCTATCATCGCCAGAACTGTTCTCGCCTTCGCCGCTTTCTTCACTGTCCTCCTGACTATCGTCGTCACTGCTATCATTGTCGTCTTCCTCATCCTCGTCAAAAATGATTTGTCGCATCACGTTCTTATCAAATAGGTCTATGACCATCCTCCTCACACCTAACCGGTAGTGATTCCACTCCATTGCGCTCATCACCTCCTTGAAGAACTGTGTACTTCGGAAGGCGCTTGGCTTACGTGACCGCAACTTCTGAAGATCTGTGAGGGCTTTCTTATAAAGAACCATATTTCCTAGATCCACAATGAGCTCCAAGACTCTCCTGTTGACATCTGCTTCGCTCAACAGAGCCGGTAGTTCGGCTGGTTCAAGAGGTGGCCGAGCAGCACGACGAGGCGGCGGTTCTTGGGCTGTGCGCTGACTCGGCGGCAAAGTAATCGATGTCACTGTTTTTTGCTTCCACGGAGTTAGTGATAGTAGCTTGGATAACTTGTTGGGAATGCAGAATCCCAGCGAAGTGCCCATGGGTGTCGTGTTGGCATCCCAGCCGTGCTCAGACAGAATCTCCAGACCGTGCGTAGAGCGAGATATCAATCCGAGTACGAAGAATGCAGTGCCACGCAAACTCATCACTTCGTGGTGCTCAGCAATCTGGATGATGTGCTCAACCACGTCGCTTGATTCCAGAAAGGGGGCTCCAAGCTCCATCGATCCGACGTTACCAACTGCCCAAAGACATCCCTTCACCTTGGTAAGAATCTCTGCATCTCCCTTTCCCATCCCATGCTCGCGGATCGTAGCTGCGAAATCCTCAAAGTGGCCCTTGTCACTGAGAAGTCTGCATCCCTCTTGGGTACGAGTTAACTCTCGATAGAAGTGTGGTGGCACGTGACTATCATGGTAGTCCCCATCCATCTCACCGTCGTCGAACAAGCTCATCCGAGGATTGTTTTCATCTGGGTCAATGAGAAAAGCCCTTGCCAAGCTTGCCTCAATAACCCTGACGTACGTGTCGTTCCGTCCCAAAAACCAGTCGTCCATTTCGTTGCTGATGTAGTCCAACCCATCAAGGTAATGGTATCCAATGGATGTTGACAAGAAGCGGAGTAGTAAAGGTGCTCCAATTTCGCCCAGGTGGTCAAGAGCGGGCCTGCATTCGACAATATACTCCAAGTAGGTCTTGCGATTACAAGCTTTCTCCAGGATCTTGACAGCTGTTGCACACACTTCAATCTCAGGATCGTAAAGTTGTGTAACCAAAAGCTGAATGGCCCATTTAGAGTCACCAACTCCGCCTTGTCCATTGGCCGATGGCACAGGACGAATAGCGTATTTTCGAAGGGCGTTGGTCGCATGAATACGAATATCCTTTGTACCTGCTGTCAGGGCCTTTGAAACCAAGACGCGAGGATGACCCTGAATACTGTAGTCAAAACTGGAGAGAAGTAGCTTGATAAGGTCAGGTCTCTGCTTCAAGTCCACGATGTGATACATCATATTGAACATCCTCCACCGCTCTATTAGTTGGAGTCCCTTGGGATCGCCGCTTAGGACGCCGAGCATCGAGAAGTAACCCGCACTTAGTGTATCGGTTACTCGGTCTCTTGAGAACATTGGGAATTGAGCTGTAAGTCCACTTGTCTGTGCGAGCAGTTAGTAATGAGCATAAAGGTAATGGAACATGTATCTTACCGGGTCGCATTGTGCTAGGCATTCCGCGATTTGTCTAAGTAATTTGCTGTCTGCCAGGAACTTGACTCCTTCAGGAGATTGGAGCAACGAGTGCATAAGGGCACATCCAGCCCGCACATATTTTTGGGTGGCTCGTGTGTTTTTGACCTCCGCAAACCTGTATTTGAAAGGTCGGTAAAAGCTGATGATTCTCTTCATGAACTTGGAAGCCTTGATAGCCTCTTCAAGTCGCTTGCCGCTCTGCAAAGGCCCGTCGATGATCTTAATGATCGTGTCCCAATTCCACTTGGCATAGTTAGAACTATTTAGTACGTTGCTGTCGATCAGCAGTTGCCTGAACGTAGCATCGTCGAAGACCAAAGATTGATGTGATTTTGGCGCCTCGTCGATCGCGGACAGCTCAGTCGAGTTGTTACCCGACGAGAACGCACCGGACAAAGCACCAGATGGCGTGCTTCTGTATAGTGTACGACTGACACTACTTATTTGGTAAACAATCCCTGATGCGACCCAGTGATCATTGTTGCCGATGTTCGCTGCTGAAGAGAAGAGCTCCGGCAAGAGGTGAAGTTCAGAACTCCAGGATGGAGGCAAGAGACGGCTCGCAAGCTTAAGTACCTCACTAATTAGTAAAGTGGTCTTGCGCTGTAGTGTTGGGTTGCTATCTTCTTGAGCAATTTTCAAAAGGACTGGAAGAAGATCTGCCCGGATAAGGACAGCGAGTAATAGTGCCGTGTAGTGCTCGACAAAGTTCTGTTCACCACTGTCCTCTTCTGTGAACTGCGAGTGACTCCTGTCCTTCTGGGTAGACTTCAGGTTGGCTACTCTGCCATATGTCGTCAGTCTTCTGCCAGCAAGGAATGATGTTGCCCAAGCTGGTGGCTTAATTCGCAATAGGGAAAAGATGAGATCAAGGATAGTCTCGCGAACAATATCGCTGGGTAACAGCATACTCGTGACCAAGGATCGAATTGTCCGTAGGTCATACATGCATAAAGCCATCAGCCCCGGCCATGATTTCATAGCTGTCGCGATGGCTTTGGCGTTTTGCTTCATGACGCTCTCATTGGTAAGCAGGTGGTCGGTAAAGACAGTAAACAACACTTCCAGACCATATCCGGGCTGTATGTACTTGCGTTTCCGAGGCGAATCGAGCAAGTACAAGAACGCAGAGGTCAAACTCTCAGGAGCCTTGTAAACGCCTTCTGAAAGAGCCTCAGTCAACGGTCCCAAACCACCAGATGCCACCAAGAGTGCTGGATCCTGCACCACGATTTCTGCCAGTGTCTCGATGCAGATAGGTCGCAAGCGGTCTACATCCCCCTCGGCAGGTTGAGGATTTGCCCGTCGGTCTTCTCCATGCTCTGCAACTGCAACGATTGTGCGTACGACTGCTCGAGATATCTCCTTCACTCCGCCTTTGACATCCAGGAATGCGCGGACGAACTTGAGAGCCTGCTCACGTTCGACATCCGCTTTTCGATAGTTATTCAATGATCTGGAAATGTTAGTCAAGGTGAAGCCACCCTAATTATGACACGTACCGTATAACCAAGTAATCAGTGTTCAGACTACGTATCTTCTTAAGGGATGCCACGTCTGAAATGGCATATCTAATCATTCGATAGCCAGCGGCCACAACCTCGCGGCTTTCGCTCAGAAGCATGACCTGCATGCGGAGCCCAAAGATTGACCAGACCAAGTCATATTTGAGAGTCGGATATCGCTTGAGAAGATCAACCAGCTGATTCCCCCGTGACACATAATACTCGGGCATCATGCCCTCAACCTCCAAAGCTTGAAGGAGCTCTGTGAGCGCAAAGGTAGGGCTTTCTGTTGGCTCCTCAGCGTCAGAGTCCACAACAGATCGCGCCACACTCTGTGGTGAGCGTAGCCCAACAGGCCTTGCAGATTCGACAACATTACTTTGGGTACGGTTTCTCTGCGGCGTGGCTGGTGGAATTTGTCGCGTTCGTTGAACATCGGAAATCTTTTGTCGAAGGTCTTTGATCCGCAAGTTACTGGCATTGAGTTCTGCCTCAACCTTTTGCCGTTGCTCCTTGGTCTGCTTCGCTTTCTTAGAGTTCAGCGCCTCGAGCATGTTCTCGCTACCCTCCTTGATTTTCATCTCACGGTTGAGTCGTTCTTTGAGATTAGCCAGAGCTTGTTCCGCTATTGTCTCCGAGTCGTCCTCATCCACCTTGTCCATGAAGCTGCTCGGGTATATTGACCCCGCATCAGTCTTACTTCCAGCCCGACTGCGCAATTCTGAACTGAAGCTGCCGGGAGCGACATTGAGATTACTTCCCCTGGCTCCGAAGGAGACAGCCGAAGCTGATAAGTTACGGGCATTGGCGCCATTAGGAGGTTGGAGGCCGGAATCACCCCGATCAAAGCTCGTGCGGCCTGACAATTGCTGAGGGAGGTTATGCTGGGAAGGCTGGCTCGGAGGGGTCATGCCCTTTTGTGCTGAAGCAGAGGAGCTCAGCATGACGACGGCGAGCAGCCCACCGGTTGGGACTGGGCCCGAAGGTGGTGGAGGTGCATTCGTCGATCAAGCAGATCTCAGTTGAATTGAGTGCGAATAATGCGATCGCGGTCGGTGTTCGGTGTTCGAATGCGGTGCGGTTAGAGCGTTTGGTAGAGGGACAATTCGTTCACGATATGACGAGGGCGACAGTGGTATGATGCGTAGATAGGATTTGCCAGCCGCGTTTTCGTCGATTGCGCTGCCGATGAAGCTGTATGTTGACAGCAAAGTCGTGGTTCGAGCTGGAGTTTCGAGAGGGCGGTGCGCTACTCGCGTGGAGGTGGATGCGACGCTTCGTGCACAAGCAAGCAAATGAGGCGGTCCTGAGAATATGGAATATGTTGAAAGCTGGGGTCGCCGACAGAAGCAAGTACTAGATCGATGCCTGTACAGGACGTAGCGTAGATAGGCCAATGTCAGAGCAAAACGAAAGAGGTTCGAGGAGCAGCTTGACAGGGTCTCGGGAGTCGAGGGGGCGGGTGATTGGAGGATCGAGAACAGAGGCTGTTGAGTTGCGGGCAGCCAGGGCCTAAAGTGGAGGCAGACCCAGCCAGATGGTGATGCATTCCATCTACAGGCACTAAGGATAGCCTTATCTCGTGTAAAAATGCGCTGTAGTTACCGGCCTCTCAACTAGAAAGTTTCATAGATCCGGTACAGTAGCGTGCTATAACTACTAAGTCACTAGGTATGAACTACTTCATTAATGGGCGGGGACCTGGGGATATGCTGCAAGCCTGGGCGATGAAGCTGAACAATTCTTGAACCTGTGAGACTCTATCACATATACCGTTGAAATTGAATTTTGAGGGTTGCACAACAGCCCAGTCTCAAAGAACCGGAAGTATGTTGTGATCGTTCGTCTACATCTGAGAGTTGACTTCAATTAACGCTTCCAAATAACCTCTCTGTGCTGTTCATTTCCTGTATAATTGACGAGCCTGTTTTTACTGTTGTATTATTCATTCATTGGCATGGCTACAGAGAGAGTACTCAGGCTTTTGAATGGTTTTCAACACAATCATTCAAAAAAGACATCGACACAGACAACAGTCTATATATCACTTATAAAGATGAGTAGTCATGGAAGTAGTTTTGCTTACACTTGATAAGCACTGCTTTAGGTCTGGTATCCTTCCATCTTCGTTGACTTACAACACTGGTATCGTTGAGTTACACATTCAACATCAGCTGGTGTTCTCTCCGCACGGTCATGTATCTGCGTAATCTCTTGTAGAACCCAAGACATGCAGTTCTCGCAAGAATCATGCGATTCAAAGTCGCATCACGATAAGAGAGACAGACAACATAAGTCGAGATAAGGACCCCGAGCCACTGACTTCTAGGTACACCTTAGCTTCCAGGCGGGCCCCGATACACGGGGTCCAGGGCATCGGCGTCCTCCGCAGCCCGGCACCGTCCCCCATGGCCCCATGAGAGAGGAAAGCCTCAATTCGCTACCTACCAATTGCAACATCTGCGCGCCTTGACTCTTCGGCCGCTGGCGCTTGTTCTTGATCGCCAACGTCCGTCTCCGTCCGTTGAGCCGCTTGAGGTGGTGTTGCTTGGGTCCTAAATTAGGAGCTGCCATTATCGCCCGGGAGTAGGAAGGGGGGCTGACATCCCAACCATTCTGTATATATTAAAAGCTATTCCCTCCCTTGGAGTTCTTGTCGTGTTTGACTTTACTTCTTGAAAACTCTACCATCAGTGACAGTTTGCGGATACCTACTCACAACTTTATTCTTCCGTTCTGTGTATTTGAGACCCTTCTTATCTGCTCATCTCCCATATCTATCTACCACGCGCTCCCAAACTCACCACTCACCACTCACCACACCAACTCTTCTAGTCCATCACAATGCCTTACGTATCTGCTGCTCGCTATGGCAAGGACAATGTCCGCGTCTGCAAGGTTGATCGCGATGCCGCCACTGGTGTCCAGACCGTCACAGAAATGACCGTCTGTTGTCTCCTGGAAGGAGAGATTGATACATCCTACACCAAGGCCGATAACAGTGTTATTGTTGCCACCGACTCTATCAAGAACACCATCCATATCACCGCCAAGCAGAACCCCGTCAACCCTCCTGAGCTATTTGCCTCTATCCTCGGAAGCCACTTCATTGAGAAGTACAGCCACATTCATGCCGCCAACGTCAACGTCAAGACTGTTCGCTGGTCGCGTCTTGAGGTCGACGGAAAGCCTCATCCCCACAGCTTTGTGAAGGATGGCGATGAAACCCGAAATGTCGAGGTCCGTGTGAGCCGACAAGATGGTATTGAGATCAAGAGTAACCTTGTTGGCTTGACTGTTCTCAAGAGCACTGGTTCTGCCTTCCACGGATTTGTTCGTGATGAGTACACAACGCTCCCTGAGACTTGGGACCGTATCTTCTCAACCGACGTGGACGCAACATGGAAGTGGAAGAAGTTCAACACCCTAGCTGCCGTTAAGGACTTTGCGCCCAAGTTCGATAGTGCTCGGGAGGCAGCACGCAACACCACTCTCAAGATCTTCGCTGAGGATGAGAGCGCTAGTGTGCAAGCCACCATGTACAAGATGTGTGATCAGATTCTTGAGACGGTGCCAGAGATTGCTACTGTCACTTATTCACTGCCCAACAAGCATTACTTCGAGATTGGTAAGTTTGGGACTGCTACCCTCTTTGTAATATCAATACTAACAACTATCCAGACCTTAGCTGGCACAAAGGACTCAAGAACACAGGCAAGGACGCCGAGGTTTACGCCCCTCAGTCCAGCCCTAATGGTCTTATCAAGTGCGAGGTGTCTCGGGACACTCTGCAGGCAAAACTATAGGCTTGTATAGTGTAGTTCGGGGTGATAGATGTCGGGACATATACAACAAGATGAGACGAACCTGGATAAAGATTTATACCAAGCGACGTATTTAGATTCGAGCGCTAAGCATGATATTATTAATTAAGTTAACTAGCCATATTCTTCTCCTGTACTTGATGTGATCTTCTATTGGTAAAGCTGAAGTATATGGTAAATTTATACGCATGAGCCGTATACATGGCCTCATAGTGTGATGATAAGATCTGGCCAAGTGAACATCGAATACTATGATATCGGATACAACAAACGTGCCACGTAAGGCGGATGAGGTACACAAACAGAGACCCGCCAATTCTAATATTACCGTGTGAGAGATCACAGCATGAAAAACGTTGATAATTGCTTGATGCTAGGTCATAAACATGCCCAAGATATTGGTACAGATAGTACAAGGACTTTCAGTCCGTCCACACTATTTTTACAACACAGCCCCTTCATCCAAACAGAGTGCTCCTGTGTTGTCCTCATAATCGCTTCTTGTCACCCTCACGGACCTTCTCGACAGCCTTCTCCCAACCTGGCTTGCCCACTTGCACACCACTAAACCGTATCAAGTTCTGTTTGTACGGGTGAGCATCTCCCTCAAAAGCCTTAAGTCTCGCCAATCGCTTGTCTCGTAGTCTGTTCTTGGGCAGCATGCCGCGCACAGCCTTGCGCAACACCTCGCTGCCTCCATGCTGCTCCATGAGCACATCCATGGTCACCTCCTTGAGCTTACCCGGTCGGGTCGAGTGTCGGTAGTAAGGCTTTTGCCACATCTTGCGGCCGGTTGTGTGTAGTGCAGCGCAGTTTGTCACGACAACGTAGTCGCCGCAGTCGTTTGAGGGATCGAAGACGGGCTTGTGCTTGCCCATGAGAAGAACGGCGATGCGTGATGCGAGGCGGCCCAGTGAAGGCGGTGTTACGCCGGGCTGAGTCGAGAGAGTGGCATGAGGGGCGGAAGCAGAGACACCGTGCCATACTCGAGAGTATGCCAGTTTAGTCTATTCGATATTGGTTAGAATAGAGAATGCTTTGAGGATATATCGAAATTGCTCACCAGACCGAGGACTTGTGACATGTTGAAGGCTCGGAGAGATCAATCTCTCATGAAGTACCTCCAATTGTATGCAATCGTCACAAATCCGGTGAAGGAGGGGTCGAATTGCCGTAGCTGCTGCGTTGTGCTGTATCGCGAGATCTCTCACACCAGACCCAACCAGACCAGAAAGTTTGGATCCAGATGCCAAGGATCATTTGCTGACTCAGGATAATCGACAGTCACGTGCGACGTGCGACGAGCTTAATCCCTACGGTTCCCGAAGTCGCTGGACCCGCTCTCTCGGGAGGTGGAGATGTGAGCAACACCGGACCCCGATGTTATCACTCGGTTGTGGATTTCAAAGCAGCGAACAAAACCCGCCCACGTCGTGCTACAACCTCCTCCTCTAGCAGATGCCTCCTAAGTTTACAGCTGCTAGATTTCTTACAACTACATCTATCTTCGCAGCAGCTGGCTATTCAGCATATCAATACAGAAGTTTTCGTGCCACCTCTAAAACCACGCCCCCCACGTGTAAGTTCCCCAGCTTCGTGGACTTCTCTTACACTACAAGTATGGAACTAACGGATCTGCACAGCACCTAGCAAGATGACTGTTGATAACTCGTTTGAGGTGCGCATAAAAACTCAGATCAATGAGTCATAGCTGTGAATAGGGGACGAGGAGAGTTGTTGAGAATTTTCACAAAACCAAGTATACTGATGAAACATCCTGAAAACAGACCCTCTTTGCTGTTCCGCTGTCATGTGACGGCTGTATCAAGGCGGTTTCAGACTCTTTGTATAAGCTCGGCGGTATCAACAATGTTGAAGGCAACTTGAAGGACCAGTTGATATCAGTCAAGGGCTCTGGTAAGCCAAGATGCCTTTCTCGATGCTAGTTTAGGCTAACTGTGCCAACTTTCCAGCTGCTCCTTCGGCTATCGTGGAAGCTATCCAGGCAACTGGTAGAGACGCTATCTTGCGTGGATCAGGAGCCTCAGATAGTACGTATCAAGCAACTCCTTACAAATCCAAGCTGCGACATGTTGTTGGTCGACGTAGTACCTTACATAACTAACCTTGCAACCTCCTAGGTGCCGCTGTTAGTATCCTCGAGACATTCGAAGATCCCGTTGATGGCTGGTATGAAGAGCCAAGCCGAGATGTGAGAGGATTGGCGAGAATGGTGCAAGTCAGCTCAGGGCGAACACTTGTCGACCTAACTATCCGTGGTGTATCGCCAGGAACTTATCGAGCTTCAGTCCGCGCATACGGAGATTTAAAGAATGGCGCAGCCTCAACAGGACCGGTCTGGTCAGGAGATGATGGCATACTCCGAGGTGACCTCGGTCTTGTCGAAGTTGGCAAAGATGGCCGGGGAGCAATATTCGTGGACCATGCTTTCCAAATCTGGGAGGTTATTGGACATGCTATGGTTTTGACAAAGCAAGAAGAAAAGAACGAGTCACTGAAGAACGACAAGGACACAGTTGTCGGCATCATCGCACGAAGCGCCGGCATGTGGGACAATGACAAGACAGTGTGTTCCTGCACAGGCAAAACGCTCTGGGAGGAACGTAAGGATGAGGTTGAGAAGGGAATGTTGTGATAACGAGCCATATGCCGAATTTGAATAGGCCCTCGAGCCATGAACATTGACGCTCAATGGTGCTAAAAAGTTGATGAAGCATGACTTGTGGCATGATATACACACGTTATCGAGAGTTGTCTATCCAGTCGATAGCCTCCCCGTAACATGAAACAGAGCCCTTGTCACCAGAGTCCGATTTAAGAGTGACATGTGGAGGGTCTGTAACGTGGCGACTGTGCTGCGGCGATATGTGGTGCCATATTCCCTGGGGACGATATCGGGCATGGGCGTCTGCCATGATCATGATTCGAGAATAATCTAGAGGATAAAGAAGGCTGTGTACAGTTAGGCCTTATGGGAGGATTGATTACTATAGCCGGAAATTGCAGAAACTTCGGAAATATTATGGCGGTTAGAGATCCTCATGATAAAATTTGACAAACAGCTGACGCAGGTCTGAGACCAAGGCATAAAGGGTAGGTGAAATCTGAGATCCAGGGCCTTGGTGCATTGAGATTCGTATCTTGCTGGGATGAAGATGAAACTTCTCGATGAGCCACAGAATCATAGGGCATTATGCGAAACAGTGGTGTAATACCAAGTGACAGCTACACGGTATGTTCCACTGCTCTCTAACTTGACATTTGTCACGGTGACCTGGCGGTGAAAGGGGTTGTGGTTAGCAGCAGATCTACCGATTCGAAGCTGGTAGAGTCTCATGAACCAAGGCAAATTCCATGTAAGTGATATGAGACGAGGAATGACAAGGACAACCGGAAGTGAGAACAAGGCTAGCTGTTGGCCCAAACTTTCCTCCTGGTCTTACAGATAAACTCGAGATCTGATGTGACGATGAGAAACAAGGCAAGATGAAAAATAAGAAACTGATTGGTGCTTTACCGAGAATCGGCATATAGGACTACAATGAGAGGTTTGATAGTGGAGGTATTGATATTAAACCGTCGTGGAAATATTATCCACTTCAACAAGAGCGGCCAGGCTGATAGAATTCCCTTGTATATTCAGGGCACTTATAATATCGCCTATGGACAGAATTTCCTTTTGGTTCGAACATCATTCCTTGTAGCCGAAGGCCTGTCATTGTGAGTAACGATTTCCTAATCGAGCGAGTTTTCCAAGACTAACAGACTTCGCATATCTTCAAGAAGCAAGTTGCTCTGAGTGCTCTCCATGCAGGAACTTAATCCACGCTAAAAGGCATATTGGATCTCAGTAAATACCTCCCGGTAAGATTGTGTCTCAGATATCTCGTGCCTGGAAATCATGACGTTGAGAAACTTTCTGCTACGTCCCCAGGTCTCGGGCTGTAACCAGCTGGCACCCCTGGCCTGACAGTTTGACACTTGACTCCGTGGGGCTCCGGATCACCATGTGCCGAAGAGGATAATGCAGCATGCACTGCCGCAGTTTCGGGACGGCCTCAGACATAGGGAGTAGGCCTATATCGTCGGCCAGCTGAAAGTCCAGCAGGAGGTGGCAGCATCAGGAGTCAATATTCCCAGAACCATGCCTGGGCTGCTGGGAGACAAGACGAAGAGCCCAGGCTGGCGGTACTAGTTATTCTGACTAGTAACTTAATCTGCAGCAGCATCGCTGTATCACGCAGCTAGATGCGTGTTGAGTGGGCGCATTAGCGTAGAAGGCGGGCGGCAATCGAGCCAAGGGATATGTCAGGAATTCTCCAAGATGAAGATGAAAATCGCGAGAGCAAAGAGCACCTGGCGGTCAGTCATTTCAGCGCATGCCATGTTGGGCACTTTTCCAGAAGACTGTTTGTGCCGTTTTCCTCGTTAGCAACGGAGTATCCGTACAGACGCCAAGATCGCTTGAGTCCCTTCCTGACAGGCAGCGTAACCGTTAAGGTTGAATCTCGGACAAAGGCATAATCCCTCTTGTGTTTCTCTCACCGTATATCCACTAGCCCTCGTATCTTGGCAAAACTGAGTACCACTTAGAAAGCTCCTCTTCACCTCGTGCCTTTGGGACCGAAGTGTGAACACTACCAACTAGTCATCGTCAGCTATATTGCATGTCTGCTTGCCCTTCTATTTGGGCCTGCAGGGTCCATCACTCTAATCTGATCATAGCAGAGCGCTTAAAGCTAGGTTAGAGTCGATCGAGAGGATGGAACGCACGTCATTCGACACCAGCAGCTCGGACGTGCGGCCAGCTCCCTAGGTAAGGTAGTTCTACGTTAGTTAGTCAGTTGCTCGACCAGGGTAGCAGGGTTATCAAGGTTTGCACGCAGACTGCAGTTGGTGAGTTAACGTTGGCGGTAATTAGAGATTTCCATGGCTCCAATGCCTGTTGCATTGTGAAAAGGGAGAAATTGGAGTAGGCGCCGAGGTACAGGCCCCCAAGGCCAAGACCCTGAAGCCAGGGTATGAGCCAATCAAAAGTTGCGCATGGGAGTGACCAGCACCTGTGACAATCGCTGCAGCAGGTTCGTGAAGTGCCCCGTCGTCCAGTCCAAGCAAACCCTGGTATGGCCCAAAGCCACCGATCACAGTTCGCATCGAACCGGCGGGAACCTTTCGATTATCTCGAGGCATCTGACGAGGCTGAGAAATGCAGTGGTTCGATTCAACGTGAGAGCAGGTTTCATGAGTTGGCATCTGGGGAAGTACGGACATCTTTGGTATCTATTTGAGAACTAATCACATCTTGCATTTACTGGGATGGCAGTCATGGTGATGATATGCAGCCAGTCTCACTCCATGATCTTGGTTTAGGTTAATTACTAAGTCAATGTTTTCTTCTGTGAAATCGTCAACATCCATTATAATGCCGGACTCCAAACAATATGCGGATTTTAGGTTGCCAGCTCAAACCCGGGCCGGTATAAGAGTGCGATTCTCTTACATCAGGCTAGCTGTCGATCAGACGTTGCACATGCACTGAGAGAAGTCAAACATTTGAGATCTCAGATACCGTCGGAAACATTACTGCAGCAGAGAAAAGAAGAAAGGAAAACGTGCAAACCCTTGTTGCACATCCCCCTGGCCCGCCAACAAGAGTCTGCAGTCTATAATATACAGTCTATATAGTATATACGTAGGTAGTTTACGGGCAGTTACCGTACATCCAGAGTGTGGCTGTAGAAAGTCAGGTAGGTCCCTGCCCTGTGTGACAAGTGATAACCCATTTCGTGTCCAGGAACTCGACCAATTCCCATCCTCTCTACGCGCTGAGTCTAGCTGTGCAGAGTACCAGCCACTCATCGATTGTCGCCCTGTGGCCTGTATGTCATTTTAAGCACTGCTGCATTCAAATCACTTCAATCACTGCGCCATTGACTCTTGGCTCGCATTAATCTCATGCGCTATTCTGTAAGAAACAGTAATTGCCATGGTTTCCTCCATTTGCCGAGTCCGATTGTCCGATTTGTGCCATGTGTTTGCAGCTAAACTGAAGAGAAACATTCCACTTACATGAATAATTTCTTGGCCTACTTGAAAGGATTGCTCCGGATTGTTTCCATAAAGCATCGGCAATACCGTTTCCTATGTATAGTAGTTCATCGATCAGTATCAATTTGTCGTTGGCTCCAACATATCTACACCAAAGTATCCGTAGTGTAGCGAGCTTCTTTCTATACGCGGATTGCTTAGAACCGATGGCAGACTCGTCAACTTGAGTTGACACTAGTAACCTACAGATCTGAGAATATGGAAACACAAACCAAGGATCGATATAGTTACGATCCAAGCTAATACCCGTAATCTCTTGCCAATTTTCTATATCACAAAACCAGCCAATCCCCTCAACATCTTGTCTTTTTGTCACTTGCCTCTTTCTCCCTCTAGCCAACGCCACTGGCTCGGCCGCCAAGCCATCGAGACTGTAACTAACTGCACCAATTGTTTGCTTCAGGCAGGGAGAGACCGCCCGTTGCACTCCATACTCCATCCGCTAGCAACACCGCTCCTACCCCTGCGACCTGAGTGCCCCTTGCCCCCTGCCCTGTAGCTTCCATTTGTACTTGGCTCACCCCTGTTACCCCCGTACCGTGCCTAGCGTACCTGTCCCCGCCAGTCAACCCGGCCTGGGACCGCCGCACTTTACCTCAGGTCACAGGTGCTGCCCGCCGAATAATAAGTCGGGACAGCCCTCACACTTCTAAGCGCCCAGTCCAAGGTCCATGCCCCCTCCATCTCTCCTTTGACTCTTCAAATCCTCTATTTACCCCGAATATCCTCCCTATTCTACACTTTATTTCCGATTATTCTGTTCTTGTCTATACCGTCGACTCTAACCTCAACTTGACTCTACTGTCGGCCTTTGCACCGCAGCGACAACCATGTCGTTAAAACAGGTACGGATATAGCAGAGACTGGCTGTCATGTCTTGCCAATCGCCCACTAACTCGTTTGCTTCCAACAGGAAATCGAAACCTGGGTAGCAGCCCTAGGTCGCTACGATAACAACGAATTCGAAGATGCCCTCGGCGAGTTTGGAAAGATTGGTGACACAAGCAAGATTCTCTTCAACATGGGTGTTATTCATGCTACACTTGGTGAGCACGAGAAAGCAGTATGTCAATCTTTGCACAGTCAAATAGCTTTTCATTTACTGACCATATTCCCAAGGTGGAAAGCTACCAACGGGCAATTAGACTGGACCAATACCTCGCCGTTGCCTATTTCCAGCAAGGCGTCTCGAACTTCCTCCTCGGCGACTTCGAAGAGGCTCTTGCCAACTTCAACGATACTCTCCTTTACCTCCGTGGCAATGCCATGATCGACTACGCCCAACTAGGTCTCCTCTTCAAGCTCTACTCTTGTGAGGTGCTTTTCAACCGAGGTCTCTGCTACATCTACCTACAACAGATGGATGCTGGTATGCAGGATCTTACATATGCCGTCAAGGAGAAGGTGGTAGAAGACCACAATGTCATTGATGATGCCATCAGAGAGCAGGCAGAGGTTTGTGAATCCTAAATCTCATGCGTTGGATAATTGCCTAACTTTCTTTTAGGGTTACACAGTCTTCTCCATCCCTGTAGGAGTCGTCTACAGGCCTAACGAAGCCAAAGTACGAAACCTGAAGACGAAGGATTATCTAGGCAAGGCCCGACTTGTAGCCGCTTCAGACCGAGCCAATGCCTTCACAGGGTTTGCTGGTTCTGAGATTAAGAATGTCAGTTGTTCTTACTATATACTGAAGGGCCATGAACTAACACCTCTTAGGCTGGAAAGCTGGAAGTCAAGGACGACCGACCTGCTGATAACATCTCCTTTGCCGCCACAAACCTCGTCAAGCCCGGCCTTCAGTCTCGGAGGCAACAATCAGAACCTCCCAACAACCGAAATGTATTTCCGCCAACACCCCCACCCGAGAATGAGCGCCCATCGCGTGCTGCCTCCGTGCGCAACCAAAAGCCCCAGTTGGCTAAACTCAACATTCAACAGGCCGAGCCGAATCGCCGCTACGAGAAAGCAGGTTCGCCTCCAGACGGTCGTTACCGGCCGTCGCCCTCAAGATCAGCGTCGACAACCAGGACGCCGGTCAGGGAGCCTCAGCCATTGCAGATGCGGCCTAAGCAAATTCCAGAGGAAACAGGGTCACCAGAAGATTTATATGCTATGTATCAGAGAAATGATGGTTACCGAAACTCCAGAGGGTCAAATGGTAGCCGACGGCCAAGACAAGCACAGTATTCCGAGGAGGAAGACGCCTCGGACTATGAGGGAACCATCAACGAGAATGATTTCGAAATGATTGGCCAGCGCCGAGGTCCCGGCTCTGTTTCAGGCCAACGGAATGCTCGCCGACCAGAGATCACAAAGATCCGAGTCAAGGTCCATGCCGAAGAGGTCAAGCTCATCATGATCACCCCTGACACCCAGTTCAACACATTAAGCGACAAGGTTCGCGACAAGTTCAACATTCGACGCCGTTTCAAGATCAAGGTCAAGGATGAGGACATGCCCAATGGAGACATGATAACTATGGGCGATCAAGATGATTTGGAGATGGTGATCGATAGCGTCAAGGAAGATGCAAGGAAGCAGCGAGCAGAGACAGGAAAGATGGAGGTACGTTGACATCCCCTCTGCACACTTCGCATTTCCTTACTAACATTTACACAGATTTGGATCTACGAGCTTTAGACATATACCCTCACAGCGCGCGTTTGCATTTTGGACATTTACGAATTTATATCACGGAGCGGTGGCCCGTGAGGTGACAAAGGAACCTTCATCTAAACAACCATTTATTTGTTTCATGGCATTCTTAACATTTTCTTAATCTTGTACTTTTTAAAGGCATGTCACAATGGCCAGCATACCAAGGATTCCTGAGGGAGGGGGTAGCCGGAGTCTGGGGTCTTTTATTACTATGTATCTAATCACCATGAGAGGGAAGGCAAAGAAAAGAACACGGGAGGACCCAAGAGTTCATATTTTACATCAATGATGACTTTATGAGAACACATAACGAATCGGGCAACTGAAAGTGAAGTTCATGAGAATCGCGACAGCTTTGTCATTAAACTGTGTGGATACTAACACAGCTTATTATAATGGTATATGATGTTACAGTTATAATACAATACATCCCTTATCTCATAGGCGGCTATAGTCCAAACATCGTAGCCAACTTTTGTCTTGATATCTAGCCCTTACTCATGAGGAGTGTTAACAGGCTTTGAAGGCATCACGGCAGTCTCCTCTAACCATTGTTGACGGAGACTTTCCCCTCCAGAGTTCAATTCATCAATCAAAGAACGCACAAGGGTCGTGCGAGCTTGCCACTCCTCTTGACCCAATATGTTGAATAGGATACGGGATGCTTTGCCGTACGCGTTTGGGCTGCCAATAGCAATTAAGCGAATTGTACTGTGTAGATCGAGTCGCTGATCCTCGGGAACACAGTCAACAAGGCGGTCAAGGGCGACTTCCCAGTCATTCATCATATCGACAGTATTGTGAATGAATTCGATCAATTCCTTTGGTGGAATCGCGGTTGCGAGAGCTGCGCGGTAGATGGAAGCGGGAGGACGCCAGAAGAAGTACGGAAGTCGACGGGCGATTTCACGGACGGAGAGATACCGCGAGGTTTCATGAAGCAGTATTTGATAGACATATGATTGCTGAGACGATCTGGATAATTTCATGGCTGGGACAAGATCCAACGGCTGAGGCCAATCAAGAGTAGTTCTCTGTGGTCGGATGGGCTCGTAGTCGCTGGCATCGGATTGAGAGGAGGCAGTGATGGCGTGGACTTGGTCAATAAGGGGATCTAGAAGACCATCTCGGATGAAAGCTTGTTCGGTAGGTGTCTGTTCAGCAGCCGGCGTGTTGAAGATGAGGTTTCGATATTGGTGCCGGAAGAAATCAAGCTTCCCTGGGTTGAGTTTAATACCACCTCGGGTGAACTTGTAAGTCAACTGTGTCATGGGTCAGTAACACATAATATAAGTTGGTCATTAAGAGAAGCATTGGTAGAAATACATACGTTTTCTGCAACATCCTCAAGAGCACGCGGTGTTGGGGCGTCTCTTTTGAACGAGGCGCCCAGATTGGCAAGCCAGGATTGTAGAGCCATGGGAGGGACGTGGTTGTCCCTGTATGTAGACAGATTGACACTGTCGTGGCGCTTGCTGAGTTTTGTTCCATCATCGTTCACAAGAAGACCCAGATGAGCAAAAGTAGGGGGTTCCCAACCGAAAGCCTTGTAGAGGGCCAGGTGCTTGGGTGTAGAGATGAGCCATTCCTGGGTAATTGTAAACAATAGCTTCGAGAGTGGAACTTCTGAGTAGACTTACTTCCCCGCGGATGACATGTGTGATGTTCATGAGATGGTCGTCAATCACGTTCGCAAGATGGTACACTGGATATCCATCAGACTTCATAAGCACAAAGTCTTCTTCAGGATCTTTCTTCTGGAAAGGTCCATATATGGCGTCCCTGAAGCTTGGTGTTCCAAAGCGACCCGAGTCAAGTCGCACAACATGCGTCTCGCCTTGAGCAGCTCGTTCATCGGACTCAGCACGAGGGATAGAGCGACAAGTACCAGGGTAAGCGGTAGACTTTCCGGCGTCATGGGCAGCACGCTTCTGACTTTCAAGATCTTCTTGTTTACAGAAGCAGCGGTATGCGGAGCCGTTGTTAAGGAGAGTTTTAGTATGTTCCTTGTAGATGTCAAGACGTTCTGACTGAATAATTTAATGTTAGGCTGAACTCGTGTTGTTGTGAAGATGAAGACGTATTTACCTGACGATAGGGTCCGAATGGACCTCCTTTATCAGGACCTTCACTCCACGAGAGACCAGCCCATTCTAGGTCTTTGAAAATACGTTCTTCAGCATCCGGTACCAGACGGCTCTTTAGACAGGTTAGTCAAATTACTCCTCTATTGGGTATTTCGCATATGAGACTGTGTTATACTTGCCTGGTCAGTATCCTCGATTCGCACAATGAACTCGCCACCCTTTGTTGCTTTAGATACCAAATTGTTGAACAAAGCCGTCCTGAGAGACCCCAAGTGCAGATATCCGGTAGGTGATGGTGCAAAACGGGTTCGAATTGGCTGATCGCGTGATTGTCCAAGGATGTATTGCTGGCCAGCTTCCTCTTTCTTACTTCTCCCGTCATCATGATTTCTGGGTTTCTGCCGTTTCTTCAAAGCTGCTAGCCTCGAAGGTTTCCCGGTAGATCGGTTCTCCTCATTTGCCTGGTCAACAGATAGCTCCGGTGTATTTTCAGCTGATGAAGCTGTTGCCGCTATGTCAGAGTTTTGGCCATTTTGTCGAATAACTGAGTTTGCAAAGCCTCTATAAACTGACGGTGTTGAGCGACGGAATAACTGAGCTTGTATAATTTGACTCGATAGCCGCGTTGAGCGGTTTAGTAAGAGTCTCATAGTAAATGAGGACGTGACACTTATCACAAGCTACTTAAATTTGACTGAGGTAGACGATACTCTTATGAGACGATGATGTTGCGGCGGTGCATCAAGACAGGGCGTGCGCCACAACGTGGTACAGCCACATCCATCGGCGGTAGATAGTCAAACGGACGATAAGAGTTTAAATTTTCTTATCAGTGGATGAGACCCTAAAGTTTCAACCGAAGCGAGCCTTTATTGTATGAGCAATGGAGGGGCATTTGAAGATGCAAACATCAGGACTATTATTCGTTTATAGGACGGTCACTTCATAATACGGCTCGAAAGATCCTCCCTCCAATATCTGTTCTCCTAGTATTTCTACTACTACGAGAGTACCAATGTTTTGTACCAAACAGTCTGGCAGGTGGAAGGCACAGGTGTAAGAATGGATAATAGGCGTCAACGAACATGACGCATTCAACGTGCAGGTTCAACCAACACAAATAGCAATAACCGCTTGCCCATCAAGTCAGCATAATTCTCACTTATTTGGGTTTACTTCATATAAGCAAAAGCCAAAGACCACATACAAATACAAAATTTTATCTTTTCTTCCATATTATCCATCACTACTAAAGGATAGCCTATATTTGTGACAATATTGTAGGTGCAGGTACCCCGCGCTACCACACGCCAAAAGATTTTCTACGGGCCCCTGCCCAACCAACAGAACAGAGTTGATCGACCGCGGACCAATTCTTCATCTTGCATTACAGTACTGTAGCCTGCAGTACATAACCTCCGATTTTTGAAGATGGATGAGAACCCTTTCAACGCTGGCTCTCCGGGCGCAGAGGAGGTCGATCTTTACGGTAAGTTTTGAAAAACCCTAGAATTTACTGCAATTTACCATCGTCAAAATGGTGCTGGCGGCAGTGGTGATGGTTGATAAGCACGGCCTGGCTAACTCGGCTGCCAGAACTACTCGAGATCGAGAAATCTGCGACACCAGAGCAGATCAAGAAGGCCTACCGAAAGGTATGTGATCGCATATCGGAGTAAATCCTACGAACATGTTCTTACAATTCCCAAACAGGCTGCCCTAAAGTACCATCCAGACAAGGTCGCCGAAGAGCATCGAGAAGAGTCCGAAGTCAAGTTCAAGGAAGTCACACAAGCATACGAAATTCTTAGCGATGAGCAGAAGCGTGAGCTCTACGATGTTCACGGCATGGCCGCCTTCGACAAGTCCCGCGGCGGTCCCGAGGTCGACCTCAACGATATCCTTTCCCAGATGTTCGGCTTCGGCATGGGTCCTGGCGGCCCTGGCGGTCCAGGTGGCCCAGGTGGCCCAGGTGGCCCTCGCCGACCTAGACGCGGCCCTGATGAGGAGCAAGAATACAAGGTCACGCTCGAGGAGCTCTACCGTGGCAAGACTGTCAAGTTTGCCGCCAACAAGCAGGTTCTTTGCGGCCAGTGTAAGGGCTCTGGTGGCAAGGAGAAGGCCAAGTCTGCGTCCTGCGAGCGCTGCAAGGGTAACGGTATCGTCGAGGCCTTCCGCCAGATTGGTCCTGGCATGATGCGACGTGAGACTGTTATTTGCGATCACTGCTCAGGTGCCGGCCAAGTCTATAAGGAGAAGGATCGATGCAAGAAGTGCAAGGGCAAGCGAACAACGCAGGAGAAGAAGGTTCTTGAGATTTACATCCCCCGAGGCTCCATGCAGGGTGAGCGTATCCTTCTCGAGGGCGAGGCCGACCAGTACCCGGATCAAACGCCAGGCGACATTGTCTTTACCCTGGTGGAGGAGCCCCATGACTTTTTCACTCGCATCGGACATGATTTGTCTGCTGAGCTGACTGTGTCGCTTGGGGAGGCTCTATCGGGTTTCTCACGAACAGTGTTCAAGCATCTTGACGGACGAGGCATCCATATCGAGCGACCCCAGGGCAAGATCCTGCGACCAGGTGATTGCCTCAAGATTGCTGGCGAGGGTATGCCTATGAAGCGAGGTGAGGCCAAGGGCGATCTCTACCTGCTTGTCAAGGTTGAGTTCCCCGAGGACGGCTGGTTGAAGAGCGAGTCAGAGTATGAGACTTTGCAGAAGATGCTCCCTGCTGCTCCTGCGAACGTTGAGGTCGAGGAGGTTGATGAGGTCGAGTACGAAGACGATGCCGACATTGAAAAGGTAAGCATATGCGTGCGTGACTAAACCCGAGGCAATAGCTGACTTGATAATAGATGGGCGAGAACTCAGGCGATGGCCGTTTTGGCGGTGAATGGGAGGATGACGACGACGACATGGGCGATGGCCAGGCTCAGTGCCAGACGCAGTGATCGACGACTTGTTTTCATCAGAGATAAAGATAGAACAAGCGAGGGAGAGGAATTTCTACCCTAGGTTAATGAAGCGACGACTATTTTAGGATCAGGGGGTTGGGTCAGGATCTACCACGGCGATGATAGTGTCCTGACCTACCGGAGTCAAGGTCGGAGCCAGAGCCAGATGGCACCAAGGGATTCACCAAAAGGAGAGACGGCCGAGGCTTGCTCGTTTGGACATAGACATTCATGGACAACATTACACCCGATACCATACCATGTCACGCAAAACCACTCCTGGAGTCAAGGGGGGAAGAGTGCCGCTTTGGGGGGCGAGAGATGCCACTGCAGGGGATAGATAAATGATAGATAGGCATTGATGCATAAAAGCGTTCAAGATGTATGAGTAGGTGAAGTGGCTCTGCAAAGTGTTGTATAAAAATAAAAGAGGACAAAAGAGCGAAGCCGTGAGAAATTACCTTTGTAGGTATCCGTACAAAGATCAGGTTGGTGCGGATTGTGGACCCCCACCTCTTTGGGCACTTCTTCAGTCAAATCAACTTACACCGATTGTCTAACTTGAAAGTCGATCACTTCCTTTGCTTTGAGCAGCGGTTGAAGGCGGCAACGATAACTTCAACCTAAATGCCTCTTTTTACCTGGCCGCATCCGCCAGATGCCACAATACAACGTTCTCATGAGCTTAAGGGCTGTCTATAGAGTTTACAAAGCCACAAAACAAGTACACTTAATAATAAGCATTCCCCCACAGAGCCTCATGTCTATCTTGTCAAAACATAAACACATATTTCAAAGCCAAAGTCTACCAAACACGGCATGCATCTGGGACTAAGTTAGGTAGACCCCACCCCCGCCATTTGACGTAATCTCAAACCTCCATCAACCCAACTTCTCCAACCATCTACAACAACCTCTTGATACCGTCAAACCTCAAACCTCAAACCTTTACCTCTCACAATGTCTCGCAAAGGCGTGGGCCTCGCGGCCTTTGACCGTTCGCGTATCACATCCGCGCAATTCGCTTCTCACGGCTCCTCCCTCCGCGCCAACAACGCACAGGCTCTCGAGACCCAACTCGCCGTCTTCCGCTCCCTCCTACAACAATTCGCAAACACACACGCCCGCGACATTCGCTCCGATCCAGCTTTCCGCGCCCAGTTCGCTCGCATGTGCGCTGCCATCGGCGTCGATCCCCTTGCCAGTAGCAATAGCAACAGCAGCGCAGACGGGAGCTCGATATGGGCGCAGTTGCTGGGAAAGACGGTCAACGACTTCTACTTTGAGCTTGCTGTGCGCATCGTCGAGGTCTGCGGCGCTACCCGTGGAGAGAACGGTGGTCTTATCGGCCTTGCTGAGTTGAGGGAGCGTGTTGCCGCGGGACGCATGGATGGCGCCGATCCTATCGCCGACGACGACATTCGGCGTGCGGTGCAGACGCTTGCTCCTCTCGGCGGCGCATACGCTGTTTTGCGTGTCGGTCGTAAGGAGTATGTGCGGAGCGTACCCCGTGAACTCAACGACGACCAGGTATCTGTCGTTGAGGCAGCGCAAGTGCTGGGCTACGTGAGCGTAGGCATGTTGAGCGATAATCTAGGCTGGGATAGAGCTCGCGCCCGTACCGTGATAGACGATCTTGTCGCGGGCGGTATGCTATGGCTAGACAAGCAGACAAAAGGCGAATGGGAGTACTGGAGCCCCGGGTTTATGGCCGATGTTGCTGGCCCAGAGGAAGGAGGTTGAGATATGCCCACCTCGCGGTTTTCTGCTTCCTTGAAAGAGCCAGCCATCGAGCTTAGCCAAGGTGCGACCACCACGGCAATACGTGTGTCCTGTTCCAGTCCGCGACGATCGTAGACTCAAAGTATTCTCAACACTACCCAGCCACGACGGATCTACTCCAATTCGATTTCCCAAGCAAGCTCTCAACAACCCTATATCCGGGACCGAACTTCCGCCATCGCCATACCCACAAACCTCAATGGCACCTGCAAAGCAATCTACTGTTTCAAACATACGGTAACTTCAGCGAGGAAGTCCGAGCCCTATACAATAATGTCTTGGGGAGGTGCATTAAGACTGGCATGTTCACAAAGCACAGCCAGCAAGCATCAAGTTGGTATCCATTTTCTTACATCACAAGGAGTTGGCATCCTTTACGCATTAGAAACATCATCTACACAGATTTAGATTAGACTCGAGCGAAACCACCCATGTGGTTCCACCATAGAAGGTATATAAAAAGGATAAAATACTAGTTCGTTTCATTAACCAGCAACTCGCACATACAAACATACACACATCTTGCCACTCTACCTTCTTCCACATCGTCCTTCGCCGAAAAGATTCTCTTGTAGATACATATTCAACAGCTTGAGTTCAGGACGGGCACCAGTCCTACTCACCCCCTCATCTCGGGTATATACTTGTCAAGCGACACAGCCAACCCGAGCATGGCTTTGTTTTCATCCACTTGTCATCAAGAAGTCATCGCTCGCTTCCTCTGTCGTCATGGCATCTCCTTCTCTTTCACATGCTTTGGCCGCTAATGTCACCTCATTCTCGTCATCTTCTTGGTGTAGTTGAGCTCGGGTTGGCGTCTGAGATTGAGTCGCTTAGTAAGGAGGGTTACCACCCATGCCAGGAGGAGGGTAGTCGTCAGGGCGACCAGGTCGCATATCGCCGGCGTTGGATCGACGGTCGTCACCGAAGTGCTTCTTGCGGAGAGCAGCAAGACGCTTCTTCTTAGTGATGGTGTTGATGTAAGTGCCAATGATGAAGGACACAATGTTGAAGAAAGGAATCCAGAGCTGGTCAGGGAGGAACTTCTGGGCGAAAGCCAGGCAAATGGGTGATGTGATCCACGAAACACGCATCACCTTCCAGAAGCCAACCTTGACAGTAGCGCGAACCTGGTGATAGGTGCGAGCTCCAGCAATAAGAGCCATGGCGACAAGGTAGACGCTGTTCTGGATAGGAGCAATCTGCGGATATTATGTTAGCGAATGATACCATAACTCTAGTTTCTTCGGTTGTCGATCAAATTACGCTTCTCCACATCCTCAAAGCATGGTGGCTCTGTAATGAGCACCCACGACCGGTGTTACAGTCTGATATTGCTTCGTGTCGCACACCAATAATTTCCGTCTCTTATGCGCAACCTCTGAACTCACGAAAGGGGTGTTTTTTTTATATTACTTACAATGAGATTGCTGACCAGGATCTGCAGGATCTTGGAGCGCAGGCTGGTGCGGCCCTTGAAAGCCTTCTGGAGCGCCCAGATGAGGAAGTGGCCTAGAGGAGCGCTCACAAGAGAGCCATAGGCAGCCATCTTGGGGACACGAGCGGTGAAGTAGTTGCCGTGCTTGTTGCGGTCCTTGGCGAGCCACGAGGCGACAAGTTCCTGTGTACCAGCAAGCGTACCGGCAGTGAGCATCTTGGTGCGCAGAGGGTTATCCTCAAGCTCCTTGATGTAGGCCTATAAATTCGTTAGTTCTGATCGAGCTTGCTTGTTTCTCCAAAGGCTTTTGGATAGTTGTAGCTACATAGCTTGTGTAATAGCTTATGCGCGTTGTGATCCAATGCCCTTAGAGCTGTATGTCCAACTTACCGCCAGATAACCTTTGGTACCAGCATTCTTCATGCCACCGGTCAAAGCTGTGCCGATAACTGCAGAAATGGGGTGATGGCCCTTGGTGCCAGGAATTTTACCAGCCTCGGCCTCATCAAGCAGGCCGCCGACCTTCTCGGTAGCATCGTGCACTTTTTCCGCCGCCTTGTGAATGTCGCCCTTGATGTCGACCATGATTGCGATTAACCAACGGTGTGATGGTGTTAGTTGATGGTATTATTATGAAGCGCGTCCTAGGTCAAGATCGAGATGAGGATGTTGTTTTATTCGAATCAACGAGAACTTCTCCGAATCAAGTACTGTGTTTTGTCTTGTTAGACTTGGATCGTCTTTACGGCGCGCGGCGTCTTTGTCGTCGTCGTCGTTGTGATCGTCGTCGTCGGATGTTATCGTCAAAGTCAACACGGCCGCGACGGCGTCATCAAAAGATCAATTAAGGGTCAGACGCGCAGGAGAGACGTAGACTAGAGAGTCAGTGAGGCTATTCAATGTGAACAAGCGGGGCGTAGTGGTCGCGGGCGGTCGTTGACATGGGGACGGAGGGAATGTGCGCGCTCAACGCCAGCTGATGGAAATGACAAGGGATGAGAAGTGTAAAGGTAGTGATAGAGAGATGTCGACGAGATGATGAGAGGATATAGACAGGTAAGGATGGAGGTGGGTCAAAGTCAATTGAGGTTCTCCCGAGATGTCTAGCCAATGGCTTTGATTACTCGGTCTGATCAACGAGACGTGGAATTGAGGAAGCGACTGAGAGTCGATGATGCTTGGTGATGCTTGGTGATGTTGATGTTGTTGTTGTTTCCCCAGAGGTACATCCGATTGAGTAGAGTCCAGGGTAAACAGAGGGAGAAGATAACAGCCAAGAGAGAAAGAGAGAGAAATAGGTAACTTACAAGCGCCGGTGCCGTTGAATGGTGATGATGATGGTGATGAGATGAAGTTGGTAAGATGGGGGAGACGTGGACGGGGAGTGGAGCGTAGCGGTTGGGGTTGGGTTGCTTTGTTTGTCTGACGGAGCACGCTGAGGTGATTTGATCTGGGTCTGGGTTCTGGGGGGCGTGGGTGGGAAGGACCTGGTCTTTCTCGGCTGGGCTGGAGCTTGGTACGTGTTGATGGCTGGTGCTCGCTCAATGGGCTGGGAGATGAGAGATTGAGTTGAGTGATGGAGAACTTGAGAAACTTGAGGTGCCTGTCCAAGCTCAGCTCACGCTCTCTCACTCCAGAGACGGAGCTGCAACAAGACAGGGGCAACGCAACCTAACTTAGCATCAACACCCATTCAAAGCCGGTGGCTGGGAAAAGTAGAGTTAAGGTATTTTTCGCATGCTTACACGGCACTCAGATTACCTCCCCAGTACATCCACCCGCTAATCCACAATGCCTCGGCCCGCCGTAATAATTGACAATCAAGCCAATCATAAGCCTCCTTTCCAACATTGTTTACCCCTGGCCATGCCTCCATTCGGCAGCTTCAGGCCTTCAGCTGTCGCGGGTCCAGCTCCAAATTTGGCGAGCTTGCCCAAAGGCCAGTAATAATTGGTCGACCGAGGCCTGAACCTTGCAGGTCGCAAAAACGAACGAGCTTCCTCTTACAGCAAGCAACCTCCCCCGAATTTCAACCGTGGGCAGCTCATCCCTTGGCCCTTGCTCTTTCAAGTTCACCTCGGCCATCTGGTAACATATGGCTTCAGAACTTGGCTATCTCCGTACAGTCGCGTCCTATAAACTACATCAGCGCCCCTTCTTCACTCGCATTTTGACTCGCTTGTCCTGCACGACACTACATGAAACTACCGAGGTGGCCTAAACGCCTTAGCCTGTTCGGTAATCATGGCCGGGACGTGTTAAAAAGCGAGTGGTTGGATCAATAGAAACAAGGTATGCATATGCAGGGATCCCTTCACGTGAGAACGCTTATGCTCAATCTCTCACCAATATACCAACCATCGCTGCCACAAATGATATATATATATATATATGCAAATACCTCTCGTCAACAGAGTCCACTCCGTGATGCAGGTCTTTTAGAATATGTCAACTGCCCAAAACAAGGCCCGAGGATTCATTCAATTCGTCCCAATCCTCTCCCGGTCAAGGCCATGTCCCTCAAACGCCTGCCACCTATAATATAACACAAAGGACTGTCTTCATGGACGTGTCCATATTCCCCTAAATAATCAAGTCGTTCAACGAACCAAGAAAGAGATCTTGCCTTCATACAGAGCTAGAGGCCATTGGCCTGGCTGTCGAAGCCTCTGCTGGACTCCAAACCTCCTCATACTTCTACCACTTGGTTTATAGTGTTCCGCGAAGCCGTTGCTTTCTAGCCAACCAGTCTCCGAGCATATTGTCAAGTTGCTGTAGTCTTGTTAGCGTTGGGTCAAAAGAATGTGGTGCCTAACCAGGCCATAATCAAATACTCACAGTCGTAATCTCCGCCAGCTTTGCGTTCTGTTCCCTAAACATCCCACTGACCACTGGGTGGTCCTTGCCCACTGGCTCCACGTCTGTCTTGTCGTACACAACCATGAGAAGATCTCGGACGTGCTCGCCGTCATCGAAGAATGCGCGCAGCTTCTCGTCATCCCAACCAGGTTCCTTTGCGCTCCTCGTTGAGCTGCTATCCTTGGGTGTCTCATCGCCGGGCATAAGCTCCGGTGATGGAACTTCGGACGACGACCGACCTTCTTGAGAGGACGTGTCAATCTCTAGTGCGGGTGGCCGTGTTGTATTGACAGGCGATACCTGTACAGGCGATTCTGATAGACGATCACGCTGCTCTCTGCCAACCACCGTGGATCCATTCGGTTTTCCACTTGCATCAAAGCTGTCGGGGAACGCTCCTGGAAGTTGTGGTCGTAATCCGCCTTCAGTCTTCTTCTCGCTTGTTTGCTCTGGTATCGCTCGAGAAGCTGGTTGAGACGTGGTATCCTCATCCGAACTTGAAAGTTCGTCAAGGTCCATCAATTGACGAGGTTTGGCACTCTTTGCTGTCCTAGGCTCGTCTCCTGTACTGGAACTTCGGCCCAGTGCCCTGGCCAGCGCCTTCGTGTCATCGTGCTGGGCGGTGGCCGAGGAAGCCCGCGCCCTATTAGGGTCCCCACCACTTTGCGAGTTCGATGGTACCTCGTGTGTCTCTTGTGTCTCAGGATTGACAATGCGCATCGATGCTGGTGGCACGTTTGACACATCATTGACCCGAGACTCAGCAAAGTAAGCTGCCAATTCCATTGCCGATGAGGTTTCACCCTGTCCACCTTTGCCGGGAGATGTTTCGGTTCGGGCCATTGGTTTCTGAAGTTTGCTGGCACTTCGTTGTGGTGATGCAATCTCCTCGATCGACTCGCTATCCCGGGGTTCCGATACAATATCCATAGAACGCTTTCCAAAAGATTCGTCGTCGTCGTCAACCGACTTCTTCCTGTCTTTCCTTGAAAAGAAGCTTCGGATGGCGCTGGGCTTCTTCTCCTTCTCTTTCCGGACCTTGTCTTGATGCTTCTTCTTTTCTTTATCAGACATGAGCTCCTTGTCCAACTTGTCCATACTTCCCCTAGATTTGACGTCTTTGGTTGAATCTTGGGAGGGCCGAGGTTGATTGTCGTCTCGTAGCAAGTTAGGCGTGAGGGTAATCTTTTTGGTCTCGACAGTCTCATCTCTAAAGAAAGAATCGGTATTCCTGACAGTACCATTCCGGGATCGGCTCGGGCCTTCTGCTTTGTTATCAAAGAGTAGTTCCTCGCTGTCCCGGCTCTCATCCTCTTCTTCCACAGTTTCAACCTTGGACGGCTCCATGGACATTTTGACTTCCTTGGTCGAACGAGGCTTGAGAGGCTCGACCCGGGCACTCTCCTCTGATGAATCATCTTCGATAATTGATATTGTTGCTGCTGCCTCTCGGGTATCCTTCTTCCTTTCTTGCTGATCCTGTTTCGCAGCAGTGGTTGAATTGGCGAACAAGTCATCCAAGTCTTCTTCGTCGCTGGAATAGTCGTCGACCTCAGTGTAATCATGATAGGTTGGCGACGTAAAGGTGACTGTTTTCCGCCCGAATCTAATAGGTGACTTGAAAGTTTGTGCTTTCTTCTCAGCAGTATCGCCCAGCATAGTGGCAGATAGCTATACTGCTTGTCAGTAAAATGCTCGGGTTTTCATATATGCATCTCACGTACGTCAACGTTCCTGTGCTTATTTAGACGGGCCAGTCGTTCTGTTGGAGTCTCAATATGCTCTGCAGGTAAGTACCCTAACAATTCGTTAGATCTTTGTGGCAACAAACGTTTGCAAGTCAGCCTTACCAATACTGCTGTCTTTAACAACTCGGACCAGCCACCAATAGCTGTTGCTATCGTCAAGCAGAACCATGGTGTCACCCTTGGTTGCATTTGCCTGACCCTCGACCGTAGCTACAAACGTGTGAAGCGCGTAAACGAATTCGAAATCAATATCCTCTAGTTCTTGTAAGCACTCGATCGCCCAGCCGGAATCAGTAAAATTGGGGTCGTCAGGAAGGGAGAGTGTAGAATCATCGTCTTCAAAGGATTCCTCGTAGGGAACAGTAAGTAAGGGGTCGTAGTCAGGACTATCGTCATCGGTCAAATCGGAGAGGTCCATCATCGCATCACAGTCGTAGAAAATATCCTGATCCCTGTTGTCGGCCAAGGTGTTCTTTCCGCCAACACTGGAACCTTCAGAAGAAGGGTGCTAGCCTTCATTACTGTTGGACTTTGCATGCGCCTGTTCTTGATGTGAAGCATCGGCCTCCTTAATCTGCGTTTCCTCCTCGTACGCTTCGTGGAACTCTTCTGTAGAGTTGAAGGTGGCCCAGCTCTCGTCGGCATCGTGTACGGCCTCGTTGTTGTCGTTGTCGGCATACTCACCTTGAAGACGATGGTTCCGGATTGTCGCGGGCAGTGCTCGTGGGAGCTGTGCAATTGCACTTGGGCTGGGTGTGAATTTGAGAGGTTCGGGATATGGCGAGCAAACTCTGGTGACGCTTGAACCAGAAATGCTTGGAGAACTACTCCTTTGCGAGGTGGGTAGAGAAGAGACACGCCGTGGCCATGCCATTGGGGCAGTGACAGGGTAGCACCCACCATCTTCAATTGAAGGCGAACTTGATATCTTATCCATCATGTCGTCATCGAGGTCATCGTCGCCATCAAGCTCGCCCTCGTCCGAGGACGAGATACCTCCGTTCTGCGAAGCGGCCAATGCATCCTCCTGATTCATGGTGCTATCGTTGTTGTCGCGAGTGCCTTGGGCGCGAGAGTTTGCACCTGATGGGTTTGCGACAAGCTCGTCTGCGAAGGAATCGATTTCGTCGAGGCTGTTGCGATTGTCTAGAGATACTCGAGGAGAACGGCGCTGTTCGTCTGCTGTGTCGTGTGTGACCTCACGAATGGTCTCAGCTTGGTGGGGACCTAAGGAGTTGGCAGCACCAGCCAAACGAGGGCTCTTGGAGTGGTCTTGAGCGGATGGAGCGTGGTGATCTTGAAGATCTATCGTGTCTATTCTCAAGAAAAACGATTATATGTGTTAGTTTGGTGTGTCGTCAGAACAAGCGCATGGGGGCGCGAAATGAGGAAACAAAGGTTGAATGCAAGTGGTTGGAATGTATCGTGACAACCAGCTATCCCAGAGGACAAGAAAAATGTCCAGCTCGAATGGTAGTCTGGGGGCAGGGGTAGACGAGATTTGATTGAAACGTTAGGGAAAAGAAAGCAATCAAAGGTGAGTAGGCAAGGGAGGCTTTAACGACTAATTCAAGAGCCCTGGTGGTTGGGAGCAGGGGAAAGAAAAGGGCACACTGTAAGAGGAACAGACGAAACAACACGAGGATGAGGCTGCGTAAGAGGCGATGCACATCCAATCTCAGTCCCAAAGGCTGAGACTTAGGGTGACATTGGCGTTGGCGATGGCGCTGGCATCTCGTTCCAGGTAGAAAGGCAAGACAGCAAAGCAAATATGCAGGCACATACCGGCGCGGACAATGGATGGTCGTGTCATCGTGACTGATAGAGAGGACGGGCGTAGCCGTCAAGAAAGTCAATCTGTCCCTGAAGCCTGAAGGCGCGAGGCACCAAAGGATGGGATATGCTTGACCCCTGGCTCTAGCTCTTGAGAAGCGCCGCCTTGATTTTCTTATTTTAAATTCGGGATGTTGTTTGCTGACGGGCTGGGGGCCGTTTTTTTGGTTGCTTTAAAATGTCTCTGCCGTAGGACGCGGGCGGCAAGCGTTCTTCTTGGTTGAATCTTGACTTTTGTTTGTTTGTTTGCTTTCGTCGTTGGGGTGTGATATCGGGGACTGTTGTACTCGTCACTTGATAGGTTTGCGCTCGCAGCAGCAATAAACTACCTATGCCAACGTCAATATGCCTAGTGGCCAGCCACAGGCTCGTCCAACATGAAATGAAGCTGCTTCTGAATAGTTGCGCGCGGATCGGACGGGACCTGGGCCTGATTAACGAAAAACTGGAGAGAAAGAGCGACGATCTTTGTGCCGTGTCTGCGTCTGCGTCTGTGTCTGTGTCTGTGTCTGTATGAGAAGTTGGCATAGGTTGCAGTAATAATAAAGTGAGCTCCCGCCTGCCGCCCTGGGCCTGGCTACTTTTAGCCAGGAGCAGCGTTGGTAGCGCAGCGGAGCTCAGGTGGTCCAAGTTTCGTTTTCTGCCAGTTGGACTCGTTCATTGGCTTGAGAACAAGGAATTGGCATGAGAAATCTGGCGTCTGGGCACCAAAAAGACTCCGCTGTCGCAGTGAAACTGACACTGGAGAATTGACACTGCTCCTGCACAATGCGCGGAACAAGGGTTATCCTTAGTGTGCTCAAGTCAAGAGGCCTCTGCGACTGATTCAAGAAGAACAGATCTAACGTATTCTGCTTTTAGGATCGCTCTGGAGTATATTTCTTAGTCTATATTTCTTTTTCACATCTCTTTGTAAAGACACGAGCCAGTATTAAAGGTACATAGGGGAACAGGCTGATTCACGCATTACTTGTTTCGCATATGCAGCTTAACATAAGAGAAAGGGGACTAAAACACCAAGTACTCCGTAAGTTTTCAACACATAGAAACAAAAGCGGAGGCCATGGTAAGTCTACTGTTTAAACTATCAGACCATTATTCAGGGTCTGAGGGTCAAGGGTCAATGGCAGACAAGTGGACGTAAAAGAAAAGAAGTTGGAGGCGTTTGCTAAGACGGTGATTTCAACAACAGGGGTAATGCGACTGACTCTCCCTTACAACATTCTACCAATCACAGCTAGGGTTCAAGTCAATTGAGAAAAACATATCAGCTACATCAGGATAGTCAATTGACTTTGTGTCACTGTAATACATACCTATCACAAGTCACAAAGTGCACATGAAAACATACGAATATTTCGTAAATAATCGGCCTTGATCGTGACATGCCCGGTCATGCCGCAGCAAAGACGGGATGGAGCGCGTCTGCCCATTAAAACCCCTGAACATTCTCAAATGCTTAGCGGTCCCAGGAAAGCGTAAACTTTGGCCCTAACGCAACCGGGGAATCGCCCAGGGCAGCCGCGCCTCGGTCCTTCAAGCGCTGAAACGTCCAAACGCCAAATGGGTCTTGTTAAGGGGAACTTGACATTATTGGCCCTGGGCCAAAGTTCCATCTATCTCAAACCCACTCTCCATCAATAAGAAGTCTCGCCAATGACCCTTTCAATGTTAGTGAAGTTGCTTGACTCAATATCGCCATCTAGTTTAGGTACTCTGGTACTCTACTAATTCATGCTTACTGATTGGCATATGAGAAATCTTTTCTCGTCACTGAATACAACCCTCAAAGGCCTCAAAGTCACCTCTGCCGTCAGCAACATGCAGCCTCACGTGGAACCCCCATAAACTCGAATACGTAAGGCATGCTGGGGTGCAACACAAACCAGGAGTATTCTAAGCACTTTACCAAGAGTCAATGTCATGCTCACATGAGAGAACAATCAGTTAGAAATTTTAATAATCGACGGCAATAGAAATATCACAGTGCAGGTAAATGCTACGGATATTAGGACTACCTAAATATAGAAATATCCTGCTCATGTGGAGCATGAAAGTTATTGGAGGCGACGGTAATGAAACAGAATGTAACATCACAATTCACAATTGACGTGACATCCCAAGCCTTTATATACCTATCACGTGCAGCTTTGCCGGATTCAACAGAGTCCATCCATACATGCATCGCCACGATATCTTAATGATCATGATATGTATCATATTGAGGAGACCATGATGCCGCCTCAAGGATATATGCATGCAGGCTGTTGTCTCACCAATAAGATATCAACATGAAATCGCTTACACACAAACTATCGAACTCTCCCACCATACATGCAGTACAGAAGCACACATGCTGTCGCATCAACCAAGGCCAGTGTAATCAAAACATGTATGTGTTCTCGTTCCCAGTCTACACCCCATTTCTACAGGTCACCCTGAGCAGTCGGATTACGGTCGTTTAGGAATTGCATTCAAGATAGAGATGTGTCGCAAGACTTCGTTTGGTATGCAGCGCAGCAGAAGTAAATAGAAACAACGCGAGTTTCATATGAAACCATTCAGACACGTCACCCAATTTTTTCAGAGAATGATACTTGAACTTCAGAATCTGTGATTACTATCGACTATAGGGACATAGTCTTTTCGGACTTTTCTTTAACCTTGCCAACCGTGGCCCATTTATTAGGCCCATGCCAGAGCCGTCCCAATGTTGTAAGGACACCGTAAAAATGCTCATCCCTCATCAGAGAAAACAATAATGCTATGCTTAAATCAAATCAAATCACACGCTTCAACACCATTTTATGGTTGAGGCAATCAACCTTTCTAGTTCTCAATCTGAGCCATGCGCTTAGACATGCTGTCACACTAGTTAGTATCTCTTGTTTATATCGGGGTATCAAGGGTTAAAACTTACAAGTCAAAGAAGGCAAACTGGCTGGGGCTGCTGCCGAACTCGTAGACGAATCGACTGGCGAGGTAGGAACCGAAAATGCTTCGGAGGTAGGAGTCGGGAATGCGGGCGATCAAGGTGTCGAGACCAATCTTCTCGAGCAGGAGACGGGGGAGGGCGTCTTGCAGAATAGATCGGCGGATCTTCTCATTGTCCCAAAGATCGGAGTGCTGGAGCTTCTCATCAAGGTCGGTGATGGCAACGGAGAGCTTGTCGGAGAGAATAGATCGGGGGGTACCGGTCTGCTCATGCTCGCGCCAGATAGCCTCAAACTCGAGACGAGCGTTGTCCTGAATCTTGAGTTGCACCTGCTTGACGTAGTCGTGATAGAACTGAGGAGCCTCGCCCTGGGCGTTGTGGCACATGTTCTCAACGAAACCTTGGTCGTCAAATGACAGAGAGGCAAGAACCTCGAGGGAGGATGAAGTCACACCACCCTTGTTGGCAGAGGCATCCTTGAAGAGGATGCAGCCAGCAGACTCGAGACGGAGCTTAGCCTCCTGGGTAATGAAGAGGTTGGCTCCCTCAACGAGGTAAGGGATGACACTCTTGCCGTCCTTGATGAGGCGATTGACCGAGATAAGGTCAATGGAGGCAGGGCGACCACCACAGGGAACGAAGCAGTCAACGCTGCCAGTATCGCGAAGGTGGAAGGTGTTACGGAAGGAAGTACCGTTGTTGACAACCTCGCCAGTGGGCAGAGTAACGTTGACATCGTCGCACAGGACTCGGTAACCTTCAGAAGACAGCTTGGAGATGTCGTAGTCAATGATCATCTTGCGGCCGTGGGCGAGGCGCAGGAGCTCCTCACGGTCGAGACCCTGGGGATCAGCAAGGACACCGGAACCATCGACAATGGCGGTGTACTTCTCGTTGCCAAGCTTGATCTCGTTGCTGCCCAGATCACCATCAGGGCCACCAGTCTGCATCTTGCGGATGGTTGAGGGGTCGAGCTCAAGCTTTCGGTAGATGCCCTTGACATACTCACGGACGGACAGAGTGGTCATGCCATAGGCGTCGTGAGGAATACCACCAAGCTTGGGAGACTTGCCGGTGAAGAAAGACTTCCACCAAGGGGCACCACGGGAGCGAGCGTGCTCAGTAGCCCAGTCGACCAGCTCAGCAGTGTTCTCATCAGGACCCATGAAGATGATCTCTTCCTTGCCGTAAAGGTCGACAATGGGGTTCTTGATGCCAGGGGTCTCGGCAGGCAGGAGAAGATCAAGGATACTATCGATGTACTTCTCGAAAGCCTCGCGGGCACGGTTCTGCTGCTTGGGATCCAACAGAATGACACCCTTGGAGCCACCCTCAGGGATGTCCTTGTTCTTGCGCTGCTGTGTGCTGGCAAGACCATAGTTCTCATCGAAGAGACTACGGGCATTGATACCGTAAGCCTCCTTGTTACGAGACTTGACAATTCGGATACCACCACGGGAAATATCCTTGAATCGGAGGTGGAAGCCGCGGGACTCGGAGCTGATGACGAGGAACATTCCGTAGAGGGGCTTGGGGTACTCGACGTCGGGGAGGAAAGAGGGGTCAAGACGGAAGCTCAGGGCAACCTTGGTGGGAGTGAAGTAGTTGGTCTTGAGGATGGCATTGTTGAACACGCGGAAGGCAGTGAGAACCATCTCATCGTGCTCGTTGTTGACGTTCTTGGCGATCTTGTCCTTGAGAGCGTCATCGGAGAGGACCTCGACGGACAGGCTGGAGGAAACAACCTTCACGGGGTCCTCCTGGTCCTTGACGAGGTGGACGTTGGCGAAAGAGGCGTAGAGCGCGCGAACGAGACCAGGGTAGTTCTGGATAATCTCGTAGATGTAGTCAGGAGTGAAGGTCTCGGAACGGAGACGGCGCTTCAGGTTGGAGAGAAGAGCCTGCTGGGCGTTGTTCTTAACATCCAATAGCTCAGCAAGAGAGGCGTACTCGGGACCCAATCGGTTGAGGAAGTGCTGGACGAACACCCAAGCAGAGTGGGCGTAGACGGACTCCTGAAGACTGAGCTGGCCATCGAGGAATAGTCCGTGGAACTTGTTGTGGGGAAGACAGTAGAGGAGAGAGACCTCCTTGGAGATCTGGTCAATAGACTCCTCCATGGAGGGGAACTGGTCCCTGGTGTCGACGGTGTCGGTGGCAGGTCGGAGGTAAACACTCATGACAGTGATACCGTTGGAGAACTGCTCAAGGTACTTTCGGGAAGAGGTGACACCATAGTAATGGTAGAGGTCACTGAGAGCAGAGAAGAGACCCTGGGCAGTGCGGGAGCGGAAGGCAACGACCATTCGCTTCTCGTCTGTGTCCTCAATGTCGAAGACCTCAATGACAGGACCAGCTCGGTTGACAGCCAGCTCAATGATGTCCTGGTAGATCTGCTTGGTGTTGGCAGTGGCCTTCTGGAGGAAACCATTGTCAGAGATGAGGTCAAGGTTGGTCTCCTTGGGGTCGGTCTGCTCAGGAGGAGTAGCAAACTGGCACTGGTAAACGAAGTAGCATCGGAGAGTGGCCTTGGACTCGGGGCTCAGAAGAGCGGGAGATCGGAAAGTCTCAACACGGTACTTGCTGGTGCCGGGGTGGTCGATGTACTTGGCCTCAAGGCGCTCCTCGTAGCGAGGGCCGGCGACGTGAGTCTTACCAGCAACGCTGGTGTCGATGTAGATGGCGTGGTCGTTAGCCTCCATATCGAGTCTGATCTCCTCCTGCTTATCCTCGCGAGCGAAGGAAGCAACCTTGGCGGCGTAGAGAGAGGTGATGTGGCTGGAGATGACATCAGGGGTCTCGAGGTGGAAGTAGACATCATCGATACCAAGCTTCTCATAGAACCACTCGATCTGCTCGTCAATTTGGGGCTCGGGGACAAAGCCAGCAGCCTCAATGATGGATTTCACAGTCTGCTTCTGCTCGGCCTTGCCAGTGAATTCAGGGGCGATATAGCCAACGGTGGCGGATCGCAGAATGCGGTGACCGTTACCGCCGGTGGCATTTGGCAGAGGAACAGAAAAGTGAGTAGGCTGGGGAGAAGGACCGCGGCTGGCCTCAGCGGCCTTGACGTTAGCCACGGGGTTGGCGTTGGCAGTCATGTTGGGTGATGATTCCTGTAGAGGATCTGTGTATTCAGGAAAAGTCTGGGAGGACACCATGTTAGTGGGCGATTCTGTTATAGGCGCCATCTTGGCGGTATGCCCAGATGGTAAAGTGGAGTTTTGACGGTGTAAACACAAGATGGAAAGAACGGGGAAACGTATGACGGTGATGAGACGGAAGGAGATGAGATCAAGAGCAGAGCTGCGGGCGTCTTATATAGACGGTCCTTCTCGTGTAAACAAGCAAAGCAAGGAAGCTGAAGATAACAGTTCTCTTGCCTAAGCCGTTACCACAACCACCTTGACCCGAGACTCGGTGAGAGCTCGTGACTCGATGGCCACAGGACTAAAGCCGCCGCCATTGATACGGGCCCGCTGATTCTGAAGCTGCGCCCGTGAAGGCCAAATTCAGTGATCTAGCGGTGGCATCGAAGCCCGTGCCGGGGAGGCTCAACCCAGACCTGGTCCGGGGCGCCCATGTTCAGTGGGCGCCACCAGATCGGGACCTGAATAGCGCTGCAGCTGCACAGGCTGGGGCTGTAGGCTGGCTGGTTGCGGCTGCTGCTGCTGCTGCGAACCGAGCCAAATCATGGACGCTTCAGCTCGCAAACTGGAAGCTTATCTCTGATACGGAGCAGCCAAATTCCCGGTGTAAGCCGCCCGGGCCGGCGCTCGTATTCTCATCATTGGGTAGTGTAAATCAGGGGGAGACCAATCAACGGGGCCATGGATTTGCGATAAGGGTAATTTCTGGGGTCCTTGTGCTGAATGACGATGGGGCAGTGCTATAGTCAGATAAGACTTATCCGCTACTTACCGGCGGGAGTTCGTGACGATCAATTTGTTCGTCACTGAAAATAGGTCAAAGGTCGGAAATGCCGAGCTTATGGAGGGGCGTTCAAGATGACAAAAAGAAGTTATCCAAAAAAGGATTAACTTGGAGAGAGTAGGTAGGAGGTTGTTTGATCTCAGATGAGAGGAAGGTTGGTTATAGTTCTGACACTGGTTAGCACAGCCAACCTCAGTTGAGGATTTGTTCCAGGTGTGGACGAACTCAGCGCAGCCATTCGTCAGCCCTGTCGTAAATAGAAACTGAAGACGGTCTTGACGAAAGATAACAGAAGCTCTCTTGATACGTCGAGGTTGAGGTTTGAGGTGACGAGGATTCAAAGCTCAAGCCAAGGTGCCGGGGATGGACCTTTAAATAGAGAATAGGGGTGATAAGAGGGGAAGGGCAGAGGAAGAAAGCTTCTTTGGTTGTCGGAGAAGCAGAAACAATGCCAAAGGTTAAAGGTTTAGAAGAACAAAAAGGCTTGAGGTCAAGTGACTTGTCTCTCCAACTTTCGAGGCAGAGGCTTTTAGAACTGGCGATGGAAGCTTTTATATACTGCCAGTGCCAAAGTGTCTCTCAACACTGACCCGTAAGTCGCAAGTGCACGATGGTACTTTGTACCTACCTCCCAGTCTTTTACAATGGAGTACGTACCAGCATTGATGTCTCCAGCATTAGATTGGATGTCAACATATCAACTCCCAATTCTCTTACACCGTCACCTCACGCCTAGAGGTAGCGAGTAAAAGCTGTCACGCTGCCATAAAAAAACACATCCCTTGCAAGGTCTCCCGCTCACCTTGACCACACCCCCTTCAACCTTGTGGGGCAGACCCTGCTGGGAGTTCACTGGAGCATCAGACCGACGGGTGTTTATTTGCCTGCCCGCGCTTTTACACCTGGCAGACCGCCCCGGAGAATTAGCCCAGCCCAGGCCATACAATGCACTGAGGAGAGCAGACTGACCCCCGCCACAAAGGTCTAACTGCAGCGTCTGACTTACAACAGAACGGCCACTCACTTAACTTTTACTTGGTTTGCTCGGTTGCTGTAGTTTCAACTCTTTCTCAGCTCAATCGAAAACCTGAGTATGCCTACTGTATATACCTACCTACACAACAAGGAAATAAAAGCACCCAAAGAACAAACATATATCACCACCGGCCCGGTCGTTCTGAGGCCTCTCAATTCGTACCACCCCCTCCTGGAGCGGAGCCCTGCTAAGCCCGCCAGAAGGGTCGAGAAGAAAGAATTTTGGTTTGGCTGCAGCAACGCCCCCCGATCGTGATCATGACCTCACGGAGTACTGTACATATTGCACAGGGAGAGAAAAGTCCCATTTCAATTACCCAATAGTGCCTCTGATCTAAACCTCAACAGGCAGCCTTTCTCTGAGAACCTGACCTGGACCAAGCGCCTGGTTCCTGGTGCTCTGTGAGATTGTCGTTCAAAGACTTGAGAGGCTCACACATCGCCCCCAGAATTGCCCAGAATTGCTTGCTACGTTAGTGGGGGAAGGCCCGGTTATTCGAGGCTCTGCAGTTTTTGCATAGAATCCCGCTTTCTCCAGATTTTTGTTTGACATCACTAGTGCACATCAATTGCCAGTGGGAGAGTTGCTTGGTAGACTTCAAGTCTGCTACAATTCAGATCGTGAAATCTGGCAAACCCAATGCCAGCATGGCTTCACCGCGTTCAAAGCTTGTTAATTGACTTGAAAACTTTGCAGGAGCTAGTCCGGTCAAGCAAACGCTCCCCTTCGCAGGTGACAGGTTTGCTGTAAGTCGACATAAAGAGCCTCCATTTTCAGACTTTGATAACGTAAGTCTACATAACTATCCATGCGCTATGCAGCAAAACGGCACCACCGTTAACTTGTTTCGTTCGTCTTAATAGTGTGGAGGATGGTGCAATTTACTCACCTTGCCCACCTTTACTTGGTCCGGTCTGGGACCTGTTTGTTGGCTCGTCTTGTCTTTGCGAGTCATCGTCAATGGCAACTTGGTGACATGCAGATCCTGCCTTGAATACAGGTTTTCCGATGTTTTGTTTTGCTCCTTCTGGGCCTTCAAGTGCAATTACAACGTTATACCATTCTCCTCAAATCCCGGTGCACATCGACGTTGTCTTGGACTGTGCGAATGTCACGTTGTTGCAATAAGAGCCTGGAATGATAACTCCATGATGCATGTTCTAACGACAGCAATTACATAGGACCAGCCGTATCAAACCTTACAACGCCAACATGCGAAACAATCAGGCCAGCAAGAGTGAAGGTTTGCACAAAACTGGAGCACTTGCATCTAACTATATCCACGTTGGCCTAAACCTGGACTCTTTTTTTAATCCATTCGGGGTTCATTGTGATACAGTAAGTGTCATGTATTTAGGAATAACTTCAATGGACCCATGTAGCGACTATATGGTGTCAGCTCAATATTCACATTGTGTAAGATTATGCTGGGGTTTTGCATCAGCCAAAAAGAATTACCCGTTGGTTGGTTCTGAATCTCTGCATGTACCCAAAACACAACCAATGCTTCACCTCCATTGAAACCTTGTGCAAAACATGGTCCAAGCCATCGATTTTTTTTTTGCTTGTAGGCCCAAAAGGGTGCGGTACCTGAATACACGACTCACTACCCCAGACGGGAAGCTGGCGCTGAATCTGACCGCACCAAAAATGCCAGGCGGCTAGCTGAATTGCTCCCATACCCCAGACGATAGACCTAAATCTGGCTCACCTGACTGAAGAAGCCCGTCTTCACCGAAACTTCCAGACCTTGAGCGCTTGACCGATTCGAAAGGGGGACGATCACGGGGCCCGGAACTAGTCTCCATCTCCAGGGGCAATAATTACGCCTTCTGGGGGAGAGATCCATTCCCCGGACCGGATCCAGTGACAGTCACGGTCATGAAGTTTAAAGTAAAACAAAAAACAAAAATGTGTTGGCAATGCTGTTACTAGATTGCTAATAGTTCACTCCAGCTTCCCACCCATTTGCCCAATTGCAAGGAACAAACGTCTACGTTTTGCTGGAAGGACCGGGCCTCGACAAGGTTCCTCCGGCCGACGCGGGGCCGCTTGCTCGGTACTTACGTACAGGTACCTTCTCCGGGGTACCATCAATGACACAATAGTTGAGTTTTTAAGTGTTCGCGAAGGAGCACTTGACTGCAGCACGAGGAGTATTCAATGAGGAATAAGGAACAAGCCTGGCATAAGATGAGAGTTTCACTGCATGTTGTGGCATTCTGACCATAATAAACCTTATAGCACATAGGTCTATCTGTCTTTTGGCTGTCTCATCATCATCATCATTCATGCATGGTCTTGAATTACGAGTCCATGGTTCACCTGACTGGAACAAGAAACTATCTTTCTCTAATACCCCAGACTCCAGGCACTAGATTGATTCCCCCTCGCTGATTTTGACTATTTTCCCCTCCTCCATCCCTCCATCTGTTACGCAAAAAGAATACGACGATATGTTGCCATCCCACAAGCAACGGAGCCGGGCAAGAAACGCCCCGGACTCCCCCGGAGAGCCCCACACGGCCGAGGGCCGGCAGCACCGAAAGGTCTTGGCTACTTGGTAGAGCGCATATTAAACCTGGATCTGTATTTCTATTACCCCCAGGTTTTCCCACGACTCCAGCTTCCCCCGGTCTGATCTGGATCTGGAACTGGGAGTCTGGGCGTAAGGTCAAGAGGGAGGGAAAAAACTTCAAAGCTTTCCCCACGGCCCGCTTCCTCCTCATCTTCCGTCATTTCCATTACCCCCAGTTTACTTGATCTTGCAGTTTTCTTGACAGCCACCGTTTCCCTTTGTTCCACTGCACGGCACAGACGGTCACTTTTGCACCAACCGGCCAACCTTTAGAGGAAAAGGTATCCATTACATTACGGTAGAGCCATAGTTGTGTGCGAGTTGCGTGCTTTGCCCTGTGCCCCCGAGAGCCGTGGCCAAGCTTTTGCCTTTGCTCCTATTTTGTTGCCGTCGCGTGGCTCCTCTGGTGCCTTTGGTTTGCTTAGCAAATGCTCCTTGAATGTATTTTTACTGCACCCCGCATCCGGCGCTTGGAGGCGGGCACTGTTAACGCGTCACGAGGTGGGCAGAAAAAGAGATAGATCGATCCTCGTTCTTGGGGGGTGCATCTTAGCTACCCCTTGGACCAGGTCAACTGAGTGAGGCGCCAATGTCGACGAAGGGATCAAGGTCACGATGTTTGACATGGAAAATTCTTGAGTTGTGTCCTTGGGATCACAACTTCGTGATTGAGTTCTCGTGCCCACACTGCTCATGACCCTCGCCCCGGGCTTCCAATTGATCTTTCCATTGGTAACTTGCACTGTAAGTCATTTGAATTGATTGTACGGAGGATGTCTATTCTATTGTGGCTGATAGAAAAGGATACGTGGTTTGCGAAGAACGTACCCTAAAGCCAGTATCAACCTTAAGGAGGAAGGATATCAGCCCTGAGAGTTTGGCTGGTGTAGCAAATCACCATGAATCCTGCTTCAGGCATGGTTCGTCACTTGTTCTTACTTGTACTTATTTGCGCTCCCAAACCATTGGCTGTTGCGACATTTGAATCGTATATTTTCAATATCTCGCTTATAATGGAGTATTTCCTCAGTTTCTGACGTGCTGTTTCGCCATTGAATATGCTATCACATCATCTGGAATGCCAAATTACCTACTCCCAACATGTGCGATACAATTCACTCCACAAACATACACCCCATTGTCCTTCGCACCTCCACCATCAACCGCTCCTCGATGGACGAAATCCTTTATGCGTTGTGATGGATGCGTCTTGGCCGTCTCCACCCTGCTGCCTCTTTGGGTCACCGTAAGTGTGTGGAAGTACCACAGCGCCGTAGTGATAAGTTACCCACCTCTTTATCTCAAGCTTCCATTCGAGTTGTACCTTGTCGTGGAAGTTTCTATTTTTGCCTCTGCTCTAGACACAACTGTCTCGTACCTGAGTTTACCATCTTCGCAATTATCCGAAGCCGTCTCTTCCGGCCGCGTTGCAAACCAATCAGTCTCATTTACTCTCTTCCGCGTGATCTCTTGTCTTTTATAATTATCAATGAGGACCAGTGTGCTTCTACGCCCGAAAATTCAACCTGACTGATGTAAAATATACACCTTATAGTACATGTACAATTAACAGGTAAACTTGCAAGGTGAGCCAATCAGCTCAACGCTCGGCTAGCCTAACCTGGGGACAAACTGGCAAGCTTCGGCATAAAAGCCAATTCTGTTTCCATATTGAGAACGCCTGCTTATTCTAAAGACATGCCAATTCGCGTTCAGTTTGACGGTACGTAGCTCACAAGTACCCACGATACCTTGCTGGCGTCTGGCTGGACCTTTAAGTGGAATGTTGGGGAAGAGTTTTCCTCGACGACGGCAGCTAGTGGCTCAGCGAGGGGCCCCAGAATGCGGTTCGAGCGACTAAACTCCACTGTCGAGGCCATACCCTCAGGGTACCACAAGAAATGACCGGTTTTAGGTACTTTTCTTCTCTTTATTATTATCTATAGAAATAGAAATTAAATATAAAATAAATACTATAAAATAAAGAATTCTTTATATAATAACTTTATTAGTCTTTATTATTATTAATATTATTAAATAAGGTTAAAATAGTACTTTAAGTTTAAAAGTAAGTATATTTATTTTTAAAAATATAAATAAAACATTATATAAAAGATTTACTTTATTTTAATAACCTTATTATATAGTATAGCCTTTACAATATTATATCTAAGTCACCTTTATTTTATAGTATTTTTCCTTATTTTATTATAGAATTTAGAAATAATAGTAATTTTGGTGGGAAATCGGGGGAGCGGATATTTCTTGTAGTACCCCCTAGCATACGCTGCCCTGTTTGCGGGTATCGACTATGTACTGCCGGTCCCCGGAGATCCTCAGGTACCGTCCATGTACTTGAGCCGCCTGTGGTTATGGATCTGATCGGCTAACGACGCTATAACCTACATGGATAACACCCATGCTCCTTTGGTATGTCCGGGGATAGAATCAGGGTCGCCTGTGCATGGTCACGATAGCTTCATTGTCCCCCTCCTCAACGAGTGACAACCCGCCATAAATATCAGGGTTTATTAACTGCTGGCGTCTTGCGGTGAGGGAGACAGCTAGCTCAGACGAACCGGAGCTCCAAAATACTTTCCGGAGGACACGGTTTCCAGCAATGGAGCCGAGAGAGGGCCAATGGGGCATTTCCCATATTATTGAACGTAGCTATCTAGGTACAGTACAAAGAGCCCTATACCAGCATCATATCACATCTTCTTACTAGTTACTACTCAAATTCGTATCGTGGGTCTGCCCCGTTGACTACACGCAAACCAACGGCGCAGACACGTGCTGGTTGCAAATGTGACCTGGTGCATTTTTGTTACAAGGGTTCAAGTCAAGAAGACGACATCTAGCTACTCAATTGAGGAAGGACTTTTTAAAAATTATGCGATCCTGAAAGAATTTATGTATACAGCTTATGCATTGTAGGATAGTATCGTGGCGTAAACAATGGTTGGGATAGGTTGCCGCTTACACACTATCTACACCACCCATCGAGTTCCCCAGATCAGGTCCTGGTTATTACCCAAAGAGCTCACCTTGATGCCCACGTCCTCAAACGCCTCCATTTGTCTCGCAGTTGTGCCTGGTTTTTTTTTTTTATAGACATAGCCGATGTCTGAGCAAACCACCCAATCAGCGATTTCGTTTCCCGTCTCTCTACTCCTTGATAGAGTATCACGGCCTCGACGAGTCCAAAGTTACACCAAGCTGAGCACACGGCATGCCTTGGTATCGTATACATGATTTCGGATATATCACGAGGCTCAGCTGTGGTCAGCTAGTTTTCAGTGTCTCGTAATCCAAGACCCTTGTGTAAATTGGCATCTTGGATGTATGTTTACCGCTCATCACGACAATTGGGTCTATCGATGCCGCATATACGTAACCTCCCTGCATCTCGATACAGTGAAACGGGCTGAAGAGGTCACGATGTCCAGTGTTTAATTCCAATGGCTCCTCGTCAATATTGACGAGATCCATTAGAGGTCATGTGTCGTACCCCTTGGAGCAGGGGAACAAACAAATTACGTACTAGTGGCTCTGCTTACAGGACCACGAAACCAACGTCTCACGGACTTCTAGAAGCTAGATCAAACTTGACCACTTCAACAACTCAACAGTATGCTCTCAAATTACCAATTCCGATCCTCCCGGGGTTTCTGCATTTCGTGATGACCTCGTGATGCATTACTTTACCCCTTTCTTCTGAACATTGTCTCTAAATTAGGCGACAAGGATGACAGCAAGACAAGCAGAAAATAAACCAAAGAAATACAATGTTCGTGGCCGTTCGGAGGCTGTCTCTTTTCCAAAAGTTACCCGATTTTCATTCATCTGTAATGTGAGCAATTCCTCACTAGATTCCGTGGTTTCTATGTTCACCAGATGGTCTACCACTCCCGCAATGCTTATGCTCCGTCGGTGGTCGTGAAGTCGCAGACACCCGATACGTCGTATGTATACAGTGCATGCCTTTTTCATTCTCTTGAAGACATCTGTGGAAGACCATTAATGAACAGTCGTCATGGAGAAGGCCTTTGAGTTTACTTGTCATGTCGTACAATGACTACTTCATTTATCCTCCCAGTGCCAAACCCTCTCGACTATGCTCAGCTTTACAATTAAAGATCACAGGCTAAACAAATTCCCGAGATCTTGGCGAGATGTTCTCTTCTGCCTCTGCATCATGAATCCGGCCAATTCTCTTTAAGGCCCTGAGTCTGAGATATCGCCAGTTCTGCAAGTGCAAATCCTAGTTGGCAGATGCCTTCCGCCATGAACAAGGTACACAGAGCTTCGTCAAAGTGGCAATTGGACTATCAATATCACGAAATATATTAAAACAGTTCTCTACTGGTTTTCCAAGGGTCGGCTGGTGCAAGGGTCGGCTGTTGCAAAGGCCTCTTTGGTGTAGTCATCCATAACGAGTCGGGTGTTGAAGAGAGCCAAGATCAAATGGCCAGATCGATTCGGCCAGTGGTTAAGAAGAACTGCGTTAGCTGAGAGTGTTGTAGACTCTAAGCATGATTATTTCATTCCTCTTAGATGACATTGCTCTACTTTCATCTCAGTCCTACTAAAGACCTGGGCTCTCTGGAACCCAGAACACACTGGTGCTATTGAGACGTGCATCACTCCGGGACACACATGCCTGTTTATTAGGTATCCTGGAGAAATCTACTCTAGCGACTATGTGTAGGTACTTAGTAGTTACCAATGTTCATCAATTACATATAGCTACTACCTAGACTAAGCACGTGACGACCGATGTCATTTCTTCGGCTAAACCATGGTGCTGCGGAGCTTGCGAGGAACCTCCAAAAAATTTACTCGTAGATGACATCGTTACGCCAACGTCAACGCCAACTCATCACCAGCTATCGAGCGAATTCCCTTTTTCGTTGGGATTCACTACCATCAGCTTATTAAAGCAAGTAATACACTTGCCCCGTTTTTCTTACGAAGCCACCTCAATTCGTGATTCGGGCTATTATCTTTCGGCCGCAAGCTCCTCGACAATCCCGTTGATATCTTAAGCCTACCGATTCCACATACTTCACACTCCAATCAATCAAAATGGTTACTCTTACCGAGGTCGAGGACGAGCACTTCCAGCACGCTCAGGCTGGCCCCGATGTTGAGGAGGACGATGAGGACTACTCGGATACTGGTAAAACTTACCCCCGCACCCCGAATTGCATCCACGATATTGTGCATACTAACTAAATTCGCAGATTCCGAGATTTCCAACGAGTCTGATTACGACCCTACAGAAGAGACTTTCACTGAGCGACTATATGCGCTGCGCGATATCGTCCCCCCTACCACCCGCTCGTGGATCTCCGGCAAGGCCAGCACTGTTGGCAACGCCGCTTGGAGCGTTCTCTCTTTCAGCGGCAAGGGTGCTTGGGTGATCACCACCTCTGCCCTCTTCTTCGGCGTTCCTTTCGCCCTATCCTTTGCCGAGGACCAACAGCTCACTGCTATGGAGCAAGAGTACAACATGCGACAAAGCGGCAGTGAGCTTCTGACTGCTGGCACCGAGCAGAGCACCGCCGACCAAGTTGGTGCCGCCCTTGAGGGCAAGCAGGCTCAGCCTTCTCTGTAAACAATCAATCGGTGTCACGTATTCAAAACAAATCATGAACCTTGACCTAACGTTTCTGGGTACGAGGATATTCTAGACAGCGCCTCTTGTTGCTAAGCGCAGTCATCAGTGGGCCGAAAAGCAGGACCCTTCCATGTGTACAATAATTGTTTACGGCGTATATGGCCGACGGAAACCCATGATGGATGCTATTGGGTAGGACTGGGAGGACGAGAGCGCAACGCATCCATGGCGCATGGGGCATCGGTGTAAAGTATATGATGGGTTTAGTAATGGCTGCGATCTCATCTCCAGGAAAGGCGGTTCCACATGTATTTTGTCACATTAGAGCTGTATCATTGATGACTTATGTGTGAGGAGCTTTGTACAAGCTACAACCTATGTTGTGCCTTCACTGTGATTTATGCCGATGGGAGCATGTCTCTTAAATAGCCTTTGAGCTTGCCAATATAAGCGGTTTCGAATTCGAATAAACGAAACAGGTACGACGTCAAACGTATATCTGCCTTATAAAGGATTCGTGTTGACTGTAGAAAGGACATGGTTGAGCATGGACTACTGAGTAGTTCAGGGTAGGGGGTTTAATAGGTGCTTCCCCACCAAACCCTCAGGATGACAATCATAACCTAAGGTAGACATAACTCCAGCAAGCCCGATAACAGATCGCACACGATCAAGCAAAGGGAGAACAAGTGTGAATATGGACTACATTGATTTGCCCAAGATAGAGGTGAGTAGAGTTTGACCCGTGCTACTCCATCGCTGACAAAGATGTAAGCTTCATGCTCATCTGACTGGAAGTATATCTCGCCGTGCTCTTCATGAGGTATGGCTCCGCAAAAAGGCAACTGGGAATATAGATCTAGACGATCCCCTAGTAGTTATGCCTGAAGGTAAACACGACTATGATCTGAAAACGTGAGTATCTTGTCTGCTGTCAGACTCAAGGTTGCGAGTTGTGCACAACTGACGACTCTCCTGCTCTACATCAACAGCTTCTTCCCGCTTTTTAGCAGCTATATATACAATCTTATCACAGACGAAGAGTCTGTTCGTTATACCACCAACTCTGTTCTAACCGAATTTTGCGATGATGGTGTCTGCTATCTCGAGCTTCGGACCACACCACGCAGCACTCCTCAGCTTTCAGCAGAGCAGTATGTCGCAACTCTTGTTGATACAATCTCAACATTTGAGACTCAACACCCGCAGCTACATACTCGACTAATTCTGTCTATCGACCGGAGACATGAACTTGAGCAGGCTACGTCCACTCTCGTACTTGCGATGAAATATCGCAGTCAAGGGGTTGTCGGTTTAGATCTCTGCGGCGACCCAACAGCGCGACCCGGGGGTGAGATCAGTCTATTTACACCAGTCTTCCAAGAGGCAAAGAAGCAGGGTCTAGGTATTACAGTGCATTTTGCTGAAGCGGAAGCCAGCGGATCCAGGGAGGAGCTAGACACGCTGCTTTCTTGGCAGCCAGGTCGTCTCGGGCATGTAATCTGGGAGGATGAAGCAACAAAAAAGGAGATTGCAAGTAGAGGGCTGTGCCTGGAGCTATGTCTAAGCTGCAATGTTCGAGCTGGCATGGTGTTGGGTGGGTTTGAGGGGCATCACTTTGGCCACTGGAGAGGAATTGAGGGACCCAAGATCGCCCTCAGTGTAAGTCCTAACGACCGATGTGATGAAATGCTGGCGATTTAGAAAGTACTAACAGCCACGACAGACTGACGATGTGGGTGTATTCGGCAGCCCGCTGTCCAACGAGTATAGGCTCGTTGCGCAGCACTTTGCCCTCGATAAACAAGCTATATGTGATTTGGCGAAGGAGCCTATCGATGGTATCTTTGGAGGCAAAGAGGAGAAGGAGAGGCTACGACGTATCATGTGGACTCTTTGAAATGGGACTGATGACTGTGATACATATTATTATATATGTGTAAGTTCAATACGAACCACCAAAGTATGTTCCTTCTAGCACGTAGTCCTGGCTAGAATAAACCATTCAATACAAGAACAATTATCTTGCCCAGCCAAAAATCAAGTAATTTCTCAGAAAGCCCCGAACAACGATAACAGTCAATACTGCGACAACAAATACCAACACCAGTCGAAATTGATAAAGGCCTGCTTCACTAACACATCCTTGCCAACGTTCACTCAGGAGTATCACAACAGCGAGCATGTCGATTAGAAAGGATAATAGAAAAAGATGAGTGAGTCTAGTGGACTCGCGGTTCGATAGAGACATCCTGTGTCGAGGCACAGTTGGAGCACGATTGGATCTCACTAAGCAGTTAGTGATCGAGAGTTGTAAGACCTCCACACATGACATACCACTTCTGTGCAGTCTGTCGTCCAAATAGTGACTGGCCGCAATCATATTCTCAAGACCACCGTTACACACATTAACAGTGATAGAGCGAGCATTGTATAGGAGCAGCATTAATCGAGAAGTAGGGGCTTAGGCCATAGAGGCTGTGCTAAGCCATGTATATTTATATGCAGCATAGCCCGAAGAATTTCCTACCTATTTCACGAAGACAGCGACCAAGCCACATTGCAGGATCTAGTCTGCACCTTTATAGAAGTAGTCCTAAGTATAGATTGCACCTTACCAGTTTGGTGTGCGAAATAGGTACACGAAGCATGCTGATGCCAGAAGATCCAAGTTCTTTCTGATAAGGCTCACATGGCCCAAGGGAAATAGAATGATGATAGGTTTCAAGGTATATGGTATCAATATTGGCGTTATCATTTAGGCATAAACTATTAGAAGCTGTTCTAATCTATTGGTGTTTTTTCTTCTTCTTTGAGTAGCAGGGCGCAATGAACCTTTATGAACAGCTATCGAGCGGTTTAGGCATCAATAGTCAATTCAAACTGCTAAGACTCGCTAACAAGGTATGAGGAGAGAAGTTGATATCAAGCCAAATCAGGAGCATCTCGTCTTCTTCCATCAACTATTACAAATGGAAAGACCCCGCCCGTTAAACGCCGTACTTTTCATGTGTTTTCGTCTCAACCTGAAAGGTGGACCCCATCCGCATACAACCAAACCGTGTTCTTTCAAGCATCCGTCCATAGCTTCATCATCAGTGCATGCCTGGCGGCGGTGTCTCAAGGTCAACGCCTTCAACCTGGACACGCTGGCCATCACTCTGGCGGACAAGGTTGCTGAAGAAACGAGAAGCGCGCTCGCTCTCGCCCTTGACCTTGATAGTTTCTTCGCGCTTAGCGCTCAGATCCTTAAGACTTTGGTCGAGACCAACTCGAAGGTTATCAGCAGGAATGCGGAGAACCTTGCGAACAGATGAAGAGATGCGGGCAGAGTTGGAGTGGACATAGTCCATCTCTTCAAGTTGAGTAGAGATCTTCGTAGCAAGGCGAGGAGGAAGAGAGTTGGGAATCTGCTGCAGAACGTAGGCGGAGGCGGCAATAGCTATTACACAATTAGTAACCCGTTGTTAATTCGTGGATGTCTTTCACTTACCGGCCACGAGGATACCAGGAAGAATCAACTGGCGTAGGTTGTCATTGCCCAAGATTTTTGATGCTGTGAGGGCTTGATCCATCCATGTGTTCATACCCATCATTCTGGGCACAACAGCGCCAGCAACTGTAAGGGCCATGCCGGTACCGGCAAACTTCTCCTGCCGTTGCAACAAGGTGGTCCAGTCGACAAAGTCGGTCATCTCTGTAGGGATATCGACTTGACGAGCAAGAGCGTCTCGCTTGCGTCGGAACATGACGTCGGGCCGGAACTGGAGGTTCTGGAACTCGTCGCCAACGTGCAGAATACCCAGCTGCTTGATGGTGTTTACGCCATAAACAGTCTTACTACGAGCATAATCCTCGCAGTTCGACACTGAATCAGCAATGCGAGAGAACATGGCCTCCTTGAGGTCCTCTGCATACTGGAAAGCATTCCAGATACCAGGATAAGGCACGTCGTAGTGGCTGCTCCCGGAGTGAAGAATGGCCGAGTTGAGGGTGTTTCGGGTGTAGTCGTAGATATCCTTGCATGTGTCTTCAAGGTTGGCGTCAACTTTCTCGCTGACTTCAGAACGAGCCCTGCGACTAGATTCCAGTTGAGGCTCTAACTCCCTGAGCTCCTGAACCACTCGCTCCAGCTCCGACTCTGCCACATCTCGGTTGACTGTTGCAAGAGTGCCGACATCATTGAGAATATTGAGTAGGTAAGTTCGAGCTGGTGCAAGCTTCGATCGGGCGCGCTTCTCGAGTACGAACCTTCGCAATGACTGCTCAAGCGCCTCAAAGTCTCGCACCTTCTCAGCATCCTTGCCCTTGCCCTTGTCGTCACCATCGCCAGGGTCACCACTGCCTCCACTTCCGCTGCCGCTACCGGCAGGGCCGCCTGGGGGAGATGGACCGACAGGGATGGCATTGCTAGACACGAAATGCACGAGCTCGGAGTGTTCCTTGTGAGTTCGAGGACTAAGACCAGCAACCTGGTCGAGGACCATCTTTTCACATCGATTCTTGTCTCGAATAACATCAAATCCATTGACGACAATGAAAATGTAGGCCTTCTCAGCTGCGGCAGCCCAAATGAATTCTTTGGCAGACTGCGTGAAGTGATTGGCAGCCGAGACCACAAACACCACCACATCAATTTCCTCCTGCCGGGCAAAGATAGCTGTTGTCTTGGTTGTATCAGAATTGAGACCCGGGGCGTCGATCAAGGCAATGTCCACCACACCATTGTTCAAGAGAGATTCGTCAATGCTGCGGCTATCCTTGACGTAGATTTTGCACTGAGTGTAAGTCTCATTGTCAATGACGATATTCTCCAGTTCCTTTAGCGAGAACACATCATAGGTCGACTCATCATTTCGGTCGTAAGGAACGTCCTTATGGACAGCATGCACCTCTTCAATACCGGAGTTCTCCCTAGCATCGAGGACCTCGCAAAAGATAGCAGTGCAGGGCTGCTGATCCTCAGGTAGAACCTTTCGGCGTAGTAGGGCGTTACAGAAGGTCGACTTGCCGGCATTGAGATCTCCAGTGATCAAAACCTTACTCGCAGTATCCTCGATTCGTTCGCGCAGAGCAAGAAGATGTTTGATGCTGGAGCTGATCTTTCCATCAAGTAGTGACGCAATAGAACTTTTCTCAAGCGAATGCACAAGTTCAGTCTGGTGAAGTGCTCCGAGCTTGAGATCCAACTTCAATATGGAGAATTCTTGGGCAATCTGGGGCGAGACCAGTCGTGGCTCGGGTATAGATCGAGTCTCGGCAGCTCGGCTCGATTCGGCGGCACCGTCTTCGACCGTCGTCATGGATCGTCGTAACGCAGGGTTTCGGGGAGCGTGTGAGGAAGTCGAAGCTTTGCTTTCCATGCCCGTGAGCGCATGAGAAAGGGTTGGGCGTGAGGAGCTTCCGGATGAGTCCTGGCGTGCTCGTTGAACAGAGGGATAATGTGCGGGCCAGGATGCGTTCATCTCTTGTAGCTTCTGGAGTAATTCGAGCACTTTGTTGATGGAACGGCCGAGTGTTGCACGATGGGCATTGTACCACATCTGGTGTACAGCACCCGAGGCAGGTCGGTCGTGATGCATCGCCATGTCCCATGCTGCGGCGGAAGCCATGGGATGCTGCTTGTCGCCCGCTCCACTCCCACCATAGCCGGAGTCGACTTCGAGCATGCTCTGGAGGCGAGCAGCATGTTCAGATGCCATGCCATTACCGACAGTCATGTACTGGACATTGGAAGAGGACGAGTCTGCGGGTGGCGGAGAAGCGTGGTTGCTGTTCGGCGCGTTGGCGTGGCCATGATGGTTGTCGCCATCAGAATCGGTTTCCTGTTGCAGTCGGGCCTTGCCCTTGCCGTTACCGCTGAAATAGTCTTGGCTCATGTTGAATCAGTTTGTATCCGTCAGAGCGGCATGTTTTGCGCGGGAAGCGAAGGAGGGAAATATGAATGCCTGAGCAGCGATGCCAATATGATTGTGGCGGTCGGGTTGCAAGGTGGGAGGCGGAAACTTCATCCTTGCCGGACAAGTCAGTGTCAATGAAAACGACCCATCTCTGCATGAATTTTGCTACGTACCGATTCCCGATCTGATTGGCGGACGCTTGGACCAAGCGGGCTTTTATCTTATCGCAACCACTTCCAAGGCTCGATGACATAGAGAAGCCTAGTCTCGGGATACCCGTGACTGTCGCAATCAACTCATACTACAGTCTTGGTTTTTTTGCTCACTGCCTCGCGCAATTCTACAGCCTTTCCATCTTGCTTCCTGCGACAGCTCTCCTTTATAGGAACTACCTCGACTGTTCCTCCGACAACCCATCCTCTTTACCCGCTCTAAGATAACCCCCCGCACATCATGAATGTAAGAACAGCGGTGTCGTGCGATACAGCGCGCCCATGATGGCTAATTCTCTCATGATTTAGATCCTCGAATGGGCTTTCGGAAAGCGCATGACGCCCGCGGAGCGTCTTCGCAAGAATCAGCGCATGCTAGATAAGGCCATTCGCGAACTCGATCAGATGCGTGTCAAACTTGAGAAACAAGAAAAGACCCTTATCCAGCAAATCAAGACAAGTGCCAAGAATGGGCAAATGGGAGCCTGCAAGATTCAAGCCAAAGACCTTGTCCGTACGAGACGATACGTTGAGAAGTTTTATAGCATGCGTAGTCAACTACAAAAGATTTCGCTGCGTCTTCAGGTAAATAACAGCGCTTGTACAGCGATTGAGATTGGAGACTAATTGATTACGTTACAGACCTACAGGACGAACGAACAGATGATGCAGGCCATGAAGGGTGCTACTATGGCCTTGGGAAGCATGAACAAGTCGATGAACCTTCCCCAGCTCCAACGGATCGCTATGGAATTTGAACGAGAAAACGATATTATGGATCAGCGACAAGAGATGATGGACGATGCCATTGACGATGCTATGGATGTTGGAATCGAAGAGGAGGGCGACGAAGTGGTAGAGCAAGTCTTGGAAGAGATTGGAGTGGACTTTAACCAGGCGGTAAGCCTCAAGATTTCCACGTTCAGCAAACTATTTCGCTAACTTAATCACAGCTTGGCGAAACACCTACTGCCTTGGGAACTGCAGCAGTGCCCGAGGGTAAGATTGCTCAGGCAGTGGGAGGTGGCGGCGGTGGCGGCGGTGGCGGTGACCCCGTCGACGATGACCTTCAAGCAAGACTTGATAGCTTGCGGAAGTAGACCAATTGGTCAAGTGTTCAAGACGCCTCGGAAGTCTTGAAGAAGTCAACATATTATGCCGAAGTGGAATATTCATCCCGATATGGGCCAGTTAGGCCACGGGGACCAGCGATAGTTCGATATCACCGCCGTTCTCTGGTTGTGAGAACAAAGAGGCGGCTTCGTGGTGCTATATTTGTTAAGGTGTATTGGTGTCTGGAGAATTGTGTTATAATCCGTTAACTTATCAGCCTTTATGTGCTTTATAGAAAACGATACTTGCTGTTTTGCCAGAACTGGGGTGAAGTTGGCGAGGCTCGATTGAAATACCACTCAGTCTATATCCTTATTTCTCGAATCCTGCTTAGCTTAGACAACCTCAACATCTGAAGGATGTCGATCGAACATCCTTCCACTACAACGAACACCTCATTTCATGCGTGGGTTCTACATCCAAATTCAGCATTATAAATCCTACGGCATTCCAACAACTGGATTGATGTGGAGCCCATTCAGGCATGGCTTTAACGGCAGCCTCGGAGTAACACGTGTACAGGCGGTCACAGCTCTTAAAGCTGGCCTCAAGAAACTGGATCTCAGGATAAATTAGGTCCGAGCCTGTTAGCTTCATGTGACCGACAAGAGAGCAATTACCCATGGATGGTAATACTAGGTGCTCCTTCGGATGTCCCGGGGTGAGGTTGCAGTTTTAAGCAACCGAATGTTGCAGAAGAAAACAATATACATTAATACGTACCTAGTTATCTGATCTGTACCTATTCAAGGGTCCAGCTGAGATTCATTTTCTGGAGCTGATTCATTATCAAGATCGACACATTCAAATCCACTGGAACCCTGCCCTACCTGCCAAAAACAAACAATCATAGCTCAGCCCAAGATCCATTTGTCTGTGCAGCGCTAATCAGAACGCTCACAAGCCAGCAAACGTCACTACGGCGTGGGTACGTCAGTGGCCAACAGGCAGTGTAAGCGCCGCAGTTAGACGTCCCCGCCCCCACTGGCTTTGATCAGGGTGCACACTGCACTGGGAAGCTGTCCACGAGTCTCCACTAGGTCGGTTTACTAGACCTAGAGACTAGAGTACACCTACTTGAGCCCGTGCTGTTCATCCAACGAACGTCCCAAGGGAACCTAACCAACTCTTTCATCAACTACGACACGACTTTCTGTAGAAATACCTGCCTGGCGTCAAGCCGCAACTTAATTCGACCTTGTCGCTTATCTTTCCAGGGAATCTTCTTGGACCCTCTCCGCAGTTTTCTACTGTGGCACGCTGAGACTTCCTTCTCACATCCATCATCAGGTACGTACGTTCGTTCGTTTGCTGGTTGTTTTCACCTTGTTGCACTGGAAGGATATTGGGGTGTTTGCTTGCCTCTTTTCCTACGCTGCTTGCTTTTTTCTATACGTATTAGCCTTTGCTTGTTGCGCTCGTGCTTTACCAGGTCTCGAGCTGTGTGGATAGATGTCATTGTCCCCGCCAGTGCAGCCCGTTTCCCCTCGTGGCGTTTACGTCACGTTTCTGACCTACGATGTATTCTAGAGACTTGCGTCCCTACATCATTGATGCGAGCCATTGAACCTGCAAGCTTCGCCTCCTACTCTTGCCGTACGTTGCTCACAGGTGTCTAAGTGTGGCCGTCCAGTCAACTGTCACACCCGACCTGGAAGCGACAGCAAAAGGCTAGATTATCGGCGATTTAAGCGGTTAGCTACATCATCGACGTCTGCCCTGCAACAGTCTGCGTGCATGCGCTTATCAACCTGCCACTTCTCTCATCTATTGATCTTGTTCCTTCTTGGCGGTATTGAAATTTACATCCGGCCCAATTTCTCTAACACTTCCAGGTTTATCTTGCGCCAACGAATCATAGACGCCAAGCTGGTTGAGACCAACGCCCCGCCCCTACGCTCTTCACGACATATCTTTCCCTAGCTACCGCAACGATCGCGTGTAGCCATCCTACCGTCCTCAGCCCTCCAAAGACGATACGAACGAAAACCAACATCTCATCACTTACAGCATCACCATTGCTGACCTTTCCCTCGCCCTGCGCAACGCCACATAGTAATATCTTGTCCCCATCACAAGCTGGCGAGTAACAAGCGTCGCAGTCTCTCCTCGACCGGAGGAAGTCTGCTGAATAGGATGTTTGGCAGCAATTCTAACCACTCAGCGGGAAACAAATCCGAGAGCGATTCGAAATCCGATAAATCTCCTTCTCCCGAGCCGGGCTCGGGCCCTAGCGCTCCAGCTCCTATCAGGTCAACTGATCAGGCCGCGAGCGGTGAAAAGCGTAGTGGAAATGGAAGTCCTCCAACTCGCCAGGATATTGGCGGCCCGAACGACAAGAAACGCAGAAGTAGTAGCGTCAGTAGCCGCGCCAGTAGTCTTCTAGCCTCGGCCAAAAACTCGCTCAACTTCTCTCAGAGCAGTCGCAGCGGAGGCTCTGATGCGAGTTCTCAAACACCTATTCAGAAGCTTGGCAAGCAAGATCCTGCTCTCGCTGTGCCTCAAGGCCAACACAACAATTCTGCCGGAGAGTCCGCGCCAGGACCCAAATCTACATTTCGTGTTGGCGTTTGGGAAGATAGGAACAAGAAATGCCGTCGCACTATGGAAGACACACATGCCTTTCTGTACAACTTTGCGCAGACTCCAGCTCTGAATGACGCATCTGCAAAGGACAAGTCTACCAAAGACGACCAGGAATTGGGTACCTCAGATATGGTGGAGTCTGACAACGGATATTTCGCTATTTTTGATGGACATGCTGGTTCATTTGCTGCCGACTGGTGCGGCAAAAAGCTGCATATCATTCTCGAGGATATCATACGCAAAAACCCAAACGCTTTGATTCCAGAGGTTTTGGACCAGGCTTTCACAGCCGCGGATGCTCAGCTTGAGAAGCTTCCGTTGAAGAACAGCGGTTGCACCGCAGCCGTTGCGGTTTTGCGCTGGGAGGACCGAGCATCGAATGATCGATCAGCCATCAAATCCGCCAGGCCTGAAGAGCCTGTTGAAATGGACAAGGCTAACGATGGGGCGCTCGACGAAGCCACTAATGCAACCACTTCGAAAGGAAAGGGCAATGCCCGCCAGCGAGTATTGTATACCGCGAACGTTGGTGATGCTCGTATTATTCTTTGCCGAGGTGGGAAGGCTTTGAGGCTTTCCTACGATCACAAGGGTAGTGATGAAGTAGAAGGCAAACGAATTGCCGCCGCCGGAGGGTTGATTCTTAACAATCGCGTCAACGGCGTCCTTGCCGTAACTCGTGCCCTTGGCGATGCTTACATGAAAAAGCTCGTCACAGGCCACCCATACACCACTGAGACAGTTATCCAACCTGATAGTGATGAGTTTATGATTATTGCTTGTGATGGAGTAAGTTTGAGCGTGCCCCTATTTTTAGGACATCAAATCGCTAACCTATCTAGATTTGGGATGTATGTAGCGACCAAGAAGCTGTTGATCTTGTGCGCAATGTCGAGGATCCCATCTCAGCCTCGAAGCAGTTGGTTGACTACGCACTGAATCGCTTCAGCACCGACAACCTGTCTTGCATGGTCGTCCGCCTGGACCAGAACAAGGAGGCTGCAGCTGAGGTGGAAGGTGCAGCGTCTCAGGTCAGTGAGGCAGACAAGATTGTCAGCGAGACCAAACAAAAGATTGCAGACGGCAGCGCGGCCGCCGTCGGTGTATCAGCGAGCAGTAACGCACCCCAATCCGACCCCCCTATAGCTGTTCAGGAGGGTACTTTTGTGCCAACTTCGCTGGATGAAGTGGTGACCGAGGAACCTCCCCATGTTGCAGACCCCAAGTCTGATGAGGTTCCTATATTGAATAAAGCGGCAGTTGAGGAAGCCCGGAAAGACAAGCCGGCAGCAGATAAGCCGGCTGAAGAAAAACCTCCTGGGCAGGCGTAATTCATGGACAATGGCTTAGACATAAGGTGTTATGAACATACGTTAGGCTAGTTATTCGGTCTCAGAACAGGAGCACTGCTGAGCACTGTGAGAATGGTAAACGGATGCAGTGAGTTGCTGCGTGTCCTTCGACATGAAGCTATACTCGTATATCCCTGGACCACGTTGCAAAGTGCGGTCTGAAGTTGCATGCACGGAAAAGGTGTTCTCGTGTGTTTCATGTTCTTACTGGGCTCACAAGACTGGCATGAGCTTGAGTGGTCTTGTGTTATTTCTACATGTTAGTTGAGTAGCATGCTCGTATAAGCAAGAGCAGGAAGGAGAGCAGTAAGATGCTGCTTTTGGAACGGTGCGGTGCGGTGTAGTATCGTTAATGAATACAAATATGAATTGAAAGTGATATCGATAATGGAAATACTTCCTCTGCGTTTGTGGTGGGCGAGCCAATGGGGGATACAATGTTGCTTAACGTGGTCACTGACATAGCTAAGCAGGCTATTTTGTGTGTAGGGTATCAAGCGGCAAGATAAGACAAGACCGAGGCAATTCACGTCACGAATGTTTTAAATTAAACCATTAAATCGAGGCTAGTTGTTCTAGGGCGCTTCGACCTGAGCTTCCATGCTTCTGGTCCAGGCACGTCTGCTGGGACTGAATCGCTAGTTCAACGCAAGGCTCCATTCTAAGAGGAGTTATCGGCTACAAGAGTGATTGCAAATTACAACATCATCCACTAATATCATTATACGCTGCTGCAGCTGAATTGTAATTGGGAACAGCCAAATCATTTCCTGCAAGTCACAAGTACCGTGCAAAAGAAGAAACAACGACATGAGATTATGATTACTCCCTAGGCGATGGGCATCACTTACAAACGCAGCAGCAGTCGGCTAACTGACTTTATAGTGAAGGAACGAGAGCGACACGTAGAATTAATTGCCAAAAAAAAGTTTGTATTAGTTACGTCTAGGCGCATTGGAGAAGCCGGTGCGGGAACCATGTGTTGTTGCTTGAGTGGCTTTGACTTGTGGCTTTGATCTACCAAGATTGGAACTTGGACCAAACTTAGAATATATTTCGACAGACCAAAACATGATCGACGGGAACGGACGGGAGCTTGAATGTATGCGAGTCATAACGATGTCTTTTGAGTGTATCGCAGAGTCTGTCGTCTGTGCAACTGAGAGCAAGATAGATCGGCATTGTATATACAGTTTGCGAGGGGCCAGCTGAATATTCAATTCATTTCGTCTCGGGATGCGGTCGTTTCGTTTCACCTCGTTGCTCTTTTCGTCTACATTCGCCCATGAAACCCTCCACCTTGTGCCCCTCTATGTCCTGTACTGTAACCAAGCTTAGATGTAGACTTGTGCTCGGTAGCACTTCTAGTGTTAGCTTCGCCATTGTTTGTGCGATGCTTCTGGTGGACGTCCATTTGTAGCATGGGCTTGCTCAGTATTGTCCTATCCTGGCGGGGGGATAATTAGACGCTACTCATTATCCATTCCAGAGCGAAACTCCCTTTTTGGCTGGCGCGCAATTTACACTCTGACGGACATGATTGTCGAGTAATTGATCGATCATCTATGCTCCATTAATGTCATTCCGGTTTTATAGAGCCCCGATGGTATGACGGATGGATACTTTGTGTCTTTTCTTCTTTTGTTTGAGTGTATCCGTACTCCGTACATGTCTCGGCTCATAATAAAGTGAGGAAGCACCTGTTGGGCGTTTGGTACCGGGCCTAATCAATTTTAATCAATTGATCGACACTTGGACCTGGGGACGACAACAGTTCCGTTACAGCAAACGCCTGGAAGAAGTAAGGAACTCAAACCCTTACAAACGTTACAGCACGGGATTCATTGACATTATACGGATATTCGATGAGTTAACGCAACTTCGAAGAGACACTGCAAGATCGAACAGAACGACCAAAAGCAAGCATCAACCACCCCAGCTCAATTTCAACCAACCCATGGTGTTTAAATCCCTGTTGACAGTCCTCCATCCATCGCCTTGAGCCTTGAGCCTTGAGGTGCCCCTGAAATCTGGTGCTGCTGCCCCCTTGACCCGCACTGGAAACCCACTCGCCCATTCCCACCCGCTTCTTGACTGGAAACGACCCCGAATTTATACTGGACTGGCCTAGCTCTACAACACTACTCGACTTGCTCGACTGATTTGGCAGATTCCCCCGTCTTTCGGGAGCTTCATTTCTCTTTCCTTTCCTTTTGATCTCGTCCTCTCTCTCGACTTCGACCTTTGCTGGCCGATTTGCAGCGGTTCTGCTTGCCTTTCTTTTTACTCTTCTTTATTAATTATCTAATCATCCACCTTCTGTTGCTGCATGCTTGCTGCACCAACCTGAGCTTTTACCCTGGCTCTTTTCTCGATTTATCTCTCTTTGACCTCAAAACAGAGACGCCATGTCGTTGAATGGGTTAGACGATCCAAAGATCCAGGAGGCACACGAGGCCGCTGTCGCTGAACCCGGAGGATGGTATGTTAAAACCATTGGCATGCGTGAATTGAGATAAATGGTTGGCTAAGTCTTCAGGTTCCTCCTCAAGTACGCGAGTCGCGATGAAGTCGAAATATTAAACCGTGGCTCAGGCGGCGTGGTTGAAGTGCGCAACAACGTTGCTAAGTACGAAGACACGAGCCCTCTATACGGTTTCTTGCGATATCGAAGGAGAAATGTCCTGATTAAGTATCTGCCAGAGGACTGCTCCCGTCTTATTCAAGGTTTGTACCTGTCTTGTTTCCCCTCCATGACAGGGCCTTCTTTGTTCCTAGCATGGCCGTCCGCAACGCGATGCGCTGACACGTTTTCAATATACAGCAAGAGTAGCTGTTCACTTCAACGCCGTTTGCGACCGATTCTCTCCCTACGACACCATATTTGAAATTACCGAAGCCAAGGAATTGAAGGATACCAAATTATCGGCTGCTTGTTCCCTGCATGCTGCTTCGGGATCTAATTCATCATCGTCAAGCTCGCTACGTAGGAGACGATTGATGGAGATTGCGGAGGAGGAAGAAGAGGAACAACACCATCGCGCCATCAAACGCCAATCGGTTGCTGGGGAAGACGAAGACGGTGATGTGAGGCCCAAGACAGCCAAAACAAGCCATGACACTGTCTTGTCTGCCGAGCCTGTGACATTAAACTCAGAGTTGGCTGGATCTCCAGAGCACAGCAAATTTACTGACGCTTCAACATCCGAGGTTCCCAACTTTGTAGGCGCTGAAGACAGACCCGACTCGCCTTCTCAGTCGGATGCTCCTCTGCGTTTGTCATCGCAATCAGGCCGACCTGATTTGTTTCCCTATTCATCTTACAATTACGGCAAACCGAAAGTGAAGCTTGGACCGCGCCCATCGCTTGAAACGAATGGCGGTAGACCTCGCACTGCTGGATCATATCGACCTGTTTCACAAATGCCTTCCGGCTTTAAGTTATTTGGCAAAGGCTCAAAGAAGGAGAAGAGCAGAGAAGAGGCAGCCACTGAGGATGTCCCTGCTGAGGACAAAGACGCAATGCCTGCACAAGACGGATTGAAGATTGTGCACACAGAACTCACCCGCCCGGCTACAAGCTCTGGGGTTTCTATTCCTGGTTCCCCTGTTTTGCCCATGCCTCCACCTGCCAAACCCACGATATCACCAGAGAAGGCAAGACTAATGAAAGCTATGAAGCTTCGAGAGAAAAGGAAGAAAAACTTGGCCGATGAATCAGCAGGTGCGCCATCGCCTCCTCTTGAATCTCCTGGACCTAGCGAAGGAGGATCCTCAACCGATCGAGCAGAGGACAACGAGGATCAACACGAAACTGAATCGGATCAACCATCCATGTCAAATGCTGACTCAGGTATTGGCCTTGATGGGTCCTCCGCCTCCATGAACAACGATCAAACGTCCGAGCTCACCCATACCGACTCTCACCCGGACAGCCCCATTATTGCTTCTTCTGAACCGGAGATTTCCACCAAGGCCTCCTCACTCTCTGAATCTACAGATGAAACTCTTCACCCCAAGAACGAGGACGTGCAAGATCGAGACCAAGTCAACAAGGCCGACGATGATATGGCCCCTGGAAATAGCCTAGACGAACAGCCCGTTGCTGTAGAGACGACTACACCTGTAGCTGAGACTCTTGACGAAGGGAAGGTCCAGAACCCAGTCGCCGAGCCCGAGTCTCACAATGAGACCACCGTTTCTACCCAAAAATCGAATGTCTCCACCAACAATACCGATCCCACAGTGGATAAGATTCCAGACGCTTCAGAGACGCCCGAGGTTTCGGCCAACATCAGCAAAGCCGACGAGCCGCTATCCCCTACAACTGCTGCGCTGAAGATCCCCAAGTCTAAATTCTCGACTCAGGATCTTCGATCAGCAGCGGCCCCAGCTCCGGTGCCAGCGTCTAGCTCGCCTAAACGGAGTACTCGTGAGAACAGCCCTATCATCGTGACTGAGGAGGCTCAGGATGAGAAGAAGGACGAGGAACATTCCGATGTTAAGCAGGAAAAGCGCAAAACTAGCATTGAACCCATCAAGACGGACTTCTCAGAAGATAAAGGTCACCTATCTGATGACGAGGAGGATTATATGGAGGAGTTGCACAGCGCGACTCTTCATGAGGCGAAACCAATGACTGTCGCGAAGAGTCCCGTCACTCCAGTATTCCCTAGCCCTACGAAGGGTGATCGAGCTTCTACTTTTGGCAGAACTGTCTCGAATCCCGTCCAGAGCAAGCTCCTTGCCCCTGGCGATGTTCTTGCCCCTAATGATGTTACTTCAAGCTCAGCGCGTTCTGTCAGCTCTGGGGCTGCTTATTTGCACAAAGTTGCTCAGCAGCCAAGTGGTTTGAGCCGGAAATCCACCGTGGGATCAAGCATTTCTCAACGTATCAAGGCGCTTGAGAAACTGTCAGCCACCACCGGCGAAACTCTCAGCCCTGCTGTCACTCCCGCAAGCCGTGAGAGACCATCTTCAGCTTTCTTTTCCGTGCGGAGAAGTCGAGAGCCCACTCGATCTCCATCTGTGGCAGCTCGGACCAGCTCTTTCAATCGCCAAAACCTACGAACACCACCCTCTCGATCTGGTTCTCGTGACGAGTCTCCCGATGTTGCCAGGCGGACTCACAGAGAGCGCTCCAACTCGGTAGCTAGCCGCCTATCCATGTTTGAAGCGAATCCTCCAGAGAATGGTGACTCGCCTGGTTCGGAATCGATCTCGGTCACTGCTAGAATAGTCCGGGATCCAAGCCAGAATGCAGCAAAGTCGTTCGAGCCTGCTAAAGACCTATCTGAATTTAACCCAGTGGAACTCAAAGAATCTCCCCTCCTGGTCGATCACCAGAAGGCATCACCAGTATGGACACCTGCAGCTTTTGAGCCTGTCAAAGAGACCATCATTGAGCGCCGCATGTCCAAGGAAGGTCGTAGATCAGAATCAAACAACCAAGACAAGGAAGACCACTCTCGGCGTTCTTCTCTCAGCGTTGTCAAAGACTTTATCAACGATCGCCGTAAGTCTCTCACGTCACCCTCGTCAGATGCAGTCTCTGCCAAGGGCTCACGATCCCCAACCCGACCACCTTCAACACATCAAGCCCCACGGTTATCAATCAGCAGCCGTCGATCATCCATCAGCCGTGACCGAGAGAACGTTCTCTCGCCTTCGGCTACCATCGACAGTTCCGCATCCAGCGATGAAGCCAAGTCAAATAACGAAAAGAAGAAGTCGCGTACAGGTCGATTCATGCGTCGTCTCTCATCTCTTTCCAGCTCTCGCGGCAAGACTACGCCCCCCACTGTCCTCTCGCCAACAGTGCATGAGGAGATGGCCGAGCCTGTCCGCCCCGCAACCACAGGCCCTCCCTCTATTGTCTCATACATGGGAGATGTCAATGTGCAGTTCCCTGACAATCTTCTCTGGAAGCGACGCAACATGTGTTTGGATTCCCAGGGTTTCCTCCTCTTGAGTGCTCTCCCGGCACAGAGCAGCCGTACTGCTCAGGGTACTAAGCGTTACCATATGAGTGACTTCCGAGCCCCATACGTCCCTGATGTTGAGGTCCAAGAGCTGCCCAACAGCGTCGTTCTGGACCTTGTCGACGGCAGCAGTGTGCAGCTCGCATGCATGGACCGTGCCGGGCAGATGGGTATCCTCAATAGTAAGTGCCGCCAACCAAAATCGATGGATGACCAGCAGACTAACAACTGAAACAGCTCTCCAAGCAGCCCATGCCAACCATACCACCCCCTTCGTGCTGTGATTTGACGTCTGATTTGCTTTTGGGGCGTCTGAGACGATTCCATGGGATCATCAAACGCGAGTTAACTACATCCTCATTCATTCGTCGATTTGTACCATTACATATATACGGCAACCATCACCTGCCACACCCATAAACCGCCTTCTGCGTCCTGCGATACATTAACGGCCTTACGATACCTTATCAATATTCACCTTGGCTTTAAAGTGTATATCGCTGGCTTAGCTGTCTTGCACTTTACCAGGTGCTTGTGCTTACTAGACACCATTGTCGTTTAACCACAACTTCCTTACCTGGCTTCACATCTTCCCTTTTAAACACACATTCACCTGAAAGACTCTTCGAATAATCTTCTACTTCTGTTCTCTTCGCATGTCAACTATGTACGCATGATACCACAAAACTTTCTGTTTCATCCGCGTGGCCCCAACGGCTTTATTTTCTTCTTTGTATTTTCTTCATTCTCTGCACAAGAGCCTGGTTTGTGCTTCTTATTCTAAATCATATGCTCGTTCTTTATTGCTTTTACCCATCAAGCTGTTGATTCTCCTCGTTACACAGACGATATACACGCCAAGTGCAAAGGAGAGAAGGTTGGATAGGCGGTTGAGGGTTTCCTACTATCATCAGGGATGGAAAGGGAATGGGCTTGGTCAAAAATTGATCAAACCAAGGTAGAAAGAAAAAAAAGATTGATTTCAAATCCACTGTCCAATGCTTTGTGATACAATAAACATGATTGGATTCTATAAATTCCTCGTGATGTTAAACTCACCGACACAGCCAGGATCTGGGGACATGGTTTGACAGAAGTCTATTCGAAATTTTTATCTTTTTATACAGCTATTTCTGGGTTTATTTTTTTTGCGTCATCATAAGATGCAACTATCAACTCATCTTCATATACCAACTTCAACCCCAGGGTCGTAAATATGCACTTGTCCTCTGTGTACCCTAACAAGCATGACACACACCTCTTCTTCCTGTTTTCCTTTGTGTTGTGTTTTTAATCGACGTATCGATTCCTTAGATACCCCCGTTGAACGAGATACCGAATGGGGTAAGATGTAGAGAGGTGCGGAAAGACTGCATTGTGCAGTCGCTTAAAACGAATCTTTAATCCCAGTAACATAGTTATCATGTACCTTCAAGGTACTGTGAGAAGCACCGGGGCTTAGGGGTGGCTAGTTGGAGGGCCTGATGATGGATCCAGTCCTGGGAATTGAGAGGGGTCCATGGCCATGTACTCGAGAAGATCGAGACCCCCGACATTAACGCCTTCAGGGCCCATAGCAACGGAGGGGTTCTCTACGTTCTGGAAGAAGGCCGGGCCAGGAGGTAAATACCACATCTCGTTGCCTTGGTGGTTCCAGTCTTCAAAAAGGCTCACATCCATGTTCGCAACAGCGTTCTCCACCACCGTGGGCGTTGATGGACCTAAAGGACCTTGCCCGGGGTAAGGGAAGTTCTGTGCAGAAAGATCGAAAGGCGTGGCTGAGATGTTGTTGGCTTCGTGAGTAGGAGCCGGAGGCGGAGCTAGGGGAGGGTTGTCAGCATTCACATCAACATCCCCTTGAAAAGGATGCTTACCATTTCCGTTAAGCCCGTCTCGGAGTCTCTGAGCATGGCCGCCAACCCAGTTCGTCTGACCCTCTCCTTCAGTAGAAGCGAGAGTGCCATCATCATGATGTGTTTGCCCATCCGGAACAGGACTCTGCCCCCTGCCTGATGCTTGCTGCATGGTGGGAGCCTGGATGAAACGGTTGCGGAGACGGCTCGTCAAAGACTCGAGAAGGTCTGCAAAACGGATTCCAAGATGCACATCATCTACGACGCAATTTCGAAGCGCCTCGACTGTTGCGTCCATCAACTCGATGCTCATCCTCACATCGGATCGCGGAGCACCAAGAGCAAACGTCTTAAGTAAAAACATGGCGCCGCTAATGATGCGGAAATATGTCCGCACCGGAGCGTGCTTGAGGTAATCACCAGGCAGCAAACCTTCAACGACCGTGCGAAGTAGATCTCGACTTCCTTCAACCACTTCGCGAATGTACTCCTGGTCGTGAGCAGTGAACCCTCCAAGTTGGCCGAGGGGAAGCTTCCCATAGTTGATCATTGTCTGGGGCGACAATTGCGGGTGACCGTTCGCTGCACTCGATCCGTGGTGGCCAGAGTTGGCTGTTGCCCCGGCTTGGTTGGTGCAGCGCTCAACGACGGCTTGTAATGAAAGGGAGTTGATATAAATGCGTACGTATTGATACTCAATTGTCAGAATATGCCGGATGAACTCAGGCAATCGATACAGCTCGAACTCTCTCCACCAATCGCGAAGAATAGGCTCGAACTCTTTGAGAATGCTGATGTATTTGCCATTTTGAATAATCTGTGTTGTATGCTTGCGAGAGCGGAAAATCTTCTCATTGCCCATCTCCATCGCATTGCTGATGCCAGCCCAGCAATGGATAATTTGGTCATCCAGTTCCAGGTCGGGCACATAGTTGAAATGGTTGGACATTGAAGATGGGTTCGTTCCGGGAGTAGTGCCATCTACTGAGCCAGGCCGGAACCGAGCAAGAGCAGGGTCGCTTCTTCTCAGGTGAGCCGGAGCCATGTTGGTCCAGCCGAGACGACCAGCCAGTTGTGTCGTGTAGATAAGCAACAGGCGCTTGATTCGGAAAGCTCGCTGTCTGTAAGCTTCCTCCTGATACTCAGGTCGAGTGATAGCGTCATCTTTGAGCAATTCATCAATGTCATCGAAGACGCCCAATTCGTATGCGAGCCCATTCGCCGTGCTAAGCAACATCCAGCACATTCGGTCACTTCTCCATGCCGGCTCGAGCCAACTTTCGATCCTTTTGCCACCAAAACCACTGCCCAGCGTTTTACTTGGATCCTCATCAGCAGCTGTGATAGCTTGGAAGGCGGCTTCCATGGGTAGAACCAGTTCATCGGTGGCTTCGGTAGGAGGGAAGTGCAATGCGCGAGGATGCCACTCGGTGAGAATCATCAACGACTCAATAGTTCCAAGAGTTCGTAGACTGCCTTTGCGCAACCCTCGCCATGGCGCTGTACTGCTTGTTTGAGACTCGTCGAAGATGGCGCTAGTGCTGGGTGGGACACAGAAACCACCTCCAAAAGCTTCTTGTCCCCATAGACACCGCTCGATCATGCCACGGAGATACATCCACAGTTGCTCGTGAATCGCATGCGACCGGCAATGTCCACCGGTGCCTGGCATTTGTCGATAACGCGATGCAATCGTCAGAAGAGTAACGGTCAGGATAGGCTCCTCGTACAGAAGTGTAACGTGGGAAGCGGGGTTGCTGAAAGTAGGTGGTGATATAGGCGTCAATGGAGAGAGATATTTGTAGTAACTGTCCAGGTCAGCATCTTGTTCAATGTCAAGCAAGTAGACATATCTTACTAGTCGATATACTCAATAGCCTCGAGGGCTGTGAACCAACCAGCACGGACGAATCGAAAGCGCTGCCATGCCTTGATAGCTTCAGCATATCCGGGCTGGGAGCTGAGCTCAGGCCGCGAAAGCTCAGGGTCAACGGGCTGCTCTGTCTTTGGCGGTTTGGATGTCGACCTCGGTACATATCCATAAGGACCAGTGTCTTCGGGCGGGGGACGAGGAGGAGCGGGGCGGACAGAAGAAGTGCTTTCTCTGCGTTCACGATCAACTGCGGGACTAGTATATGTTAGCATCTAGACTCGGGATAGCTGGATTTAAGAAGTCGTAAAGCATACCTGTCTGTGGCTGCCTTATAGAGGAGATCTAATGCGTCTTGTGGTCCAAAAACACCCCGCCTCATGACAGTTTGAGCCTCGATGTTTTCAAGAGTCTGGTTGGCATCGCCTTCATGTCCCCAATCGCCATCCCTTCCACGGCTGATTCGACTACCATCAGGACGGCGCAATGGCTGAGCTTGACCGTGAGAACCTCCTGGAGTTAAAGGAACATTGCTGTAAGATCGGCGTTCGATGAGCGGTGGTGGAGGGCTGCCGTTGGTATTCAGTCGTTTACGGCCGTTTCTAATGATGTATTCATCCTGATCGCTGCCATCCTCATCGGTTTTGCGCTTTCGACGGGTAGCGCTGAAGAAGCACTCTTTGCTTTCGCGGCGGCAGCGCACACATGGAGGATCGTGAGGGTTGTCGACACTGCCAAGATCGCATCGTACTTTGCGCCGGCGACAGGGGATGCAAGCTTGGTAGACGCGCTTGTGCTGAGGGTTCTGGCCTCCATTGGCAGCCGATTGTCCAGGAGTTTGATGTGCGGAACCCTGTGCTGTATTGCTGACTGAAGCGGCGGGACTCGAATCAGAGGCCCCGGAGGCCGTTTGGCCAGCACCATACGGGGCCATTACAACAATGTTTGTCGGGAATTGAGAGGAGGTGCTGTCGATTGGCTTGGCAATCGGCCTGTCGAGCTGAGGAGGTAGCGCGGGGAGCCTGTAGGACGCCCAGCAGAAGCGTCGATACCGACGTCGCCGTGCTCCGTGCTGGAAGCAAGCAACTCAATCAAGAGCTGACAAGGCTTAGATCAGATGCGACAAAAAAACGACAAGGTTGATAGCTGATAGAATATGATGTCGCGTTTCGGTTTGCGGCGGTTCGAGAAGGGAAGTGAAGAGTACGTGGGCCGAGGAGAAGCGGACTGGGGGGAAAGGCGTCCTTTTTGGAGTTCTCTGGGCCGCTGGGTTGCGTGATCAATACAAAGAGCAATCAACCAAGACGCCAGCCGCAAGGGTTTTGACTCGAAAGTGCCCTGTGCGTGATTGTTATAGTCTAGTACATACCCTTGCTACTGGCTCCATTGACCCGTTGATAAGAAGACAGTGGCTCACTAGAGAGGCCTGGCCCTGTTCTATCGAGGTCCTCGATGCGGGGGGAATCACCTAATCAAAGACTGGACTCGGCCGGAAGAGCCAATGCGATGCTTGATTGGTCAGAAGGAACGTACAATCCCCAAGTCGCTACTGTATTGTATGTAGACACCTACTCAGGCTACTGCAGAGAGCTGTGGTAAGACTTTTACTGTTCTTTTTTCTGGGGAGGGGAAAGGAGTTGGAGGATTCTGGGGGTGAAACAAGCGGGCAGCAATCAAAGCAAGTCAATGTCGGTAGAGCAGGAACAGATGTGATAGGTTCAGAGATTTGGAGGGAAGGTCACGAGCGTCGTTGTTTTTTTCCCTGTGCTCCTTGTCCAACGACTATAACACGTTGATGTTAGAGATCAACGTCAACTTTGGGAGGCGTAGCATACCACAGAGGGTCAGGTGATGGGGTGTCAATGTGATGTGATACCTTACGTATTGGAAATCAACAGTAACTCACCATGACTTAGCACGGATGTCATACAGCATAACCATTCCAATCAAGATCAGTCTCGTCATGGTTGTGAGTTAGCTAATATGCCAAGACGACCTTGGGGAATAAGCTAGGTTTCTCTTCTTTGTCTCAGGAATCACTAACCTTCCTATTGTATTTCCATTTGCCTATTTCATTGAACCCAATGCCTATGTCTGTGTCGCGAGGCTGGTCAGAGTTTTCAATGGCAAGGCACGAGGCACGCGGTATGCGATATGTGGTATCCGTATGTATTCAAACGTCTAGAAAAATAGAACAAAAGATCCCAGTTACTCAAAAGTTCGCGTTATCCCGAGACGGGCAACTCGATAACCAACACCAAACCTCATTGGTTCGCCCAGGATTTGGTATCGTTTTCGCTGCAAAGCGCTGCAGGCGATCGAGGAGGCCAGGGGTCAGGATCCAATCTTGTGCAGCCTTCAGAGGAGAAAAGGGTAATTACAGAGTAGTTGAGTTAGCTTAACAGATGATATTTCATAACACGATACTTATTCTCCAGGTTTGTCAGTCCTTTTGCAAACGTTGATAGTTAAGAAACAGCCTATTCATCTTTTCTCTAACCCTCCTGTTCATGTCTTTCAGAAGTGATGTTACCACATATGTCAAGCATCGTATAATTCACAGACTCGAGCTCTCTCAATTCACATCAGCACTTGTTCAAAGCTTCCTTTCCGCCCCTCCCGTTCCTCGCACACAACCAATCACCAATTCCGAGGCGCATGTCACGTTGACAACACCTCTGTCTTGCTGGGATCTATATGTGGCGGTCTACGATCTATCAAATGCTCATTCACTCCTCTCGAACAAGAAGGACATTCTCGACCCCTGCAACAACAAAAGTTGGGACGTGCAGCCTCGAGTTGAGATACCCCTGCTATTCGTTGTGGATAGACGACGTCTTGGCTTTGAGACGGTCTAAAATTCTCCTAAGCCCCGCAGAACATCGATACCCTTGCTTTTTTCTGTTGGTTGATATTAGCACCTAGTCTCACATGCTTCTGATGATGGATATCCTGCATATAGGCACATTCAGTTGACGACTACAGTTAGGTATGGTCTGTGTTTTCTGCAGGCAACATAAGCTTTTGACTTTTGGGGTTCAGGGACCTGTTCCCGGTCCGGAGTTGGGGCCGGAGGTTCCAGCGAACAATTAATTATGTATACATTGCCAGGACTGAATATCTTTTACTTAACAACGCCCTATTGCAAGCCATCTTGTAAACCACGAGCACCCCTGCCCTCTCTCGTACGTAACAACAACGCATTTGAGCGGAGAAAAAGTCCTCGCTTCCTTATCTCGACCCTCCATCATGTCCGTCACTGCCGAAGAATCTGTGCTTAGGATGACCCCTGCTTATGGTCAAATTCAAGAACTTAAGGTGATACTGACTGTCACGCAAATCTCGAAAGTACCGATGCATGTTGCGTGGCCAATACCAAGGACGCAAGGTTCTTGGTTGAGCAGGTCGTTTAAGGAATCGAGAGAGAGATCATGTTGGTAAATGTAAAAGGCAATGACAAGATGTAACCCCGTAGTGTAGCTGCATACGGTACATGATGGTCTCGTACTGTGACAATGATTCGAACCTTTGATACCATCGATTTGTGTCTTGTAAATAGCATCACCTCGACAAATGGCGATCGAGCGTGCATCTTGGCCGCCAACTTCTCAGTATTGAATGAATTCGCTAGTCAAGTATAGTCGAGCCATATGATCTGAGAGGATCAATCTGGCCAACAACTACCTATACACTCAATCTGGAGTACTTCGGTCTATCGATATCCGGACCCGTGTTTGTAACACCCATGAGGCGATCTGCATCTACGCACATGACCCTGGTACCCGGACACCGGCTACGCGCGTACATGCACGGCGTTTTGGTCCATCCTCCGCCCGGTCGGAGCGACAAGCTTTCAACACCAGACCCGAAATTCTTATCAATCCGATCCGTCGAGCTGGCCGGCCGGGGCCGGGCCAAGACTCGGTGCTATTGGTCAATTCCCCTAATACGTCCGTCCATCTTACAGCCCCCAAAAGACAACTTCCTTCCTTGACAAGGACTGATTGACAACCATCTTAACCGATGTAAAATCACTTCACATTCACCATGCTCGGAGAAGATCGAGGAGAGGACAGATTTTGTTTCAAACTCAAAGGCAACAAGGTCGCGAGCAATTGCTCCACTCCAACCCCATGGCACAAATGTCAAATTCATCTTTTGGTCTTCCTTCCATTCTGGTTGGTCCCTTTGGTGCTCATTACTCGTCATTTTCCTGAATCCCGATGCTTCAGCAACTCCCAAGCGCAAACTATAGGCCCCGTCGTCGATGGAAATACTAGTGGCGGTAGTGACATTAAGATATGGTATCAAACATTCAGTTCACAAGACCCTTCTTGGACTAATGCCGAGCCAACTTAGTTAGTAACCGACGAGCTTAACGTAAAAATGATCAGCGAGGAGAACCTACAAGATGATCCCAAAGCTTTGATGTCAATCCATCCGGCATGGTGTAAAGATCGATTGAGAACTCTCCGGCTTTAACCAAGTCATCCACTATTAGCCGCCATACACATCAATTTAATGGATAAAAGCAAGTGTGGGTTTGCAAGCGCGAGGATCAGAAGGGAGGGAGGGGAGGAGACAAAACAGTGGGCGCGTATACAAAGATAACTTACCTTCGACATCACTTCTAATATATGTGTCTGGTCCCTTGTTTTCGTTGATGATCTGGATGACACGTAGTAGATCCTCCTCCTCAAGCTTTTCCAGCGATTCCGCGATCTTCTCGTAGTCGAATTTCTGAGAACTCTTCTTGGTTGCAAGTCCCTTCTTCTTGGGACGATGATCATCATCAGTAGGAAGAGGACCGGTTTCGCGCAGACGTTCCTGCAAGCTCTGGGAGGGGTTCTTGAAGGTCACGGTGTGCACTTCCTCGTACCTCTCCCGCTGAAAGTTGAGGTCGTGAACGATGGGAGCCAACTTGGTCTTCTCAGTGGTGTAGCAGTCAATAGAGATCTCGAACTCGCCCCAGCCCTCGTTCTTACACGTGAAGGGGGCTTTTGTGAAGCCTGGTAAGTAGCGCAAAGGTGGTCAGCATCTCTAGGATCGCGACTGCTAGGTGATATCTCAAACATACTCTGGACCGGGTTTTCGAAAGTTGGGTGAAGGTTGTATACAACCTTGGTGAAGACATCGGCAGGGCGTTCGTTGCCATCTTCATCTAGCAGAAAGACCTTCAAGCTCCATTCCCGCATGGGGAACTGCTCTACGGGCGAGGGTTTGTCGCTGGTAACAGAACCATCAGTATTTGCAAGTTTGTTGATTGCGCTGCCCCATAAAGTCTCCTCGTGGTCGTGATAGGAAGCTGGAGAGGAAGGTCACAAACTCACATGACATTTTGTTCGGTAACGACTTTGATTTTGCGCTCGAAAATGTTAGTCTTAGTTCTGATGATCACTCTGCCGGACGGCGCTCGTGAACGCCGGGGCGCCATGATGAAGATAACAAGGTTCTAGTGTGAACCGGTCTCGGAGGGTGTGACGATATGAGTAGTAAAGTTACACAGAGACGCAGGTTATAAAATAGACAAGGCGAGTGGCAGAAACGCGCTGGCGCTGAGTGTAGAGAGAAAGGCGGAAGCAGGAAGGTAATAAAACGCGGTGGTGATAAATGACGATGAAGAGGAAGCGGCAGCTCACGCAACGAGCGGGTTGAGGCTGGTGAGACTACCTACTAGGCAGGTAGGCAAGAGGAAAACAAGACTTCGAGTTCAAGGTCACAATAGGGAAGCGCAAACAGCCACTACAGCTGCCAAACAGAAGTAGAAGCAGAAGCAGAAGCAGAGGCATCGCGGGCTGCCATGGCTGCGCTGTCTCTGGTTGTCCGACCCAAACGCGCAAAGCCTGTCACTGACACTGGCACTGACTGACACTGGCAGTGGTAGATGCAAAGGCAGATGCAAAGGCAGATGCAAAGGCAAATGCAAATGCAAATGCAGACCGCGACCAATCTTTGCAGAGCCTCACCACGCGACGCACGTCAGTGTGAAGTGAAGCAAGACCAAACAAAACAGAGCATAGTGCACCGCAGCCAAAACGAAGTGTTCAAACACGGGAAAGTCAAGACTTCCACGACCGAAATAGCGAACCCGAGCCAACAATAACACGAACGAATACAGAGATGGTACAGCCAAAGGGGGACAAAAATTGGAACACACGTCCAAGGAGCAGGGCAAGTCGGGGGCAATTCTTTGGGATTTTTCAACTTACCTCAACCAGCATCTTTTCTCGAGGTCAGAAGCAACAATTGGAGAGAACCAAATACAATAGAGTGAAACGGGGGAGGATGAATATGACCAAGATGGACGGTGATACACAGACACACAATGGGTACGGATAGTGGCAATGGCAATGAGAACAGGAAGAATGGGTTGCGTTACAACAAGGGACACGACAAATTCCTACAGCGAAATGAATTGGATGGGAGACGGCGGAGAACGGAGACGGAGACCCAGACCCAGACGGAGAGGCCAGCAGAAGGTCCCTACGGCTGGTTGGCTGGGCGTGGGGAGCGAGAGAGGGAGAGAGCCAGACAAGGCTGGACAGGCAGGCGCAGTCAACGTCAAGCAAGGTTAAGCTTCAGCTCAGCTAGAGGTCCCGTACGTAGTTGCACCCGGCAACAGCTGAAGCAAGGCACCTGGGTGGAAAATGGGGAACACACGACACAAGATATGGATGCCAATAGTTGATTGGAAGGGGAGGCTGAACAAGAAGAAGAAAAGAAGGGAAAAAAGAAAGGCCAGGGAGAGATATTATGAACAAAGAATGGTAGGTACAAGAGGCGGCAGGATATCTATCTGCTTTGTCCATTTGACGCGAACCTCACAGACGGACGAAGGCGGGATCTGTTTGGGGGAGCCTTCCAGGGCACGAGACGCTGAATCGCTGCTCCACTATCCATGCTTTTCCCTAGCCCAGCTGTCCCATGTGTTGGACTGCCATGGTAGCATAGCTCCATGACGTGGAAAGACAGCAACCAAGCAACAAAAGCAAAGGCAGCATATTACTCTTATTCATGAGTATCGTATGTCCCAGCCTTGAGTAAAGATCTATCTAGGTAGTAATAAATAAATAAATAGATCCAGTACATCGATCATGATGGCATGCCCAAGGTACTAAAGCTGTACAACAGAGATCCGTATGGCTATAAACAAACACCACCCGGCAGACAAAAGTAAGGTCACTATGACATGACCAATCCGTCGGTGGTTCACAACCGCTTTGTGGGCGATAAAAGACTGTGTCAATACCTAGGTACCTATCTGTCGGCCTAATAGGTACTTCTATAATCATGTGCTCCATCGTCAAGGTGACTGCTTCAAACATTACGGTGAAGCTCAGTAGCCACACCTCAGTCTGAGCATCAGCCACATTGAATGCCCACAAGTTGCTCAATCTCGAGCCACTTGCACGTAGCTCACACGCCGAAGGAACAGTATTAGTTCTATGGAATTTTTTTCTTCTTTTACTTCTTTCGACAGAGGGTGCTATATGATCTGAATGTTCCTGTGATGCTAACTAACCATCCGTTCATCCGTCCACCAGTCCGTCTTGGGGTTGAGCTTGGCCAGCTCACCTCCAAAATGTCCTCTCCGTCCCCAGGAATTTCTATCTATCCATCTCAAAATCAGACTTGGGATGCAGTGTTGTGACGGGGGTGTAGTGCGTGTGTATGTGGGCGAGTTGAGGCATCTGCAGCAAGATGAGGTTCTCGTTTGATGTTGTGGCATGTGCGATGTGGGAGTGTTGGAGCCGACTTGATTCTGCATATCATGGGACTACTAACGAGTGTGAGTCCTCGGCGATGTCCAGATCGATCTCCGAAGGGGCAAGGGGGAGGGAAAGGGTCGTGGAAAGGGGGAGCTCTCTAGGAAGCAGGAGCCTCGGCCTCTTGGGCCTTGTTGAAGATCTCCTCGTTCTCCTTCTGGGCCTTCATGAAAGAATCCTTGAAGTTGTTGGCGTCTAAGAGCAGGTTAGAAATGAGAATTCATAGGGACTCAACCAGGAAACATACTCTCGGCGTTGGCGAATCGGATAGCCAGGGTAACAGCCTCGGGCTCACCCTCGCTGACATCGGCAGCGGCGTTCCACACCCAGCTGCGGTCAGAACCAACGTTGGGGGAAAGCTTCATCTCGGGGACGATGTAGTGGTTGGCGCAGACCTTGAGAGTCTTGTCTCGGCGCATCACCAGTCGAGTCTTGCCGTTCTCCTTGTGCTTAAGCAGACGGACGTCACCAGTACCACGCTCCTTCCACTCGCTGCTCTCCTTGACGAACTTGAAAAGCTTGGCGCGCATCTTGAAGGTCTGCTCCTCGGCCTCCTCGTTGGTCTTGGTGTCGACCTTTTCGGTCAGCTTGATAACGGGCTCGAAGTGAACGTCCTCGGACTCCTCAGGGGCCTCCTCCTATATAAATAAATCTCATTAGCTTCGTGCGTCTCGATGGAAACAGTTGCAGCATGCCACTGCTGAGACATGTAAACATACATCACCCTTGGCAGCCTCAGCCGCCTCTCGCTGGGCCTTGGCACTGCCAGAGTTGTCACCGCGCTCCTCATCTTCCTTCTTCTCCTTCTTGGCTCCACCACCGAACATAGAGAAGACGGACGAAGATGTCACGGGCTTCTCGGCGGTACCCTCAGACTCGGCGGGCTTGGTCTCCTCAACCTTTGTCTCCTCAGGCTTGGTCTCCGCGACCTTGGGCTCAGTGGGTTCGGAAGCAGACATATTGGCGGTTTGTATGTTCGTTCAAGAGTTTAAACCCTAAATTCTATGGCTCTAAATGTCAGCGACTTTTTTTCATATCCAAATTCCTAGTCCCGCAGTCATGACTTTTACCCCTCCTCCAGGACGAGGGGCTCAGGGTCATTATTGCCCCCTGCGTACCAAAGGACGGAAAGAGGAGACAAAAACAGGACAGGGGGAAATGCGCGATCAGACTCACCAGATAAGCGAAATATGGCTAAAGAAAATGCCTTCGAAAAAGTAAAGGACTGGTGTTGAAGGTTTATGCTGTTGATGGCGATGGATGTTGATGGTGGAAGTGGGTTGCGGTCAAAAGGTCTGGTGATTTGTTTTCACCTCGTCAGGCTGCCGTCCCGCCTAAAAAAATATGAGGTGCCCCTCCTTTCCCCTGTTGTGCCCTGTTGCTCCGTGCTTGTCTTGCTAAGAACTTCTGCGGCAAAGGTCAACAATGCTACTCTGTGATTGGGGCATCCTCGAGCTGTGAGCAAGTACATCTCAGGCCAAGCTTAGGTGCATTGGTACTTGCTGATCGGGCGAGCAGCTAATCGAGCATCGGGCGTGGACTGCAAGATTGCTGTGGGGTTACTCATTAGGTGGAGTTTACCTAATAGACCACTCGAAAATCTGTAGAAGTTCTTTATCACGACTATCACTTGAGCTCGTGCCTATAAACAACAAGAATAACACGGGTCGGTTATTGCCTTGTGAGAAGGGTATCGCTTTGCCTCTCCTGTGAAACATATGTTCATCTGTCCATAGGTAAGATGTGTAAGTAAGTTGTTCATTCGAAGGGACCTACAAGATGGTTTGTTTGTTTAGTTGCGTTGCTGGGAAACTGATCGTAAAGCTCATTTCCACTTATGAGCAATACGATTCATGAGTTGAGATGATTTCAATTACTTTGGGTACTAGTTTACGGCTCCCCTCCTTTTTGTTTCTATCTTACAAGCAGATCACCACTCCACCAATGACCATATATGTGCATAGCAAGAAGGTATTTGTTGAGACCATTAACTATCATAGCAAAATAAATGAAGGAAGAAAGCCAATAAGAAACACGTCTACAGGTGGTATGAGACCCCATGAACTCCAATTCCCTAGAAACCCATACCTGAATATTGCCAACCGAAGCCCATCCCTGACACAGAAGTCCTCGCCTAATACTAACGATGAGAGGGCTTAATAAGGAAATCCCATACACCGCAACACGCAAAGAAACAATGTATTTGACTGCCCTATGCCTTCTTTCCCTGTTGCTTGGTCTGACAGTTCCTCGAGCACCGGGGCCAGAAGAGCCGTCCAAATGATGACGCCTCTGGGACTTTGGTCTTTGGCTTTTGTAAGCCTCTGTTCTTCCGCACCTTGTTGGCCAGAAACTGTTCAGCTGCGTTGTGATAGCGGTCATGTTCTTCCTTGCCCGCAGTCAGCTTGAGCCACCAGAGCTTAGCCCTGATCTGAGCACTAAGCAAATCGAGTTCAGCTTGTTGCTGCATAGCTTCAACGTTTGCAACCGTCTCAACCTTCTTCGAGATACCGTGCTTAATCAGGTTTACACGATCCCGTATGCCTGTCTTGATCCAACACAAAGATCGATGGGTGTTGTATAGCCTGGAGCTTATATCTCTGCATAGATTATCAGACGAGGTCTTGAGGTTGTCGGAAGCAGTTTCTAACGAGCGTTTGGCCTCTTCAAGACGCCGCTCTGCCTCTTGAGCAGCAGCGGGTACAAGCTCTGGGATCTTATGAGCAAAGTTCCAGGAATAGTCTAGAGCCTCTGAGATTATGCCCCTATCGAATGTGATACGGAGGACCTTGTGAACCTTGGGACGACAAGTAGACAAAATGTCGACTCTGACAGTCCCGTAGCTCTCTCTCTTGGGAATTTTGAGGAGCATGCCTTCGTCAACAGACGAAACGCTCCACAGAACAGGCTCATCGTCACGATTAGCTTGGAAACTGAGACAGTCTCTATCAAGCCATGACTTCTTAACACCTTTAGGCATGTGAATCAGAAAGTCGCCTTGATGTCTGGTGACAGTCACATCAGGCTGCTTGCCACTCCACAGCCACTCATCAGCAAGGACATTCTCAAGAGGTACAAGTGCTGTAGCTCCCGTTGCCGTCGAGGGAGCCTGCGATGTTGGTGGTTGAGTTGGGCTAGAGGACAAGAGAGTGGGGTGAATTGTGACAGCGGAAGTGGCTGCGGGGTTGTGGGGTGCCGCATTCCCTCTTAGCAGTGGGACGAGGATCATCGTCACAATCACAACAAAGACACAACATATGATCTCGGGAATGATAGGTTCGATGGATTGTGTGATACGCCCGGCGGGCCATATATTGGCTTGCTGAACCTCTTTCAGCCACTTGTTGCATCGTTCTCGTCGGCTCTCAGCTTTCTGGACGTCATCAGGCGAATGACTCTGAATGGGGTTGTCCTTGGTACCGCTAGCGTCGGGGCCAGGGATTGAAGGGGTCTTGAGGCTCTGCTGGGTATACTCAAGAGAGCATCGGGATCGAGCTTCGTCCTCTGATTCGGACTCGGGCTCGGTTTTACAAGTAGATTCATCCATGGGTTCGTCTGCAGGCTCAACCTCAATTTCGCCCTCAGGATGGAGCCCGACTTTTACTACTGAAGCCCAGCTTTGTCCTGGCGATGTAATCTCTTCGGTATCAACAGCGGCAGAGACAACTTGCGGCTCTTGGTCTGGCTGTTGAGTACGTGGCTCATATTCGTCAAGTATAGACTCGTCGTCGTTGAACTGCTCAGTGCTGGCAAGGCTATGATCATCGGGATGATTATCGTCGACAGAGCCGATGGACTCGTTCACAGACTCAGTGTAGTTTCCATCTTGAGACTCAGTGTCGGTGCCGGTAATGAGTTCGTAGGTGGATTCGGACAAGCCGGTGTCCTCGGTGGTGGTCGTGATACGCATAATGTTTGGATCACTGGACGAAATCCAGTTGGCGAGATATCGATTAACTTGGGGACGAGGAAATCGTAAGGTGGGTTCGGAAGTCGATAATGGTGTTGTCGGGCGAGAAGAGGGTGTCGCAGTGCGATGCTGAAGAGCTGGTGTAAGCGTAAGGGTTGAGGGGGGTGATGACGGTGGGGACTGGCGAGTCGATCGATGTTCAGTATCACGGGTGACGGCAGATGGAGTGCAGGGAGTATCTGGATCCTGTTGTTCCATAACGAGGCGAAGATAGAGTAGAAGGAAGTTCTATGCCATCACAGGCTTCATAGCAAGAAGCAGCCTGTGAAGAATAATGCGATGAGGCGTCAGGTGAAGTTGAATTGCGAGGGGCAAGAGAGAGTGAGGTGGGATAAGGTGAGGGGTGAGCGGAAGGCCGGATAATGGGGAAGGGGGTCTGTGTAGGATGCGATGGCGGGGGAAGAGCTTAGAGGTAGAAGTAAGGGTCAGAGAAGACTCGGATGCTGATGTGAATTGTTTTGGGTGGTGGGTTTTGTAGGCAGAGGTTGGTTGGGGGAAGGTAAAAAGAACTAACCACAGGAAAAGGAATTATAGATGTGGCCTTGATGCGCTCTGGAAGTATCGTTGTTCCAGGTTCCTCCGGGGCCGCGATGTGAAGGCGTCTTGACCTGAGCTACGGGTGGTGCCTGGGGCTGTCTATGGTCAAAGGGCAAGGCAGCCAAAAGGGTGGAGATAGATGTTGTTGTATGCACTCTACGTGGCTCGTAGCAGGTGGAAGAGAAGGAGAGCTCGGTCAAATAGTCGAGCAGGAGAGGGCAGCGTGATTTCGAAGATGAAAAGTCAAAATCCAAAGGTTCCCGATGAGATGGAAACGTGTTGATGAGGTGGTGACTCTGATGTCTGATGGCGCAACTGGGGTTTGGGCTGTGAGGATAAGCTCGGGCTTCCACGTTGATAAGATCATGCCCTACCTCTCTCTGGCTTGGGCCCGAAATAGGGTCTCGTTTAGGGTCAGCTCAACTCGGCTATTGAGGAGGAGAGAAGAAGGGAGAAGGGAGAAATGCGCGTCGAATATGATGGATGGAATAAGACGAAGTGAAGTAATGTGCATATTCACAGTGCAGGCAGTTCAGCTGTGGATCGTTTTGAGCTTCACGGCGTGCATGAGCTCTAAGTTCGGTTCTTTGAGACACTGTCACTGCCCTTGCCCTGAACTTAAAGCTTGAGATGGGCGTTTAGGTTAATCTATTTAGACTTCAAACTCCCCCAGCTTACCATCCCTTTTATTTTGTTTGTTGAATAGGCGCAATGCAGGTAACCATCGCGGTCCCTCGAGGTCGTTCTAATGTGTTTGATACCTTTCTGCTGCTCGCTGTCGTCACTCAAACCGGGGTCCCTGCTAGCACTAAAGAGGGAGGACCCATACACTTTATGTCCATGAGATAGGCCCAGGCACCCAAATCAAGAGTCAGCCTCTTTGTTTACTTTCAACCCAGCAAAGGTGAATGTCAAAGTCATGGAATAACGAACGCAGTGCCGTGCGCTTCCGTACTGACTCATTATCATCCATTTTCAACCTCTTTACAGCCACGTCCCCTATATTCCATCATCAGTTATCCCGACTGTCTTATCGCTTTGCATGCCGCTATCGTACCCTGCACCCCCACCATGAACCGTCGTGACCTCTTAGCGCAGCTGCGGGGTATATGAGACTTCTGTTTCGGGCTCGAATAATCCACTCTATGGACCCCGTGAGCAACCTCCCAACTCCTCTTGTTGTGCTATCAGGTCACTTCAAGATAGACTTAACCGCCGAAACCGAGTCCGTTCTTCCAAAGAATGGCCGTTGACCCAAAGGCGAGATAACAGAGTCATATACTAAACTTCACTTTTCTCACCGCCATGGATTGTCTTGTCTGTGTCATTACTCGAAACCAATAATGATCAGCCAACTAACACTGAGATGCAGCCCCGTGTCTCAATGCTGTCTTGTTCTGCGTATACGGCATGACGTAAGACCATAGGCTGTTACACCAATCTCCTTATTGACTTTCGTTCTATTTGAGAAATGACACACTGTTGGCCTATCGTCTTTGTCCATGTATGCAAGACACTCACGTACCTAGTCAAAGGAACACCCAGCACGGTGCCGATAAGCTTGAAACCTGAAGTATTCAAACACAGTGAATACTATTATCATTAATAAGAGAGATCAAAAAACCTTTGCTCCTGCCATTACCAAAGTCATTATTTTCGAGATCGTGCAACTCGAACATGGTAACCGAAGTAGCTGTCATAATCCTCTATACTGTACTCACCTTACTAACGAGCGTTGTTTCTCTCGATGCACAGCAATTTCTCACCCCAAGGTATCGAATGACAAGAAGATATCACAAATGCTAATGCGCCGTGCCATTTATGAAATAATGTTGATGGTATATATATATACCTTATGCTTCATGGGAATTCAATTGCTTTCCAATCCTATGAGTTGTAACCTATCTAGCCCAAATACCCAAATGTCTCCATGTCCACACGAGGTAGTAGGGTATCTCTGTCTGTATTCTGAAAATCAATAAATCTATAAAAAGGCGCCGCCATCATTGGAATATTATCATGCACTCTTCTCTTCAACATCGAAAAAATAAACATCTGTTCTGGTGCTCCATTGCCGCACTCAAAACGCCGTCAACAAAACATAGGGAATAAAATAGCGTGTCTCCCTCCCGGAGGGTGAATCAGCGCTCTGTCTGGGTATCGTAATCAAAGGCATCTTTCTGTGTTGACGCCAATGGAGGAATAGTATAGTGATTGTTGTGTCGTAGACGTGGCCGCATTACTGTAGTGTGGGTATGATTAAGATGATATGCTCCAGCACATTATAGAATAGTATGTTTTTGGAAGAGGTGCCTTAATGAAGGAGTACCAAAGGACTCATCATCAGGAATCATCTCAATCAGACCTGTCAGGTTGGCAAACAGGTCACCCTGATTTCGGTAACCAAGGACTGCAGGCACGGCGGCGTTGTCAAACTCAATCTCCTCGTAGTGGACCTTGACAAAGTGAACCTCGGGGTTGGCCTTGACAATAGGCATGAGTGCCGACTCAATAGTGGCTGAGACCTCACACTAGACAAGTTAGTATCGTGTTGTTCAAAATGCGACAGGACAAAGACATACCTCGTGGTCATACACAAACACGACAACAGTTGTTTCCCTTCCAACCTTCTCAATAGCATCGAGGTAGCCCAGGGCATCAACCTCGTCTAGTCGGCCAAAGATTCGAACGCTGGGGCTTGTTCTTCGGTTCCTGACAGATCGGCTGGCCTCACTCTCGAGCTCACGTCGTCGGCTCTCGCGCCACTCTGCGAGGAAAGCCTCCTCGTCGGCATCGACACTCTTTGCATCATCGTCGCTGCTCTCGGTGTCGCTCTTGGGAGCAGGTGGGGCCTCAATACCAAAGATGCTGTTGCGTGCGGTGCGGACACGGTGTCGCCACTTGTTCTTGCGAGCAGCTTCATAGTTTCGTGCATCAGCAATGACGCCTTTGACGCCGGTAGCACGGCCGCTGTCGAAGGAGACAGGAGGGAGCTTGATCTCTGAGGCGCCAGCGCCAGTGAGACGATCGACAGTGGGCATGCGCATTGCGGAGTCGATCTGAGCGTTGCGGAAAAGGTCTTCTTCGGATAGATCTTGGGTGTCTTTGAGTTCAAGGTCGTCACGGTCCTCTGGGTGAAGGGTTTCGCGATGTGTATTCTTGGCGACCAGGTCGTTAAATTCTTCTTGAGCAGCGTTTGACATGTCGGGCAAACTGGGGAGGGGGGAGCTATCTTAATATGTATGTGTTTCGCAACAGTGTGTTAATGGTAATGATGGGAAAAAAGGTCAATGCCAGACTTGGAAACACAAGTGCTGTATCGTTCTGGAAGATGTGGAGAAGGGGGGCGTAGGGAGAGCAGGGCACACAAAGGCGAAATCCGAGTGTGAAAAGACAGCAAAACACAGGAGGTTATTGAGACATGGACAGGGATGGTGTAGGTCTTAGGGCGGTGAAGCTTTGATCCAAGGGCAAAAGGTGACGAGGCAATTGAAGCAGAAGGGGAAGGGATCCTCTTTTTCCGGCTTTGGTTTGTTTCAGAACTTTGGTTGTGGTGAAGGAATGCTTAAGTTAAGGAGGCATTCGGCCATAATCCATCAGAAACAATAGAGCAACGCGGTCGAGCCACCTGACGATCTGTCCTAGAAACGGCCACAGGGCGCAAGACTCGGGCGGAGCAAGGATTGGGCGCGTGTTAGAGGGCGCTGAAGGAGAAATACGCTGGGTTGAAGCTTTTACAATGGCAGCTGTTGGTGGACTGTAGACCAATCAGAGGAACAATCATGCTGTCTAAATGGTGATATTGATATAATCCTTAGCCATAGTTGAATGATATTCCTGAAGTATTGCAGAATGATTGATCTCACTGCAGATCTTATGATAGCCAAGCCATCAATCGATCAACATGGGGCATATTCGTCAACAGATCTTTTTGTCGCTTATCACTTATTATTCTTCTTCAATCGTTATGCTGTTGAAGAGACACGAGTCTCAAGGCTCAAGCCACGCGAGCACTTGGTCAGGGGTGGAAGCTCCAGATTAAGCAAGGATCCAGGGTTCACCAACGGTTTTGGCTGTCGTCAACTTTGTTGTTCAACTTATTGATCGGCATGACCGGCTACGGACATCGCATCTACGGATGGATGGCACTAGACTTGGACTAATGGGCGACGTTGCACTACAGACCAACTTCGGTCATCTGGTCCGAAATATCAATGTTAATGGCCAATGCTAATGGAACACTTAAGCAAGTGCGGAAGGCACTTTAATTAGATCTGATGCAGCAGAGTCACATTGGTGAAAGATCGACTGTTCAGGGGCCGACGAATCTGGAATGTGTTAATAAGCAGGTAAGCATGAGGGGGAGGAATTTTGATGTCGGTCTGGGTGAACGAGATGCATGTTTATCGTCTGTTCTTTCATAATGAATCAGCAGATCATCGTCACCATCATCATCATCACATCAAACACTTCCTGAAATAGACTATATCAAACAAATTGCCCAAAGCAACGGGGCCTGAGACTCTGACTCTACCGCATCCAAATTCTTGCGCAACTCTGCGACACTCCAGAAACGGACTCGGCATTGCCACGGGTTCCTGGCATAAGCTGACCAGCATCTTGGGCGAATCATGTTAACCTTTTGGTCCAATCAGATAGGCCTTGATGCATCCACTATCTGTCAACTGCGACATGGTTTGACCACCAAAACCATTAGCCAGGTCAACATCTACAACGTTCGGGGAATTCCAGTGACGGGGTCAGCCAACACAAAAAGCCATTCGCAAGCAATATCAGCATTAAGCAAACTTCACGAATCACGAGCCCAAGAGCCCCGTGCTTCTGTCTCCTCCTAATACCATCTGTGCAGTTATTACTCAATCTCAGCCCCAGCATCTCAGGCTCCTGGCATAAGAATGGCCCGGCTTCTTCATCTCGAGCCCCAATCATACGGTGTCATTCCACACAGGGGGGAAGATGGTAGGGCCGCTAGCGTAAACCACATTTGTTTCACGATCTCGTTTCACGCCTGGGGGCATCAACAGACGGTCAAGGAAATAACAAATTAACTTACACGCGACAGAGCCGAGGATAGATGCCGGCACGCGACACTCCCCACGATTTGCCTTTGATACGATTGGTATGACGAATGATCAACATCTGGAAACGTCACGAAGCAACGGTGTCGACGCTCGGATGTGAAAACTGGACAGCAGTCATACTCTTTTCTTTGTTGTGCTTCAGCTGTGTATCGCGACCTGAAGATGAATAAACGCATTGTCTGAACAATGTGCAGCATGGCAGCAACAAGCCCGTGGTGACGCGGCTTCACCGTACTACATGTGCCTTTGTTCAAGCCTCAAGTGTTGTTTGCATTGCCCACTAAACGACTTGTAAATCTTGGTGCCCAGCAATTCATGCCTCGTTCATTACCGCAATGGTCGTGCTCTGCTCAGATCTACAGGCTTGACAGCTCAGATCGGCCAAGTGGTAGCAAAGACCACATCGTCATGTTGGAAAAAGCAATATTTCGGCCAACGCAACCTTGCTCCTTGCTTCAGTCAACGGCTGGCATTCTAGCGTGTTTCCAATCCTTCTCATGCACATCATTACAAGCAGTGACCCATATTCCACTGATTTCCCCAGACCCAGCCTCGTCATTCTCTTTCCGACCAAAGCTGACTCAAGTCAGTCCCATGGAAGAGGCTAACAACGGCGACACCAGTTAGCCCATTAAGTCTGATAATGCTATTCATAGAAGGTTCTCTCCCAAGGCTCGTTCTGTCACGGAAGACTCAAGTGCCGTAAATTGCAAGAGGCTAGAGTCGGGACCACACCCTGGTCAAAGCCATTTGCATAATCTCAATGTCGGCATCGCCGAGTGCTTCTAGTAGAACTGCCAAGTTGCCTAACAGCTAGGCTATCTACATTGCTTCAACTGTCGATGACCCTTAATATTGTTCAGCTCGTCATATTCATTATACTTGATAATTGCATTGTTATGATTCCCATAAACCCAGACCCTTGCGAGTGTCATTTTCGACATTGTTAGATGCATGGCATAGACTTTACACTCTCTTTCCAATAACAAGCATGAACACGAACACAAACAACTTACAACAACGAATGCAAGAACCCTCGGACCGTTGTCAAACACGGGCTCTGTATTACTATTGTCTGACAACATATCTCGGCTCGGTCCCGTGACGTATCCGCCTACAAAAGTCATCTATCTCGGCTCTAATGGATGTCAGTGTCGTGGTTCTGTATGTGTTTGAGCCGGACGTGCTTCTCTTTTTCGTTCTCCATCCTTTGGTGACGAGCGCTTCAGGTATATCAGGCCCGCCTCATGGCTCAGTGGCATCTTCAACCCTACGAACGGTGCAAATCATCCATCTGTAACTCCGAAATCTCCGCCGAACTACGCATGTTACTCCAGCGTCATTCAAGATTTTGTAAGACTTCGCAACTCTCTTGCTGCTCTTCGTGGCGGGACTGCGTGGCTCCAAAGTGCCCCTTTGGAGAACACCACAGAGGACGCCTCCTCGCATCATCGACCCTCAACACGCAACGTTGACCAAATCGAGAGCAACATTGATTCACTTCAGCTCAACATGTACAAGGTTTCATGCCGGATGCACTAGGATACACCATAACTCTCGGTATTTAACTTCTTAGACATTAAGCATGAGTTACACAATGGCCATGAGCTAAATCACACTCTCCAGCGGGTGGTACACGAGGTCTTGGTTCATTTCCCCGAGACAGGATTTGACATGTGTCACCTTCTTTGAGCAAGCTGAGGGCCAGCTGATGGTATTCAGCAGTTGTGCCGAGGATCCTTCAAACTCAGTTAGCAACGGGAGTTGACATTCACTCGTAAGGTAAGCCCAAGTCTCCACCTATTGGCACAGATTACAGACTGGCAGAGGACTTGAGTCCTTTCGAGCACCGCACCTCTCTGAAATTTGTCGACATTCAACTTTAAGTCTCGCGGATCCCTGGTTACTATGAACTTACACAGCATGCTCAAATAGACAGACGACACTTAAGGACTTGGAACTTTATGATAATACTAAGGTGGAATGTTTGTTATGTTCCTCCAATAGTGTCTATGACATCGCATAAACTACCCAGATTCTTGCTTCTCAACCTTCAGCAAGCAAGTTCAATCTACCTACGACGCAACTATGGCCGAAATATATCTGAGGTGAACACTGAGGGAAGCACAATAAGCTATCAAATGATATCATTGAAAAGTTTTAACACGTCTAGTGGGTTACATGTTGCATCAGGTTTGAGCAAGCTGTCAACCATCCTTCAGGTTTGGAGTATGTCTAGTGGAACTACTGACCTGCCCAGGTAGATCGATGGTATAGAAGCGATGCCTCTTGTAAGGGAATGCTTGTGCGGGCACAGCTTCAACGGAATCAACATACGCGGAGTCAAGGTTGTAGTGCAAAAAGTTGAGAAAATGGGTTTAGGTTTGAAACATCATGATGTATTATCTCGAGTACTGAAATTTTTGCTCGGTATAGCCGTCAACTCCCGTGGAATTCCCTCATATAAAATCGTCTCTCCCCCAACTTTACAAACCTTGGCTCCTTGAATTATTCGTTTCGCAGTAAAAACGGCCTGGAACCGAGACGTGTGCCGCTGAGAGTCGATGCGCATACAGAGGGCAACTGAACAACAGAGGAAACCCATCCAATAATACAACCACCCATTACTAACAGCCCAGGTTGTGTCAGAAAAGGGGAAACTATGGTGCAGAGAAGTTTGCAGGTGCGAGAAGAACATAAAACGGAGAGAACAGTGAAAAGAATAATGAAAAGGAGGTATCGCATCAGCCAGTGTATTTTCTTCCCCGAATCCACCACGAGTGAGCAGCCCGCATTCGAGTGCCGACATCCGGCTGGGGGAAGTCGTTGGTAGGGGTATGTGTTAGAGGTATGGCGCAGTTCGTCACGTCGTCCTGCATTCGATGATAGTCGCAGACAAGGTAAATATCCTTGGTTTTCGAATTCGATGGGCAATATAGTCGTTCGAGCGCAGATAGTATAGATGCCGTGGCACGTACTGGCATTCATATATCCAGACAAAAAGATTCGTAGTTGCAAACAACAATTAGTATGCCCAGATTTTAAGCTAGGGTTGATGTTAGTATCATTTTCTTTGTGTACTAAAACTTGACTTTTATAATGACTTACCAGAGAATCCCACGATCCTGTGCACAAGCTTGTGCCGTCGTTGCTGACGCCCAGGCAACTGACACGGTTCTCGTGGCCGACCAGAGAGCCAACCTTCTCGCCTCGGGTGATATCCCAGACCTGGATATCCTGTTAGCATTGTGCGCGTTCCTCTGAGGGGCATTGCTTGTGACTCCACAAGTATACAGCAACTTACCTTGCATTCAAAGTCATCGTAACCGGCGAACAGGAGACGTCCTGATACGGAGGTAGCCACCGAGGTGATACCACAGAGAATGGACTCGGACTACCAATTGAGTTAGCCTTGAATCGAGAGCCAATTTGCCAAGATCCCCACTTACCCCGTAAAGGTTGAGTTCGCGATCCGCGCGAATATCGAAGAGACGACAAGTAGCATCATCAGATCCAGTGACGAAGGAGTGGCCGTCAGGGAAGAATTGGATAGCGTTGATATCAGACTCGTGGCCAGCAAAGGTTTGGACGGCCTTTCCGGCGCGGATATCCCAGAGTTTGGCGAACGCATCACAAGCACCAGAGATGAAGGTGTTTTGGTTGGTAGGGTTGAGGCTGATGCTCATGACGTCGCCGAGATGGTCGGCAAACTCGGTAACCTTCTGTCCTGTCTCGATATCCCACTTCATACAGGTCATGTCACCAGACGACGTCAAAATGCTGCGATCGTTGATAAATCGACAGCAAGAGAGATAACCGGCATGGCCAGAGAGCTCACGAGCAACACGAGTAGGACCGTCGCGTTGCTGGTTCAAGTTGTAGATGGAGCAGATGTTGTCGAGACCACCGCAAGCAACAAAGTTGCCACTAGGGGCGTAGGCGCAGGTCATAACCCAGGATGATCGCAGGGGAATGGCGTGGACTTTGTTAGTAGTATAGGCGTCCCAGATAATGAGCTTGCCATCCTGGGAAGCAGACACCAGATGCCTCCTGTCAGTTGACCAGTGCATGGCATAAATCTTAGCCAAATGACCCTTGAGTGTGCGCTTGGCCTTCATAAGCTGGTTCTTGGGAATGGGCTCATGAGCCTGTTGCGCAACTGCGCGAACTAAAGAATTGAAGAGACCAGGTCAGTATTGATTTCTGTGGTGCAAGCATATTTTCAAGTAGACGAGTGCCAATGAAGCAAGGGGATTATTCGATAACAATGGTAGTCTTGCTTGCCAGAAGTGTTTGGGAGTTAAACAGGCAGTCGGGAGGCACGTACGAGTTGTGTCGGCGAGATCATCCTTCTTTCTCTTAATTCGGTCCTTCAAAGTTTCGGCTTCGCGACGAGCCTGTTGGATTCGCGACTGCATAGCCTCAGGAGAGACATCGTTGTTGCCTTGAGAGTTCATCGTGATCGACCAGTAGACAGTGTCGGGTGGTTGACGCGCGACGAGTGATTCGACGAGTTCCGATACCAGGAGGCGGTGTCGAAAGCAGAACCGATAAGAGCGAGGAGAATACTCAGGTTCAAGTCGAGCTCAAGTTGAGCAGAGCAGAAAAGAGCGACGTTCGAGGAGAGAAATTGACAATGGGCGAAATCAGGAGCTCGGCCGGCTGAAGATGGTGGATGAATGGAAATGGGCAAACTGCAGTGCAAGTGGAGAGAGAGAGGCCGGAGAGAGAGAGAGCTGGAGGAGAGAGGAGCGAGGAGGATTGTGAGTGGTAGGGGCCTTTAGGGGGGAGGGAATGTGAGCTACAGTCCACAGACTACATTACAGGGGGGCGTGTGCTTTGAGTGGGTAAACCCAGAGTGGACGAGTGGGCGCGGGCTCGACTTGGCCAGTGGTAGGTAGCGGCAGCGGCAGCGGCAACAACAGAGCGATGTCCGCAGGCAGGTCAATGAGACGGGATCATCGGCTACATACTGTCGATATAAAGTTGTCTACTGTACTGTATCCGTACCTGTGAGAGAATGCTCATCTCTAACAGTACCACTGGAGCACATTATTGAGAGGACGGGGCCCAGGCCTGAGACATGATCATCATCAGGCTCTGACTGACGGATGCTTGGATATAAAGTAGGTAGCATTCAAGAATCCGTTGGCTTCTCCTCGCTGAACTATAAAGCCTTTACCATCAAGAATCGTTAGACGATATACGGATAGAGAAGATTAACTTCATTTTTACACATTCAACCGGGCAGTACTTAATTTTCTGCAGATCCAACAAACAAACTCATGTACTCCTGAGTTGCCTTACTGAGCAGCCCCGCCATCAATTTACAGTGGACGCGGTTAATGCACGAACCCCGAACCTGCAGCTAAGGTAGAGTAAGGTACCCTGCGGCCGTCACCGTCACGCCCCGACCCTTTTCGTCCACTTCATCCGACCTCCTCTCCAGCTTCAGCTCCCGCTCTAGCTCAAGTTATTATCGATCCTTCCAAACACCATCAACTTTTGCGTACCGCACCATATCCTTCATCATCAATGTCATCAGATTTACAAGGTATTCTACTTTTACCTAATGCTCGATTGTCAATCCTCCTACTCCTAGAGTCTATCATTCGACCTGTCACTACAATGCTTCATGATTCAGATCCTGGCTACTCATCATCGACGACGATTGGTCCTTCTCGCCGTGATTACCAGTACAAGCATCAGCAGCAATTCGAGATAACCCAGCCCCTGACTGACATCGTCCTGGCCATCGCCAACCAAGCCCACCCAAGCTTCCATCAGAAGCTCCTCCCATCCACTGAGAGGCCGAACCAGGTCGTCCTGGCAGCGAACAAGGCTAGAGCCTCGCCCCAGAGCGGAGGGTCTTAACCCAAGCTGGGTAGGTGGAAGACTGGAAGACTCGACGGCGCACCACCCCCAAGCCAGATTGCATGCAACCCAGATTGCGCCCACTGCATGCGTCCGCGCCTGCTTAAACTGCATCCACCAGAGCCACTGAGGTGATCTCCCGCCAAATTTGTCTACTTCAGTAGGGAGTACTTATCCCAAAGACCATGTTCTAGCAAACAATTACCCAAGGTCTGTTAACACGCAGGTTGGCTCATAAGAAAATTCACGATCATTACAGAGTCAGCACAACATATCATGGTGCCCAATGTTACTCTACGCGACGAGAACATTGTTTGATTTCCGCGGTTGTACCTTTCAGGGGAAGTAGCTCGTCTCTACCCGTACTTTCATGGATGATTAGCAAATCACATCACAGTTCACCGATGCTCACTAGCCGCTGGTAGCTCGCGGCCAAGACAAGTCCTGGCTGCGCTACCTGTTGCCATGCAGAAGATGATCTTTCGCTTCGCTACAGAAGCAGAACCAGAAGCTAGTCCAAGGATGCTGGCTCTGCCCTGACCATTTCCAAACCCGTCGTGAGCTGTTTTCAGACCCACGAACTTTAGGCCTTGTCATCTCCACTGGGATAATTTAAATTCTCCCCAGAAAGGAGTCCATGTTCCAGTGTTATTGGGGCAAACCTCCACAATACAAAAAAAAAGGTCCTGAAGCAACAAAGGACATTCTAGCTTTCCTTCTTGCCCACACAAGAGTAGTCTGGAATGGAGCAAACAAATCTCCATAAGCAGGCCTACTGTTCCTGGGTGTCTCGGGTGGCAAGTGTTCTTCCCAGGGACGCTTCTGGTTCTTCGAATTGACTTCCTCCCAAGGTTATCTGGTATGCTCGACCCGGCATTCTGGGATCAGTTGACTCCTCAATCGTTAACGGATTCCAGTGACCGCAAAACATCAATTACTCACCTGGGCAATATAGTCCCTTTCTTGCAGCACGACGCCTGAGAACTGCTTGATGAAATCGGACGTATAGCATCATTTTTGTATGTTGCTTTCGACCAATCCTAGTTGTCCATTGTCTTTGACTTCATTAACGCTGCAGAAATTCGAGATGCACTCATCTCGGAGACTTGTTTCACATGGGTTAAAGCCAAGTAAAACTGCAAGCAGATTGAGGGGAACGATGGATTCGCGTAATCATGTGGATCGGGGCTCTGGACTACAATGAACCCTAGCTTCTTGTTCCGTAGGTGGCCCTTTGGACCATTCGCTGTTGCGATGCATGTCAGGTTGTGAATTTGGACCCTGCTGCGCAACAGAAACCGCTGATGTCCTGTTGCTGTTGCACACCATTCTTCCACAGAAAATGCTCAACCATTTGGTCGCTATAGGGCTATTCCTCTCTACTGCACCACCAATATTCACGCCTACATCCATCAAGTGCTTGGCGACTAGCATTATGTGGCCAAGCCAGAATTAAATGCAAACCAGCCAGCTTCTGTTAGAGTGTGCAGTCAAACTTCGAGTGTGCAGTCGTTCCAGAACATGTCACAGCTGGTCGGTACCTGCAGCAAAATACAACATTCGGAAATTCGTTATTGTACCCGTGCAATATCAAACATCCTAGACTATAGACGATCCAAGTTTCTCGCCGACGCAGGTAGCTAAGTCCATGTTGTTCTTGTATACAGATACATTCGAGGGTACGGCGATGTATAACGCGATTCGGTACGGAGTACCTGAAATGCTCTTGTTTGTGGAAAGCCACGAGATTTTGCTTTGAGGATCGACGTTCTTGTCACTGGGAATGTTTTTTGGGCTGTATCTGACCTCGTGAAATCAACAGGCAGTATTTGATATGCTGCACTGTGGCTTCAAGATTCACCTGGCATTAAGCTACTTTACCTGGATCCTATGTCGTTTGATGTCTTTTGGGTGATAAGCTAACTAGTACAGAAAAGTCAAGACTTTCGATGCAATTTACCACCGAGAGATACCCACCCATGTTTATTGCCGCGCTTGTCAAACCCCTGTATCTTATACTGAGGTCAATTCTCAGTCCCTGGTCTATTCCTAGTCCGGACAAGGATAATACAAGAACGCGATGATCAGGGGTTATTGGCAATAACGTCTCTCTCTACTCCGTATCCGTAGCCTCCCTAGGCCTCTTTAACTATTATCCAGGATTTCTAGATCGATCATAGGGTGTCTTAGACTCGATTCGTAACATGCATACGGATAGTACTAACTGTTCTTACGGATAATAGGCCTATACGTGCTCTATTTACCGAATTTTATTATCTCTTTAACCGGCATAAGACTATAAGATATTATATACCCCGCTTTTTTATAAATACCTATAGGGTATATAAAGTTCCTATTAAATAGCTTCTTTTTTTAATATTACTAAAATTATTAAAATCCTTATATAAATTAATTATAATAAGTCTTAATTAAAATAATAAGCTCTTAAGAGATATATAATTTTATAAATAATTATAGCTTTAATAGCCTACCTTTTTAGGTAGTTATTAATAACCTTATTTATATACCTAACCTTTTACCTAAAAAAAGCTATAATAATAATTTTTAACCTTTTAAGATAAAAAATTATAATTTTTAAATTAACCCTTTACCTTAGTAATTATTTAAATTATTCTAGCTTTTTATATTTATTTCCTTTATATAGTTATAGGTTAGATATATTAATAATTAGGCTTTTTTTTATATTAAAAATAGTATTATTAATAATTAAAATACCTTTATTTTTAATTATTTATATTTATAGGCTTAAAAAGGTATTTTTATTATAATAACTTATATATAACTTAATATCCTTATTTACCTAGGAATTTATAAGGAAATATCTTTTAAAGACTATTAAAAGGTCCCTAACCTAAAAGATTAATACCCCCTTTATTTACTTATAAAGTTTATATTATTACGGAAGTTTAAGCTAATTATATAGTATTTCCGCACTTTTAATTATACTAATCTTAATATAAATAATAAAAAAGATCTTTTAAAGACCTTCTAAATAGCTAAAAAGTAATTTAATTATATATAAAAGGTATTTATTAAGCTTTATTTTTTAAAGACTAATTTAATTATAAATAAATATATAATCCTTTTTATAGGTAGATTAAAATAAATAATACTTATTAAAGAAAAGCCTATACTAATAGGCTTTAAAGTCTAGGTTATTATATAATAAGGTTACTTTTTATAATAGCTTTAATATATAAAGGTATTATTAATTATAACTATAATAATTAAGCTAAAGGTATTAAAGCTATATAGTAAGAAAGGAAAGCTATAAATTAAAACCCCTTTTAATAATATATAAAATATTATAATTTACTTACTATAAAGGTTAATAATAATAATATATTATATTTTTATAAATAACCTTTTTTCCTTATTATAACTTTTTTACCTTTTTTAATAACTTAATTATAAAGCTATAAATATAATATACCTTAATTATAGTATTATTACTATAATAAAGTAAATTAAAAAGACCGAAAAGCTTTTTAATAACTAGTCTTTAATATATAATAAAATATATCTAATCTTAATAATAAATAAATAGGTATAGATAGTTTTATTTATATTTCCTTTACTAATTTATCTCTTTTCCTTTCTTTTAGGTTTTTTAAGTTACTTAAAAGGATAGCTTTATAGTCTTTTTTTTTATAACTATATATAGTAAAGCCCCTCTTAATTATATATTAAAAAAAAGGAAATTACCTATTAAAAAAGGTATAAAGGCAGAGATATAATACCTAAAGGAGGTCTTTAATAAAGATTAGGTTAAAATAATCCCTATTCTTTTTATTACCGCTTAATATAATAATAAAATAAATTATATAAATTACGGTAATTAAATAAAATCCTATACCTTATATTAATATTATTTTTAATATAGCCTTTAATAGGTATTTTTTTAATTTTTCCTTTTTAATATTATATTTATAAATAGCTTTATTTTATAAAAAAAGACCTAATAGCCTTATTAAAAGCCCTATAGTATACTTTAAGATTAAAAAGAGGCTATTTATAATACTATTTTTAATAAATATAATATTAATAGTAATATAAAAAAGAGATACTATATAGAAAAAAAAAAAAATAGTAAGGATCTTAAAGTATAGTAAATTTACCTATAAAGAGATATTAATTATATTAATAAAGGTAAAAACTTTACCTACCTAGCTTATAAAGGCTATAGGTAAGGGTAGTTATAACCTTTTAAAAAAAAAAAGTAAAAAAAAAGGTTATTTATAATTAATATTAAGAAATTAATAGCAATTATAGACCTAATATAGCTATAAAGAATATAATATAACTATTTATAATATAATAAGCTATTAATACTTTTATTATATATTAAATTAGGTATATAAAGATATACCTTAAGTTATACTAATTTTAATTGGCTTTAGACCCCTGTCGTGACCTCGTTATAGTCTTATGCCGGTTAAAGAGATAACTCTATGTCTATCGTCATGGCAATTTCGGCTTCGTATCCATTTCGAACCCATCAGCTGTCAGGCTGGGATTCACGCTGTCGCAGCGACAGGTGTCGTCAATATGTGAGCTTGCTATAAACCAATTCTCCTGAACCATTCACACATTTCACTCGCATTATATTCAGCCACTGCCGTAGCCATCGCACAGGCTATTCGTTGCAACTCCTGACATACGCGTTCATGAGTCGAGCAGTAGTTTGCAGCTGGAACCACACGACGACTATCCGGCTTGGCACCCCTTACTACCGCTACTCATCAATTGGACGTTCCATGCCGAAGCTATTACAATAATTAGCTTGAACAACCGGTCCCAGTGTACGACTCATGGCACACCTTTGTTTGTTGTTTAGCTATCCTCACCCCAGCATTTGTTGTCATTGGGGTCCATTTTATGTAGCAGCAACCGCTACTCCGCGAAGACTTCATCTATATCACCCTCTGCTATCTAATGGCAGCTATTCCTGTATGTATACATCAATGTAGTCCGTAGTCATTATTATATTCTACCTATGATATGTTCTCTAAATAATGTCTCATGGTGAATATATTCCGTTGCGTCCATGAATGAGCACATGACTCAAGAACCATGAACCCTGTAAGTGACGAAGTGAATGTGTGCTTTGACACAAATCCCACATCCAACAGGATTTAACATGGGCACCATTGATCGTTTTGTTGAAAAATCGTGACAGGGAGTGAGTCAAGCATAGATTTCAAAGCTAGGAACCAGTAGTGATCATTGCAAGCATGTTCCGTCAATGAAGAATGTGTATACATTCGAGCGGGCTTACCCTATACCACTCTATCTTCCAGCCATTACCAATCTTCACCCGATTGCAATGTCCATTGGGATTACATGTGCAACTGATTATCTCAATGACTACATTGAACTCGATCTGTTAATGAATTAAATTCTTTCGATCACCCAGATACGGTTCCGTGCTCGCGTGTTGTAACAGCGCTTCGTGAACAAACACATACCCACTGAGGAATAGCTACACACGTCTAAACATCGGTGGTGTTTATGTTACTCCAATGCCATTGAGACGTCCCAAACTACATGAAGATCCAAACGGGTATTAGCGTTTCCATGCAAGGAAAGGACAGCAAAATGTATTGGCCAACCCTTTGAAGAAGGATGATGGCCATTCTTCGTGGTGATATTGACAGACAAGGCCTAAACCAAAGAACACACCAGAATGGAGCAGAAAGTTTTCAAAGTAAACAATAACAAGCAGAGATATCATGATATTCCAGGGTTCTTTTTCTGGAAGCCCTTCAAATGCAACACGGCGCACCATCCATGGTACTCACCTGAAACTTGCAAAAACATATAGTCCAACATTCCCACTATTGTACCGAGCCCCAGCTTTTCCCTATCAATTCTGACATGTATACACGGGTTATTATACTCCTAAAAGGAGATTGATATTAAAAACGGAGTAAGTAGAAAGTGAACGTATTCATGAATGGCCTACGGGGTGGATCATATATACAACATCACTACAGGGTGATATTGATCAACAATCTTACAATGTGATAGTTTTCGAATGCACACAGTATTTGGTGATAGGTTTTAGCCTGGGTATGCCATAATCAATATCATTTGGCTAGGCCATGCGTAACCAAGCCGACGTGAGAGCTGATAAAGAACTCTGTTTGAACCATTTATGCTACTGTACCTATAGACACATATATGAAAGCCTTCCACCGCTGTATGTCCCGCAGCCGATGTTTTATCTAGTTCCTACCAAAGATATACCCAGTTCCGACCTGATAATGACTTTTTTTCAATGACTCTCCGCCCATTTCTTGAACCAATCTAGTGCTTCAGGGTTGGCAACACTGGCATTCGTCTTAACATTCATGCCGGAAAGGATTTGTTTCACGGCAACTTCAATCCTACATCGCATATTAGCAACAGGCGTTTGACTGTGTTTCAGCAGTGAAGACTTACTTCTTTCCGTTGCTAGTTTTTGGAACTCCTCCTCCACACTCTTCCACCACACCTGGCACATGTCGAGGGCTAAGTTCAGACTTGATCTTGGACTTGATCCGTAGACGAAGATCGTCACTGAACTCATGCCCCGGAACCATTACCAAAAATAGACACACAGTCTCGTCTGAATCTGTTTCTCGTCGACGTCCGATACAAACAGCATCCTCAACCTCGGAAGCAAAGAAGCGCGTGAGAATGTTGTAAATCTCAGCAGATCCGAATCGTACACCTGATGGCTTCAGTACACCATCTGATCGACCAAGCATGACAAGACTGCCGGTTGCAGGGTCTGGGATCTTGACAAAGTCTCCATGGTGCCAAACAGGGCCCTTGACTCCGCAGATATTTTCGAAACGTTCGAAATAGGCCGACTGATATTTGGCCTCGCCGTTTGGCCCGAAAAAGGTGAGAGGCTGGCAGAGGAAAGGCTTAACGCAAACAAGGTCGCCAGGCTCATCAGCCTTGATGGGCTCCCCTGTGATGGAGTCAACAGCGCGGATGGCCATACCCAGACCTGCGCACTGAATCTCGCCAACACGGACAGGGAGAAGTGGGCAAGGTGCACCGAAAAGGGAGATGATATCTGTCCCGCCTGTAATAGATCCGAGGTTGATATGCTTAGGGAAGGATTCGTATACAAACTTGAAGGTAGATGGAGGGAGAGGCGAGGCTGTTGAGTAGATAGCCTGGAGTCGGGAGAGATCGATTGACTTGTCACGGATAGCGTATACCTTGTTGGCTTCTAGGGCAGTGAGATAGGCAGCTGATGTGCCAAAGTGGGTGACCTCAAGGTCAGAGAGGAGGCGTGGAAGCGAAAGGTGACCGTGAGGGCGGAAAGGAGAGCCAGAGTAAACGATAACAGTAGAGCCTACAGCGAGAGCTGCGATGCTCCAGTGCCACATCATCCACGAGGTCGTCGTGTAGTAGAGCATTCGGGATGTTGAGTCGAGCGAACAGTGGAGAAGATGCTCTTTCTTGTGCTGGAGAAGCGTACCCAGTGCTGTGTGAACAATAGCCTTAGGGAGACCAGTCGTTCCACTGGAGTATAAAACGTATAAGGGATGAGCTGGAGGAAGTTGCTCGAACTTCAAGGGCTCCTCGGAGGCGGACTCAAGCATCTTGGCATAATCAATGGCTGATACACCATGCTTCTCAAGCTCTTCAAGGCCAAGTCCCCCAGAGCTGATATTGTTAATAACAACAACTCTCTCAAGCCCATTGTCTTTCAATGCAGCCACGATCTCTGTCGTTTTCGATACACTTGACCACTCCTTGCCATTGTAGACGGTACCGTTATCAGCGAACAACACCTTGGGAGCAATCTGGTTAAGACGATCTAACACAGCTGAGACACCGTTATCGGGGCTTATACCGGTCCAGATAGCACCTATCGAGGCGGCAGCAAGCATGGCTACAATCGCCTCGACATGATTTGACACAAAACCTGCAACAACATCATCTTGCTTTAGTCCAGCCGCACGCAGGGCGTTGGAGCAGCGACGAACTGCTTCACGGAGCTCCGCCCACGAGGTAGTCACTGTGGAGTTTGGTAGCTCAGTGACAGTGATAACAGCTGGGGCTGTAGGCTCGGGATGTGGAGAAGTTGCGGGAAAGAGGAGGTTCTCGGCAAAGTTTAGACGTGAGCCGGAGAAGAAATCTGGCCGAGGGTACATAGGAGCATCTTGGGGGAGGACCTGTGGATGGTGTCAGTGAAGGCTGCAACATATTGGGCTGGTTGCTCGTGATTTTGAGTATGCTGGGTATCTCACTTGAGATATCTTTCTCATTACTCCTCTTCCATACCTGATCAAAGGTTTTTGATGCTTTAACGCCAGCAAAATGCCAAACCTCCTCCCAAAATGAACCAACTTCATCAATAGACCACTTGTAAAGTGCCGGGTAGCCATCGAGACTCAGGTTGTGCTTCTTGTTGACATGCTCAAGAAACTTCCACATGTGAGTGGACTTAGGGTCTGGATGCCGCCAAAGTACATTGTCATCAGAGACAGGTGCCGCAGCAGACGGTGCAAGCTTGTCAATGGACATGACGGGCATTGAAACGGAGAGTAGGGGAGACTGAGTAGTCAATTGATCCCTCGGCGGGATGTTTATTTGAGAACAATTGAATGAGTCTCAAGGAGGCAATGGGTTCGTCGTCAGGACGATATAGCAGCAAGATATAGCCCAGACAAGAGGGACAAACGAGGACTCGGTATGAAGCAAAGAAGAAGCAGTTGCCGTTATTTGTTGAGAGGCAGAAGTTTGTACTCTTATCCCAACGCAATGGAACGGACTTTCAATTCCGTCTTTGGAGATAACTCGGAACCGGAATGTTTCTCAGATGGCCAACCGTTGAAAGCCGTCCCCTCCCGTTCTCGGCTCCCCGCCATTGAATCTGCACCCCGAAGTGGCTGTGGTGGGGGAGGCTGAATAGGTGAGGTGTGGCTTGGATCTCAAGTCGGAGATTTTGAGAATTGCTTATTTCTGTTCTACTCAAAGAATACCATCATGACAAGGATTGATAACTTCCATGATATTGATAATGCTTAAGATGGCTGTGACCATGAATAGCTATACTGCTATACGAACGCTTTAATTTCCTGAGGCTGGTCTCGTATACTCAACAGTATCGATTGCTAGACTTCTCAGTTTGAAGAACAAAGTAATTAAGTGCCGACCGATTACGCAACATAACGTGATTTTCTCAGCTTAGACGAGAGCCGAATCAAGATCACGTTGTCAAACACGTTTGGCGAGATTGCTTTAGTTGCTTTTGTTGGTTGCCTCGGGAGAGGAGCTCAAGCTCATCAAACGTGAAGTGTCCGTACCGTAGCTTAAGCTCGGCATGGGACATCGTCCCGAACCGCTCCTAAACCCGAGATGAGAGCTAGCTTATCACTTGAGGCTTGAGCCTCATACCCCATGATACATAATGCAACGCTTCATATCGTCAAGGAACTTGTGCCAATGTTCTTTGGAGATGGGAACCTAAGGACTGGCATCAGACTCGCAACCCCTCTCCTATACGAATTCAGGGGGAATGGCATGATGATGAGGGTCGGGAGTCAAGATGGCATTCTAAAGCCCCTCAACTGTATCGCGAAAATACTATGCAGGGTCCCATGGGCCATGATCGCGTGCATTAGCTACTTTGTCAGAGCTGAGACAAAGCTGGCGGTGAACGAGAATATTCGCTTAGTACAGGAAGATCTTGTTCATCTTTGATGCTATGCTGGCTCCCACGTCTGTCCAATATCTTCATCTGGCTAGTGGGTACCACAAGAAATGTCCGCTCCCCTGATTTCTCACCAAAATCGCTATTATTTCTAAATTTTATAATAAAATAAAATAAATTACTATAAAAAAGAGTTTTCTATTTTACAGTATTTATTTTATATTTTAATTATATTTCTATAGATTATAATAAAGGGGAGAAAAGTACCTAAAACCGGTCATTTCTTGTGGTACCCTGAGGTCTGGGGCTCTGGGCATCTAAGCGTGTGTCGGTGTGTAAGCGCCAGTCCAATGCCTACTACATGCAGTAAGAAAGCTGTCTGCAGCCCAGTACAACATCGTTAGCTGCAAGCGTGCACTGTCGACCGTGCAGTAGCTCGTTCTAAACAGTCCAAATACTTCGAGCACTTCGTCTTAAAACAAAGTGACTAAGAGTGCATGATGCGAATATCAAGGATATGGGATCAAAGCTAAAAAAACAGTCGAAAGAGGTTGACTCTATAGAAGAACACTACACGATAGTGGCAGAGAGTAATGCCATCATCGTTGCCGGCTGCGGCGGAGGTTTTGAGCTTTGAGTGCGGCATGCGGCATGTAGCATACCCCTGGATGATGACATTTCCCTTCTTTGGAGGGTTCAATGACCAATGCTGTGCAAGACAACGTGATCTGAGGGTGCTGAACCGCGGCCCCTTGACAGGTTTGCCATTCGCTACAGAAGGTAAACCAGAGAAATTTGGAGCGAACCGAGCTGCTACTGTAGCTAGCAAGAAAAGATGAAAAAGGTGGCGCCTCCCTCTAGAATCTCCCGAGTGTTCCTATTCGCAGGCCGGAGAGCTCGGAGGACCAGGGGTCTATCTTGAAAGCAGAGCCATTGGATGCGTTTTTACAGGGACTTGATTAATTTAAAGAGAGGGAGCCAAAAGACGATGGATGTTCTGATGATTTTCTCTTGGTGATACAGTACATGCCACTGTAGCTCGGATGCGCTGGAGAGGCAGGGTCAGCAACAAACCGGTAAATAGGGCATGATTTTCGAAGATACGCGTCTCACTTGGAAGTTGGGGCTACTCTCGAGCCTCCTTGAGCCTCCTTGAGCCCTTGGGAAAAAGCCGGCGCCGAAGGAGCCCAACGCGGCGAGTCTGTCCCTTGTCAGCTTAAAGCTCGTTAATGTGAACGAGAACGACAGGGAAGCGAGGCTGGACTGGCCTCGCCTCGCCTCGCGTCGAAGAGGCGACAGGCGACAGGCGGGATGAAAATCATTGTAGTTCCCCGCTGGCTGGCCCCTTATATCGATTGAGAATCCTTGTGTCCGGTCCTCTCCGGTTGTGATGTTTCCTGCTGTTGCTGTGGGTGTGTTTCTCGTACATCGTACATCGCATACGGTGACACAGTCAGCAACTCAGGTACATGCAAATAATGCAACTTTAAACTTCTGGTCGGCCTCGATTACACTCCGTCAGATACGGACAATAGAAGTATCTGGTATCCCCGTCACTCCAGGGCGTCACAAGCAAAGTCAGGTACCCGGTACTGCCGTCGAGGTATCCCCGCTGTTTCCTGTGGAGCGGAAAACCTGGACTTTTATTGTTTTTTAATGCACCAACATCCCACGTCGTCCCGCTGACTCCGCTGCTGTATGCTGCGTTGCAGTGCCTTTGCAGTGCCAAATAATTTAATAACCAGCTACTCCTTGCCTCTGTCGCCTCTTTCTCTCTTCTCATTATCACTCTTGCTGCGTGACAGGTCGTCGTTGTTCTTCGTCGTTCCTCTTGCAGATAGGCCCCGGCCGAGTGATCGAGAAAAGACAGTCCACACCAATTAATAACATCATCCATTCAACCTCACTCAGACTGAGTACGGATACTCAAGCATTAATCACAGCTTATTCCCCCTGATCAGTGCTTTTCTCGGCGATCTTGCAAGTCATCAACAACATCAATTACTCAACTCGACGATACGCCCTTGCGTTGCGGCCTGATCGATTGGAGCTTGGATCGATCTTCCTCAGAACGGTTACCGCTTGTCTCGCCGCTTGGAATCTCGAAACAGGAGCCATAACAGAAGTTATTTTTGCCCCCGAGTAGCGACTAGGTAAGAAGATATTCCATTCTTTCTCAAAACAAAACAAAAGATCGACATCACCGACCCTGCACTGCAATATCAATCCCATCCTTCTCTTTCTTCCATCCGATCCTCTGGTGTTTTAGAGATTCTGGCGGGACTGCGGCTGGCTCCGCTCACTGGCTCCAGGCCCCACAAGCAATTTGCAGTCGGCGGATCTTTACTTTCCTAGTTTGATTCGACGCCACCTCCTGCGCCCCCCTGTACCTGTGCCTCCTGGAACACGCACCACTACCTACACCTTTAGACGCAGCACCGCACCTCCAACTCGAGTTTAAACTCGGTTGTTATCTCTCTATCGAAATCCAAAATCTCCTTTCATCAACATCTGTTGTACCGTGTATCAGCTCCAGCTCAACATCTCTGCCGCAACTGCTTGTGTTGCAGCTTGTTCTGGCTCGCGGTTCACGTTTGATATCCTTTTTTTACCCCTTGCTTCGTATCTCGTTTGCATTGGAAGCATTTGCGTACCTCACCTCAACAAAGCTTCCGTCGGATTATGCGTTGCAACAAAACTTGTCGAATCGATTATTAGACTTTTCGCGCCAGCTGACACTCGCTCCTCGCTAGCAGACTCGATTCTTTTCCTGCAAATCCTTCGCTCTTTGGTGCTGTACCTTCCTTAGGCCTTCTCACGATCGCGCCCTTCTGTTCGCGCACTCCCAACAAACGCACCACTGCCAGGAGAGATGCCCCGTCGGCTGAATCCTTTTTCATCCTCATCCTCCATGTCTCAACCCGCCAAGTCGGGCGAGAGGCGCCCTTCTACCTCCAAGGGGAACCGCATCACCAACTTCTTCTCAAGCAGCCCTAAATCCACTGGGGCTCAGCAGGCTCTCGCCGCTGTTCAACAGAACCAGACGGGTGCCACTGGCTTCTCTCCTTCTCCCGGCTTGCCTACCATCTCTCTTTCGACAGCCAGCCCCGGCGACCCCAACAGCATCGACACTTCAACAACTACCATCTTTCAACCCAAGTCCGTTGAGGAGATTGACCGCCAGAAGCGTGCGGATGCCCAGTTTGGTCCTCTCCTTCACCCGACCCATCGATATACCAGTCAATCTCATGGAGAGCCCCTCGAGCCTCCCGTTGAGGACGAGCCTCCTTACTATTTCATTCTTACCACCTACATCAGCTACCTTATCCTGATTGTTCTTGGCCACATTCGCGATTTCTTTGGCAAGCGCTTCGGAAACCCCAAACACTACCGGGCTCTCAAGGCTAGCAACGGTTATGCAGCTCTTAACAGCGATTTTGACAACTTCTACGTCCGACGTCTCAAGATGCGTCTCGATGACTGTTTCGCCCGTCCCACTACTGGTGTCCCCGGACGATTCATTACCTTGATGGACCGCAAGTCCGACGATTTCAACCGCACATATCAATACACTGGCACCTACACGGAAACCCTCAACATGAGCTCCTACAACTACCTTGGTTTTGCCCAATCCGATGGTCCTTGTGCCGATGCTGTGGAGGAGTGTGTCAAGCGGTACGGCATCAGCTTCTGCAGTCCTCGTGGCGCTGCCGGTACTTCGGATCTTGCTCTGGAAGTCGAGCGCGAAGTTGCTGAATTTGTCGGCAAGCCTGCTTCTATGGTCTTCTCTATGGGTTATGTTACGAACTCGAGCTCTTTCCCTGCCATTGTCTCCAAGGGTTGTCTTATCATCTCCGATGAACTGAACCACGCGTCTATCCGTGTTGGTGCTCGCCTTTCTGGTGCTGTCATTCAGTCCTTCAAGCACAACGATATGGCTGACCTTGAGCGTGTTGTGCGCGAGGCTATCTCCCAAGGCCAGCCCCGTACTCACCGTCCCTGGAAGAAGATTTTGGTTGTTGTTGAAGGTCTCTACTCGATGGAGGGTACCATGTGTGATCTTCCCGGAATTCTTACTCTGAAGCGCAAGTACAAGTTCTACCTGTTCATTGATGAGGCTCACTCTGTCGGTGCTCTTGGTCCCCGCGGCCGTGGTGTTTGTGACTACTTTGGCATTGACCCTTCAGAAGTCGATATTCTCATGGGAACTTTAACCAAGTCTTTTGGTGCCAATGGTGGATATCTCGCAGCTGACAAGCACATCGTCGACAAGCTCAAGAGCACCAACGCTGCTACTCAATATGGCGAGACTCCCGCTCCTTGTGTTCTCATGCAGATCTTGGCTTCTCTAAAGCTCATCACTGGCGAGCTGTGCCCTGGTCAAGGCGAGGAACGTCTTCAACGTATTGCATTTAACTCTCGATACCTCCGTCTCGGACTTAAGCGCCTTGGTCTTATCGTTTACGGTCATGATGATTCCCCTATCATTCCTGTCATGCTCTACCACCCCGCCAAGCTCCCTGCCTTCAGTCATGAGATGTTGCGACGAAACATTTCGGTAGTTGTTGTTGGTTATCCCGCGACTCCGCTCATCAGCTCTCGTGCTCGTTTCTGCGTCTCTGCCGCCCACAACAAGGAGGATCTGGACCGCCTGTTGGCTGCCTGCGACGAAGTTGGTGATGTGCTGCAGATCAAGTTCTCCACTGGTGTGGCAGGCGGACTGGATCACCTCCCCGAAGGCGTCACACGTGAGAACGAAGAACAATGGAGAAGGGAGAACAGAATCCCCCTTACGGCCCCTCGCTGGCGCCTCGAAGATGTTGTCCGACACGGTGTTCAGGATTCCAAGGTTCCCCTACGCTAATATGTTGGCCTCTTAATCAAATTTTGTTTTTGGTGTTTGATACATCTTTTTTAACCGCTTGCATACTCAGAAACTGTCTGAGTGGTGTTTGACGCAATTATATAGATTCATCCTGTAAAGGAATGCGACGTTGCACGACGTTTAATGGCCTCTTTCTTCTTGGCGGCTAGCCATGTGGCTGTCGCGCTTTTTACATCTAGGCTCTCTTAACGGAGCCTTATTTGAAACGGATCGGTGGAGTTAAAGGCGCGTAAAGGTTGTGGGTGATATTGGAATGGGTATCACGAGCAAGGCTCCATTCAACGACCTGAGAAGATATGGGCATATAGAATAATTATTAACCGACAATGTATGTAGGACTGAAGCTTGATACACCTGCTTCTAGTAATCCAACAATTTCATGATTAAAGATAGTGATTTTGTGCCTCGGTGGTTGATTCCTGTCTTCCATTGGCGTACCAACCGGCTGTAGTCTGTATACATATGCTGTCCTATAACCAGGGCTACTAAACGTGAAAGTGGGCTACTTGAGAGTTGAAGAAGTGTTTGGAAGTGAGTCAAGGCCAGATATCCATCCCAGAACTTTGATTAGGAATGCTCAAGGCTTGGGCTCAAACCAGAAATGTTTCCTTGGAATACCTCTGGATATGCTAGTTCTCGATTCAATCGTTCCCTTAGCGTCCTAGGGATCGATATGGTTCCCCTCATATCTTATTCCCATAGTGTTAAGGGCCCAATGATGTTTGAGGAAGAGACAAAATGAGGTTAATTGAGTGGACCAGGAGTTCGATGCATTTCAGTCAATCTTGCCAGGGCTTAGTGATGTTTTTGCGCCAACGACTGAGACTTTTCAAAACGCAACACAACTGACGGATGAGGAACTATCTATCATGGTCCCGCGGGAGTGATAGATACTATAGTAGTATCGAGTCTGGGTGTTCGTTTACCTAATACATGTAATAGGCAGCTATCAAGCAGCCAGCCAACCTGTGAATAGGAAGGTCAAATTATGCTATGCAGTGGTTGGACTGGTAAACGGGCTACAGGGCTACAGCAGCGGCAGCCAGGCTCAGACTTCACACCTTACCGGGCGGGCTATTTAGTGGGTGAGGGGCCCGGCCGGGGGGCTTACAGGGGGATGCTGTCAGTGGAGCGGGACGGGAGCCAGGGCGTGTTCTCAGTGGAGGACGAGTTGTTCAAAGTCCCTCCCAGGCCGGCCGCTAGGTCCACCAAGCAGACTGCCAAGTCATGACCCAAGTACGGAGTACACCCGTAAGAGGCACAAACAGGTGATAAACGGCTCTTCAGTTCAGGTACCGGGTACCTAAAAAGAGGTGCCATTTTTCATAGGTTGTTGAGGTGGTAACTCTGAAAGTGGAGGCTATCCCAACTTGGGTAGGACCTCCTCTCTTTCCACCCCAAGCGCTTCCACGAGCGAGCGAGCACAAGCAAGTCCAAGACCAAGTCCAAGACCAAGTCCAAGACACAAACACCCCGTCATCATCACCAACACCCGCTTTCTTTTTCCTCTGGCTTCCTCCGACTCTTCGCTTTCTTTTTGTTGACTATTGAGGCGCCTCGGCTTGGCTCTACTTATTCTCTTGGGGTTGGCTCATTTTTCTCACATCGACATTGCCTTTCCTCAGCCCATTCCGTCCATCTTCTATTCGTCCTTTCGATTGTTGTCTCGCATCCAATCGTCCGAGAGACTGCGCCCACCCTCTCGACACGACGTCTCCCACCTCTTGGCCATTGCTTCTCTTTTTATGACGTTCCGATCACGATTTGAATGAAAGCTCTACGAAACATTCGACCGACCGACGCTCGCCAAATCTCATCCTCTTTCTTTTGATCCGACAGTGCCCAACCCAGCGCACCTATTTGTTGCTTGCAGCATCACCACCACCAGCACTGTCGCCTGGACTTAGTCTTGCGTCCCAACCCCCGCTTCAGTCGTTGGCGTCTACTTCTTTATCTTCGTCAGGATGATGAGCTTCGATGGTGGCACAGCCTACGCCGAGTCCGATGCCGACGACGAATACGAGCGAAGCATGGGCGACCACTCTCCCATCACCAACTCTGAGCACTCTCCTATAGATTCCGAGCTTTCCACGTCGGCAGAGCATACTCCGACGACCTACGGCCACCGCAGTAGCGCAGACCGTCTCCCAGAAACTATCATTACCGAGTGGACCGTCGAGGAATGTGCCGACTTTATTGGCACCATTGGTCTTCAACAGTATGCCGATCGCTTTATAGGTACGTTTTTGGTCTTGAACACGGTCTCTCCTCCTCTCGGCGGACGACCTCATGTTTGCTGGAAGGGACAAAGTGAAAGCTGACTCTTGGTTGCTACAGAAAACGAGATCGTGGGTGAGGCCCTGGTTGCGCTACAACATGATGATCTTAAAAGCATGGGAATCGCCAGTGTGGGACATCGTCTGACAATCCTCAAAAGCGTTTATGATGTCAAGAAGGCTCAGGATGTCCCCATTGAGAGCGACCATTACCTTCCCCTATGTACGTTGTCTCCGATTTTCCCTTTCGGGCGGACTGGCGTGATTCTAATCATTAACCCCTGTAGCCGCCGATGCTGAAGCGCAATATGCTACCGCAACTATCAAGGACATCAAACACCTTGTCGAACAATTTCGTCTCCGCGACGAGCGAATGAGCCTACTCGAACAGGACCTACGACGGATGTCAGACGATTTCAGGCGATTGCGAGAGGACATGCTCCCGGCCTTGCGCCTGGTCAAGGATGCGCAGCAGCCATTGCCCAACCTGAGTGGTAATAACCAGCAAGTTTATGGTTACGAAACCACCATATCGCCCCCCGCACCAACACCACCCCCAGGTTCTGGTCAATCTGGAAGCTCCGTCAAGCGACAATACTCGACTCGCAAGATTCTAATAGGAGCAACACCCAAGAATGCATCGCCTACCCAATCCACACACGAGAGGTCGATAGCAGAGACTGCTTTGGATCCCGCAAATGCCGCAGAGCGGGCCGTTCTATCGTCTTCCCATCTCGCAGCTATGAATGGAGGTGGCCAGGGCTCATCCTCCCCTTCGTATCCCTCACCAAACATTCCCTCCCCGACATCTCCTCAGACCCACATGTCCGCTACTACCCTCGCCTCTCGATCCTACCGCAGTGAAGCACCGACACCCTCCACACGAACCACCTTCAACGACGATGGCCACGCCAATGCAGTCTATACCTCCCGCGACAAGGCACCGCAAGGGCCACCCCGACGACGAGAAACCCCTGTACCTGACACACCTAGTCAAAGTAACGCTTCGGTCGAGATCTTCAAGTCATTCCGCGTCAGTATGGAAGATCCTTGCTACAAAGTTCTTCCTGCTGCGCTCAAGAAGTACCAAATCAATGCCCCTTGGGATCAGTATGCTCTCTATATTGTCTATGGAGACCAGGAACGTTGTTTGGGCCTTGAGGAGAAGCCATTGATTCTGTTTAAGCAACTGGATAAGGAAGGCAAGAAGCCCATGTTTATGTTACGGAAGACGACAACAGCACCATTAGATGGGGAACCAGGAAGCGCAGGGTTGGGCAGTACGTCGAGAGGAGCGCCAACAGGCTATGACCCCCCAGGGGGAATCATCTAAGCTACGTTGGGGGTTGATCGCCCTTGACGGAGCTTCCCTACGGCTCAAATGTACAGTACCGGACGGCGCCTACCGAAACCAAGGTCCTTTCAAGTGGTGGGCACGAGATGCATGCTGTACGTCAGATTGGCAGGGACGGCACAAACCACTGCTTCAAAGGCTGTATGATGCGCTCACTGGCCTGAATCCGCTTCTTGAAAGTGGGACAAGACCAGATCTGGGAGACTTGTCGAATTGTCTGCATGACGTTTGGCGATGTTTGTTTCAGTGGGTCAGCGTTTCTGAGCTGAGGTGGTGAACCTGAAACACCAACCATGAGCTATTATGGAGTCAACGCTAGACTAGATGTTGCTTTGGCCTACCGCGTTTGTCTTGAGTTGAATCCGATTATTGAAATGATTTGACACTTGAAAGAGGAGGCCTTTTCGAAGACCAGGGTTTTGGGGTTGCCGGGCCGGGCGACTGAAGTTTCCAGCTAGGGGGAGCTTGCATCGATTGAGCACCCAGCTAGTTTCATTTTCAGCTATTTGCTTTTGTCAAAGGGATACTCATCGACGCAGGGCGTTGCTGTTGGAGGAAGCGACCAATCCACGGCATCCATGTGCAGCATTTTTCATCAATTCATCATGGGGATATTGCGGGTTACGGCGTTTGAAAAGTCGACATTGGTGTTATTCTGCAACAAACGGCGGGAACGTCCTCCGCCGTTCTATTTTTTTGGGGCTTGCATGTTAATTTCAGCGCAGCACAGCACAGCACATCACAGCACAGGACGGGACAGGGAGGAAGGGTTGATAATCAGGAGAGGTTGGGTCGGATCAGGACGGATCAATTGTTTGTACAAAACTGAGTTATGCCATGGAGCTAGAATCTGTGTGAGTCGGATCTTGTAGGCTTTGCCTCGCATTGGAGGATATGCAGGCGGCTGGTCGGAGTTGGACATGATGTTTGCGCGAGTGACAACAGAGTCATGTGTAGTGTAGATACAGAGCCATCTTTTCAAGTTGGGGGTGATAGACAACATGTCTTTCTTGCACGGCGTATCTGTCAAACGTGTTTGTTTATACCTGGTATTTCCACAGTTTAATATCCAGCACCATGAGTGCTTCTTTCTTCGCAAGCTTAGTCTATTGGTTCACTTTACGTACCATTGCCATCCCTCTCCAAACCTGTTCTTCCTGCTCGCCTCAAACTCTTCGAGGAATGCCACGACCGCCTCAAGGGGTACTCCTCTCCTCATGCCCGTTTTCTCATCCCAGCTTGAATGCACACCTACTAAAGCCCCTGTTTTTCGATCAAACAATCCCGCGCCACTATGTCCCCAGTACGTCCAGCAGTTGTGCTTCAGAGCACCAATATCGCTATTGTCCTGCGGATCTTGGTCTTTTGCCAGTCCACGGAATGTGCCCTCACTGAGCATTAGTGTGTCGTACTCTGTTTTCACACCGCTGCGCTCTGCCTCTAGGTCCTCTGAGCCGGGATGGCCTATGCACAAGAGCTTGGAGTTGAACTTGGGAGGGGACGATCCTATGCGGCCGTATGGAAAGGGTCTGTAGGGGCTTTCAGCTTTGGCGATGAGTAGAAGAGCAAGATCACGCGCTGGATCCCATGCTATCACTGTTGCTGAGACCAGGTTCCCACTTGAGGATATGAGTGCCCTTGAAGAGGTGGTTGCGAGTTCTGAGGGTGTTTCTGCAACGCAGTGAGCACAAGTGAGGAGGACGCCATCAGGAGAGATGCACACTGCTGTCCCAGCTTGTGACTGGGCAAAGACGTATGTTGCATCTACAGGGTTTTGATATGTATTTGGATGGAGAGTGAGAGATTGGACGACATCTTGGGGAAGGGGAATAGTATGAGAGGCGAGCCAAGTGCGTTTAGAGCGGAGGGCACCATGATCCTCTCTTGGACAGGGAAGGTCGGAAAGGGAACGGTGAAGAAAGATATGTTCTATTGTTGGTTTATTGAGTGACGATTCCGAGGATTGGTGTTCTTTAGGAAGTAAAGCCGTGGGAGAGAGTGTCTGGCGGGCTGAGCTGCGAGTCTGACGAGTTGGAACCACAGGTGATGAGCCTGTTAAATCAACTATTTCAGACATGGCTGTGACTGAATGAAACTGTCTACGAGATGGATTTAGGACTGTATTTTGATGACGATAGATGATTGTGATTGAAGGGTTGACTTATATATGGGTGTCGACTATGGTACGCATCAAGGCAAAGGGGCCCAGTCCAGGTGGCTGCCTGATTATTATAGGCAGAACACCAAGGATTAGCAATCGGCCATGACCAAAACGATTTCGTGAAAGGGATATGATTTTTTAGATACTACAAAAATCATGAATACACATAGCCTAAATCAAGAACAATAGCTAGGTAGATTATAGAAATTCCACGTAATGATCTAGTAGTTCAGCGAGTGCAGCCATTGATACCATGGAGCGTCTGTCCCCATCTGTTTCATCTTCCACTCTTGCACTAATGTGCTATAATCCTTTGGACCGTATGGATGTGCTATCTCAGCAATTAAGCCGTTCTTGCGGTAAATCGGCAAGCCTAAATCTTTCAGGAGAAGATCCATGTACGGAACCGCGTCAAACACAAAATCTGGATAAATGTGTCCATATCCATAAGGGTACCTCCATTTCCCAAACCGACTATGGAGCGCTGTATCATGCTGCAAGCGAGCTAGGAAGTCGGGCGAAGGGTTGCGAGGCAATGATGGGATTTCATTATCAAAATAGGCGCTGACCCATATTGACTGAATAAGGGCAACCATGGTCGTGCCGAAGTTGTGCACCATTCCCACAAAAGCGATGTCTCGAGATTTCAGGAACCGACCTGATGGCGGTGCGATGAAATGGTATAACGTATACGGTGTCAGCACCGTCGAAGGCGTGATTGCATCTGTACTTGAGATACCTTTGTTGTCCAGTAGCGGTTGATATTTGCCGTTTGCCCCCCTTTTCACTGGCTGATTCTTGAGACGAGGGAACTGGTCGAAGATTTCTTTATCGATCTGGTCCAGAAGCGGCTTGGAAGGGAATGACTCTGGAGACGGGGTGTGTGGAATGCCTATTTCTTCCTCAATGCCTTCAGGAAGGAACTTGATGGGTGAAACGTGTTTCCACCCTGTCACGCAGCACATCGCATCTGTATGCAACTTCGTGCCATTGGATAAGTGTACAGTCTGACTGCTCAAGCTCTCGATGTCGGCAATATGAATCCTAATCAAACCATTCTTGACAAGGTCGAAAAAGTCTGTCTCATAGTTGAGAATAGACAAGCTTGTGGCCACAAACATTGGATTACTACTCCATGGTTTGAGCTTAGCCGTCTCGGGATGAGAGTCATATTGATTGAGTCCGTGGACATCATTGGCAAGGATTTTCCAGAACGTGTCGACGATGGCTCGCCCAATAAAAGTTCCATGGTAAAACCGGCGAATCTTTGCATAACCGTCCGCTGCACCCCAAGTACATGGGCTGAACCAACTTAGCATGCGTATATGTGGGAGTGTCTCAAGGAGCTTCTTGAAAGGCGTAACTATCGAAGGAGACATCCACGCAGGACCGTGCCCAGACTCTACAAAGGTCAGTAAGCTACGCATATCGGCGGTTGTGGCTGTTACCTACCTCGGATGACCCAGTCCACTTGGATCCCTTTGGTTGCATAGTTATATATGGCATCCCAAGCCAACTTTGTACCACCGAATACTGTCACTGATTTGGCAGTCTTGTAGGTGTCCTCATGTCTGAGCAAGTCTTTTCCGTGGAAAAGCGGAACTCCGAACCCCTCTTGGCCTTCAATATGTGGCAGGAAAGGCTCAGAAGTGACACCGGTAGCGAGGACAAGTTTCTTGGCCTTGATCATGACAACCTTGCCGGCTTTTGTGTTGCTCACTGTCAAAATCCAGCCGCCATCTTCTTGATGCTCTGCTATTTCAACCTTGTGCTCAAAACGCATTTTGTCGTATATGCCAAAGTGCTGAGCGTACATATTTAGGTATCTGTGTACCACCTCGCCAGGGATGTGCTCGCCTAGTTTCGTACCAAAAGTGTCCGTGTCCATCGGGAAATCCGGATACTCATAAGTGCTTAATCTGTTGTTGGTGTTGAGGCCAGTATATAGGCGATGCTCTGCCCAAGTGCCGCCCAGAGTAGAAGCCGAGTCGATGATAGCCATGGATTCCTCAAGATGCAGCTGGTGGCGTGTCTTTGCCGCAGCCAGTCCTGCCCAACCTGTTGACATGTAAGATTGGGAACTTTGTGTACATGTGTTATTGACATTACAGGGGAACTGTAAGTCAGGAAGAACTGAATATAAGTCTTACCTGCTCCAACCACGACAAAGTCAAGAGTTTCCATTGTCAAGTATCAAGGGTTCCTAGAAAGACACAGGTGCGAGGAAGAAAAAGCAAAACAAGTAAAAGAAAGATGAACAAGTAATCTGGGGAACGACATGATTTATTCTTGGGTGACACGACAGCTAGAACCCTGCAACACTGGGTACCCAATATTTTTGAGTAAGCTGATGCGGTCTTCTGATGTGGGTATCTTCGTTTGAAACCTCTGATAGCTGAAATAATAGGCGCTTACGTGCCCATATGGGTGAGATAATGCATGCAAACTACAAGCTAAGATGTCAAGAATTGCCAAAAATGAACGGCTGACTTGGCTGGATGCCTGGAGATGCCTTGAAGTGGCTCTGTAGGAGGCAAGGAGTGCGATGACGGTATTAAACTAACTGGTAAGAAGAATTAGTAGTGGCAGTAACAAATGAAGTGGAAACACTAACGAGCAAATCGCCTGGGATCTGATACATAAATATTGCAATTAATTGCAATCAGTTGCTCTGCAGTTGTTCTGATTCTGTTAGAATTCCCCAAGACCAAATTATGCAGGCCTATCTGAGGCAGGGAAACCCCGAATGGTGGTCTTGTGCAGGTAGCCTCTTCAAATTGGGAGGGAAGGTTGGAGGCAGCAACTTTCTTGATATTGATACGGAAGTTTTGCAGTCAATGGCCATCCTACAGTTCACTTGCTCTGCACATCATCACTTTCGCTCTCTCAGATTACGATTATCAACATATCTCGACTGTAAAAAATGCCCAACCCCATATCCGAAGCAATCGCATTGACTGTCGTCGGTTCTGGCCTTGCCATAGCTCGAGTGTAGTATCTTTGTGCTGCTTCAGAGTTCAGCCTCGAAGACTTCCTGATGATTATGGTGTCGGTAAGAAATTGCTCACAACTGACGACGCATAACATCATTCCAATATTGATTAAATCGCTAGATCATCTACATCTCTCAAATGGCACTCATATGTTGCGCCGGTACCCAATAGCATGGGCTTGCCAACAACGGCATCACCATGGAAGAAAGAATCACGATTGGTCTGGACACCCAGGAATACAAGGCCCGAGTTTCTGGGTCCACGGCACAGTTCGCAGGCCTACTGATCCACACATGCTTCTTCTTTTTCCTCAAGCTGGCTATATGCATGTCTTTGCTCCGTATTTCCCAAGAAATGAAACAATACAGGCCATGGGTTATCATTGGGTTCGTCCTAACCATCCTTATTTTTGCTGGAGTCTTGCCGGCGCTGGTCTTGGTTTGCCAACCCCTGGGTATGAACTGGCAGATCAATCCAGATCCCGGATGTAAGTACAGGTGCAGCTGACACGCCCTTATACGATGGTAATCTGACTGGTGGTTGACAGACTACTGCCACCCCGGAAATTCTGTACTGGACCTCATCCTTACGGCAGGCATGGACGGGGTTGCATATCTTTGCGTGGCCTCGATACCGTTGCCAATACTTTGGGACAAGCAACAGAGTGTGTACAGGAGGACTGCAGTCCTCTTGCTCTCGGCTGGGGGTTGGGCTGTCGCGGGGATGGGGATTGCGCGATGCGTTCTTGTAGTAAAGGCTCAGGATTCCCTAGATGCTATCAGCCGTGCCTGGGCAGTACGGGAGTTATTCACAGCCGTCTCTACCACAAGTGCATTTGATATGCTGATAATGTTCTACAACAACAAAGTTGAGGAGGCAAAGGGGGAGTAGTAAGCGTTCACAGTTTAGACAATCATAAAATAATTTACGGTTACGACGGGTCGTCTGTCCGATTTGGGTTGTCAAGATAAGCAGTGAAGACTGAGCTCCTTTGTGTTGGAGAGTCAGGTCCGTTTAGCCAAGACATCTGAAATGGTCTCGAACTTACCTTGTAACACCGTGCCCCAATCGAAAACAGTTGCTTATCCACGGTCGTGTACGGAGTAGGAGCGTAGGTTGTCTAAATTCTCAAGGTAATTTTTCTTACAATAGCCAACGGAAGTTTCCTCCGACGCAGCCGCGACTTAATCAGCCACCCCGCGGTCCCGGTTGCGGGGGAGTGAATCGGGCTAACCAACGGGGACCAAGAGCCCGCTATTGGTTGTTGGGCATGACGTGAAGGCCCGCAGCGACTGGGGCATTTAGCATTTAACCTTTGTCAAGGATAGTAATGATAGTGACATCCCATTTGGAGGCGCATTGGGAGAAGTTGAAAAGACATGCTAAGTAATTAAATACCAGCATATCCTGTGTATGAGTATGTGTGTGTGGCTATCACTTTAGCATAAACATACTACGTATGAAGCTTTATTTGCCTGCACACATTCACTGCAAACGCAGCTACTATATCATTTCTTGGCGCTGACGCGCTTGTGGATTTCTATGCTGCTAATAAATGGGGCTTGGACGTACGTTAAGAAGTCGTACAGTAAACGTCTTGGCGCACTTTGAAGCGCATGTCGTGTTGAAGATGTGACAACAGAGACTCGGTGTAGATAGCATTGGCCGTTAAAGAAATGCACAAAGTGTCGAGTGCCATCTGAAGCTGAGGGAGGGAGAGAGAGTCAGATACAAGGGAGAGTTGGAGGGTTGAAGAGTTTCGGGGAGAAACCGATAACAAACCAGCGAGAGCTCAAACGGAAGGTGCACCCCGGACGGGAACTCCCCTACTCCTTGCAAACATCCACTTGAAATGTCAAGGATATCCTTTCTTCCCTGCGTAATTCTTTGGGGAAAGAGGAGGCCCTTTTTAGCGAAAACTGGAGGTTCCTGCTCCCTGCTCCGTCTCTTTACATTCCCAACCACCAGTGTCTCCATCACTTTTCTTCAACCTCCAGACTTTTTAATCTTAGTCTTGTTTTACATTAACTTCATCGGTGGCAGATCAGACGCCGAGTCTCACGCTGTCCATTTCTCTGTCTATGAGACCAGCTTGTTGTTCAACCTAACTTGTCGAAAGGCTCTGATCATCATTACACGATATCTACGATCAGGTTCATCTCCGCATTTAACCTCCGATCCTTTACCCAATCGCTCCGATTGAGGAAGCAGTCTTTCGATATTTTTCTACCTCGATACTATCACGAGCACCTCACCACTTTTTCAGTTCCCTCAAAACTGAGCTATCCTCTGCTGTTTTTGAGCTGTCGAACCTATCAAAGTTCTCGCATACTATTGCTCACACACCAACTGGACGATATTCTGTGGATTGTCGATCCCCCAACGCTCACTATCAACCTCCGTTGCTGCCGCTCCGGTCCATCTTTCGGATCGTCCGGACATATGCCCGACAACTACCGATCCATTGTTTTTCAAGTCTTACAACTTGCTTTTATTTCTACCATCGGCCAAACATAGCGAAGGAATTTTAAGCTTATTTTGTACTCTCAATTCATCTGCTCGCCACTTGCGCTCATCCGGCGACCAATATTGCTTACCGTCCTCGATTTCCGTACCATGCCTATCTCGCCGGCATGGCTTCTCATTCCCCGCGGCGAGCACTCCTCGTCGCCGGAGGATGACAAGTCCTCAACAGCAGGCACAACAGGGAATCTCGTTCCCCAGGATTCATTCGCAGATGACCTATTTCGCGATAAGTTCATGGGTATCGCCAAAGGAGGTTCAAATGGGGAGAAGATTATGCGCGGCTTTTTAATAGGCCTGGCTATTGGCCTGGTTGTTGCATGCTTCTTTTGCTGTTGGTACCCATGTTGTCGACCAAGATTCCAAAATCAGCGCCGAAGGCGACGGGCGCGTAGAGGACCTCCCACAGCAGACGAAGAGCAAACCACAGCAAACCCTCCACCTCCCGCATAGTCACAGTGAGACTGATACCGACTGGGCAATGGCGATTGAGGATCTTGCATTCGTATGTGTCACAGTCGACAAATGGAGACAAGCGATGGCCGATCCCCTATATGACGGTTTCCAGAGGAAGAACACAACAACAAAAGTTCACCGGAGCGCTCTAATACAATACGGATATACCAAAAGGTGGACATCGAAAGCATGCGAGTAAATTCGAAAATATGGCGGCCTTGGGCGCTGTCCACCCCCACCTGGAGCTGCCCGGACTGCTGGACGTTTCATGGGTGAATACCTGCAGCCGAGAACTATCATAACTGCTCGTGCTTAACATAGCCCAGGACGATCGCCGTGCAAGTTTTCAGTGTTTGTGGGTGCGCAGATTACTGGGGCCGGATGGGATTGCATAAAAGAACCGTGGTACGAAGTTCACGAAAAGGCGTAATGAACCGAATATGACATTTGCATTGAATACAAGGCGTTGAAGGCATGATGATACACTTGGAGTTGAATATTAAGGTCTACATTGGAAGACACGAATCAGGTAGCTGAGGTTTTGCGTTTCGCATTGCCCGGAGTTTTTATTGCCTCTAGATGTTTAGATGAACCAGTAGAGAAAGAAAGCTGGGTCTCTATAAATGCAAAACATATACTACACCTCAAATTACACAATGACTGAGTGCTGATCAATTTACGGGACGAATTGATCTTATAATGCTGCACTCAGGCAGGGCTGACGTAGAAAACGAGGCTCAACGGTTTGCTTGTCATTGGACGCGCGTTAGGGTGGTAGACATGCTTAATATACCCGGCGCCATTCATTGGCAGAATCGCTATTAGCAGGCGATCGTTATTATGAGGCTTCCCGTCGGAGTATCACAATCCGATAGATCAGGTCCAGACAAGACAAGAATAGCAACGAATGAGCGACGGTACAGGCTGCACAGCCTCTTTGATAGAGCGGGTGTGGCGTTGGGCGCATTTGGTATGCGACTGATGCGAGAACGAGCAGGTTCAATTCTTAACGTTAAATAAGGAATGAATTCTGTCTTAGTATTTGTTCTGTAGAGCATTTGCATATTATTTCCACCACGAATACTCACCTTTATCTGCATTATTTTCTCGTTTGTTCGATACCCATTCGTCGAAACTTCAAGTCCTCGTGACCCTCGTAGGAGCAGTCACAGGCCGTGTAATTACTTCCTTGCTTCAAAGCAGCCCCGCCTTCTCAGTCTCAGCCTGCCGCGCAATTGTCTGTCAGGCTTTCTTCCTTTCAACTACTCACAGTCAGGTATAACTACCACTCGTTTCTCCTCTCGTTGCTTCGATATATTTCAGCGCCGTCTTCGACAAACCATTTTTGCGACACTAGCTCTTGTTCCACTCGTGTGTTACACCCGATATACTACTACGTCATCTCCCGAATTTGCTTTGCGACATCAAACCAACAGATCGCATTTCGAGTTACAAATAAAGAACACAGTCAGCAAAATGCTCGACGAGAACCTCCCGACATTTCGCTTCAAAACATCATCAGAGAACCCGCTTAACAACATTCTCTACTTTTCACACAATGGATCAGACCCTGCGCCCGAATACCTTCTGAAGCGACCGTCTCCCTCCGATGCCGATGGACAATATGCGCTCGGCATCTTCGACTCGCAAAACACCTCTGTGATCTACGCAGAGGTTGATGTCAAGCCTGACTGGGTAGCTCCTACACTGTCTGCCGCTGAAATTCGTGCGCAGAATGGCAACCCGCCGCCTAAGACACCAGCTACGCCAGAAAGCTTTGATGTTTTGCTTTACAACCCAGACCAAGCCATCGCTGTTAAGCAACACCCAGGAAGCTGGGGTAAGACGGATATTTGGGAGTTTGAACTTCCCGAGAGATCCTTCAAGCTACCCAGCGCCAGTCAGATAGACCAGGAGCATCGACCACCCATTACCGAGTTGGTTCCCAAGGTAGTCTTTCGATGGAAACGCGATGGTCGTTTGAGCAAAGATATGACATGTTATATGACTGGTAGAAATGTTGGTGGAAAGAAGAGCAAGGAACCCGACATCACTGTCGCCTTTTTTCGAGCCAAGCACGACTCGACCATGACCATCTACGAACCTAACATGGCTCGAGTTGAGATCGAGGATCGAAGAGGTCTCGAAATCACTCTTCTCATGAGCGCCGAGACCATCAAAGACCTTTACTTGAACCCAAGCCAAGATCCTTTCCACCTTCTCGCTTCGTCTAATGGCCGACGTCGACAGAATTCCAGACCGGCAGCAAATTCTTCTGCAGGTCCAGTAATGACAGGGGCTTTAAACAACAACCGGCCATCATCACCCCCTCGAGCGCAGGCTCAGGCACAGCCGTCGAACAATAATGCGCAACGTGAGGCCGAGGTTGAAGCCGAAACACGACGGTTACAAGCAATGGTAGCCGAGGAAGAACGAAAGAGGCTCGAACGTGAGAAGCAGGAGGAGGATGAACGCAAGAGGATTCAGAAGATGCTTGAGACCGAAGAACAAGAACGTTTGAAGCGAGACGCCGAAGTTGACAAGGAGACAGAGCGACTACGTCGAGAGTATGGTATGGCTGGTCAGGAATTTGACACACCAACTAATCCTGGGCATCCATCGCCACCATTACCTCCGCGACCACAGTTCGCTTCTGGCCCGGCTCACGCTCCACTAAACTCATCCAGTCTACCCCAGAGACCCTACAGCGTTGGGCCAACACCAAACGGTCAGCCCCAGCCTAGCATCTTCGCCCCGCCCCCGTCTCAAGCGAAGCCTTCGCAGCCTGGTCCCAACGAGAATGGCAAGAAGCGCCATGGCTTGGGTGGCCTGCTGCAAGGAGCAGCCCCTTATGCAGGACCTGCGGCGGCGAGTGTCAGCGGCTTCTTTAGCAGTCGAAAAGATGAGGACAAGCGAAAGAAGGTTCAAAAGAAGCGAAGTGTGCATTTTTAGATATACCTGATATAAGGTCTTTTTGTATTTCTTGATGTGTTGTTTTAAATTGGCGCTACAAGGAGGATATACCATAGATTATTGGGAACAGCATTATTTTATGAAAGACTCTGTCTTGTATTGGTCTGTCATAGAGGGAACTATAAGAAACAGTGAGTCCCAGTATTGATATGCCTGAACTTTGTCCTTGTGCTTCCCTTCCCAATGTTGCATCCTTTCACCCAGCGGTTCCTCGAGCGATGGCATGCCTCAATGATAGCATCGCGTATGAGCAGCAAGCTTCTGTTGCGCGACATGGCGGGAAGTCAAGTATATGCGAAGAATCGTGGTGTAATTCGAAGCGAAGTAGGATATGCGTGACTGTTTAATTTAAGACTGGGGACAAAGGGTCGTCTTGTATCTGAGAGTGCAGAGTATGCAATACTGCTTCCTAGCTTCTCGTCAAGTCGTCTCGTTGATACAATAGTTGCTTAGAGAGCCTCTCCTTGGGGTATCTGTTCTCTCTTTGACGGCAGTCTTCGACCAGGCTTTCCTCGAGTTTGGCATGGCTCATGCTGCGTAGTGGAATTGATATGGCATTTTGACTCTTAAGCGCTGAAGCTCTGCGCGGGCGTACGAAGATAAGGTCACCAGAGAACATGTTGATGTTGATGATGAAACTGACTGATGATGCCAGACAAATGTAAACGCGAAGATGATAAGAGAAACAGGTTCATCGTTCTAGCAGAGGGGAAGTGTTTTCTAGGTGACTAGTTGGGGCTTATTGTCGACTGTTTTTGGATATACATCAAAGGGAAATTAACACTCGAGCGACCAAACATCACTAATGGTCTTCGCTGATAGGATGTCATGTGAGAGAAACACATAGTGATGGGGACTGGGTGAGATATCTTAGTTATGGGTGTCTGTTGACTATTGTTGAGGCCATCTCCCTCCCACTAACCTATAGGCCTACTGACCTTCTTCGATGATGAACGAACGACAACTGCAACTGAACTAACGTTAGTAGATAGACTAAGTTAGTATGTGGGTAACATCGCGCCTAGTTTTATCAGTTAGGCCTGCAGACTGCCGTTCATTAGCCTCTTAGGCAGTCTCCCGTCTTGTTCCACCCGGTCGGATCGCCTGTACACCACATAACAGGACGCAGTAGAACAAGTACATGTTTTACATCGCAGGTAGTAGGTAGATTAGTAGCTAACGAGAAGAACATGTGCGCCTGGAGTGACGGCCATGGAACAAGGGTATGTCCCGATTCAGCAGATGCCCTGCCGATCATCAAACCTCATTTGGAAAGTGTTTCTCCTGTGAGACCAGGTTGTTTTGATGTTTCTTTACCACACGATGACCGCTACAAGACGTCAAGTTGCATTCGCGTAGGAATTAAGAATGATCCTTCTCATCCTTTTTCACATAATTACGGGACTCACCCCATAGTATGTCTTTTTCAGAGGAGAGACCAAGTAGCAACGAGAGCATCTTCACCGGATTCTGAAACAGAAGAGCTATGCTCGCACATATCAGTCATAGCGCATATCCATTTTTGGCGCACGTCGCTGCTGCTTTGGAACATGTTTAATCAACTGGAGAAACAATTCGGCCTAAAATGACAGTGCGATACAAGGGATGGAGAGAGAAGGAGCTGTGCAATGTACAACAAGAATCCTGCTGAGACTTTGATCAACGGCGAGTAACCAGGATCTTTCACGTTCTGTTCCACAAATGACAATATGCTTTATAAATAGAAGAACAGGTGCTTTCCCACGCTCATTTCTTCTTTGGCTGAGGAAGAGTGGCTCTTGCAACACCGGCCAAGTCAAGTCAAGCAGCATTTTCTCACGATGCGCTTCTCATTCATCTCGACGGCTCTGCTGGGCCTTGTCAGCTCAGTCAACGCCTGGGGCGGCATGACACCTGATAGTAAACAGTTCCGCACGCTGGAACGTCACGGACTTACAGCGTTCCAACATGCTGCGACCAATTCGAAGCTCGAGTATGTGACCAATTCGGGAATCTGTGAGACTACGCCTGGAGTTGGGCAATACTCAGGATACCTGTCTGTCGGTAAGTAAGCCCAATACAGGCATCGAGATCAATACTAACATGCACATAGGCAAGAACCACAGTATGTGGTTTTGGTTCTTCGAGGCCCGCAACAATGCTGAGGACGCTCCTCTCGCTATCTGGCTCAACGGTGGTCCTGGTTGCTCCTCTATGATCGGCCTTTTCACTGAACATGGGCCATGCCACTTCGTCAACAACGACACTGAGCCAACTCTCAATCCTCACTCCTGGAACGAATACGCAAACATGCTCTACATCGACCAGCCCATCGGCTCTGGCTTCAGCGTCGGTACTGAAGATGTCAACTCCACGGCGCAGGCAGCTCCTTATATCTGGAAGTTCATGCAGGCCTTCCTAGACAAATTCCCAAAGTACAAGTCGCGAGAATTTGGACTCTTCACGCAGTCATACGGTGGACACTATGGCCCTGAGTTTGCCGACTACTTCCTCAAGAAGAACGACAAAATCGAAAAGGGTGATGTCGACGGCCACAAGCTCGATATGGTTGCGCTGGGCATCAATAACGGCTGGATCGACCCTGAACGGCAGTTCAAGTCCTACGCGACATACGCGAACCGCAATCCCTACAAGAAGATTCTTGATAAAAAGCTCCTAACACGTTTTATTGACTTATACGACGAGTATTGTTTACCTGCCCTCAAAAATTGTACTAAACTCGAGGGCCAGGACGAGGAATGCGCAAAGGCCGATGATGTGTGTAACACTCAAATGTTTACCAACCTTGAGATTGCAAGCAGAACCGACTTCAACGTTTATGATGTGCGCATCGGAAGAGATGATGTTGACCCGCCGGAGAACTTCCTTGAGTACATCACACGAGCTGATATCATGGATGCGATTGGAGCGAATACACGGTTTACTGAGTGCAGTGACACTGTTTTTGCAAACATGGTGACCACGGGAGACGGTGAGTGGCCTGAAAAGATGAGCCCAAGAAGAAATACTTACACGAATACAGGTGCGCGCTCATACGTCGAACGTTTGGCCGATGTGGTGAAGCGTGGTATCAACACGGTTATTTGGGCCGGAGATACCGGTAAGTTGGCATCTTGTGACACATGGAGCGTAATATACTGATTTCATCATGTTCAGATTGGATCTGCAACTGGGAGGGTGTTCTCTGGGCTTCTTATGCGCTTGAATGGCCAGGCCAGAATAAGTTCGTAGCGGCACCATTCAGTAACTACACAGTAGACGGTAAAGCCCACGGTCGATACAAGACTGCTGAGAACCTGTCCTTCCTGAAGGTTTGGGAGGCTGGCCATTCAGTGGCGTATTATCGTAAGTTCCACTTGCGAGTGTCAGTATCATTGCTAACAACAGAACAGAGCCTGAGACTGCGCTGCAGGTGTTCAAGCAGGCTATGCAGAAGAAGCCCATTAAGGCGACCTAATAAGGCAAGTACTAGGATCATGCTGTGTTCAAGGCGTTCAGGTAGAAATAATAATAGAATCAACAATATCGTTATTCGCGATATGAAGTTTGGCATTTCGAAATTCCATGCTGTGTGCAACCTGTTTTTAACCATCAACTGTATTGAATATGAGCATTTTGCCTTGTTCTCATAAAAAATTGTTTCAATGCAAGCAAGATATACAAGCAAATAGTACGCCAACGTCGTACATATAAATTGTACCGAACATTCAAGATGAGTTCCAAACTCCCCGGGCCATGCGGTTCTTTTCCATTCCGTTCTGATTACTGCGGCTTGACCTTCTCGAGACGTAGGTCGTTGATGACCATGTATCGGCTGAGGGCGATCCAGCCATATCGGAACCAGACCATCTGGCTCCTGTGTGCTTGGGTCATGGCGCTCCAGGCGGCACCGTATGCGCCGCGGCCAACAAGCTGGTTCATGAAGACGAGCCCCTCAGGACGCTCCTCATCCTGCTTCTTGACGCCGACCCACGAAAGCAGCGTGGGAATAAAGTCCATGAAAGCCGAGTACTTGCGCACAACACCCACAGTGGTGAGGGTATATAGATCGACAGGGCTTGGCCACTCCGACTCGGTGGTGGTGAGAGCCTGGATAAAGGATCGGGCACCCAGGTAGAGAGAGATATGGTTGGGGTGGGAAGATACGCCGTGGCTGTCAAAGGTGACGAGGATGTCAATGTTAGCCGTAGGCTTCATGTTGTTCTTACGCTCTTGGCCGAACTTGGGCGCAAATGTGCTTCCTAGCAGACGAGCGATCAGGTTCTTGTCCCACATTGTCGTCATCGAGTCAGGGAAATCGGTGCTGTAAGTGAGGCAGTCTGTTAGCTTCATGAGCAGCGGTTATTGGCGCCCAGGGCATTAGACATACGGGTTATCCACCACAAAAACATCATCCTCGTTCTGGAGTCCAAGCGCCAAACCGCTCTTGACCAGCTCCTGCTTGCGAATGTCTCCTAATCCGTCGGCATCTCCTATAATGCGCCAAATCACCATCAGCCAAAACTGCTTTCAACCAGTTTGTGTAGTCGCATCACAATGCGATCGCAAAGCACGGGTCGTTGCAGTCGGCTCATACCAGTGCTCAAGCATAGGATCTTGACGTGGTTTCCGTTCTCGGGTCGTGTGAGGGCGAGGACGGTCGGCGAGAAGAACATGGCTTCGTCGTCGGGATGCGCAATCAAGAGACAGACACGCTTGTTCTTGATGGTCGATTGGGCAGTGCTAGCAGTGAACATGTAGATGCCCGGCACCACGACGGCAAGGCCGGCAAAGATGTGAAGAACGTTCATGTCGGCGGTGATCTCGGTGTCGAGGTTATAGCTGTATTTTGCGACGGGTGTTCCGGAGTTGTCGCTATTGATTTGCGACCTGGGTCGTCGGTGGGGTGGACGGATATATAGGTCGCCACAGCAGTGCAGGTCCTATGAGTGCGAATGAGCAGAAATTGAAAGCTATACTCGGCTCAATTGGACTGTTAGAAGAGAGAATTTGCGTCCTCTCGAGAACTGGACTTGGCCCGGATCATGAACAGGTTGCGATGGCTGAGACAAAAGTGGCACGAGACACGAGAATAAACAAGTGAAACTTGGATATGGAGGGGCAGAAGCTCACGAGGGCGCGAATACCAATCGCTAAGGCAACACCCCTAGAACGAGCCTACCTCTACTGAACGGTTCACCGCCTCACCACCTTGGGAGCTACAAGCTGAAGCCCCGCCTTCCATCTATTGCATAAATTACAGGCCAACCTTGGGGGAAGCTCAGTGGCGTGCAGCGCGGGACGGCACTCTATACACTAAACCCCTTGGGGTAACCTGTTGACGTTGGCCTCTAAACTCTGGGCAGCGTACAACTTTACTTCACTCCTTAATGAACTTCATCTCACGACACCCTCTTCCGTTTAACCATGGCCCGTCAACGCAAAGAAAAGTCCGCCAAGGACATTAAACTCGAACAACCCGATCGATCCGGCCCTAATAAAGAAACTCTTGTCGACTTCGCCAAAGGCCGCGACCTTTTCGAAGAAGCCGATCGTCGACAACGCGAGCTCAATGGCGAAGGACCTCTCTTGTCGCCTCGAACAGAACGTATCTTCGAGACATTATTATGGACTGGGATCATTGCCACGGTTCACTTCACGTTCGACGTACTTGTGCAGCGACAGTATGCTATGGACCTTGAATGGCCTGTAATCATTCAAAGGACTTTTACAGCCTGGCTCTGTATGTCTTCTGCCAGCCATCTTTAGTAAAGCAGTGTACTAACACAATAATGCTCCAGTGTTCATCGTCCTGTTCTACGTACTACATCCGCATTACTCCCAAAAGAACTTCATTCCGCTCCTTCCTAAAGAGTACCAAGAGACCGTCCGCCAAGTGATATTCTTCGTCATGAGCACTTTGGCCGGTCCATACCTCATTCACATCAGCAACAACTACGGATATATCGCTATTATGAAGCGGGCTCCTCCTGTAGGTTGCTTATGGGTATGGGCTGTGGTGGAAATGGATATCCTTTGGGCCTTTCCAAGTCTATGCATTGCGGTTGCATACGCCTACAAAAATGGGTACGGCTTTATATAAATCCACCTCTTGCTATCAGTACATGGGCTTCCTGCGTACAACTGTCTCCTCCGAATCGGATGTTGTGGTGGAATCTCCAACATCAATCGCTTCAGTCGACCCTATGCTCTTGACTTCCGCAGTTACCAACGTTCCAGCTCGCGAAAACCCGGAATGATCGCGATGCGTCAACCGGCTTACAAGGTCCTCTAGCCGGTGAATTCGATCTCTTTGAGACTCGACTAATGACTCAAGCTTACGCGAGCTCTCGTCCATCTTCATCTCCCGCCATTTTGTTCTCGAATCCAGCTCCCGCAGTCGAGAAGAGATCATGCTCATTTGCATAAACTGCACCCTCGTTGTCAAACCTTCTCGCTGCCTGACTAGCTCAAGGGCTTTTGTCCGCACTGGCAGCCACGCCATGGCTACAGTTGTGCGACCGTTCCAACTCCGAGGCAAGAGTGTCCATCTCTTGCCCTCGTCGCCAATGCTTGCTTTGGCTTCCGTCTCGTCAACAATGTCGAGTAGACGTTTCTCAAGATTCAACAGATCATCCATGACAAAATTATACATCTGATATTCGGGTTGATATGCATGAAAACTCTCATGCTGGGCATTGATGGCATTCACGAGATCCGCCAGCCATGTGGACTCGGTCTTATACCACGACAATGATGTTTTAACGCGAAAATACTCATCATCACTATTTCGTAAATACGTGAGACGAGCATAAAATGCCGCGGCAATGGCAACGACAAAAGTCAAGATACCTGCAACATTGGCGCTTATTGAGAGCGGCGAGTCTCGCTGGCCATCACCAGCATCCATTGAGCTCTAATGGATCGGAGGAGAAATCTTTAGGTGGGGTTCGGTAGTAATCATAAACAGAAACGCTTTAAAAAGGGCATGTTAAGGACCAATTTCGATTTAAACTCACTCCGAACAAAAAGCTTCAGCTGAACTTGTTAAGACTCTATCATACGGCAACAAGGCACGTGATCTATCACATGACAGTCACCTAACATCTATCGCGAGATACAATGTTGAAAGCTTGAATGGATATGTATTCTAATTCCAATAGAAATAAAGTGATTAAACGTGAATTATAAGCCCCCTCTTCTGTTTTCGTTCGTAATATGATTTAACTTCGTGTGTCATGCTAAGTAATGCACGATGCTCATTATCACTTCCCTCGACAATCCATAAAATCATACTGGATATCGTCATCTATGTTTGTAACGCAAACAAATTCGCTTCACCAAATTTCCATCCCTTACTTTGCAGTCCTACCCCTGCCAGGCCGTGTCGAATCGGCAAATGTGATACCTCGCCTGTTGGGTGGCACCCTCTCACCACCCTCGTCATCACTGTCATCACCGTCATTGCCAACACCCAAAGCAGCTTCTCTTCTTCTCCTCTCAGCTGGTGTCTCGCCTATCTCCTCCATATGCTGCTCATCCTCCTGATCTTGGAGCACTGCCAAGCGACGCTTTCGCTCGACAGCTGTCTCTCCTGTTTGTTCGGAGGGTCTAGGTGGGCTTGTTAGACCTGGATGGCGAGCAGGGGCCGCAGAGGGACCAGCAGATTGCTTCTCCTTTCCGATGGCGTGGTGTTCTGCAGCCTTGGCGGCCTTGATAGCTGTCTCGGGTGGTAGATCCTGCTTTGCAACCTTCTTGATAGCTTGTGAGGCGTTTGATTGCTCTACAACCTCCTTTCTTGTTCGCGAATCCAGCTTCTGCACTTCACGGATGAAGTCCTCCTTGGTCATACGCTGGCCGACACCACCAATCGTGAAGCGAATAGCCTTGTCATCGGCAGCTTGATTCTCTGCGATAGACTTCTTTCTGTTCTGTTCGTTTGCATTGTTGGTGTTGTTGTTGTTATCGCCTCCAAATATACCTCCAAGCTTGGCCCATCCGGGCGTGCTAGGGCCGGCTTCAGAGTTCTCACCCTTAGTCGTGGGCAGTTCATAGGTCTTAACGACTTCACCGTCCTCGTCTTCGACAATGATCTGCGGTTCGTTAGTTCTCTGTTCTCTTGTCAAAAAAAGGCTAAACATACCGTGTTTCCGAATTGGTAGGCTCTGGCGGGTTCATGTCGTCGGTCGGTACCCTTATCCTTACGCTTCTCCATCTCAAAGTTGTAGACATCTCCCACTCTCTTCTTGAAGCCAGACATGGTCCACAACTTGTCGTGCGCTGGTTTGACAGCTGTGATAGGTACATGGTTCTCGTCCTCTCGGTGAGAATCGGGTGCGGGCTCAACATCAAGTACGTCTCCTTCCTTGTTCTCGAATATTAGGTCATGGCCTTCTTCGTAAATATTTACAGGCTTAGGTGGCGTCTTCTGGCCACTGCTACCCGAAGAGCTCTCTCCTGCCTTCTCAATCCTGTCAGGATCCTTCTCCTTAGAGCTATCGTCGGCGGCCAGAGTTGATTCAGTATTATCTTGCTCATACTGCTCGGTAGGAGACATGGGAGCCGATTCTTGTCGTTGGGGAAAGATGGCGGATTGGGTAATGGGACCTCCGGGGCCAAGGTTCTCGTCCCAGTTCTTGTTCTTGCGCTTTCGTGACACAACGGAGGACGACCGGCTCTCGCCGTTGTTATCTCGTTGTCTGCGCAACAAATGACTGTAGGGGCTATTGGCAGGAACTGCGGCGTCGGGAGGAATCTGGGGTCCCTTCTCTTCATCAATGGAAGCTTCTGAAAAGGATCTCGCCTGGGATCTAGATTGTGATGAGATTCGAGGCAGTCGGTTCATCCAGGATGGGCCATCTTCGGGGGCTGCTGTGTATGACATGGTCAAACTCAAGGTATTGATGCGCTTTCCGAGAGTGAATACGGCGATGGTGGATCCATGGACGAGAATCGAGGTGACAACCAGAAAGCTGACTATAGGCCACACGAGGTATATGAGCTCATAATGATCAGCATCCTCAGACGGCATCTGTGCTAGGGGCACTGGTTCGCCATGCTCTAGTTCAGCCCGTGCCAGAATGGCCACAAAAATGGCGCCCACACCTATGGGTCCGAAATGGCCAGCGAACAAGGCCTCGCGCCATGTTTTGACGTCCGGTATAAGCGGTTTCAGGGCCAGCATGATAGGAATTCGGCGGAAGAGGAGGACAAAAACGGCTATGACCACAAGTCTCCAAGCCTTCATGCCAAAGACATCGTTGTTGAATTGCTCCCATGGGATGATCGTTCCAAAGTAGACGAAATAAGTCAAGTTAAGCAAAAGATCGATAACGTTGGATACGTGAGACTCTTCAGTCTTTTCGCCAAACCAACCATCGTTGGAGAAACCGACTCCGGCAGCGAAACCGACGAGCAGATCGTCCAGGCCAAGGATACTACCAGAGCCAGCGCACCAGAGCGCAACAACGAAGTAGAAGACGAGGAAACTCTCTCGATCGATAAGGTCACGCTTTTCGGCGAACTTGATACCATGGCGGGCAATGTAGCCAATAACGAAGCCATAAATAGCACCAAAAACACACTCGTAGAGGAGGACATATACAACGAAGTGGAAGCTCACATCCTGGACATCTCGCTTGTACTGAATCAGATATAGAGACAGATAGATGAAGGGGAACGCCATGCCATCGTTACATCCAGATTCAGCAGACAATAAATCTCGAAGATGCTTAGGAACTCGCTTCGCAAACTTTCCCTTTCCGACAACGGAGGAGGCCAGGACAGGATCAGTAGCAGTAACACAAGCAGCCACAACAAGACTGTCAAGCCAGTCCAACGCCGGGATCATCCAGAAAATGAACAGACTTGTAATGAGCCAGCCAAAGGTCATGACGGGGACCAGGAGAAAGATGACAGACTTCCAATGGCGCTCCATGTAGAACTTGGGCAATTCGACACCAACGGCGAAACATTGTACAACAAGAACGATTCTAGAGAATTCGACGGTGACGATATCGGTCGAGCCCCATGATTGAGGATCAATCAGGTTGGCGGCATGGGGACCAAATATGACACCGCACAGGGTAGCAACAGTGGCTTCACCAATGTACATGCGCTCCTTGATAACAGAGGAGCAGAGCATGAAGATGGAAGTGAAGCCGCCGAGGATGATGTACACCAAGTGCGGCTTGGTGATGTCGAGGTGACTCCACGCCATTTTGAAGGAGATAAGTATACAATAACTTGCGTCGTTCGGTTGTGCCTAATCGGCTCTCGAATGTGCAGCGCAGGTGTGGTATCGCGATCTCGGAAGCAATCACTGCAACGTTTGTCGCGATGTGCGAAGGTCGGCGGCGGCGCCGCGATCAGTTGTTGTTGGCAATTCGTCTCGAGGAGAAGCGCAAGATCCACGAAGTCGATTAGATGAAAGAGCGACGAAGTATGGGAGACAAGAGGCCTTCGATTGTGAGACTGTGGCCTAGTCCGATTGTTGTTAGAAGGGGGAAGAAAAAAGAAATCTCAACAAAGTTAATGGTCAATGGATAAGAGCGAGCAACGGGATTGATCCCCGTCAATCGGCCGTCGAAAAATGGCACAGGCCTTGAACAGTGTCGTCACAGGGCAGCAGGGCCTGTAAAAACAGGGATGGTGCGCCACGCAGCCACTGAAGTCTTGGCGGGGTGAGACTGATATGAAAAGGTGTGCAATTCCAACGGTCAAAGGATGTCGCGTGAGGAAGAGCAATTGTCAAGAATGACGATAAGGAAACGAAAGAAAACGTATTAAGGTTGATTTAACCTCATCGGCTGAAGATTTGTGTCTCCGGAGGGGGCGTCTTCTAGCGCGATAGTTGAAGGTCACCATCCACATCTCACCACACAAGAAGCACAACCTTGAGATCAAGGTCAAGGACAGGGTGTGAACAGGGGTCCCCAGGTAGTTCAAGTACCGCCAAGAGCCTCTCAGTGGGGGCTCCGCGGGGCCAGTTGATGCGCCGTTTACTTTTATCCAGAGACTTCACAACACCCAAGCCGGACGAATCGGCAAGATACCAAGACTTCAGAGTGTCCAGGCTTTGTTCTTTAGAGAGTGTCTGTATTATGCCTTTCAGAGAGATGACATGTACTACGTATATTTGTATATTAGACACAAATCTTTGTACCAAACCAAGACTCAAAAACAGTAACCTCACGATAACGGTTCACACAAGGTCTGGCTTCCTATCACGCCTTGTCCTACTCGTCAGCTCGCCCTCCACTACATGCTCCTCCCTTGTTGAACGCCCAGACCTTATTTCCAATGCCAGTATATTTGGTTCCACTTCCCGCCTCAAAATATCTACCTCTCACTCATACACATAAGCGTTTGTCTGAAATCGAACCCAATAACGAACGAGATTAAAAGCCCAACGGCGCCTAACCACTAGTTGAAGGTCGAAAGAAGCAAAGCAGCGCACAATATCTCCAGACTATTATGCTGTTATCTGTTCATAGGTACTCCGTAGCCATAGCATAGAATGCTCTGGTAAAAGATGCGTTCGTAGACCCCTGCACTTCTATCCAGAAATGGAACCTTGTCTCCTTCGGTCGCCAATACGAATCAACATTTTCACTCCGGAGTAAACAAGAATTGCGGGCAACCGATTGACCACCTGAAGGTGCTCCAGCCAATACCAGTATTTCTTGGCACTATCTCGTTCCCTCAATGACGAGTTTGCACCGCCAATCTCGGCTCTATTATCCTCTCATCGCGAGTCATTCTTTTTCCTTCTCTCACGATAGACTGATCCGCAGCATGATCAACATCGGTATTGCACGTTACCGTCCGACTGCATCGCGACGGCTTGTCATGTCACCCCCACGAGGACGAAAACGTTGTTGTTTGTGCTCCGTACTCTGAGAAAACCAGCATCAGAGCGTTCAATGCCTGTACATCTAGCGTCTCCCCGGCTCTTGTTTCCTCTCTTGATTTGTGCGCCCGTTCCACTAAACAAGCCTGTCGCCTTGTTGAGGTAGGTTTTTGTCTTTGGCACCCGGTTTGAGGGTCTGTCAAATCAAGGTTATTTGTTACCGCCACAACGGCCAGAACCTTAGACAACCTTAATTGTTGCCCTGTCCTGTCCTGTCCGGCTGAGAGATCGATATGGTTATGCTTATTCATAGTCATGCAAAGTGCCTGAGCTGCTAATGGTGGATGTACGGGATGCTGGAAACGTTCAGCGAGGTCTGTGATGGTCCAGACCGAGTTCTGGCCTTTGTTCCAGGCTTTGCAACCGTTAAAGACAGCAGCTGATGTTACCTTGTCTCCAAGCTTAAAACCCAACCCATTCAATAATTACCTCGTCCGAGCTGACGTCAGTAAGAATGACAGGCAGCGCACTACCTTCATCCAGCAAAGCTCCGGACTCTTTCCCCCATGATTTGGGTCTTCCCCGAACCCACAAGCATTGGTTGGAATATCAAATACACCGCTCATCGTGCAAAGAGATTTGCAGTTTGTCCATGCTACACGATGAAGGCATCGCGCCCCACCCGCGTCCTCTTGGACGCTGCGAAAAATGAAGCACCTCTTTTAGAACGTCAATTGACGTTGTATTTTTGAAGTCTTGGATATCTCTTGGAGATCTGGAAAGACCCTGGATTTTGGTGCAGCCAAGATGCCCAGAGATGCACCCCAGGCTTGTCTGGTACTGGGCGCCAAGGGCCAAGCTCTTACATCAAGCCGCCAAGGACAAAAGCGCACCCGGTGGTGCAAATGCTCGAAATCATGATTTGACGATAGCTTCAGGTGTTCGTTGTGTAATTGAGAGCGTGCTCAAATTGCCATGTCTTTTGTGTACACAATGAGAAAAAGGTTGGAAGTTATGTCATGGTGCGTGCCAAGCCATTGACTACAAACGACTCCTTGACGAAATCCTAAGAGAGTATTTGGATGGTTTTGTTCTAAGCTGGCTTCACGAACAACAATGATATTTAAAGTGACGTCCTCTTCATCCTGGGACCACGTCTTTCCGGTAAGAGTAGCAGAGCTATTTGTCGTCTTCGACACAGAAGACTTTATACAGTCATTGTTTTCGGGGTTAAAGTTCACAGCACAGATGCAAGTCAAAAGTTTTTAGTTTGACTGGGTTTATTCTGTAGCTACCTAATTGTGTAACTCGATGTGAGTGCTTCCACTGCTAAAAAGATCTATCCTGTGATGCCTATGTAGCGATCACTCTACCGGTTCCTCTGCCCAAAGGGACAAAACTCCTAAATTCCTGTTCGGGGAAATGAATTGCTAATCGAGACTCTCTAGACCACCATATACATGACTGCGGACACGACAAAAGATGCACATATGAACCGGAGACTTGGGGCTTGAACAGCACCAGCAGCCTCTGCTGGTGTAGGTGTTGGCGCCGCGGTTGTTGCCTGTGCTGTGTGGCTAACTGAAGCGACCTTGGTCACCGAGGTCACCATCTGATTGGGGATGGGTAGAGAGCCAGTGGGCTGCTCTGTGTCGATTGCGAGGACGGTGCTCTTGGTTGCAAGGTCTTCATCCACAGAAGACAGTGGTGGCCCATTCAGACTACCGTTTGATGTGTCCTTAATAGAGGAGTGACTGGTCTCGATAAGAACATTCTTCATGACCTTGGTAGCTGAAGCAGGAGCTGTTGTGGTAGGTGCTGCCTGAGTTTCGGGCTCAGGTTGTGGTTCAGGTTGTTGAGTCTGGGGCTCGTCGACATCTCGGCAGAGAACAGCAACAAGGTTGCCCTTCTGGCCACGGCTAAGAAGAGATTCTGAGCTGGCTGAGACCTCACCGCATGATGCTTGGATGAAGCCTTGGGCTTGCTGAACTGAGTCCTTGCAGGCAGCGCTGCATGCCTTGCCACCAGTGAAATCGGCAGGCGTGCATTGAGACAGTGGTGTGTCGTATGCTTGAACGCAGTTTGATGGAAAGGACTTGTCACTAATTGACTCAAAGTCAGATAGCATGAGAGATCCTGCTGAAGCACTGCTGGCCATCAAGAGGAAAGACAGCTGAAGCCATCGTGTTGTTGATTGTCCAGGCATTGTGAGTTTGTGTGGGTATGAGGGTATATGGGTATTTGGTAAAAGATGTGAGCTACCAAAATAGAAATGTTTCGATGGGGAAGTTATCGAGTGACAAGCTCAATTATATGATTGAGCGAGTGTGGCTTGGCTTGGCTTAGACAACCAGCATTGATACCTTCAATCTATAATAAACTGGCAACTCGATTGAAACACGCTAGGATGCTGACAACCAGGCTGACGGGACCAACAGACTAGAGGATCTGGATTCGAACGTAATGCGACGACTGGTCGTTGGTAGATTGTTTTATGCGTTGTGTGTTAGTGAAACTACCCTTGGGTAAATCGTTTCAGTCAAAAGATTCGAGTTTGAACGTCGAATAAATAGGATGGTCGGGGTTTATCAATTGTAAGTTCCTTGGTGGCTATGCAATCCTGAATGGAAGGAATTTGATCGGCGTTTCGTGTTGAAAGTGCTTGTAAGAACGGGAAATGAGGGTGTCGTATATGATGATGCAAAGGTTCCTTTGATGATAGATACACGTCGAGTGAATTAAGAATTGCGAAATGTGGATGACGATTGAATAAGAAAAATTAACAGAAGACAGCGAAGGTATGTATTTGTGTTGAATGTCGAGTTCGAGTGTAAGACGAGGGAGCACAGCTTTCCTCTTGCGAAATGGTTTCACAACTGAAACGAGTGATGCGAGATGTATGTTTGCTTTCTCTTTTGAGGGAAGAGAATGGAGAACTGGAGATAGAAGAAAAAAAAGAGGATTAAGTGAAGGGGGATGCACAAATTCTTAAACTTGCGTGGGACTGATGAAAGAAATATGGTTAGAGGAGGGATACGATATGGGGGACAGGGCGGAGAGGCTGTGAGGAAAGGATGGACAGACGATAGCCAGACGATCAGGGATGATTCTTGGACGGGGAATAGTTTACAAAAAGGGATATTTAATGCACATCACAGGCCCATCACAATTCGAGGGCCCTGACAATGTCGTGAGAAGAGCCAAGACTCGGCTTGTCAATTGGTGGGCTCCGCAGCGATCATCAGGGGTAGAGGGGCTAAGAGAAGAGGGTGCTGAATATTGAGTTTGACGTCACACGGTTCCCTTCAGTTGTTGATGAGAGACCCATACGTTTGGTGTTTGGTGTTGTTGTGTTTGCTCTTGAAACGAGGGCCACGACGTCTGTGATCTGTCTCTAGAAATCACAACATGAGCTCTTGTGCTCTGTCAACAGCATGTTTGTCTGTCGTATTCTACCCCCCTCCCGCATCCAAACCTGAGCCATATTGGGAAAAGAAAAGCACAAGCACAATAGAAAAGAAGGTTCACATCAGACTGCGTTTCAGACCCGTTTGTTTCGGTTTCATTCTACCCATTGACTACTACCACACGAGCAAATCAGAGGGTCCAAGCGGGGGACGCCAAGCACAAAGGAAAACCGTTTGCGAGTCAGCAATGTTCCAAATGGGCTTCTAGGGGGAAGTCTTGGCTACAAGCTACCTAGGCATTGACTTATTCGAGCTCGATTATGTTTATCAAAATACTCATGTCTGGTTGTTGTGAATTATGCCATGATAATGATGGGATGAGAGGGTGAAACCCAACGCATCATCATCATCAAGACCCCTAGACCGAACCCTTGTTTGCCTTCTTCGCCAGTAAGATTTGCTCCAAATAATTACCCATTCTTTGGCGGATCGAAATGTGGGAAAATGCCGTTCATTGAAAGGCAACACAGGGGGTAGGAATGTGGCGCTATAAAACTTCCGACCGAGTCACTGGACTAGAAAACTGTTAGAGGGAACTAAATTGACGGCGAAGCACGAAACACACGGCTTTATGTGTATGATTGGACAATCAATAACTGATAGCTTCCACTTGGAGAACCCCTTCGCGACCCAAAGCGGGTTTTCTTTTTGTTTGTTTCCCAAAGCTCCTTGAGGTTTTCGGAAACGTTTCGGCAGTCAGACGGAACTCGCGGTGATCAACGATTTTGATCGACTCTGTCTAACCCTATTCCTCAGGCCCCAGGGATCGACACGACTATTCCGCCCAGGGCACGACCCTCTTGTTTGAAGTCGCCCGTTTGAGTAACGGCTCAGCACATCGGGCAACGGTCCCTTGTATTATGCCTCGGTTAGCAGACAAGTCAAGGGAAGTTCTTCCTTTTGACGTCTCCTAAGAAAAGAGTCGATTTTCAGCTAATAATCTGACGCAACGTGCTCTTTTCGTGTGATGATAACTGGCACAAGAGAATGGGGAAGTCGTTGTACAGTTGCGTCTAGATGAATTAGTTCCAGGGGGTGTTTGCTACCGCTAACACACAAGTTTCCAGTTACGGGTGCTAGAGGGAGAAATAAAATACCGACAGCAATTCTACCACAAGATATCTTTATTAATAATTATAACATTATACTAAAGAGAAACAATTTTATTCAATATTATTATACTCAATTAATGCTTTTTCTAAAAGCCTATCATTTTTTTTATTCTTAATTAGTTTAAAATTATCATAAATATTCTGGCCAGAAAGTCTAATATGTAGGAAACCTCGCGTCCAGTGTTTTATTTCCCTCCAAAGGGGTGATACGACGGTGTCACAGTCACCAGCCAATAGGGATATCGTCTGCCATTTTCTCCTGGTGCGCCGTTGAAGGTCTAGAACCAATTGTTCATCTGGACTCCAAACTTCCTCTATTGTAGACTGGTCTAGGTCAAAGGCCATTGTGTCGGCGCTTTTAGTCCTGCCACTTGCTCCTGACAAGAACGCCCTGTTCCTTTGTCAGTGTTTAGAGATCTCTACTAATATGGAGTATCAATAAGCCAGTGCACATTGCAGCTGGGTCAATTGAGGTTGGCATTTGCCGAGAAACCGATGGCTTGGGATGACACTACCAAAGCTGGGGAGTCAACGTCAGGACGCGTTGTATTGCAAGGTCCCCCCGGGTATCAATGACGAAGCCCTTCTTTTACAGAGTAGCATCATATAACCGAACACTTCCCAATCGTCATTTTATACAATTCCTTGTCAACTCCATTGGCGGCATCCGTCAGGTTGGCACGGAACTGGAGTCCAATTTCGCGATGCCGAGATCGTCGTTACAATCGTCTTAACAAGACTCAGATATCGTTCCCCAGGTGCCACTTCCCCTCTCTTTGGTCCAGGCTGCTGGGACAATGAAAATGGGAGGAATTTGGCATTTCCGGAGGCCTTCGCTTACATGTTTTGGCTGAGCAGTATTCACTTGAAATGGAAGTAAAACATGCTTATCGAGGCGCGCCTTTTACTCTGTACATCTTGTTAAAATACCGTCGGCTGAACTGCCCTCAAGGCATAGGCCAGTCACCAGAACCACTATCGTACTTGCTACAATATCATCGCTGCTCAGTATGTAAAAGGTATTCGTAATATGGCATTTATTTATAAAGTAGTAGCGTTTTTGCTGTTGTGCGGTGTCATCCTTGGTTTCACAGGACTGTTTTCTAACTAGGAGAAAGGTTCAACGGTGTTACAACGGCACCGCTCTGTTTAGATATCGACTTCAAGTACTTGACATCATTGAAGTTTGTCCGATATTCATCTTTACATACATTTGTACGGATACTATTATGCCCTTTTCCTTCAACCAAATGCATGCGCTGTGTTAATAGCGCTGGTAGAGACTGTCAGTTACCGCAAACGTACTAAATCATCACGAGTCAATGCAGTGACATGACAATCCCAGAACGGGCGTCTCGGCACGCAATTGTGGATGCAATGACACAATGTGATTGTTATAACAGCCAGAACTCTTTCCCAGGCTTCAAAGTTTTTTTCTTCATCATTTCCTCTTCTGACCTCTCCATGAAGGAAAAGCGTATGTCACAACAACACCTCATTCTCGAGAGATGCCGCACAAAAAGCGTTGTTCTACCCTGGAACATGGTTGAAAAGATTCCACCACCAGACGGTGTTGTTATACTACAATTATCTCACGTATTTCCATGAACTAGGATCGATAGCTCAGTGGTAGAGCGAGGGATTGCAGATCCCTAGGCCGCGTGTTCGAACCACGCTCGGTCCTCTCTTTTGGCCGACACCGACCCCACGATGTAGGTGTCGTGTCCTCTTTTTGTGCCTCAACGCCACGTCTGCATCCAAGACATATGCACAAACAACATTACTGCAGACACAAGCAAATCCAGGTTCGATAGCTCAGCGGTAGAGCGAGGGATTGCAGATCCCTAGGCCGCGTGTTCGATCCACGCTCGGACCTAACCTTTTGAAGTTTTATCATATTCTCATGCTTTTGTCTTCTTGACTTCACAGCTTTTTTATTTGGTTTAGGGAGTTGTGGTTGACAAGATTGATCGGAAATGTATTCTGTTTCTTGCTTGCCTTTGCCGAACTTTCATCTGGGAAGTAAATTGGAAGTCCTGATTCCACACATCGAAATCGAGACGATATCTTTCGGCATATCCTCATCCGTAGCTGGGTTATTACAATTGTGATGTGGCTATACTTTATGCATCCTACCAGAGCACCTGTATAGCAGGCCCTCTGTCGAGCTCTCCTGGGTGTTTCAGCAGATCTGGCAATGCTCCTGAAGCCGTATGTATGTCTCACATGGAAGCGTCATCACTTATATAAGCCATTATCTACGTTGCTTAGCAAGCCAAGAGCCAAGATAGAATCGTGCAGCATTTATACATGGCATTGATACGCAATCTGTACCAAGAACTATCAACAAATTCTCTATAGACTCTATCTATATCCCAAAGTATAACTCATCCAGTTATTTATAGCATGTTCATCAACTCGTTTGCAACCTGACTGACATTGGTGCCAAACTCTGCCGGAGGAGCCTATCACAAATGTTAGTTTGAGATTGCCTTATCAAAATACATATGTAGGGGATCAGTACCTGTAGATAAAGAATACCATCCTCGACGACAGTCTCGTTGTAAGACTTTTTGGTCTGGTCCACAATACGGAAGTGCACAGCACGCTTCTCCATTACCTCCAAGAGAGCCTCCTGAAGCATATCATCTTCACCGAACTTATCATACTGCAGCTGAGAGACTAGACCTTCGAAGTAGAGATAGTGGAAATTTCCAAAGTTGTCTTCCCAGTTGCTGTCAGTACCAGCCTTGCTCTTGAGCTTCTCAAAATTGGCCTCGAAGTTGGGGACGATGGTGATATCCTGGCCGAGGATCTTGTTCAGCTTCTCCTGGACGTCTTTCATGTTCGACTCATAGTCGTTTCTGATTGAGGCTCTCGCCACGTAGCTCATGGGCCGCGTGGTTGAAGGGGCCTCGTTCAGAGCCTTGGTGAGGTTGTTGGAATCAAGAGCGTTGCTGGTGTTGGTTCCAAGATCCCCTGCTTTGAACAGGATGACGAGCTCGCCCTGGGAGGAGACCTTGGCTCCACAGTAGTAGACGGTGTTTGTCTCATCAACATCAATGGTCAGAACATGTGCGGAGCAGATTTCGTTGATTTCATCTTTGGCTCCATCTCCGTTCCGTTCAATGAAGTATTTCAATTGATATTCAGCACCTTCAATATAACTAAGCAGAAGATGTCTTGGTTAGAAAATTTCAAGGAACGGAATATAAACGAATGAAGGATGACTTCAAACGTCAAAGACACAGGAAAGCATGAGGAAACAAACCTAATAATCAAATCGCCGAGAGAGGTTGAGGCCCAGCTGTCCTCTTCAGCGTAGGCGTAAAGAGCTAGGGGATCAACCTTGATAGTCCAAGGTTGGCCTAGTATCGCAGACAGCCTGCCTTCGATGTCTTGCTTGGGGGTTTCGAAGCTATCGCGCACTGCATAATGATGTGTATTAGTGACCATGTTCGTACCGGGGAAGAACGTTGAACATACGGTTTTTGCGAGCAACGAGGGGAAGCTTCGCGACAGGATCACGTCGAACCATGGTGTAAGAGGGGTGTAAGAGGAGTATAAGAGAGGAGTATATGGTTTGAAGGGGTTGAGAAATGATGGAGAAGCTTGTTGCAATGTATGCTATCTCAGGTTGTCCATCGTGGGATCAGCTGGCTTTTATGCCTGTTTCTAGCATTTGGACCCCTGAAAAGCCACAGCTCAGCTCATGAATCTCAACAGGCACCAGACTACCAGACTGGCGTTCTCTAAACCCAATCCAGACTATCTACGGCTGCAAAGCTGTTTGAACCTATTCGAGACCAGTCTGTGACCAATAGCACACCCTAGACTGGATACAGCCCGAGGCCTGAAAGGGCAGCTTCCGCCATGTTTGTTAATATACAACCCACAGCGGAACAGGCATAACAATCGAAGTCGCTCTCTCTTCTGACTGGAACTTTCTATCGTTGATCATCACTATCAACCCAATCGATATAGCGTGTAGCTGGTATAGCGAGCTTGAGGCATCCTTCCAATTCTGGGCTAAAGCATATTGTCGAGTTGACCAAGCTACCACAGCCACCTAGCGCTAGAATGACCACTTCCCATGCCGATAGCCGGTTGAGTTGACACCTGCCACAATGTCTGTAGCTGCAATGGTCTTATTGGAAGAAGAAACATAAGAATGTTGAGAAGAAATTGGCGGTTGTTCTGGTAGTCTGCCTCGTTAACGCCAAAAGCGCCCAGCTGAAAACATAGCGCTTCTTAGCGTGAAATACCCTGACTTGCGTGAAGCTGCATGCTTTGTGGAAGCCTAATGGAAAAGCAACATGGAGGCTGGAACTCCATCGATAGGGGTTCGCTTAACCAATGTATAATTAATGCACAACTGATATGGCTGAGGCTATCATCCATCGATTTCCTGTCGACTTTTGCACACTAGATCATATTCTTTATACACTTCCATCATCTGCATCATGTCTCTGTAAGTTGACGCCTAGTCTCTAAGTCACAATCATAAGATTGCTAACTGTGACACCAGTCCTCTGAAGGCCAAAGTCTCTATCCGTGATAACTGGACCAACCCTGATAGCCCTGCTCAGAAGTCCATCGCAAAGCTTCATGGTGTGCTTGGTCTCGATGTTCACTGCGAGCCGCAATGGCAAATTCTTGTGACCGAACTCGAAAATGTTTGGGAAGATAAGCATCAACTGGTCGCCTCAGTGGCATCGTTTGTGCAGACTTGGGTTGAGAGTTTTACAGAGATTGCAGAGAACGAGGATCAAGAAGCTTGGACTTATAAGCTCCTTAACAAGGTCGAGGAACTGACACAGAGGTTGAATCTGACAGTCGAGGCATGTATTACTGGAGTGATATCAATGCTGGTTCAAGGCTAACTCTGATGCTTCAGGTCTCAGAGAATGAACGCCCCTCTACCAAGTGGTCTGACGCCAACCTAGGCTTTGTGATTTATGTTCCAAAGCTCATGGTCTATCAACCAGCTCAGTTCGGTGAAGTCTTCAAAGAACAGCTCCTAGAGGCTTTTGATAAGAAGGAACCATCCAAGTCGTTGCCCATCCACTCCACTACCGGTGATGAATGGGCCGATGTGGGAGTTGACGAGTCAGAAGAGCAGACGGCCAAGACATCAATGGCAGGTAACAAACCACCAGCTGTTGACTATCTTCCAGATCCAAGTACTATGCCAAAGCCTGGATCACTGCTCCAAAACGCACCATATCACCTCTTCGTGCGTGCTTCCGGCAGCAACAATATTGAAATTGAATGCAGCCACAGCCAGACCCTGGAGGTCCTAGCAGAATATTTGAAACGGTGGACAAGAATCAATCCGAACCATACGAACAAGGTAAGTGCAAAAGGCAGCTAGGGTTTGGAGGTTGAGCTCTTCTAACAAGTTATAGCCTCCTGCTGTGGAGATAAGACTCAACCATGTTACTAGCGGCTTTGGACTTGAAAACGACAGGCTCACATTGATCTGCGAGAATCGATATGGAAATCCCTTCACTATCTCTGCTACTATGATTTTGAATCTGGTTGAAGGAGTTTTCGGTTATGAGCGGGTATATGGGGATTCGTCTTCGTGGCACTATCGCAGGGACACGCCGTTCAAGAAGCGGTAGATCAGATAGATATTACCGACTAGATGCTTTCAACACTTAGCATGACTTCCATTTAGATAAAATGGCAAAAGGAACAAATGCAAAAAACATACAACACCGAGGATTCGCTGGTCGTCACCGACCCAACTACTAATTCAGCACTTATCAGTTTATCGAACGGAGAGCGGACGGGATCCCGAGTTATCTGATAGCTATGGTCGTATGTGCTAAGCTGCAGACTAATTGGAGTCTATTAACCAGTACTTCCACTAGGTACTAGGTATAGAGCAAGACACTTGAAAGTGATATATAAGCCAGACTTGTTCTAGACAGATCATCACAACCATGCACCATAGTAATTTCACGGACGAATAATCATCCGAAACAAATCTATTTCTTGTAATCCGTTGTCTTGTCTATCTTACTTGGTGGAATTACTTTCTCTGTATCCGTTCAGATAGCCGACTTGGTGTGGGGACAGCTTCGACTCCTTCATCCAAACCGCGAATACGAATGCGACAACCTCAAACCACGTATTCGGCAACGGTGTAAGTGCTCCAAGTCAGTCGTATACGGATACGTTCCTTGTATTATCGAAGAGATAGAAAGAACCTAGTCAAGACGATATGCAAGCTTACCGCCGCGAAATAAACCATTGGCTGAGACTGAGAGTATGAATCTTTCATCGTATCAAGATGTTGATAATCCACAGTAATATCAATGACTTTGACTTGCGGCAAGCCTTAGCTCAAAGGCAGCTTGGCAGGGGCCTTAGTTGAGGTCATTGAGAGATGAAGAAGCCCTGCTTTGAGGAACAGTGTTCACAAGTTGTTGTCTCTCTCCAGCCTTGCTCTGTCCTTATAAACTCGCCCTTCCCCTCAGCTTGATAACTCTTCCAACAGACCAAACAGTCTCTTTGCCTCTTCTCAGATGTTCTCCCTTCTATGCTACCCTCTATGGGCATTCGCAGCCTTTCTTGCCATTATTCTTATCAATGTATTATACCAGAAGCTCCCTCGAAAACCGGATGAGCCTCCATTAGTATTCCATTGGCTTCCTTTCTTTGGCAATGCTGTTGCTTATGGACTTGACCCTTGTGGCTTCTTTGAAAAGTGTCGAGAACAGGTAAGAAACTTACTGGTTGCATTTGCTGAACTACTATCTAATATGTTTCTAGCATGGCGATGTATTCACCTTTGTTCTCTTTGGCCGGAAGATAGTCGCCTGTCTTGGTATCGACGGTAACGACTTCGTCCTCAACAGCCGTCTCCAAGATGCAAACGCCGAAGAAATCTACGGTCCATTGACAATCCCCGTTTTCGGTAGCGACGTTGTCTACGATTGTCCCAACTCGAAGCTCATGGAACAAAAGAAATTTGTCAAATTCGGTCTCACCCAAAAGGCCCTTGAGTCACACGTTCATCTGATCGAGCAAGAAGTTATCGAGTACATCGAAGCTATGCCATCTTTCTCGGGGAAAACTGGCACGATCGATGTCGCAAAGACAATGTCCGAGATCACAATATTCACTGCTGCTCGTTCTCTGCAAGGAGAGGAGGTCCGAAAGAAGCTCACGGCCGAGTTTGCTGCTCTGTATCACGATCTTGACCTTGGCTTTGCACCTGTCAACTTCCTGTTCCCTTGGTTACCCCTACCTCGCAACCGACGTCGAGATGTTGCCCATGCGAAGATGCGAGATACATATATGGAAATCATCACCGAACGAAGAAGAGGAGGCGACTTGGAGAAAGGCACTGACATGATAGCCAACTTGATGAGCTGCACGTACAAGAACGGACAAGCAGTCCCCGACAAAGAGATTGCCCACATGATGATCACACTTCTCATGGCTGGACAACACTCCTCATCATCTGCCAGTTCATGGATTGTACTACATCTTGCTTCATCCCCTGACATTGCTGAGGAGCTCTACCAGGAACAAATGATCAACCTAAGCGTTGACGGTGTCCTGCCACCTCTTGAATATTCAGACTTCGACAAGCTTCCCCTTCTTCAGAACGTCGTCAAAGAGACCCTACGCGTTCACTCTTCTATCCACTCCATTTTACGAAAAGTCAAGAGGCCCATGCAGTCCCCCAACACCCATTACACCATCACCACCGACAAAGTGATCCTGGCGTCACCAATCATGACTGCCATGGATGAGGAAAACTTTGAAAATGCCAAGACTTGGAATCCCCATCGTTGGGACCACAGGGCCGAGGAAGAGGCTGGGACTGACGAGGTCATCGACTACGGATACGGAATTGTATCCAAGGGAACCAAAAGCCCATACTTGCCTTTTGGTGCTGGTAGGCACCGCTGCATTGGAGAGAAATTTGCCTACGTCAACTTGGGCGTCATTGTTGCTACTCTGGTCCGTAACTTCAAGCTATCGACACTTGATGGCAAACCTGGAGTTCCGGCTACCGATTATACCTCTCTCTTCTCAAGGCCGGTCCAACCTGCGCATATACGGTGGACACGAAGAAAGGTATAGAGAGTTCGAGGTTTAAATGGAACGGCGGTGGGCTGTATAAGAAAGCTCGAGATAATTACCATCATCTCTTTGCAGTCTTGCTCCTCTGATAGATACCAAATATACTGCATTTTCGCAACCGATACAAAGCGCCGATGGAAGCCGGCATAATTCCAGAGAAATCTTTAACGAATTAAAGAAAGGAACGACTTTTCCCATCTAGTAGAATTGTGTTACCCAACGACAACCCACGAACATATAGTCAGCAGAATGAGAAATGGCTATTTGCATATTCTATTCAGAGGAAGCTAGTCAAAAAGAGGAGCATGCGCACGGCTGCGTTTTCATGTTTATCAATGAATCGTCACCCTTCGGCGTCATCTAACGGTCATGGTATAATAAAGCTGCCTTGTTTCCACCTCTCTACTGTTGCGCACCACCCTGTCCGCCCTGTCCAGGCTGTCCACCTTGTCCGCTGGCACCATCGGCACCAGCGCCGCCAAAGGGGTTGCCACCAGCACCACCCATCATGGATCGAGCCCTGTAAATTTTGTTAGAATCCGCTTTGTGATAGGTGTAGAAGATATAACTCACATCTCTCCGATCTGGGGGTCGGACATGAGGCTGCCAAGGTCGGGCATACCACCACCGGTAGAGTAGCGATCGGCCATCTCGCGCAGACGGGGGTTGCCCATAAGGTTGTTCATAAGATCGGGGTTGCTCATAAGCTTCTGGGCCATGCCAGCAAACATGGGGTTGCTCATGATGCTGCTGAGATCGGGCATACCACCAGCACCGGCGCCACCACCAGCACCGCCACCGAACATGCTAGCAAGGCTGCCAAGGTCGGGCATACCAGCTCCAGCACCAACGTCACCACCAGCGCTAGGAGAAGCACGGGGAAGAGTGTCCTCCTCGGCCTCCATCTCCTGAACACGGCGCTTGGCTGTCTCGTAACCCTTCTTCATGGCGTCGGAACCACCGTTACCCTCATGTTGGATACCACGGTCGTAAGCCTCCATGGCACCACGAGCATCGCCGAGAGCGAAGCGAGCAAGTCCAAGACGAGACCAGGCCTTTGTGTAAGCGGGGTCGATAGAGACGGCAGCCTCAGCGTCGGCGCGGGCAGAGGAGTGGTCCTTGTTGGCCGAGTGGGCGGCGGCACGGTTGGAAAGGAAAACGGCATTGGTAGAGTTGATAGCCAGAGCCTGGGTATAGAAGTCGATGGCAGCGCGGTAATCCTTCTGGGCCATGGCAGCGTTACCCTTAGACTTCAAAGACTCGGCCTCCTTTCGCTGCTCCTCGGTGAGCTCGACGGGTGCCGGGGCAGGAGCGGCAGCGGCGGGCTTATCGGCGCGGGCCTTCTCGAAGACAGAGTAGATCTGGAGGAGGTTCTGGGATCCAATGGCAGAAGAGACAGCAGAGGTATCGGAAGGGTCGACCTTGAAGGACTCGGCGATGCAGTTAATCGCCACATCGATGGAGTCCTTGTCGTCAGCGGTGAGAGTGCCATCATTCGTTGAAGCGGAGAGGAAATCGCAGATAGCGAGCGCAAGGCGCTGCTTGGAGCTGTGAGTAGACGCCTGAGACAGAGAATTAGCCACATGTCAATCGTAGAAGAGTTACAACGAATATCTAGCATTGCTTGATACTGCGGGGGTTTGCGCTTACCATGACGGAAGGAAGGGAGCCTGTAGAACAGGTTGTAAAGTGGGAAGAAGGGCGAGAGAGATGTGAGAGTTAAGATACAAGCCAGTAAAAAAGATCCAATGAAAAGAAACAAAGGATGTGGTTCGGTGAGGGAGGTGGGTGAGTTGGTCCTCCAGGTAGAATGCAAAAAAGGGCCCCGCGGTTGAGGCGTCGTGGAGTTTGGGCTGGAAGGTTCCACGTGGGGCTAGCAGCCGAACCTCCAGGATGGTGTGGGGGAACGGCCATGGATCAGCTTGGAGATGGTACTCTGCGCACAGTTGTAATATTGACGACAAACTACGCTCATGATTATTGAATGGTTTTCTCTGATACCATTATTGAATACGTGACAGAAAACGGATAGAGCTGCGTATGTCGCGGTGTTGACTTTGCTGTTAAATTGTTTCTTAGCACATATATCTACATCTACATCTACAGTTTCCGTTTCAATACCATAAGTTACTAGGTTAAAGAGGTGATTGTTATTTCCAGTACCTATGCCTTGTAGCCTATATCCCTACGTTTGACACCATTATACAAATCCTTAACGCCGTGTTGATGCAATCGCTATGCCAGCGTCCGGTGCTTCCACTACTTGCACTACAGTTCCTTACTTTCCGATTCTTCGCCTTGCCCTGTCTACGTTCTTCACCCTTCGGTTGCTCATAGCAGCTACTTTGCGGTACTTGGTGTAAAGTCTTAGAACGTCCTTAATCACCACATAAAGACATCCCCCTACAAGACTTCGTCCCCATTGTTGCTGGAGCAGCCCCGGTCGCATCGTGCTTCCTCGTGAGAGCGGAGATCCGGCAGTCCATTGCTTGGGGAGGGTGAGACGTAGGAGCTCGCCCATTGCGAACGAAACGCCAGGGAGGATAAGTGCGCTCACAATGGCGTTGGATACTCCCGATAGAATCGTTCCTAATCCGGGGCGACGGGCGGGTGGCGCCTGAGGAGCCTCGTGTTGGTTCTGCTGAACAGCTTCATTGTCGTTTCCAGCTGCGGGTACACCAGCAGGTGCGGGAGCAACGACTACATCTGCAGCCGGATCTTGTGGAGCCAGTTCCGGGTCGAGAGGTATATCACCTTGGGCTTCATTGTCTAGACCCTGCGCCGGTTCTTCGGGGTTCGCGCGGTCTTGAGGAACTCCGTCATCTTGCCCGGCTGGTCGTTCATCCCAGTCATCTTGGCCGTCTCTGTCAACCTCTTCAATGACTAGCTCGATGACAACTCCTGCACCTTCCTCACCCTCGGCCTGTATCCCAACAGCCCCATCGTGGCCCTCATCGTCGGCCTCATCACCTTCAAGAGCCTCAATAAGCCCGTTAAGAAAGCCAACAACGCCGCCCTCTCCATTTCGCTGCTCTGGTTGTCGCTCGTTGGCGGGAGGCTGATCTCGTCGAGGCTCAATCGGGGGGAGGCCCATGATCTGTCGATTTAGATTTACCTCAAAAGGAAAGACGAACTCGCGCCAGAAGTTGAAGTAGGCTGCTCGGATATAAGGGAATGCGGCCATGGCGAGCTGGGGCGAAGGAGGCCAGGCCAGGAAGTTGTCGTCGTGCATGACATGATAGACGCCGTACTGTTTTCTTGTTAGTCATGCCCGTCGTTTGTACCAGAATGTAAGCATACCACTGAGGCCGTGGACAGGAAGATCTTGTTACCAAACCATGGCATCAACTGCCCGACCAGCAGAGCTGGTCCTACGTTTGTGAGAACCAGTGCGTTGGTTAACCTCTCGCCTCCCGACATCAAGATCCTTGATGCCTCTCCGTGAGTCCAGACCTCATGACCAAGGACATAGTCTACTAAAGCCTCACGACCGGAGAAAGCCCACATCGCAAATGCTCCATACATCTGTAGACTGAACTGTGCGCCCAGCGTCACAGAAGAAAATAGCATGAAGGGGCTCGCGCGTGTGAACTTGTTTGCGACAGATTCTGTGATGGCGACAAGAGGATCCCATAGCCCTTCAAGCTGAATGCGGTCCTTGCATACTGGGCATTGGAGGGGTTTGTTGGAGCGTTCGCAGTCCGTCACCCATGAAAGCATGCAGTCCTGATGAGCTTCGAGCGTGCAGCCGCACGGGTCGACCCATGATCCTGGGGGATCTGAGGGGTCTTCATCTGTGAGACAGATGAAGCATCGTCGGGGTGCATCGACAGGCTTCGCCGGGGTAGCGGCGGCGATAGCAGGCGTATCTTGGGTTTCTGACGCCATGGTTGAAGATGCGCCTCGGGTCGCGTGCAGAGCGGGTGAGTCGGAGATAATGAAACGGTATTCTATCGAAGTATGTTCGTCGTTCTATCGCATACTGAGGTTTGAAATGTTCGGAGTAGAGTATTAGGAAAGAGTAAGCACAAAAGCTACGATAGATGCAGCCTTGTCTTGTGCTTTGCTGATCAGTGATAATGATGTTTGGATGTGGCACGGCGCCGCGGGCTCAACCTAGCTTAGGTGGAGCCTGACATCACTGATATTTCCAGGCCTTGCCAACCTGCCTCGGCGATAACGCTTAGAAGGAAGACATCCAATCAACGCGAAGCAGTGCTTTGTGTGCTTCCTAACCACCATCAAATATCAGTTAACACTGAAAAATATCTTTAACGGGTCACTGGAAGTAAATATCATGCTCAAGTGCCTGGGGAAATTTTTATTAGATTGGATCTTATCCTCAAGTAGACCCCATTTAGTATTACCCACTTATGTAGCAAAAGTTCACATATATGGTGCGTAGGTGGTGGCAGGAACACGAGATTATCATGCTGAAACTTTCTATTACTGGGTACCTTTGGATGGTTGCTTTGAACATCGAACTCAGATGAGTATTCGTGATCTCGACCCTCGAGACTCGAGTTACAGAGTGCTATGGCCTTAGGAGATGACAAGACAGCGCCGTCACCACCAATAACTACTTTGACCAAGCCGTGGTTAAGTAGCTTAATCACTTAGTAGGTAAGTAGGTAGGTATGGTCATAGCACGAACAGTTGCTAGACTTTCAAAGTCAAAATAGCACCGTAACACGGCTTTCTTTAAGCCCAATCTGATAGTTACCCAGGTAGTAATTGCTAGCGAGACCTTCGAAAGCTCAGCAACAACATATTGAGTTCAGCAAGCGACTTCGTGGCGTACTTGACATTCAACCTTATTCTAGCGTCTTCTTCGCAAACAAAATGTACTTTCCATGATCTTTACAGATCAACATTGTGATAAATGAGTCTGACCTTGAATTCTATGACCCAATGTAAATGCTGTCCCGGGTGACAAGTCCATCCCCATGTGCGGCAGTATGAGCAAGTTTTGATACTACGACACCAGGTTGTGAGGTAGATTTTTGACCACAGGACCATGTAATTTGTCCACTTACTTCAATGTAATCATGCATCATGTACCCTGAGAGTCTGCAAGAAATCCACATAAGGGTTCTTCACCCGCCATTTCTCTTGGGAGTTGTGCGGTAGCAAACATCAAGCAAGATGGCACCTGTGACAAAGACACCAATCGCGTTGATTCTTTTAGAGATGGCAATCTCTACCACAGCCGTGATACTGTTTAGTCTTGCGTATCCAGCGAGCTTTAGGTCAAGGCTGTGGGAGAACGGAGGCGAAGAAGGCTGGAACTCGAATCCTAACAAGCGCATTTACTTCTACGCCAACAATCGCGAACCGCCCGAGGTGCCTCTTATTTGGAGTCAAAGGTATCAATTCCAGCTTTTGTTATCACAAGGAATATTGATAGGATCTATACTGACGGTAGAATGTGTAGATTGCACACCTCGAACCTCGCCATCGCGATCCTTGGCTTTGTCGTCTTCTTCGCTCGTACCGCCATGTCCCACCTCCGTTACCTCCCTCGATACGCAAACATGATCTACGATATAATCCTCCTTGGTTTCTGGGCAGTGAGCATCACAGGTCAAACATCGAGCGACTTCTCCGACCCTGAACATCCGAGTGTGCATCCTTGGTACCTGACACGGGGCTGCTCAGTAGCGTGGGACAGGACTGAAGGATATTGCCGTACAGCGCAGGCAGGATTCGCATTGTCGATCATGGCTATGGTCCTGTACGGTGCGAGGTTGATGCGAGAGGTTGTTCTGATAGCCTACGAAAGAGGGCAGCGTGACCAACCGAAGTGGTCTGCCCAAGATGATGGGGTCGAACCGATGGAGAGCATATACACAGACGGGGAATGGGACTCGGCATCCAGATCAAAGGTGGTCGAGGATATTCAGAGTCAAGCCTTGAGTCCAGTTCTAGCATTCTTCCCTTCTGATACAGATAATCGTTGATAGAGTAGGCGATATTTATAAGACTGTGGGGGCGAGCTTTATACAGTACTACCCAAACTTAGTAAGACACATTCACTATACAAGTAGACAATATATCTTGGTTAAGAGTTCAAATTGCAATCTGTGATCTTTTAATTCTGCTAAAGCACCAGGTGGTGCTGACAAGAAGTAATGAGTGGATCCATCGCTAATCAGATCGTCGTCCCCAAGCCGCCCGTGTTCAGATTCCCCATGTCTCATCCATCAGGGTTCCCGTCGTGGTCGAAGGAGAATAGTTTATTTGTGCTTGATTGGTATCCGTTAGTTCTCCGTCGCCGTTTAAAGACATGCATCAAGCCCAAGGGCTAAACAGGGGACACTTACAGGGCAGCCGGCGCAGGTGCAGCTAGAGCCGCAGCCGCAAGAGCCAGAAGAAGCGCATCCACAGCCAGACATGATGATGATTTGGTTTGTTTTGGAAAAAAGTGTGGTGTTGAAGTGGTTTGTTCTGTGAAATTGAGATGTGGAGGTTGTTGAAGAGAAGAAAGGAATAGCGGGCGGATAAGAGGGGAGGTTCCTTTAAAATAGAGGTAAACGACTGGGCCAAGATTCACAGTCAGTTAGAAGCTGCGGCGGTAACTGCACCAAGCAAGCGGGTCAAAATCCAGCTCTTTTGTGATTCACACCAACTTGACTTTCCCTTCTGACAACCAGAAACGGCTCCTCAATGGCTCGTCTCTTTGCGCTTGGCCATTCTTGTCGACGCTCTTACCCAACAGAGGAGAGGTACACGGTGCCTTTTACTCAGAGGCGAAGGAGGCGCCGCATGACGTGGGGAGTCGGTTTCATGGTAGTTGGTGATTGGTGCAGTGAAGTGCTTCCTTTTCTACGCCGGAAGATCGATGGAATGGAATTCACCGACTTCCGTGCGGTTTAGAGTGTTTCCGGATGTGAGGATGACGATGGTGGCCAAAATTGCACTATTATCTGTATGGTCATTTTCTACTAGGTACTTCAACTCGTGGCATAGCGTAGATAAAATAGTTCACTTCTTTCGTATTTAGCAGTAATCAAGCTCGGAATAGGCCCAAGGCCCAGTTGATAACTTGATCCCTTGAATCAGGTCGGCGGGGTATAGAGGGGTAGCTTGTCTCAAAGTTCCAAGCCTCCAACCAAGTGACATAGATTGTCTGATGTGCGCCTCAGTTACACAATCCTAGATGTTGTATTTTAATCCTGCGCATTCTTGCTCAATTGTTTAGCAATTTATATCCGATTATCCGATCTTCGTGCTACCAGGTGTAAAACTCAAGGGGACTGTTCGTGTTCCTTACCGTAAGCGGTGATCACGTAACTCATCATCAGTCATAAAACATGCTCAAACTATCTGTCGACTTGCCAGAGCTTGATATGGTCCATGAAGCAATGCCATATCCACAGATAGTTGTCACTCATCGTCTTAGGCTGTTTCAAATAGTCAGGATATCAAATACTGGTCGAGCACTTTGTTTTCTGGGTTATCAAGCATATTCCTGAACGTAGTTGCTACCTGTGAAGGCTGAAGATTCAACTGCTCTTTTCCCAACCTGATGCTGTGTTATACAGTATATGATACACAAAAGACTATGACAATTTTGCCTCCATCTCAAACCAAAATACCTCAGTAACTGCGAAAAAGTGTTGACCGAGGAAAATGCCAACGCACCCCTGAGTTATCCAACGCCATTCACCATTGCTCACCCCATTACGCTTTCTTGGCTCGGCGCATTTCCTCCCGGTTCACCTCTTCGCGCACATCTCTCACAACGTTCATGAATAGGCTCGCGCCAAGAGCCGTTATAATATGCCACCAGCCGTGGAACTCAAAAAGCCAAGCCCAGGGTAGTCCAATACGCTGACGAAGGTTCCTCAACTCGGCGCAGAACTCAAGATCAATATTCCAGATGAGGTATCCAAACAAGCAGGTGAATGTTGCAGTCCATACCCGCATAGACCACTTGCGGACATTCTCTTCGGAGAAACCAGGCTTGTCCCAGTTGAACAGGTATCTAACCCGTACGCCGATGAGGATGAGCGAGACCCAGAAGCCAATAACCTGGTAGATGATCTTTGCAGATTTGATGTAAAAGACTGAGAACGAGATGAAGAATACAGCCAAGATGATGGAGATCAGGCGAACATTCTGAGGAGATTGTCGCAGGATAAGGAGGGCACGAAGCATCGACCAAGATAGCAACAGCATCGATAGCTCATCGACGAACTCAAGAGTTTGGCGAAGAGTGGCGTGGAAGAGGAAAGATCCGAAGCCAAGTACCAAGAGAGACACAGACATGAAATCCCAATCCGGGGCAAACAGTCCACGACTGCGTTTGCCATACATAGATCTAAGAGCGAAGTATACTATGATGCGAAAGGTCAGCATTAGAGATGCCAAAATTCCGGGTCCTGTAGCGAGGTTACACATAACTCACCATATGTAACGTTGGTCAAGGCATTAACAAACTCGGCAAGATAGAAAGAGATAGCATAGTCCTCTTCACAGAAACTGTCCCACGAGGTTAGCATCGCACAGCAGATACACAGAGGGAGGTGACGTCTCACTTTGCCCTGCTGGTTGGGGGACTCCAGGCTCCACTCAGAGCGTGAGGATCGCCATCAAAGCGAAGGTTGTGATGTCCCATCTCGAATGTTCCTACTGTATTAAAAGCCTTTACAGTTCGTCGATTTATTCTTGGCTGTTTTACTTCTTCTCCTGAATCGAGGGCAGGAATGTTCATGGATCATAGAACAGAGGCCACGGCGTTGGCTCGGGGATAACAATCACGTGGCAATCCTCCACTGTTTTCGTATCCGGCATCCGCGGCCATAAAGGAGCAAAAGTTGTTTATACTCTTTCTCGTTCCCCGTAGTTAAGACCAATCATAAATGCTTCAATTCATCATTAACTGTCTACCGTGCTGCCACTCGTCGTAACGAAACACGCTTTCGAGGCTGAGCGCCGGACGATGAGCCCAAATGATGGGCGATGCAAGTGCGTCTAGGCTCGAAACCGCCTCGGCTACCTGCGTCATCTCATGATCTCTTTCTCCCCATGTAATTCCACCCAAAAGTTGTTTGATCCTTGCGTGTTTCCAGCTTGAGACCTTCCCATTTCGATTCGACATTCGTTCTTATTGACAGGCCACGTGGTGGCGGTAGGATGTGGACTTGCTGATTGTTAGTCTTCTCATAATCCAGCCAGCGCTGTTCGAACTCACTGTCATTGTTGATCGAAGAGTTTGGATGCTCTATGGACTACGCGGCATCTTTTTCTATCCAAATGCTCTTTACCACTCCAGTGTCGGGCAGAAAGATAGGTCGTGGGAGCTGTCCTGACAAGGCGTACTACACCTCGCGATAGGCAAACTCCATCGACTGGCAAATCAGCCGAGGAGCATCAAAGCTCTCTGCTGCCGTGTCGATTACTTCCAGCTTCTTGGCCACATAGACTCGTGCTCGCAGGCAGATCGTTGTTGCCCAGGAGTCATCCCGTGTTGCCTTGGTCGCCGCGATAGGTGCCAGCCAGTCGAGGTAGGCGGAGATTTCTTTGCCCAAAGATTCGGGAACGCGCATGACCCGAACAAGCCCGACGACATGGTGATGAAGACGCGGAGATTCCTTCACGTCGACTCGATGGTAGACCCAGGGCTTGTAGAGTCCGGGCGGCCCTTTGTACATCGGAGGTGAGGTGAAGCGAAAGGTGTGCCATGTTCCATCACCAAGCTTGCGATGCCAGTAGAGTCCCCATTCAAAGTCACCTGAGCCGGCAACGTATTGGCCTCCGTCAGAGTCTTTAGAGCCCGAGACCTTAATATCGCTTGTGTCACGATCGTAGCGATGGGCTATAGTATGAGCCGGCTCCTCGGGGACAGATACGGTCATGTACAGCGTAAAGGGCTTGAGCTTCTGAGCTGGATAGCTCATAGTTGCAGTCGCTCGGTGGCTATACGGTTATTGGGTGAGCAGGCTGTTTGTAAGAGTGAAGCATTTGGCGATGTTATATCACGTTTGCAGGATAAACAAAAGTTATGGAGGCGTGCAGTGACTTTCGGTGGCTAGTGGAACACATGATGAGATTGTTTGAGCAGTGACAGCCAGTTGCTATTGTCGATAGCATGGAACAGCAGTCATGAATAAGGATCGATAGTATGGTTGTGTTCGCTTGGCTCTATTGTTTGCATTCATTGTTCAGTGCAGTTATTGCAAATATCGCAATAGCTCGACGAGGCTGGGATGAGATGATGCCTCCGACTTCGGCTGCTGTCACAAAAGGGCATTGGTCTCGTGTTCTAAAAGTCGGAAAATTGTTTGCATCATGAGTTCACAACCTGGTGAGAAGTCGGACAACGGCATAGTCCCTCAACCATTTAAGTCACCTCCTGTGGTCTAATTATCCGCCAGGTTGACTAAAGGACCGATCATTAACAGCCGCGCCTATCTCTGTGCAAATAGCCAGACTAACCCCACAAGGGCCACTCCATCTTTCAACTTGGGTGTTGTGTCTCGCTAATTATAAACGGAACCACCGAATAGATGCCCGTGGTAAAGTGCCCTCAGGTTCTGGGGAAGCTCGAATACTGCGCACCGATAGGTGGGGATATATTCGGGGTTTGAAGAGGGGTTGAGGGAAGAAGTTGGGAATTACAAGATGTCGCTAGCTGAAATGAAGTTCTTTTCACAATGATTTGACTTGTCTTCCGATTTCTGGCATCTTATAAATATCTCAATTTCACCATATCTCGAGTAGTAGAGTAGCTGCTGTTCCAGATTCCTACGTCATCTCAAAACGCGACCGGTTGACGATCCCCCGAGGGGCAATAGCGGGGCATAGAAACCTTGCAACGACAGCTTCCTCACGCGATACAACTTGCGACAAATACAAAAACTCACGATTGCCACTTCTAGAGCTCACAAAACCGATCGCAAACCATACATAATTTCATTTACCGAGTAAAATACCCACTATGTCTGGTACTGTCCCCGTCGCGAGCGCCTTGAGTGACATCTATCCTCCTGCTTCGCTCGCCGAGCAAGCACCACGATGGAATAATCTTCTGAGCAAGTTTGAGTCTACCTACGGACACGCTGCTTCCTTTGTTGCTCGCTCTCCTGGACGAGTTAACATCATTGGAGAGCACATTGACTACTCTCTCTATTCCGTCCTCCCCATGGCCATCACCGCCGACACTCTCCTCGCCGTCTCTGCTACACCCGCTGCCAATGATGCAAAGACCTTCCGCATTCGCATTGCCAACGTTGAGGATGACAAGTTCGATGCCGCTGACTTTGAGGTTCCCTTTGATGGGGATGTGTCGATCGATGCGACCAAGCTGGAGTGGACCAACTACTTCAAGAGTGGTCTGAGGGGTGTGTTGGGTATGTTGAGGAAGAAGTACGGAAAGGACTTTAAGCCATGCAGCATGGATCTGCTTATGGATGGCACGGTGCCTGTTGGCGGAGGACTGAGCTCAAGTGCTGCTGTGGTCAGCACAAGTTCACTAGCAATCATGTTGGCCAATGGTGAGAAGTCGGTGGACAAGACTGAGCTGACGGAGCTTGCGATTGTGAATGAGCGTGCCGTGGGAGTCAACTCGGGAGGGTATGTAACGTTGAGTTCCATCTATGAATATACTCCTACTAACACCGAATCAACAGTATGGATCAAGCTGCCTCAGTCTTCTCTGAGAAGGGCGCCGCTACCTTCGTATCATTCAGCCCAAGCCTCAAGGCCAAACCAGTTCACTTCCCTCCCACAAACCCTGAGATTACATTCGTAATTGTGCAATCCTTCGTTACTTCGAACAAGCAGGTCACTGGTCCCATCCACTACAACCTGCGTGTAGTTGAATGTAGCATCGCCGCATCCTACCTCAACGCTGTCCTCAACCCACCCGGCACACAATTGCCTGAAGATGCAGGCCCCCTGGGCATCAGTCTCGGAGGTTTCCATGATACTTTCTTCTACCACCAGAACGGCTCAGACTACTCCACTGCCAAGACCCTAACCAAGGAGGAGGAATTGGAAAAATTGATCGAGATCACCGAGAAGACACTTGCTCAAGAGGAGGGATACACACGGGAAGAGGTTGCAAAGGTGCTAAACATCACAGTTGAGGAGCTCGAGAAGCGCTTCATGTCCAAGCTTCCCGTCCGTGCTGAACGCTTCAAGCTCCGTCAACGTGCTCTGCATGTCTTCAAGGAAGCTCACCGTGTTATTCGATTTATGAAGCTCCTGGAGAACCCTATTCACACCGGGGCTACAGATACGACCGGGTTCAACAAAGAGTTAGGCTCGCTACTTAACGAGACCCAAGCATCGTGCCGCGATTTGTATGAGTGCAGCTCTCCGGAACTGGATGAGATCTGTGCCATTTCTCTCCGGGAGGGATCTTACGGCGCGCGTGTGACTGGTGCTGGATGGGGAGGTTGCAGTGTGCATATGGTGCCGGCGGATAAAGTCGAGGCTGTGACACAGGCCCTGGAAAAGGAGTACTTTGCTAAGCGGGACTTGACGGGAGAACAGAAGAAGGGGGCCGTGATGGTGAGCCGGCCAGCGACTGGAAGTGCCATTTACTATGTTCAAGATGGTGTCAAGCCTTGAGATGGAATCTGACTGAAAATGTGTTAGAGCATGGTAGTGAACTAGTAGGGTAGAGTAGTGCATCAACGTGTGAAGCGTAAAATTAACAACAACAAAGCTTCTAAGATCTTAAGCATGGTCAAGGATTTGTAAGAATTCCAAATAAAGAATTGCACTCGAGTGCATATCCCACATGAGGCCCGACCGCTTGGACTTTCCCCTGATAGTGGACGATGTAACCAGTTCGACGCTCGCTCGGATCCAAGTCCGCAATAGGGATTGGTGTCCTATCTCAACGGACTTCCGACAACAGATTTGAGGCTCAGCGTATCCCTGTCAAGAAGACCTAGAACCGAACAATGGTACGCGCCGAAGTGCCGCACGCGATCACACGCAAATGCCGGTATAGCAATAAACCTTCCAGGGGACTTCCAGGGATGAAGCAGATTGATTTCTCCGGGAGCACAGACTGCGGCGACAGGAGGTGCTGGCTGACGGAAGAGGACAAGCGAAATTCCAACAGGTTTATGTTCTTTTTGGGCATCGAAGAATGGTGGAGGACCAGTGGTTAGACCTTGTTCTTATTAGAGTTTACCCAAATATCTACTGCGTACGGATACGTGGTGCAACTTGAACGTTGCAACTTGCATGGTGCCGGGGAGTTGGGAAAATCAAGATCGACAGGGCCACGTCGGCTTTACAGTTTCATCTCCACGTAGTATGATTGCTACAGGGAGAGGAGGAGACATTGATGCCATCGCGGTCCTTGCTTTTGCTACCCGACTCCCCGGGTTGACGGTCTTGAAGATGAAGAAAAAAAGGGAACCGGTCAACAGGTAGGCCTCATGAAGCCCGACAGAGCGGTACGGAAGCAGACCGAGGTGGACGTTAGTGACTGGACTGGGATGTACAGTGCTATCTTGCGATGTGTCAATGCCTCAAGTCATATTTACTCGATCAAGTTTAACAAGAACACCAATATGTTTCGCTGCATTTACGACTTATATTTCAACCAATTTCTTGAAGCGATATACCTACGCAAGGACCAGAAAATATACCCTAAGCGAGAGTAGACTTCAGGCTACTTTGAGAGACTCCCATTGTTGTAGAGACGCCTCTACTCAATGATTTTGTGAACCCGAGGTCAGTCTAGCCTCTGTTACGCGGGTAGGAAAGCCGAATGGAAGTCTGCAGGTGGAGAAGCTGGAGAGTTTAAGGCGGACGAATCAGAACAGTAAAGTATGAGGGAAAGGGGAAACATGGGAGGAATTGAATTAGAAAGAGAAAACCTGGTCCCTGGGGACCTGCAGTGCTAAACCATCACGTCACTTCGTAAAAGTCATTTCAGACCTGCTGCTGGCGTAGCGAGGCAATGCAGGGGGCACGTAGAGGTCACAAAAATAGGGTGGTTGTGGCGGCATTATCCGTGGATGCATGTCAAAAAGGAAGAGGGCTTATCTGAGAATTTGGAGTCGTGGTGATTAATGGTTTCAACGTGGTGCTGACTGGCTGAATTTCCAGTCTGTTATTGGTTGTTAGTGTCTGGCTAGGGTACTCGAGTCGCCGTTCCTGGTTTGGACTTTGGAGATGGCTGTCAAGCCTGTCAAGCCTGTGAGGTGTCGTGTTGACTCTCAAGTTTTACAGGTCAAGTTGTTGAACTGATTTCTTACTGTACTGCGACTCGACGTCTTAGATAAGATCTTAGTCTTTACCCACGGCAATAATGGAATCCTTAATTGAATCCGAAGCAGGAATCAAACCGACAACCACTGAAAGCAACTGCCAGCCTAAACAGTGACCACACAAGCATTGGCCCATGCTTTCCCCCCCAGAGCCAAGGTGCAAGAATCCCACCATGTTTCCTCTTCTCCAGATCAAGTCAAGGCCCACGGCGATCCCATCACGAGATACTTTCACCTAAGACGACCTGTGCGTTGCAGCTGGTGTTACATATCCGGGGCCAGCCCAGGCGCGGATCCGGCTCGGTTCCCACTGTTTCCCCCGTCTTTGCCTTTGGTGGAGCACGAACCATCGAGTCGCAACGTAAAACGGCCAGTCAAGGGAATGGCCGGGTCCGCGGCGTTGCGAATGAGTCTGAGCAGGATATCTGAGCGTTGAGGATGGAGAGGGGATGCTGGTCGTGATGATATGAAGGATGTTGAATAGTGTTCACTATTTCGTAGTCTATGAGTCGATAATGCTCTGGTCCATACTAGCTGCATATCATCAGCTCACACCGCATGCAGATCAGGAGTCGAGAGCCGTAGGTTGTCCTTTGCAATGTCTAGCAGTCTGGCAGTCTGGCAGTCTGGCAGTCTAGCTATGGCTATGGCTAACGTTAGCTGTCATTACCAGAGAAGCTCGATCTTCATGCCGTTGCAGGATCCCTGTCTACGTCTGTCCCAGCAAACACATAAGGTTCTGATGAGAGAGACGACGCTGGACGCACAGCCCACATACTCCACAGAAATGCAACTCTTGGACTCTCAATGATTGCCGGAACTCTGCTCCGTATATTGGTTCATCTACCCGAGCTTCGTTCTCGGTATCCAGGGGCATCGAGTGCCGGGCCCTCAATTTCAGGGCTGGAGCTTGAGGCTATCCCGCGGACGACCGTTGTTGAACTGTAAGTTGTTGATCTCCAAGGACCCGGTTACGTGAGGTGGTTAATTAATTTGAACTTACAGAGTGCAGTGACACGCCGGTCTGGCCTGGGTTCCATTGGCCTACGCAAAGTCCCCCCAAATATGAGCCAAGTCGGGATTAGGGCCAGGCAGTGCCCATTGAACATCATGGATACCATGCCCTCCCGCTCATTAATTCATTCATTCCCCTCCTTCGATCGTCGTCGAGAATGAGTTTTTCCTTGGTCCAATATTTACTTCCTCTCTTCTATTGAGCCATCGTCACCCTCGTCTTTCGCGATACCCAAGGCGCTTCACTATAATAATAACCAGCTACTACCCCTACGTTTCAAGCATCTAACTATCTCTTGGCTGTCCCCGCTCATATCTTTCCTCTTACCCCAGAGCAACAGTATCGCATACCGCTATCTTACCCGCTATCATTGACCCCTGCTCCCCGGCTTTTCATTCGGGATCAGCTCCAACGATCTGTCATTCTTTTTGGTTGCCTCATTCTCTACTTTCTCTCTCATTTTTTCAACTATATACCTCCGTGTCCCAATATCTTCTCGTCTACCCCGTCTTGCTGTTGTCTGGACACACTCCCACATCCCGTCCACTAAACTTTTCGCTGCCGTTGTTTACAGCGACAGCGGGAACCCTGACCACTAAGTTTAGCCCACTTCCAGGGCTGACATTGGGGTCGCTCGCTTGTACTCCACCAACCATACAATCGGGTCCAGTTCTTCTCTCTAGGTCTGAGAACTTGATTCTTCCACCATCATTACTACCATGGCGCCGGACTCGGAGTCGGACGCCGATAGTGTGTCGCAACGTTCTCAACTATCCAACCATGATGATCATCTTGATCGCCAGCTACTTCGCCATTTGATGCAACGCTATGGTCGCGAAGGCATTGCACAATTGATGGAAGAGGAGGCTTTCTCGCCTGCCACCTCGAGTGAGTAATTAATTCTCTTGCTTGTGACTAACATTGCTGACTTTCGTGTCTCAGTCAACGATCGATCATCCGTCATTTCCTCAAGCACTTACTCCTCCGTCAAGTCTGAAGAGACTCCTAGTGTTTTTGACTCAGCAAGCATACGAACCTACTCGTCCGACAACTCATCCCTTCGGGGCAGTATCATCTCAAATGTGGCAGGCCGCACCGCCAAGCTACTTGGTCGCAAACCACCAGCTGCTCGTCCATCTATTACACACGACGAGGAAACTTCACCGGCTTCGATTGAGTCAACAACGCCAGCACCCAAGCAAAAAGGTTCCTTCACATGTGGTTTCTGTCGAGAAGAAGACATCCAAAAGACATGTACGCGCAAAAACGATTTGAAGAGGCATATCGAGGACTTTCACAACACCAATTCTCAATGGTTCTGTCGGCAAAAGGGATGCGACAAGGTTTTTGATTGGCAAACAGCTTACAAAACCCATCTCAAACAAGCACACGGCGGCTCCCGTATGTCTCTCGACGAGGCAAAGGTGAATTTGTGTCCTCAAACTGTTTTTGCATGTGGTTTCGAGAATTGCGCCAAAGTTTTGGAAGCACCTACCGATGACGATGCCGACACAATATTCAAGGAGTTTGTGGCCCACGTGGTGAAACACTTCGACGAGGGTTCCAACAGTGGAGAATGGAGTTATTCCGGACGAATGCGAAACCTACTTCGACAGTCAGGCCTTGTGCAAGCCTGGGAAAGTTCCTTGTGGGATGAAAAAGGGCGAAGTCTTTTGCAATGGCACCCTCAATCCAGTGGCATTTTGCGAAAGCGCCTTGAGACTAGGCATCTCAATGACACGCAACTTCTCATCCAATATGCAATTGCGCTTGGCTCTGAACCCTCGTCGATAAAAGAGTATCGTGTAGACTTCGTCAACCCTATCAAAGACCAGTGCCGTCATGTCGTTCCGGGACACAAGTCCCGGGCGCCTCCTTTGCCGCCTTCGGGTCCTCCTCCAAGTGTGGATCAGTACCAGTTTCGCATATCCCGAGGAAACACGAACCATCCTCCTAATATGGCAGCATACATGGCTACACAACGCCGCGCTTATACTGCCAGGCCCGGACCTGTTCGTGCTGGTCGCTCTGCTCGACCTCCGCGGCAGGCTATACCGGTTACTTCGGCAGCTCCAGGGCCGATGCCACACCATTTCCAATATCCCAATATGGCCTCACCTACCATGTTCGATCCGCGACAACAGCAGCAGCAGCAGTTTGCCATGATGCAGCAGGCAAACGGAGGTATCATTGCCGAGGACTTGCGGAATTTCCGATCCATGGCTAACAGTATTCCGGAGCAAGACGTCGACATGGGTGACGCAGATATGATGGGCTCTTCTTTCCTACAGGAGCCCAGCTTCTCGAGCCCTTACGGACCCCAGGGTATCACAAGCTCTGCGGCTGATGGGTCATGTCTTGCGCCTACAGATGCCATGGACACGCATTTGGCTTTTGGATTTGACGCAGCATATACCAACTAGTCACAATCTTTTCTGTCTATTTTCTTTGTGTATACCCCGTCAGTGAACTGCAGATATCGCACACCGCCTGAGGATGGACTATTTGTCTTGGGTTTGTTTCTGGATGAGGGTTACTTTAGAATCCGTGGAATTTTTATTCCCCAAAAGTCTGGAATTTGTATTTGTGTATGCTCTAGGTAACAGGAGTTTGGTCTGGCGTATGTAGGCACGTTTAGTGTGTTGGATTTGATACCCTGTGCTTGAATCAATGACAGATTTATTTCTATATCGGTGGCATATGTTTCACATTTTGACTATGAACCTTGGTATGACTGGCTAGACCTCAAGATCAGTCATGGTGCCTGTTAGAAGCCGTGACAAGGCATATTCATGATTGGGCTGTCAAGAGATCAGCATGGAAGCATGGCTATGTAACTTGAACCCAACCTTAATCAACATGCCGGCACCCGACTCATCTCGATCCAGTTACGCTTTCCGCGGCAGCAGATCCCACTCGGTTGTTTTGATCGGCCGGCTGGCTCGGGCATGCGGGTACTCGTATGGGATGCTGTAACGGTCACAGCAATCTCAAGATTAAGATATTACGCTTCCGGGGACAAAACATGTTCGAAACAGGGGACCTGGCGTGACATTGGGTCGAAATGCTAAGGTATAGAGTTTGCTAGCAACGGTCGTATCCTAGCTCTGAGTCTCCTTCACCAGCGTATCCGAACAGGTGGGATCACTGGGATGGGTGACAACTCACGTAACATGGTGTTGTAACTATCGTCATCAACACAACTGCCGGGACTAGGTATGTTTCTAGTGTTTTGGGGGTTTACGAGTGCTTGTATTGCCTCGGTTGGGCAGGATGATCTTCCGCCGGGTGTTCGTGTAAGTCGGGAATGTAACCATACGATACTTTTCCAACGACGAGGTACAGGGTAGTTTTAGATGACATGAGCAAGGAAGGGGTTTGAGCTCGTGAAATAGTTGGCGGATTGCTTTATTCCATCTGATAAACTAATAAGGATATGGCTGAAGATATCACCATGCCTGGTAATCCGGACACGTGCTATGCATCTCCTACTCTTGAGAGATTTCGCATCGTGCCCGCTGTGGCCATTCAAGTGTTGCCCTCGTAAAATAACACCACGGAACATGCCGGCGTTCCGTGAGAAATACTTAGTACAGTTTTCTAAAAATGTTTGGAGGCGTCGACATCATCAGGTCAATGGACAAGTTGTATAGTCACTAAGTGAACAGTGCCCATTGGGACGAAAAATAGAGAGCGGCGTGCATCGAGCACAGTCAAAAGCGCGGACCAAAACATGGTATCACGGACGCGAGAGAAATCGGTGCCTTGGAAAGACAAACAGGAGGCCTAAGCCCATCGAACAAGGATCCCCCTCGACAGTATAGGAAGTTGATATAAGGTCTTTGGGGCGTACGGGAGGCTGTTCCGATGAGTCCATATCGAGTCGATGCCGAGGCACGGCAAGGTGTTGATGGTTTAGAAATGGAGGCGTAAGACATCTTGATACCCTAGGCTGTGTTTATTTGAATCTGTGGCGCAACGTTCGAGAACATGAAGATGTAAAAAAAGAATGTCACTCAAGGGTAAGAGAGGCGTATAATCCCTGACAGGGGGATCTTTGTGCCGTACAGTAATAGGCCGTCGCCGTGCGATGTGAAACTTGTGGATGATGACGGATAATGTTGGAGATAGGGGACCTGCATGACCTCCACGTGGAGAAGTGCACCAAGAAGGGCATCAGGTTGCGAAATAGCGGATAGGGACGGGGTGAGGAAAGAAGATAGATTCTGCTTGTCTACGGTGTGCTTGGAAGATGTGTGTTTGTGTGTGTCTGTGCGTGAAGCATGCATCCGCGGACTCGAGAGTCCAGAATCAACCAACACGAGGAAAACTGTTTTATTCGTTACTTTGAAGGTTTAATTAAGGTTGAGGTTGTGTACAGGATAGGACAGCTAGGGGGTACCACAAGAAATGTCCGCTCCCCTGATTTCTCACTAAAATTACTATTATTTCTAAATTCTATAATAAAATAAGGAAAAATAGTATAAAATAAAGGTAACTTAGATATAATATTATAAAGGCTATACTATATAATAAGGTTATTAAAATAAAGTAAATCTTTTATATAATATTTTATTTATATTTTTAAAAATAAATATATTTACCTTTAAACTTAAAGTACTATTTTAACCCTATTTAATAATATTAATAAGAAAAAAAGACTAATAGAGTTATTATATAAAGAATTCTTTATTTTATAGTATTTATTTTATATTTTATTTCTATTTCTATAGATAATAATAAAGAGAAGAAAAGTACCTAAAACCGGTCATTTCTTGTGGTACCCTGAGGGACAGGAACCGACCCAGAGAAAGATCTACGGAACGGGTGGACCACGTGGAAGTGGAAGGCCGTTACAGAATAAAATGTTGGTGTCGGAGGTTTCACTCCACTTGGATTCAATGGGTTGTGTTTGATGTTGATCACTGAATGCAATCTGTAACTCTTCAGATATTGTCTCCCCCCCCCCCCCCCCCCAGAACGTTCCATCGTGGTGTGGTATCAGGTCTCGAATCTTGTGGTTGCGGGGAAATGAGCTGAACAGTCACGTACATTGACAAACTAGCAAATCGGAACAAATGGGATCAACCCGACAGAGAATGGGATGCCTCACAAATGACAGGAACAGAAGGAGAAGGAGAAGCAGGCGCAAGAAAGGAGCCTGCATATTTTCATGGATGTCATGGCCGTGGTCATGTTGTATTGGACTTTGGTACGGATAGGCGACTCATCAATGCGCGTCCATCGGGGGCTCTGTTACCCCAGCCTTTTTTTCCCTTTTACTTACAAGGACAAGCATGGCTATGCTCACCCGTTGAGAGGCAACGTGACCGTGCAAGTGCAAATACACGACGCGACGAGCAAGCAGAAAGCAAGGACCCCCGAAACGCTTCTGCTCATGATCTACAAATGCTGATCCATGGTGCCCGAAACACGTCGCTTACGTCTGTTGCATGTCCATGAATTAATTTCGACAGTTTAAGAGCAGGCCAGCCACTCGTCTCGTAATGCTCGAGGAATTTCGGCAGGAGAAAAAGCAAACGCCACAGGGAAGCGGTCAGCGGTCAGTGAAGAGAGCGATGAAACAAAGCAAACAAAACGCCGATTGATATGGAGATGTAGATGGATGTAGATGCCGATGAAGCAAGCGTCTGTAACAAAGTGATACTTCACTTCTGCAACGGTTCGATGATCAATGATGAATCCCAGAGACCGGGACATTCGGCTCTCCTTTCTTTTTCTTTCTTCCACTTCCCTTCCCTTGTCGATAGTCGGTGTCGACTCTTGGGTCTCATTTACTGTAAACGAGGATGTACTACCACATAAGAGCATCATCGTCATGAGAGAGATGCTATTATACGTAGCCCTATATGTTGTCTCGTGCCAAGTATGGAGTCACTCTCATCACAGCTGGGCAAGTCCTTGGATACCAGTACAGAGCCACTTAGAGTATCCACCTTGATCAATGTTTTGACCTCTTTTTCTCTCTCTCTTTCGTTTCTTTTTCGATTTTGCACCTTGGAGCCTTTTGGGACTTTGAACTTCCACTTACAAGGGGTCTCCAAAGTGGCTTAGACCGGCTTAGACCTGACCAGGCTCGTGTCATGTCCCCCCCATCCCATGTCCTATGCGCCCAACCAATGCAATCGGACGGCCACCCTCCAAGCTCCGCACCGTAAAGTCTCGGCAGACCATTCAGACGGCGTCTCTCAACAGCACAAGGCCAGAGATTGGCCCATCTTCATTTCCCGCTGAAACAGGGTCCGTCTGCTGGCCCGCGTTGAACTCATTGCTGATGCGCTAACACGGCCAACTAGGACTCATACGGCAGTGGCCTTGGTCTTTGGACTTGGGCACAATGAGATGGGTCTTGGCTTGTTGCTCGTTAAAGTTTAGTTTCTCTCTTTTGGCTCGGGCTGGTCACTCTCCGTTCACGTTTTTTCTTTCTTCTTGACTGCTCTGGTTGTCTGGGGATCCATTTGTGGAGTACTTTACGGTTTGCTTGAGAGAAAGAGAAAGAGGACTCCGTTTTTAATCGGGCTCAGCAAGTTATGTCAGAGCAATTTAATGCTTTTTCTTTACTTGCCCGACACTCGGAAGCCACCGAGTTATTCTGACTAAGTGGCAGATAGATAGAGTTCATGACATGACAGTGTTGGTTTGAAAGTATGATCAGGTGCCGAATCAGTCTCTGAACCCGTTACGTACAATTTCTCTGTCAACTCCAACGGTTCTGAACAGCACTCCAAAAAGGAAACAAACCAAAGAGAAAGGCAGGGTTCGTCGGGCTAATTACTGATCTCACCTCCATGACCATCACTGCACGGGTAACAGTTACGCGCCTATCGGGAGATGATAGATGGTAAATGCACGAAACCCTAATCCACCATTGATGTTGCAATATTGTGTGTTAAATGTTGCATTGGTGACAATCGTTTTGGAGAAGTCCAATCTCTCTTGCATGCAGTATTTTCTAGAAAGACGGCAGAAGAGTTTCAGCTGCTGACGTTCATGTCATGCCATGTTCGTGTCCGTCTCACTGTTCCTTGGTGCAGGGGGAGCCCAATTTTGTAATTTGCTGCTGGGTCGGCCGAGCCTTATTTTTGACTACCTTACACACTCACACTCTAATGTTCCATCCAGTGAGTGATTGACGAGATGACTATCGGTAGCTCCAGGCGAAGTCTTTTTTTGTTTAATGGTTTCGCATTTCAGGATTTTGGTGCTGGTTGCCCCGTTGCGACCCAGACCAGACTGGCTACCTACCTAGACTAGACTGGGTCATGTAGCCCCCAAAGAAGAGAGTGCTAGAGAGGCTTTGGAGGGCCTATCGAGTATCGAGTAAGGCACGCGTTACTGTAGCCTATGCATTGCCTGTCCTGTCGCGAAACCGAGTCCCTGATGATCTATTCTCCATTCTCCCCTAGGAAGATAAACAAAGCCGGAAAAAGTAGATCATCGTCAGGTACAGAGTACGGATACGTCACGTCACATCCATGATCCATCATCGAACCAACACCTCATCTCGTCTCGTGTCGTTTCCCTTCTTTTTTCCCTGCGACCCGCAAGAATTGACGTTTGCGAACAGAATTTGGCAGCACTTCTTGGCTCCGTTCTCTGGGCGAATGACGTTCCTGAAACGGGCGTTGGTGGCCGAGCCAGGGTATGCCCCCCCTGTTTGGCGGAGTCACTAGCTTCTGGACTAGTCAAGGACAAGGCTTCATCAGCGTGTGCTTGCGTGGGTCGAGCAGAGAGCGATCACTCCGGCAAGCCCGTTATAATGTCTCATCCTAGACCAGGGATTCGAAGAAGAAAGAGGAAGGAAGGCTTCTAGAAGGCATTCTCTCCCCAGTTTCCCTCCTCCTCCTCTAAACCGTCTCTCATTCCCTCCCATTCTCCCCTGCCCTTCTACGATTCTGCCCGTTTGCTCCCTCTCTTCCACCCCTCGCACTCAGCCAAAGTACCTTTCTCACCACATCTGTACTTTACTTTACTTGACTGTCTGATCCCCATCTCAAACAAGGACCCTTGCCTGACTCTTGTCTCGTCGTGTCTCTCTCTGTCTTCCATTCTGCTTCTGCCTCTGTTTCTGCTCTACCTAATTGACCCTCTTATCTGCTTTAATCCGCCCTCCCAAGCCTCACATTCCAAAGCAATTCTTGCTTTACGACTCAACGACCCAACTGCTACAACCTAATCGTCGCGGGCTGTCGATTTCCCTTCCTTTCGCATCCACGCGACTCAATCTGAAGCGTGTTTGCTGATACTCTCTCGACTCATTCGCATTCTCTGTTCAACTCGCTATCGCCAAACGCAAACGACAACTCGCTAATACGACTACCGACTCAACTTGATGATAGCGACATTGCCAGTCACTGTCTCATATTGCTAACATCCATCCGAAACACGGGACCTCGCTGTCTTCGAGTCGCTGTCGATAAGTCACTCGAGCGCTGAGTGCGCGTTATCGCATCGTCGATTGGCCTTTGGCACTCCACAACAACACAACGCAACATGTTTCCCTTTCCGGCATCAGACGACCAAGTGAGGCCTTTAACCGAAGAGGACCAGCAGATCCTCTTGGGACTTGCCCGTCGCTATGGTGTCTCGAGTCTTGTTTGCGCTCTGAGCGGCCTGGGTGCTTCATGTGAGTGATTTTGACTCGAAACAACTGATATAGGCATTCTAACACCAAACAGCCCGAGCCTCTACCTTCTCAGCATCCACACTACTCAGCAACACCAGTGCTCCCTCATTAGCATGGAGCAGTTCCGAGGCGTCTCACGCCCGATCCGATGCTGCCTCGATCCGAACTCAATCCACATGGCAGGACAACGCAGGCGACGTGCCCTCAATTCACGATGGTGAGGTCGGTAAAGTTGCCGATCGCACATGGCTCGACTCGCCCAATCTCATGCAGTCACCCATCCCTTCATGCGATGTCACCTCCAACCCGTCGCCCCGGCATGTCACACCCACATCAAAGAAATACCAGTGCCCTATGTGTTTCTTGGACAACAACCCTGTGGGTTTTGGCAGGAAGAGTGATTTCAAGAAGCATCTCTACAACTTCCACGGTGCTGATGTGACATGGCTGTGCAAGACCAAGGGTTGCCATCTATCGTTTGCTACTGAGCGAGCATACAGCACTCACGCCAAGGAGACTCACCGCATGGACGCTCTCCCTAACAGCTCAGCCAAGACAGACTTGTGCCCTCAGGTTGTCTTTGGTTGCGGTTTCGCTAGCTGCAAGGATCGCGTCTTTGAGGCTTCCACCAGCGAGCAGGCTTCGGCCAGCCGCGACAAGTACTTTGAGCATATTGCCAAGCACTTTGAGGACGGATTCGACGTGAACAACTGGGAGTACAAGGTCCAACTCCACAACCTTATGCGTCAATCCAAGGTCAAGTCTATTTGGAAGACATGTATCTGGCCCAAGGAGAAGAGACTGCAACTTACATGGCGACCTCGCTCCTCTGGCGATCTCAAGCGTATGCTCGAGGCTCGTCATCTTGGTGAAGACATCTCAACACTTGTTCGTCTTGCATTTATCCTTGGCACATCTCCTTTCACTAGCGTTACCACACCGCCTCCGAGCGAGATTGATCTGCAGTTTTCTCTACCTTTCCGATCTCAATGCTTGATGGATACTGTTGGCCACGGTGATGGTGTACCATCCAAGACAGACGACTACAGTGAGCACAGTGAGCACAACACGCCGATGGTCACTGTGACAAAGCAGCTGCCCCAAACACCACAGCCGCCCTCGTTCCCTGTCCGACGTATCAAACAAGAAACCCGCCCATCAACACCAGTAGACGGCATTATGGAGCCCATGGTTCAAGATGATCTCACTGCTGGTCCTCACCCGGGAACACCGTTCCCTATCCCTAATGAGCATGTCTGGCCAGTTGACGCGCCCAAGTTTGCTCCTGATCAAATGAACACTTTTGCTGATGCCTCCATGACCTACATTCTGCCTGGTCAGGAACTTCCTCAACATCAATGGGACATGACTGGTATGCAGCAGCACTTCCCTCAGCAGGACACTGTTATGACCAACGTCTATATGCCCCCTCAGCAACAACCTGTTGCTGCTCGTCCCGCTACTCCCATCCCCTCGAAACGACCTGGATCTTGGGGCAAGCGTCTCAGCCTTGAGAACTTGCGCCCCAAGAAGAAGACCAGCGTGTATGGTAGTCCCTCTTCCGAACACGAGGCCGTTCCCCCTGTGCCAGCCATGTATGCCGAGATGATGCCCACGTCCGTACCAACAGGCTATCAGCTGCCGATGCGAATGGGTCACCCTCAACAAGGGTACACATCCAACCCTGGCTTCATGCCTCAACAACATCAGCATCATCCGCAACACCAACAGCAGCAGTTTGGCTCGCCCACAACCTTTTACCTGGATGATGGTGAAATGAGACTATAAGGCGTTTGAATCTCGGCACGGAAAAGCATTCTTTGAATATCATGATTTCCTTTTCTTGTTACTTTGCATTATCATATATCTGTACTAATAATACCCCGAGGAAGGGGCTAAAGAGAAGGACGAGGAACATAACGACGGGATACCCATCCTCACTATCTGACGAACTTTCTCCTATTACCCCATTTTATTTGTCTGTTTCTGGATATATCACAGCACGCATTCGGGATCGAAACATACCTATTTCCTTTTCCCGATATCCTGTTTTGGCTATTTGCTTTTTGTATTTGTTTTGAGATACCACGGTGTTGAAGAAGGATGGAATGGATGAGACGAAGGAAACTCAAGTCATGGACACTGCGAAGCCATATAAATGTTCTTGCAGCCTTGGCTTTTTGCACTTGCTTTCTCCGTTGAATTTTGCATCTTTCGGGGGGTTATGTGAGGAACTTGTACCGGGATGGCAGATACCCTTTTGTTAGCCAGCAATCGAGCATACCTATGCTTTGGCGGGATACATATGATAGATAGGAACTCTGCATGTTAGCGAGCAACATGAAATAATTAGACTATTTGAGACTACCTTGGGTATCGACTGCAATGTGATGATTGATGAAGTTTGGACTTGACTGTATAATGTTTTGGGGCTGTTTTCTCTGCCACCGTTTGGCGAGGGATCTATTCACAGAAAGGGTGTATGAGAATAGGGAAGATAGTCATTGGGCCGCTTTCGTTGCAATGAAAATAACATTCTTGTTGCATTCTTTGTGTATGCTCGCCTTTCTGTGCCAGTCTGTGTTGTAACAACGGGGACATGCCGCTGTGGGAGCTTTCCCTCTATGTTCAAACTGGACCGGATCGCTTGAGACAGCTTCGTTCACGTACGAAATTAAGCAGCGCTCTGTCACACAAGCTCAGGCAAAGCAGCTTGGCGCAGTGGAAGCGCGGTATGTCTCTACTCCACCACGTAACTCTATTACAAAGTACTAACTCACTACAGCCGGGCTCATAACCCGGAGGTCATCGGATCGAAACCGATAGCTGCTACGAAGCATTCTTTTTTGCGTCTTGCATCACTTGAGGCATGCTGGTGGGGTACTCGATCAGGAGATAGGGACCCTAAGTTGGCCATAAGAAGATTTGGCATAGATACTCGTGTATCCTTATGGATTACGGGTATTCCACCACGATTGACATGGGAGGCATCGACGAAGGCGTAGCTTCTGAGGCTCCGATGCTCCGCAATATTGTCGACGGTCAAGAATTGATCTTTTGTGCGTCCGGGATACGGCCGGACTCCACGGCATCGGAGCGGAGGACCGGACCCACCTCTTTCTTCGGAACGGCGCATGTCTACGCAGTAAAGTATTACTTATCAGGATCCTCACGACTCCGGCCTCACTTACGGTCTCGCCGATGGTTTTCACTCGCAAACGGCCGCTCAAATTCTTGTCGAGGAGATTGTTGTCATGGGCGTTCACCAGCCGATCGTTACTAACCTCGACTCCGAAGAGCAAGGCGCTGGTCGTTTCTGGAAGAACAATCGTTTTGAGAACACGAGGCCGAAACTACGTAGGAGAAGGACTTCCCTCTTTCTTGTGACTACGCTACTGATCCGGGTGACAGCATCTGTGAGCTTGTCAAGGCCAAGGATGGTACTGGTGCTGTATCTGCTTAGATGGCCAGACAGCGGTCTTGGGAAGAAGAGCCTCGTGGATGGCGATGTTTGACAAAGACGTATCACTCGCAACCTCCAGCCTGTTCCAAGTATCAACATACTCCGTTTAATATAATAGTGACCGCCTCGACATTGAATTTGCCTTGGTTTTATGCTGGCATGTATGCTTATCAAGGTTAAGCTTATTTAGTTTGGTGGCTGAGCGGACCGCGCCTCATCGCAGATCACTGGGCATAACGTCAGGCTAACAGCTTTGAAGGTCAATATCTACCCCGTATACCCTCGAAGCACTTTAATCCGTTTCCCGTATTTTTACCATCTACTGATTTCCGGTTGTTGACTAGAAACACTATCAATTCATACTCTAATGTCTTTCTTTTCTCAGTTTCGTAGTCGTGCCAGGGTCATAGACCAAGCCAACCCAGACCCTCACACATGGAAATTCCCATCGTCATACTCAACCCCTCAGCCTGGAGGGAAGGAAACGACGATACCGAATCCAAACATCTTTTCAAACGTCTTCTCTATTCCCTCCGAGGCCGAACTTCAATCTGTCAAACTTGAGACTCTTCTGGCGTACCCCGATGCTAGCCACGCCGCAGTCCATCTTGCCTTGCTTGAATGCTTCAACAATCTGAGGGCCACTGCTGGAGGTCTTGATGTGGAGGTTGTTCAACCACCTCAATACAATGAGAAGCCGACTACCTCCTCCACACCGCAGTCCACTTCACTACCGGAGTCGCAGAGATGGGACTTGCTTATTAAGTTAGCTGTTACACGCTTTACAGCTTGGTGGTCCAGTATCGACATGGTTCTGAACCACGCAAGCGTGTACTCGCATCGGGCTGGTAGCCACGCTGCCCTCCAGCTAACCAAAGATTATCTACCACCGCTGGACATACTACTGGTGTGGTATGCCCTAATTCTCAACCCAGATGCATATGATTCCGCATGCGACTCTCACAAAGGCAATGCTACACGCCTGAAGAATCTCTGCTTCCCATGGCCTGCTATCCGCGATGTCATCGATATGGAGAAGATGGAGTTTACGCTACCGCGTGCAGCCCAAAACCTCTTCAAGAACTTGTCGTCGCAATCATGCGATATCCTCTCATATCTTGAAAGTCCACCAGCATATACCGACTCAGGAAAGGTGCGCTTTGAGACGAATTTGTTTGCTGAGGTAAAGAAGCACGAAGCCTTCATCGCCGAATCTCATAAAATGCTGTGGATACGGTCACCAGCTCTGCGAGGATCACTGGTTCGCGCAGGCTCGGAATACTTGGACTTCCACTTAGGAGAGTCTGCTGCGATTGAAGAAGATGTGGCAGACCTGCAACCTTTTGGAGTTCAGTTGTTCTGGAAGACGCACCGTCTGTTTCCAAGGCAATACAAGGCGTTCTTGAAGGAAATTGGAAAAAGTCAGAAACAAGTCATAGAAGACTCAAAAGGGAACTTGAAGAACACATTTGAAGAAGACTTAACTTACTTACCTAGTCAGTTCTGCCGTTGCTGGACCTGCGAACGCATCCGAGAAGAACTCCCCAAATTCGTCCACAGTCAACTCCCAACTTCCTCTCCTCCGTCGTCTTCCAAATCTCCTGCACCTACACCATCAAATCCCATGCAGCAACAGTTTTCATTACTATCGCCAGACCAGATCCGTCAGATTCAAGACGATGTAGGCTTCCACCTTGCTGTTGAGGATGCCCGCAGGCGCAAGATACCTTTGCCAACACGCCCGCCGACAGCTGCGGAGAAGGAGGCAGAAAAGATTGCAAAGCAAAAACAGAAGGAGGTTGGATATTTGCCTGGCTTGAATGAGTATGTGGAGGTTTTACCTGACGGGACACGCAAGATACGGGTACGCAGGTCTAGAGGTAATGGGTATTATGCCATGATGTTGCTGTAGTCTACAAGTCCTGTTTTCCTTTCCTATGAGCTCTATACCATTTATATCTAGCAAGCATGTAGAGACTGTTTATAATGATTATATTTGTCAAGTTACTGGCATATACTGCCGACGATTGAAGACTTGGGTTCAATGTCAGGGCTCACTATCACATGGGCGCTCGATCGAGTCATCGCCCATTGCCAACTCCCATAGACTTTGTCCTGTAACATCATGGACAATGCCTATCCAAGGAAATGGCTTGAACAGTGTTTTTAAGTCTCCCCACTCCGATATTCCAAGTTCACGTGCCACCCCCCTGATCTCTCCAAGAGTCCCTCTCCGCTCATCATCCGGCAACGAAAGCGCATACACAAAAACAATCCACAGCCACAGGCTTCGATACTCGGCCCCTCTAGCTACCATAGCACGACTCTCAACATGCTCCCGAAGCAGCTCGTGTAAGAGTTTACAGTGCAAAGCCCTCAGGTAACTCGTGGACCATTTGACAGTGACCAAAAAAGCCAACAATGCGAGCTGCCACACATCGTCCAACAGATCACGCGGCCTCGTGCCACCCAACGGCGCAAATTCGACCAGACGCTGCCACATCGAGATCAGCACATCCTGGTACTGCAAAGCCGCCATCTTGGTCCTTCCTGGCCGCCGGCACAGCGCAAGGAGTTCGCGAGTGACTCTTTGCAGGAGTTGGCTTGTTTGGTTCAAGGGGTACGCGAGTCTTCTCGCAGATGTCGGTCCCGCTGCGACAGCTGTGAGTCCTGCGTCGCTGAAGCGAGGTCTCGTGCCTTGCGCCACGGCGAGTTCGACGTCGGTGCGGCAGATCTTCTGGACTAGCGGGCGGTTGCACTCGCGTATGCCGGAGATACCGCCAGGGCGAAGGCCGAGCAGACGTTGTAGTGCATCGAGGTGCATCGCACTGGCGTGGAGATCTTGTGTAAGGTTTGAGTGTATCGCCAGGGAGATGATGATGGCGACGTTGGCGTCTTCCTTCGCGGCTGATGGCTGTGAGAGTCTCGGATTCAAGAGGCGGAGTGTTTGGGTAAAGTGACGGGTCGCTTCAAGGCTTTCTACTGGTCTTTCGGATTTGCTCATGATGTTGAGGTATGTTACTGTCATGGCTAAAAGACAGTGCAAGCCTGGCGATGTGGTTAGTAGTTATGGGAATAGCGATGGACATGAACTAACAAGCTGGATCTGCTACCATGAATTTGAACCATGGGGAGCCGATCTCCTCTGTAGGCCGACAGAAGGCGTATGGGTATATAACGTTACAGATACTCGTGTTGACTAAAGATGGTCAATGTGTATTTGCAGCAGGGCAAACGCAAACGAACTGACATTCGTAGACAGAATATCGCATCGATGAAGTGAACTGGACTGGGAAAGAAAAGTATGTATACTCCTCGCCCGCAAATGGGTTGTTGGGTGTGTGGGTAGTATCTATAAGAGTGACCTCTGGAAATATTAATGTACTCCCGTCAGCATCCACAACATCCTCATTACGCTCAGCCAGATGTACATCTTTGAAGAAGTCACCCCCCAGAGGCACAGCATGTCTCCGTCCACGGCCCTGGATAATACGGCCTGTGTTCTTGCCCTTCATCACATGGCTGCGTATAGCCTTACGAGAGCCAGGATTATTCGTCGATTCGTTATTAATGAACTGGAAGTTCATCGTCACGTGAGGCCTTGGGGGGATATATAATGCAGTAGCGTGGTTCGCTGTCGTGATGATTGATGGTCGAGACTTGAGAATAATTGAAAGATAAGGATTCGAAGTGGTGAGATTATAGCAGCATGGGTAAACTCCGTAAACCCCGAGAGGGGTAGTGGTGTAGGTTGTCAAGCATCATCGCAGCCTACTTGGATATGAACAGCAGCATCGCAGTAAGAGTATAACCAAAAGCTGGAGTGACATTGTATATATGGCTCGGGTTCGAAGGGTTGCGGGAATAGCATCACATTAACACCGGCGGTGGAAGATAGCCAAGATTTCGGTAGCAATGCCATCTTGTATGGCAGAAATACTCAATCCCATGCTGAGAGTTGATCTGTTATTTGAATTGTTCGCATCGATATGAATGAGTTAGAATGAGTTCCATTTTATGAATTTCGGTTGCTGCGGATATCTTGTGGTCGTTCACGCGCATTCTCATCCACTGCCGACAGAAGTCACCAAAGTCTCGCAAATTGAGTTTTTAGATGAGGAAGGAGAAAGAGCCAAAGATCAGAGAAGATGCAGGCACATCAATGAAAAAATGTTGAGAGTTCCATAGGTTGATTCTTCCTTTAGTCCGTTTTGTGAACAGCAACCTCGGCCCAAGTCTCCAGCCGCCGTCCGATTACTGTTATAAGACGCTTCTTGTATATCGTGAAAAGACGAATTCTTGCACATACTTTTGAGAGAACCGTATTAGGTGAGATAGAAGCCTGCAGTAGAGCTATCGGGCTTTAAATATGTCAAATGCTTGTGATCTTACAAAAACCAATTCTGCGTTAGGCAGTGATTTTTGCGGCCGAGTCAAACAGCCACTTTGTAATCGCCTCCTTAAGCATTGAATCGATCTGGAACTCCATATTGATAAGCTCTACGGTATGTATTCCGATATGATAGATTTCCAACTGCACGAACAATCAACTCCTTGGCTGGGAAAACCGACTGTTTACTTCTTCAACAAGCAAGGATCAGGGAAGAGTGATTCTCCTGAAACTACAAGGACGAACTTTTGAAATGTAAAGTAGTTTTACACTGGCATACAGACATAATGCTTGAAGAAACCTGCTCTTGAGTTATCTGCCCTATTTCAATGCCGACAGAGGTCTCGACCGCATGCCATAACACCAGACGGCCTTATTTTCGAGTCCAGCCCATACATCTGGTGTCAAGAAGCTTTCTATGGGCGTATACGTCCAACGGTACTCAAAAGGGCGAATTATTGCCCCTATCGTATGACAGGTAGACAGATTGTGGCAACTATGATCTATCTTGCGGATTCACACCGAGGCAACAACCAGTATCTCACTCATTTGGTTCTGGTTTAGTAACGCTTGAGGCATAATTAGACTACTTCTTATGCGTTGCTGCCAGATAGAAAATTCAAGGTTGCCCCAGACTTCCCCAGATATTCCACATGGACTGTGGGGGTTAAGACAAGACCATGTATAGCAAGACCGAGGTACATTTCACGATATGGCGCAGCATGTCTCATGTATAGCCTAGGTCGTTCGGAATTCGACATCCTGGGAAAAGTTGGTTCCTGTCCATTCTCGGAGCTTCACCGAGAAAGTGTTCAATACCATGGTGGTGTGGAGGAAGATAAAATGAGACAGCAGTAAAGCTAAACAAATCGGATCACTATGATGCCTTGATATATGCTATACCAGTGCAGTTTAGAACAAAGCAATAATTTGTCATGATTTAGAGATAGGAGCTAACTACAAGAGTCGAAATAAAAGGGACAACTGTAGCCGCCCGTGTGCTCACAGACCCCGTTTCTGAGGCTTGCATTAAGACCAAGGCAACCGTGAATCTTGTTCACAAGGTTGCCAAGCTGGAAAATGGGGTAATCGGACGATCAACGTGGGGAAGCTGGAGGCGAGACAAGCCTGGACAATGATGCCCGAGGTGGTGGGCACATATGGTGATTTGATTCCGACAGCCATCGGCCAGACCAGTTGTTTTACGCACGATGAGGTTAATGCACGAGAGACAAGCTAATTTAGTAAAGACACCCGAGAAATAGACGATACTGAGTGAGGAGAAATTCTCCGCGTTTATTATCCCCGCTCCCGAAATCTAGATTGCTGCGGGCTAGAAATGGAGGTCTTGAGTGTTGGTCACTGTGGGCGAGCCATACGGATAGCTCGGATTACAAGACGCAGCCAAGAGTATGTGGGTGAAACAGCTTTTGGGAAAGCTGGTGTGAGGTTGGCAACATCGTTCGATGTCGTTCCGCGTCACAGCTGATATGAAGGCGAAGGGAGGGATGATTCCGACCCAACAGAGTGGCACATTATTGCATCCTTCACATTCTTCATCTGCACACACTGCATGCTGAAAACGTGGGCATAGATATGCGGTGACTACGAGCTGAACCAAGCATACGATCATAGGTCACCAACGCAACTTACAGCTCAACGAAAATATGAAACAGGAACGTTTATTGGCAGTGGTGTTGTCACTACAGAAAGTGTGTACGCCATCCGCATGTCCGAAGACGCAAAAGGGCAACAAAGAGAAACGTAAGAGAATAATGGAAGCTTGTCGACAAAAGAGACACATGCCAAGACAAACCCGCTGGTAACGACGCCAAAAGCATGTGGTATGTGACGATGTGCGGAATGGCCAATGATCGAGGGGCAAAAAGGACGGAATATTCGGTGATCTGACACCCAAAATAAGCAACACCAAGAAAAATGTGATGGAGGGGGGCATGGAAACGTGGCTCTGCGAGTATCACTCCAGGGAATGTCCGGCGGTGATAGGCTGAGCTTGGTGATGGTGTGAAGACAAGAGATGGTGCCATCGACCAAATATTCTTGTATTTTTATGCAGTGGCTACGTGAGATAAAGTTCGTTGGGGGAGAAGAGTCATGGACGATATACGGGCAGACGAGGTGCCAAGAGCAAAGACAAGCCGACTTCACTGCAGATAAAAGATTGCGGAGATGTTCTATCCCCGAAAAGGTATTTCCTCCGGTGTTGAGAGCTGGAGCAGGCATTAGGTTGCTGACCTTTACGCTTGGTAAGATGCATCCTGGGGTAAAGAGTGCGGAGTAGTGGAGATGATACCCAAGGCGTGAGGTGAGGCCAGATTCAAGATGCAAAGAGATGAGATGTAGATGAAGATGCAGATTCCGTCGGTACTTGAGTCATCCTCAGACCATGTTCACAAATGATGGCATCATGTTATGTCAGTCTAGTGAGAAACCAAGACATCATCATCCGAGATATCTACCAGACTCTTAGTGCCTCCGAAAAGAACGGCGTGGAGGATCAGTGGAGACTATCAGCAAGCTTAACTCGGACCTTAACCTACTTAGCGACCTTATTCAAACAGCGACTACGGAGTACAGTAGAAAATGAGGAGAAGTGAGCCATGTGATAAGCAGAAATTGTCTGTCTCTTGCAACAGGCCCCATCACCCCAACAAAAGGGCAACACGGTATCTTAGCCGGGACTCCGCAGGACACAGCATACCCCTGCTCCTCGTCAGGCATGAGCCCCTGCAACCCTCCATCTTTCTTATTTCTGCCTTTTTTCCCTCGTGTTTTGGGGAATGTAAAGCTTGTGTACGCAACGAGCGATAGTACACTACTGCTCTTCTCCAAAGTTTGGGGGCGACGTGTAGGCGGTAAGGGTAAGCCCCATTGCTGAGGAGAAAAGAGAGAGTTGGCTTGGACGTGGACTTGGAGAATGTTGCACTTGGTACTTTAGCCGAGGATATTGACCCGGGCATGCGGAGCTTCTACTACCATCTCCAACAATTATAGCCGTGGCAGTGTTGGAAGTGAAGATATCGCAGCTTGATACAGATTGAAGAGCCAGATCAGCTTTGGAACCGTGAGATAGTGCAACCCCATAGTCTCCAGAGCCGTTGCAGGCTTCCCCAGAATCTATCTTGTCTTTCCCCGGAATCTCTTCGCAATCTGCTCCATCGTGCCCCGGATTATGGTCTTAGATGGGGCTGGGAGGCTCGGGAGTCGACCGGTTGTTCAAAAGTGGGAGCATATGGCTCCATTGCCACCAGCGTCTCTTCACGGCGCAGATAGCGCTGGACAAGGGACGCTGGTCCACTGAACAGACTTCCCCCAGGCGCTGTAATCAGCCCGGGCCGGATGTCAATAGCGGACCGTCAGCCTAAACGGAGGCAGTCGAGTGGATAGAATAGGTTATTCCCCCGCAATCCAATTAACCAAGTCTGGGGTCAGATATTGCAAGTCCACCAACCACCACCACCACTTCATTCACACTCACACTCACGCTCACATTGTCCATCAACCCTTTCTCGACGCTATCTTTCTTAGCTTCTTTTCTCCTCCCACACACACAATCTTACACACACACTTCCCCTCATCGACTATCCTCCGCGCGTGTTTGCCATGTGGCGTGGCGTCCCAAGCGGCCTGCGCAGCGCAGCAACGCAGACTTTACTCACTTCCTCCTTCGAGGCAAGATCAACTACAAAGACGAAACTAGGTCGAAAAGAGCCACTTCCATTGATCCGACATGAGCTACGGCTGTCACGATAGCCGAAGCCGTTGAAGCAAGCCCCCTTTTCGAGGATTTGAGGCTCTTGGAAGCTCTTCTTTCTCGAAGCCGGATACAATCTGGTTCTATTACCGTAGATCTAAGTGCTTTCTTTTTCTATTAGGGTTTAAAAACCTCCCGACTTGACGGATGCGTGCTCTCAGGCAATGGAACCTCGTGCCTGGCAAATGTACAACGCGCTGCAATCTGGTCTACTACGTTACGCTACACTTCTTGCCTTATCTCAGAATATCTACTATCTACCGGGCATGCAGAGTTGCTTTACGTAGTGGATGCCATGCCATGTGTCTCATGCAACTCGTTACATCCATAGTTCGAGGATGTCCCGTCGCGGCACTGACGGCAAGTTTGGCCTCCCTCACGCATAATGCTCTGTTCCGGCACAGCTTCAGCCTGCACTTTCGGCGTTCCAATGGAGGGTCAAATGGCGCACGGCTGTAGCAATCAGTGACAGATTGGTGATTGGCATAGTGCCATGGCTCAAGCTCAGGCTAATGGACTGGCGCAATAGAGATCGCCTGCGAGACACCGCCATGTTAGTCTGTGCTTGGACACAATCATCTACGAGAGATAGCGATGTTCTGTATTTACATTGCCATATTTCTATCCAGCGGAGCCAGCACCTACACTGTTCAAGGCGTCGCAGATACGCAACAACGTCCTGAATAAATGCACAGCGGGGGTTTGCCTGATTGTATTCAAAACCGCTGTTGGACTGTCGCGGCACAGCCGAGTGCCCTATTCCATCTACACAGGTGTACCGTACCATCCAGCACATCCAGTACCGACTTGGCATGGTCTGTCAAGCTTTTTGTCGAGCTTGGCTGACAGCTTGGAAATCTCTTGACCATGTCTCACTATTCGCTGAGATCGGCAGAGACGATCTCTCTAAACATGGTCACTTGGCACACAGCGCACATCACACATCACGCAAACCCTGTGCCTCGTACAACTGAAACAATACTGCGCCAGAGAAATGCAAACTGGCTGACTGGCTGCTGATTAGTGCTCCCTGCCCTGCAGAAAGAGGCCCTTTCCGAAATCCTGCGTCGAGACACCGCTGCCCCCAATTGCCTACTCATCCTCCTCGAACCGCGTAAAGGAACGAGCAGATATCCTTGGCAGCAAGGGTCTGGAAACGCACCCTTCTGGCGAGCCTGATTGCTCTTTGGGGGTCGGCCATTGGTCTCCGGGGGGTGAGTGTGTGTTCCAGGCGGGGGAAGAATGCGGACATGGGGTAAGATAGCTAGTAATATGGAGACATGGGGTAAAAGGGAAAAGAATAAAGGTGTGAGTGGAGTCAAGTCACCCTTGTAACCTGGGTCTTCTGCGTGTAAACTGTAAAGGGTTGGAGGCTGTCTTCCATTGTTATTATCCAGTCGCATTTGGACACTCTTTCTCAGTGAGATTTCCTCTCACACACTCTATCTCTCTGCATGCAACCTTCACTTTCAACCCTTGCTAGTTGCCGTTCGTGCGGAAAGTGGATTGACACCACCAACGGAGGCTTCGAAAAAGGGCTTGGTTTGGGAGGGGAGAGAACCTTGACCTTGACCTTAACCTTGACAATGCCGCCATGGCAGGGCAGAAGAGTGACAATGGCTGACAGTAGCGTAGTAGTCCCAGGATTATCTGGGGAAAATACAAACGATACATTCGTCTTGGACTCTCTCGTCCATTCACTTCGTATAAAGAGCCGTCTCTTCCCCAGACTCTTCCCCTGCTCCTCAGATCAGAAGCATCCGTCTCCTCCTCTCTCTTTCTTTCCTCCTTCCTCGAGGACGATCTTTCCTTCTTTCTCTTCACCTGGGAAGTCTTGCTCTCATCACCTCCCACCTCTCCCCGACAGCAACACCCACAATAGTCGTCACAATGCTCGGGCACCACGATACCAAGGTGGCTCCCAACATGGAGAACTCATCCACCGACAAGGTCGACTACGAGAAGACCGTGTCTCTTCACGAGGATGCCTCGCAGGAGGTATTCGATGAAGGTGCCACCAAGCGCCTGCTCCGCAAGATGGATGTCAAGCTTCTCCCCTTCTTGGCTCTTCTCTACCTTCTTTCGTTCCTCGATCGTACCAACATTGGCAATGCCAAGTTGGCTGGTCTCGAAGAGTCCCTGGGCATGACCGGCAAGTGGGATTACAACGTGAGTACAACCTTGACCAATCTACCGGGACACAACACTCCCAAGATGCATGTGTATTATCAGCAGAACTAATATACTGCCTATAGATCGCTGTCGCAGTCTTCTTCCCCTTCTATGTCGCTGCCGAGATTCCCTCCAACATGGCCATGAAGCGCTTCCGCCCCTCCATCTGGATTCCTTCCATCATGGTCGCCTGGGCCATCTGCACCACCCTCATGGGTATCACCCACAACTTCGCAGGGTTCCTCGCCAGTCGAATGGCTCTCGGCCTCGCTGAGGGTGGTCTCTTCCCCGGTATCACTTACTACATCACCCTCTGGTACAAGCGTCACGAGTGCGGTCTCCGCATGGCCATCTTCTTCTCCGCTGCTACTGCTGCCGGTGCTTTCGGTGGTCTTTTCGCCCGTGGTGTCATGGAGATGGACGGTGTTGGTGGCCTTGACGGTTGGGCTTGGATCTTCATCATCGAGGGTCTCCTCACCATGATCTTTGCTGTCATGGCTTTCTTCGTTATGCACGATTACCCCGACACCGCCAAGTTCCTCAGCGATTCTGAGCGCAAGGAGGTTCTTCGCCGCCTCGAAGAGGATCGTTCCGTCCTCTCTGATGCCTTCGACATCAAGTTCGCCAAGGATGCTCTCAAGGACTGGAAGATCTGGGTCCACATGCTCATCACCATCGGCATCTACACCCCTCTCTACTCCATCTCCATTTTCCTTCCCACCATTGTCAAGAGTCTGGGATACACCGCCGAGGTTGCTCAGCTCATGACTGTCCCTCCCTACGTCGTAGCCTGTCTCTTCACTATCGGTGGAGGTTTCGCTGCCGACAAGCACGGACAGCGTGGTCTCTACATGATCGGCTTCTGTGTTGTTGCGTAAGTTTCTCATTATTATGCCAAGCTGCCAAGATTCATTGGGAGATCTCCCGACTTGGCATGCTTGTTCCTGGTTGGCATTTTACTAACATTCTTCGCAGCATGATTGGTTTCATCATCCTTGCCACTGTCGACTCCCACGGTGCCAAGTACTTTGGTGCTTTCCTCATCTGCTCCGGTATCTACCCCAACGTTCCTCAGGGTGTCGCCTGGAACGGCAACAACATTGGTGGTTCCCTCAAGCGAGGTGTTGGTATCGCCATGCACGTTGGCTTTGTAAGTTATCCCGATGTCTCAGCCCTTTATAAGCCACAGTCTCACTAACACTCCTGTCAACAGGGTAACCTGGGTGGTGCTGTCTCTGGCTTTGTCTACCGCAAGGATGATGCCCCCAACTACCGCAGCGGCCACTGGACTCTTGTCGGTACCACCGCCATGAGCTGCGCTCTCAGCATCTGCATGACCCTTTACCTCCGCCGCGAGAACGCCCGCCGTGACCAGACTCACAAGGCTCCTCATGAGTACACCCGCGCCGAGAAGGAGTTGGAGCAGAACTCTGGCGATAACGCCACCTTCTTCCGATACACCGTATAAGCGCGAGGTATCGGCAGCGACGTCTTGCAGAACATCTTACAGGGCATTGCATGGAATTGTATATGAGCGTTTGGGTACAGCGAAAACGGTAACGACTATAGTATATGGCATGCATGGAGTCAAAGGAAGGGCTTTAAATGGGCAATGAGTTCTTGATAAGAGTATTACTTGCAGATATAAGACCAATGCATTTTGACATGTCAATAATAATTGAACATTGACTTAAGAGGTGTTCAACAACATCTTTCACCCTCATCTCCGAGACTGCTGTGCCATTTTCGATGCGATCGACTACATGAGACGGTCAATACAAGCCACTCAACACCCTGGACCAACACAAAAAGTACACCTATCAAAAAACAGAACCCAAACTGCAGGCAGGCCGCACAAAACTCAAACATGGCTGAAAGAACCACCAACCGAAACAAACAATGAATAGACCTGGAAGAGGATCTAGGGGACCTTTTGCGCAGAGTCTAGACCTGCACGGCAGGGATTCACAGATGATGATCTGCCAACCCCAGTCTCAATCAAGATGCCGTTTTAGCCGCCTGGGCGATGTTTTCTGTAAGATTTGGATAAGCATGCAAGACACGTCGCAAGATTATGTGGTGCGAAGACCCTGTTCCCTGAGATCTCGACACACTTGAAGTGCGTTTTATGCTCAGTTTAGACATTGGTGACCCGCAGCTAAAGTTCACATGCCATAAGCTTAACTACGGGCCATAAGATTTCGCCAGGTTGAAAGTCATCTGTAGTCTGCGGTGGATATCTCCCAGTGGTTCTTTCAGCTCCAGCAACCACCCGTACTGAACTGAGTAGGGTCGTATCTGCGCCCATGGGCACAGCATAAGCCTCTCGTGTCTCACTGGGCCTTGTGCTTTATCCAGGCTGTCGGAGGATTGCTCCGATGTCGATCTTTTCGAGAATGGGCGTTGTTCAATTATCGTTGAGCTTCTCACCTGAAATGTTTGTGCACTGCCGATGGGATGAAGTGGCTGCCCATGCCGTGCCGGATAAGTCACTCATATTGCCTCTGCGGCACGAAGAAGGCTAATGACAAGGGAAGGTAAATGTTCCACAGGCAGAGCCAACAGTTGCAAGTCCAATCTAGATCTGGATTTAGATTCAGCGTACCATCCCACCAACAGCACGTATTTCCAGGTATGGACAGTCATCCGAAACCTTACAATTTCGTGACAACCAACGCGCTGACGCTAAGACACTGCATTTAACCGGGGAGGAAAACACCCGAGAACGGGCATTAAAAGACAAGGGATATGGGCGGGTATTTAACATTAGGGTTCCTCCCATTCAGCCACGACAGGGGGTTACAAGCTAGACAAGTAAGCTTCTCCGAATTTCGTTACCCCAACTTTTTAGACATCGTGTCTCGACGGTTACCTAGAGTCTCGACTTTCTCCGTGTGGTGTCGGCGCTGAGATGGACGTTACACGGATAGAGACAGCGGTGTGGTTGCTTAAGGATTTTAGGGAATTTTATCATCTTCGAGTGCGATGCAGTATCGTATTAGCTAGAATTGTAACTTTGTCCCCGTAGCTGATAGTTACAACCATAGAGGGGACAGCATCCAAGGTTGTCTTGTATAAATCGCGAATCGACTATGGCCAGAGATTGGTCAAGGTATCTCATGATCAAGGTCCTACGTGACGCACTTTGGAATATAGCTGTTATCTCGCTCTGCATGGGGTACAAACTACTAACAGTTTCAATTGATGCCAAGTATAGTACCCGCCACTTCTGCTTAATCAAATAGGTTTAGATCTGACATGGAGATATCTGTAGAACTATCTGAACCCTCCCTCTTGATAGTGGACGGTCGCACACGAGGTACTGGTTCCTTAACACCGCATACCTCACAGGTAGAATCCCCGGAACACCTCTTCGCCCAAGGCCGTCGTAGTTGAGTCAACCGCCCAGGTCGAGATTGGCAAGCTAACACCCGTAGTCGATCGAAATCCTCGACATCGAAACGACCTTGCTGGATCAAACAGTCGAACATGTTAAAGACAGTGCTGCTCTCTCTATTTTCGATCTCGTCATTGCTGGGGAGCCAAACTGGGCCAATGTCCTCTCGTCGGACTTCAGTGTATCTGAAATCTTCTGAACGAAAGGTTTCTCTCGGAGACAGCAGATCTTGACTAGCCTGTGTCCTTTGTGTCGTCTCCTTACCCTTTCCAGAAACTTCCTTAGTAGTCGCTTTGATACGGACAAGCCCATAATCAATAAACCATATCGTCCTCTTTGCACAACCGTGCAACATACTGAGCATGTCGTTGAAATCCGTTACACTCATCCCTAACTCTTTTTTCCTATAGTGAACCTTCCGCTCGAGAAAAACACCCAAAATCGAGTGATCATAATCAAATGCAATATTGTCTCCGACGAAACTCGGTTTGGCTTCTGGTCTCAGATTGATCCTGTAGTCAAAGAGAGGTAGATGACAGTCTTGGCGAAGACGGAACCAATCCGAGTTCTTTAAATAGCGAGGATCTAGATGAATAAGATCTTTGTCAAAGTCTATGGTGATATGTTTGACGATACCATCATCATCTTGGTAAGATGCCGTATGGCTGGCGCCCTCCTGGCCGAGATAATCACCTGGGGCTGCTGTGCGCCTTGGATGATAGGGAGATTTGAAATTTGACCACCATTCGTTTTTCTGAAAACGCTTCTCCATCGCTTGACGTGATTCCTTGGAGAAAGTCCAGAGACAGCTGTCAGATAAGTAGACCGAGTCATTTCGATTACCGTCTACATCATCTGTAGGCACAGCGAGGGAGAAGCCCGAACTGTGGTTCACACTCTCGTAAGCAGGCGCTTTTGTCCGTAATAGTTGGAGGAAGCTCTCTTTTATAGGACACAAGGGACTTGGCTTTTTGAGGTGATAGTCGGCGATGAAGAACCTGTGGACGTGGCGGTCGGGTGGACGGACGGCAGCCTCCCAGATGAGAAGCTGGATCTCCTTTGGGAGATTCAGAAATTGCGGGAATGAATCGGATGACATGGCAAGATGTGGGTACAGATGGAAACGTTGGAATGTGTTTGACAATATGGAACAATACATGGATGAATATAATATGATGGTTTGATATACAGAGTAGTGCTATCAGCCTAGCGGATGACGTCGGCCCACGCCGCGTGTGTCATCTCAATCTGAATGATTAGCCGCAAAGCTACCTTTTTCCTTCATATAAAATGCACAACGACAAAACCGATGTAGATGCTCGAGTAAGAGTACAAAGTTCCAACATGCGAGTAAAGAGGTGAATAATAATCATACAGACCCAAACGGTGATCTTCCAAATTGAACACCTACCCTGGATGATAGGTATCTACAGATAAGGTTCTCACGCTCCGGTTTGCCGCGCGCGAACTCATATAAGACGCCGGTTCTAGTAAGGGGATTATCAATCCCCCCTCATTCATGATGACATCCGAAAATTACTATTACTAACGTTAAAAAAGTTCCAAATCCAATTACTGCTGCATGTCAGCAGACTGTTAAGTCCCCTGCTTTTGGACTTTGGCGTACGATTCGCGGAAGAACTGCTTGTAAATCAAGATGTTAATTAGACAAATTCCACGTAATATATATATATCTGTTGAACATCGGTCCCGCAATCGACTGCGTTTTCATTCACACTGACATGATCCGGCAATTTTTGGTCCTTCCATCGCCGAAAATTTCACTCTTGAACATTTTGCCTACAGCTCATCTTAAAACAACACAAAGGTCATTTAAACTCCCCCATAAAAGTCCACACTACTCCACGAAAAGCATTGTTGCTCCCATTGACAATATGGTTGACCAGGTAAGTATTGTGCTACCCTTTACCTCTTGAATGCTTGGACTGAAACTACTGAAGAGCGACGAAGTCTTGCTCAAGCCCACCGCAGATGGAAGCTTCATCCGTCCTGAACGTGCCTTTCGTAATTTCATCTCGAACAAGCCAGGCTCTCAATTCCCCGCTGAGAAAGACCGATACGTCCTTTATCTTAGCCCAGGATGCCCATGGGTACGTTGCCTACCATTCCATCTGACAACCGCATGCTGACACAGCTTAAGTCTCACCGTGCAATGATTGCCCGGAGTATCAAGCGACTCGAAAACATCGTCGACTTGTATCTATGTTCTATTGTCATGGGCCAGGAAGGATGGACCTTTGAAGATAGCCCAGAAGCAGCCAAATATGGTGTCCTTCCGGAAGATCCGCTCTATGGGTTGCAAAATCTAAAGCAGCTGTATCTCAAGGCCAACCCAAACTACCAAGGAAGATACACTGTTCCGGTTCTTTGGGATAAGAAGACAAACACCATGGTTAGCAATGAGTCCAGTGATATCATTAGGATGTTCTACACTGAGTTTGACCACCTTCTGCCTGAGGCGGATCGTGAAATCAACAGACCTGGTAGTGGCTTATATCCAGAGAACCTCCGCGTTGAAATCGATGAGATCAACGAGTGGGTATACGACACTGTCAATAACGGCGTTTACAAGACGGGGTTTGCAACCTCGCAAGCCGCTTATGAAGACAACGTCGAAAAGGTCTTTAAATCGCTCGACCGTCTCGAAGAGAGTCTAAAGAAAGGGCCCTTTCTTTTAGGGGACCACATAACTGAAGCAGACCTCCGTTTGTATCCCACTATTCTACGCTTCGACACTGCTTACGTTCCGATCTTCATGTGCAACCTCGGCACCATCCGAGACCATTATCCGAACCTTCACTTATGGATGAGGAGACTTTATTGGGACGACAGTGTTAGGACCAACGGGGCTTTCCGAACGACTGCTGAGACTTGGATTGAGAAGTACAAGGAGGGTTACTCTAAATCAAGACGTCGGGTTCTTGGGATCACTGGGCTGCATATCATTCCTAAAGGGCCTTTGGTTTTGGTTCATGAGTTGGCTGGAGGGGAGAAACTTGACATTGAGGTTTAAGTCAGTCAGGAGGAGGAGGTTATAAAGTGCCACCATTCAACCCTTTTGAGCATCAGTCACTGCTTGGTAGATTCCATCAATTGCAGCCTCTATATCAGCTTCCTGTCGTTGCTAATATTTCAAGAGCATCTCACCTTCTTGATCATACTGGAAAGAATCAGATCATGTGCGAATCAGATTATCACCTCTTTGGCGAACCAAACTGGCCAATCAACCTATCGGCCTTGTTAATCCCACGACCAGGACAGGCTAGAGAGGCACAAGGCTGGGCAGAGTTCAGGCCCGTATAAATCAAACCATGGGTTGCAACATAAACGATAGGATGTTACTCTCCACTTCGTATTCCTACCCCTTGCGATAATCTCCCGTGTTCTAGTATGAGAAAGCTCCAGGCTTGTACGGAATAACCCAAGTCGATCGTTTTGTGTCTATGGAGTAGCCAGATATCCCCAGCCTCATCTCCATTATGGATAAGTTCGTGTATGAACAGTGGTCAATGAGGTCCTCTATCCTTGCAGATCGCTTTACGAAGTATAGCGCTTTATTCGCCCTCAACGTATTGATATCGATACGATAAACTTCAGTTACTCAACAATATCAATCATATTCACAACTAAAGCCTGTGTAAAATGGTTGGATTCAAGACGGTAAAACCTCATCTTGTTCTGTTCAACACATGTTTACGAGCAGGCAGCCAGCATGTAACTCCAGGAGCTGTACATTTGTTTTCATACAGGCCTAGAGCCTCTTTTACGAACCAAGTCCAAATCATTAACGGAATCCAATATAATAAATCTGGTACACTAAACTTCGAGGTAACGTAGTGTTGTCTGCCAAGTTTCAACAAACTGACCGCCACTCGATATTTTCTCAACCCACTGTTGATGTTGATCTTTTCTTGATATAATATCAGTTTGAGAACCCCGTAAGCCCTGAAAATAATTTCACGCTGTTAGGTCAAATCTTCTGTTTCCGCTATTACCGTCGTATAGCAGATTCAGAGGGTGATTACCTTGCATTGCAATTTTGCTCTGCCCTTTTGCTAATCTGGCGCTAGTATTGATCGTCGCTATCAGCCCAATTGCCCACATCACCAGGCTGATCTACGCTGACGTGCGGAGCATTGAGCTCGCCCTACTTAGTGAATAAGGGTCTGGCATATGGACTGGGACTCTTGAGTTGGGAGAGTTACTCTTGGTGAGCGCCTGTGGACCTTCTAAAGGCCAGCGATGGTTTAGTTTTCGTACCGACGTCAAAGCGTAGATTATTTATATATAGAATTGGTACGAATCCTTCTCCCTTGAAAACAGGTTTGCTGTGATAGAGCAGCAAGCGCCTGGACTAGACGGTATAAAGCAAACAAAAGCTGACTCGAAGTATTGAACAAAGTACAATAATATAGAGCATTATGCATTCCAAAGCAAGCGATAATGTTGCTAGTGCAGATATTTCGGCACTGACCTGCCGAGATCTAAAATTGGAAGAGTCGCTATGCTATGATTTATTGGTCCCCAGTCGGGTAATCGCAAATCAAGGGGATCTTCAACAAATCAATCAATCATGATTGGCCCGCATTAGTCCAAGCCCTGGACCAGCTCGTATTACTTCTCGGCCTGGGCCCCTGAGCCTCATCACACGGGCCTAAATGGGCCTAAACGGGCCTCCCGAAGCCTGCAAAGGTTGCATAGTGTGCTTCTAGATGGAGAAATGGACTGTTCTACGCATAGTGAAGATCCAATCTCTCGTATTCCCCGAAATTGCCCCAGAAGTGAAACACAGGCTAAAATGCATAGGCCTTTTGCGCATTGTTGAGAAAATGTACTATAAGTTCGCTCGTAGCATCGTGATAATTATGTCTAGACCATTCAGCTCTCTCAGTCAAACATCATTCTACCCACCATGAAAGGTTCAGCTGCTGTCGCTCTTTCTCTTGTCTCCTATGCTGCTGCGGCAGCCTCACCACTCGTCTGGCCCTCAAGATGGGACGAGGCCGAGGATTACATGAACATGTTGGGAGGTTACGGCAAAGTTGGTTTCTCTGATGGTGAGCACCCTACTAGAAGACACTTACTGTAATTATACTAATTTTCTGTGCAGCCATCATCACCTGCGGCTTCGGTAACAACCAGCAAGGACGACAGAACTCGGCCGAATGGATCCGAACAGCTTTCCACGACGCCGTGACACACGACGCCAAGGCCGGAACTGGCGGTGTCGATGCGAGTATCTTCTGGGAGACAAAGCGACCCGAGAACCCCGGAAAGGCTTTCGAGAACACCTTCGGCTTCTTCAGCGGTTTCCATACCCCCAAGACCTCAGCTTCAGATCTCGTCGCCCTTGGCACCGTTGTCGCTACCGGCCTATGTGGAGGACCCAAGGTTCCCTTCCGAGCCGGACGAGTTGATGCCTACAAGGCTGGCCCCTCTGGTGTGCCCGAGCCTTCCACCAACATGAAAGATACCTTTGCGGCTTTCACAAAGGCCGGTTTCACCAAGGAGGACATGACCGCCATGGTTGCTTGTGGACACGCTATTGGCGGTGTTCACAGCGAGGATTTCCCCGATGTTACCGGTATCAAGGCTGATCCCAACAACGACACTTCTGTTCCTTTCCAGAAGGACGTTTCACAATTCCACAACGGCATTGTTACCGAGTTCCTGGCTGGCACGTCCAAGAACCCTCTGGTTGTCGCCAAGAACGATACCCTGAACAGCGACAAGAGAATCTTCAACAACGACCGCGCTACCATGAAGAAGCTGTCTACAAAAGCTGGCTTCAACTCCATGTGCTCATCTGTCTTCGCCCGCATGATCGACACCGTCCCCAAGACCGTCACCCTGTCCGATGTCATCACTTATTACGATGTCAAGCCTTACGTCAACAACTTGTATCTCGACAACAAGGGCAAGATGCATTTCACTGGATCAGTTCGATTCGCGCTCGACAACGGCCGCAAGGCAGACGACATTTCCGTCAAGCTGGTCTACGCCGACAGGAGTGGCAAGGTCAAGACCACTGTGCCCATGACACTCGGCAATTGGCAAGGCGGACTCACCACTGGACTCACCACCAGCTTCGTCAACTTCGAGTTCGACACTACCATTGATGCGACAAAGGGCATCAGCAAGTTCTGGATCCAGGAGACCACCCCTTCAACCAAGACGACCAAGACCCACGACAATCAGAAGACGGGTGGCTACAAGATTGACGACACCGTCCTCTACCAGCAGCCCAACTCATTCTTTGATAGCGATAAGCTTGCCAGCGGCCCTGCCCCTGTGACGGTCAGCGCCATGGTCCGCGACAGCCGCGCCAAGGAGACCCTGAACCTGAAGTTCACCCGCAGAGTGGCTATCAAGGGAGTCGATGTGCCCAAATTTCAAACCGAGGTGCTTCAGTTCAAGCCCACTGGAAAGAAGTCGAATGGCTTCACTGCTTACCAGGTTAAGACCACCACCACGGATCAGAACTCTAGCTTCGATATTGTTCTGAGTGGCAAGCCTTCCGCTGGCGTTGAGTACAAGAACATCAACGCCATGCCTCGAAGCTAAATAGCTTCAATTTATAGATTAAATAGACTTGGACTTTGTATTTAGCGAGTAGAATTTAATATTTTAATTTTCATGTCACTCACATCTATGTTTGGCCTGTTGTTGATGCATCCGTGGTTTCATCCTTCTGAACATTTACTGGTGACCAGATCCTTGACAAGCCCATAGTTAAGATCAATCACAGGTGATCTCTGTCGGATTACTGCAAATCGTTTGCCAGTCATATCTCTTCGAACACTCCCGTGCTTTCAATGCACCAGTGTCAAGTACAGCCCGTGCAACCTCAGCTGAGCTAGGTGATATTGTTCAATAAGCTGTGTACGTGATATGAAAGACAAGACATGGTACGGTGGAAGGAAAGGAAAGCAGGACGGGCATTCCTGTTGTTCATTTAAGAATCGTTCACCGCACAGACTCTGACGGGCTGGGCCTAATAAACAATATCTTGTACGGAGGCAGCCGCCAAAAGTTCTTACCTACGCTAAAACCATAAAAGTAGGGAAATAATACCGCTAGATCTAAAAGGGTTAATTTTATAGGGGATAATCCCTACCTTTAATATATTTATTCCCTCCTTTAATATTAATAATTTTATAGATATATACCGGAATTCTCTCTATCTATATCTATATCTTCTTTTATAAAAGCTCTTTCTAAGCTACCTCCTATTTATAAATAGCTTTATTTTTATTTTTTAGTATACCTTTCTTTATTATATTCCTCTTTATTTACGGCCATACTAGCTTGATTATATTTAAATTAGGTAAATTTAAATACTAAAAAAGCTATTAAATTATATAGAAGTTATATACTTATTACTATATATAATATTTATAAATAAAAGCTTTATCTTTTTATATAACAGTATTTACTCTTTTCTTTATATATTCCTTTATAAAAAAAAAAAGCTTTAAAAGAAAAATAGTCTATTAATAATATTACTAATTAATACCTTCTTTTCCTTCCCTTATTAACTTACTAGTCTCCTTTTTCTACCTTTATATAGGCTTCTTACCCGGTAGGTTATAAAGCCCTAGTCTTTATATACCTATTTTTAATTCTTATTATATCTTTACTATTAATTTAAGCTCTTTATTAAGGTTATTAAGAGTTTTTTTTATAATAGCCTTCTTTTTTACGGTCTTTAAAGACTAATAATAATAAAAACCCTTTTTATTATAGAAAAAGGCAGCCTAGAATATAAATTCGCTAAAGCCTTTTTACCTCTTATAAATATAGCTATAAAGGACTTATTTATTTACTTACCGCTAAATATAGTAGCCCTTACGTTAATAAAGAAAAATAATAAAAGTCTTATCTAACTAAATAACCACTTTTTAATCTTTAATAGTCTAATTACGGTAGGTAATATACTAAGTAAGGTATTCTTTATATATCTTTAATATTAAACTAGGCTTCTTTATTAACTTTATTTTCCTAAATCTAGCTACCTTAAGGATTCTCCTAATTATTATAATTAATATCTTATTTCCTTAAGTATTAATTTCCTAGGTAATATTATTAATAGTCTTTTCCTTATTAAATTAATCCTTACTAACCTTTACGATAATTAAATTACTATTCTTTTCTATATATATAAAAGGCCGCCTTAAGTAAGGTATATCTTTAAGGAACGTATTAAATAGGCATAATAGTCTCTTATTTAGCTTAAAGCCTTACTATATTACTTATATATATATAGTATTTATTATATAAAGGGAAATATTTATTATTTAGTTAATTTTAATAGTTATTTTTACTACCCCGGTAGGTACTTTTAATATTACTATTAAAGCTTAAGTTATAATATTAATTGGCATTTTAAGAGAGGTAAGAAATAGGAAAAAAATTATATATAGTGATTTCCTATATAAATCGTATAGCCAACCCCTGTCGGGGCTTATAGGGGTAGTTACTGATCCCTCTTGGTAGGCAAGAACTTTTGGCGGCTGCCTCCGTATTATTTCCTAAAATGGAAATACCAGAATTGTCGGACTCATCGCGGCACCGGCTAATGATATCGCGGAGCTGCAGGAATAAAGTTTGCTGGGGGTTAGGAGTACTAAGAATGGGTCATTCGGCCTACTCCCGACATCATCGTGGTCGATGGCGTCGTACTTACTCGCGGCTTTAAGAATTATTTCTCATCAACTTGAATATTGTATCCTACGAATTAAGACACTGGCCACGAAGTAATTGAGCCAAGATGTGATACAAATATCAAGAAAAAAAGAACGTTAGCATCCATCCATAACTATCTGAGTCTTGTCTGTTACTGAGAGCACGGACTAATAAGCTAAATGATCAGCCTCGTTAAGGCTGAGAAGACTATGCCTGGATTAAAGTAGTTTATTTGATCCAGTCATACAAAATTAGTCTTTAACGGGCGATTTTACCGGCTCGATCGGCAGATAAAGGATGAGTTTCAACGCTGCGGAACCGTATCCTTGGTACACAAACTGGTAATGGACCTATCGCCTGGCTTTTAATCGGTCACGCAATCCTTCTCCACGCTGTCGTAACTCAGCTCGGCACAACAGAAAAGGCAAACTGCAGTTTTCGAGATATTACTACATGAAATAGCTCGCTTGTAACCACATACAGACAAGTTGCGAACGTGGGAGGGAATCTGATGCAATTTGATAATCGTCTGATATTTGTGCACTTTTAGAATAAAGACCAGCATCACCCGCATGTAGATCATTCATGTTCAGCCTCTTATTCCTCATCGAATTCATAATCACTTTCTAATATGGGAGCTGCAGAAGATTCCAAGGACATCTCTAGGGTCCAAAGCCGCGAGAAGAACGGAGAGACTGCTATAGTTTCGGAGAAGTATGCCGACGTTACGCTGCGTCTCGTTGAACAGTATGGGGAGCAGTTTGGGCCTTTGACTCCCGAAAAGGAGAAGAAGTTGCGTCGCAAGCTATACTGGCATGTTATGGGGTTGTTGTCAGCCATCAATCTCTTGCTCTTTGTACGTCACCTGACATCACGATAATATCCACACGCTAAACTTGACAGATTGATAAATCAACTCTTGGATATGCCGCTATTCTTGGTCTTTTCGAAGAAACAGGTATCAACAAAGCGCAATATAATAACCTTGGAACCTTCTTCTACGTCGGTACGTACACCGCCTTAGTCAATACAAAGTCAGAAAAGCTCACCGTATGGCAGGATATCTTGCTGCGCAATGGCCTGGACACTATCTCATGCAGAGACTTCCCTTTGGCAAATTCGTCGCCGGCTTGGTCTTCATGTGGGGAGCCACCATCCTCCTACACTGCGTAGCGACAAAGTACGCCGGCTTGGTCGTCCTTCGGATAGCCCTTGGAGCATCTGAGTCAGTGGTTGTGCCGGCTATGGAAATGACGATAGGCATGTTCTTCAACCGCCACGAGCAGTCGTTTCTTCAGCCTTTCCTCTGGGTCACAGCGGCTCTGGCGCCTGTCTGCGCTGCTTTCATTTCGTATGGCCTACTTTGGAGCCACAGTAGTGTTCTCCCTTGGAAGCTGTTCATGATCGTCACAGGGGGTCTTTCCATCATTCTCTCTGTGTTTGTCTGGTTCTTCTACCCGAGCAACCCTGCCGAGGCCAAGTTCCTCACACTGGAAGAAAAGGTTCACTCAATCTCAAGAGTGCATGCCTCCAGTCAAAGCTCTATCGAACAGAAGCAATTCAAAAAGAACCAATTCCAAGAAACATTGAGGGATCCGGTTTCCTGGTTGTTTGCTCTTCAAGCTTTTACCCTTATGATGTCTAACAATTTGACATACGGACAACAAAATCTCTTGACTACATCGCTTGGTGTTGATAATCTAGGCTCAACACTTGTTGCTGCGGCGGGCGGTGGCTTTGGAGTCGCTATTTGTCTCGCTGGCACCTTTGCCCTCAAATTTTGGCCCTCCAACCTCGCTCTTCATGGACTCGTCTGGTGCATCCCAGCCATTGCAGGTGGCATCGGAATGGTCGCCATCGATTGGAACGAGAAGATCGGAATGCTGGCCTGCCTTCTTCTTGCCGGCCATACCTACGGAAACACATACATCATCGCGTTGGGATGGGCCACGTCCAGTGCAGCTGGTTACACGAAGAAGCTGACTCGAAACGTCATGTTCATGGTCGGATACAGTGTTGCGAATTTGATTTCCCCGCAGATCTGGGTCCCCAAGGATGCACCGCGCTATTACGGTGCTTGGATTGCAATGATTCTCATCAGCTGGGTGGGAACTCCTGCGATCCTGTTTGTGATTCAGTTCATTCTCAGGAAGAGGAACAAGGAGCGTAAGGCTTGGGCAGCTGGTTTGAGTGAGGACGAGAGACTGGCACATGAATATGGCGAGGTGGAACAGGTGGATGAGAATGGCGAGATTGTTCGTAGGAAGGTTGAGATTGCTCTACTGGATTTGACAGATCTGGAGAACAAATTCTATATCTATCCTATTTAGGGTAAGGGAGTTTGTGTTGGCAGACTGACCGAAGGGTATTCGGAAAGAAGACAAAAGAAACCTCATTCATAGATTCCTCCATGGTAAAGTTAGGATTATTTAGCTCTTGATAATATTGAGCACTATCCTCCTTATGATATAGTTTAGTAGAATCGAATAGTTCTAAGTATGCTCAGACCAACTAAGAAAAGGAGCATGAATGACTCGAGTGATGGTCTTGAGACTCCAAGACCACGTATATCCTTGACTAGATTCAGCCCTGGGCCACAGATCGGGAATAGTGCCTGTCACCACGTGTTGCAGCTGTCAAAATCTCGCAATCTGACGATAGCTACTTGGCGTGCCCTAGTGGCGGTGGCGGTTCGAATACGACACTACGCCTGAAGTAAGCTTTTCTACCGGCGACTAACATTAGCTTCAAAATCGATTTTAGGATGGGCCCAAGATAGCAATCGCTTCGCCGACTTCATTGTGCCGAGCGTCTAACTTCGTTAGCCAGTCGAGCTGAATGACAAGCATTTGCACCTTGGTATGGATGGTAATCTAGAGCTGACGCGTTTCCTCGGAGTGGACATATGGTCTAGTCTTTACTTTCAATTGAACTTGGAGGTCAGTGTAGTACCCATAATAGGTGAAGCATCTATCAAAATCAATCAAGCTTGGTTTTGAAAATCGTAAAACGAAGGCTGAAGAAGAATACAAGGGGAACTCACGACATCAGTCTAATCGTGGTGCCAAAAGAAATCCTTTTTTTTGTTAGCCATCTGTTCAAGATACCGGCAGTCTGGGTTCCCTCAAAGTCGTCACTAATCAAACCCTATTGGCTTCGGCCGAGTCTAGCCCAAGACTAAAGATGACAAGAAACCAGGGGTCCTATCACACATTTTGACTCTTTACCTAAAGGGTGCATTTCTCCGTCACGATATAATTCTTCCGGCGCTATAATGACCACGGCTGAGTCGATTTCGAGAACCCCTGATCGCTGAATCTTATCACGAACGTTTCATTCGCGTGGTTCATCTGATGTCCCCTTCTAGCCCTGGCCCAAAATCAATAGTCTTATCCATGATGCCAAGATGCGGCTGTCCACCGAAACTATTAAAGCTGAACGGGCGAACCGAGAACTCTAGAACAGCAAAGGCTGATATCACGAGGCGTCGACCGTTTTCCTTCAAAAGACTAAATATCTAGCGTCATTTAGGTCTAGCCGTAGTGAGATGTCCTGATGTTGTATAACAATGCATGTAGCCCCCTGTAGAGAATGTAACCCGCCCACGTATCTCTCCCGTACTTCTGATTCATTCTTTTTCGTGCTGTTGATTTGAATCACCAGCGGGATACGGTTCAACATGGCCAGACTCTCTGCCTGGTTACTGCTTCCACTGCTATGTGGAAGCAGTCTTGCAAAAGAAGGTTCCGTTGTTCCCGATTTCGTTGATTCTTCTTCCAGCCCTTCCACTCATTTCTCTACCGTTTCCTTCCCCAACGCTCATTTGAATGCCCATCTTCCTGTCACTCCTTCAACCCCTAAAGTCAATCCATTATCGAGAAGATCCGTGTGTAAGCCGCGGCTTCCGGCTGGTGTTGCTCACTCTCTGGTCTCAACAACCTCGTCTATCCCCACGGTTACAAGCGATTCTATTGGCCTGTCAACGTCTCTGGCTGGGTCTATCATCGCCAAGACTTCAGCTGGATCTCAATCTGATGAGAGCTTGAGCCACTCAACCACTACTGGCACATCTGGTATCGCGACTGAAGCAACATCTGCAACTCTTCACACGGAGTCGACAAATGTTGGAAGTGGATCATCTACCGAGACCGCATTGACCGCATCGACTGCATCGACTGGAACTACATCGTCTGAGCCTACATCCACCCAGGCTACGTCACCTGGTTATAAGTCCGACACTACAACATCCGAGGCTCTATCAGTCGAGGCTACATTCGCTGAGAACATATCTTCGGGGACTGCATCCAGTCATGCGACAATTACTTCAGGGGTTAGCTCTTCACAGACTTCAGTGACCGAGACTACATCGGCCGAGACAGCATTGCCTGAAGTTGCATCTTCTGGTGGTACTTCTTCCGGTAGTGCTTCTTTTGACACCACTTCTTCTGGCGATGTATCCGCCAAGAACACGTCGCCCGAGACCACTACTAGTCATACGAGTGAAGTTCATTCTGAGGCTACATCCTCTGAGACTGTATCCTCTGATTCTACATACTCTGAGACTACCTCTTCCGAATCTGCATCCTCTGAGACTACGTTGGCCGAGACTACATCAATTAAGACTGTACCATCCAGCACTCTACCATCTGTAGCTTCATCGACCGCGACTATTTCTTCTGATGATGCATCAGCAGAGACTGTCTCGTCCGGTACTATATCGGTGGAGAGCACATCAGCAGAGGTCACATCTAGCCATGCGGCCGCAATAGTCTCTGACACAACATATTTGTCTGCATCTATCTCTGGAATCGATACTAGCTCAACCCTTACCCGATCCTCATTGTCTGTTGTCGCAGAGGACGAGACTTCAACAGCCGCGCTCTCCTCCACAGACTCTCTTTCTCAAGAGTCTTCCACCATTGGCTCGACCACCGCGGGTCCCTCTAGTGTCGGGTCCGCTACCATAGTCTCTGGGTCAAGCTCAACCGACCTGGTGGTTTCCGACACCAGCGCAGCAACCTCCGAGACAAGCGAGGCTCCTACATCCACCCAAGGAAGTCAATCTTCTGAGGCGTCACTTTCCTTAACCACTACATTCCTTTCATCTACATTCACCTCATCAGACCAAACAACATCCGAGACTGCGGTATCAACATCAACTGACTCTCCTTTAGTGCTCACCGTAGCCACAGACGGTAGCGGAGACTACACTGCCATCGGTGATGCCATCAAGGCTGCCCAAACAAGTGGCTATCCGACTGTCACCGTTCTCGCCGGTACCTACACCGAAAACGTTGTCATCCAGGCCACTCCCACAGTCACTATCGTCGGAGAAGTGTCGAAGAAGCGTGATGGCTCATCTAAGGTCGTTATCGACAATGGTGGTAATGCCAATCCTGCGTTGTCTTTCTCAACAGCTGGCGCTGCGGGCATCACATGGAGAAACATCAAGTTCTCCAACTCTCAAGCTGGAGGCTCTGGTGGAGCAGTCTTTCTTCGTGGCTCGAAGAATGCCTTTTACAACTGTGAATTCTTCGCCGTTGGCTCTGTCGCTATCACTGGCAGCTACGCTTCAGCAATCGTTGCCAACTCCTACCTTGAGGCGCAGGACAAGGTCATCTATAACTTCCCATCGTTGTATCTGTACGGATCAACCATCACCGCAACCAAATCGAATGCTCTGCTCGTGTACAACAAGGGAGCGTTGTCTGGCTCTACTCTGTATAATACCACCGTCGTATTCGATACGTGTGATATCAGCCAAAAGAGTGGTGCCACGAACACTCGAGTCTTCCTTGCTGCAGGCAACGGAGACGGATCTGTCGCTGTCTTCAGAGACGCCATTCTTGGAGGCTTCTTGGCCGCCTCAGGTGTCTACGTCGATGCAAAGACTCAGTCTTCATTGAACAGTTACATCGAGTTCGGTACGACAGGAGATGGCAGCTACTCCAACCACGTATCGGATCGCTCCAAGTATGTTTCGCTGGTCACTGACCCCAAGGATCTGTCTCCGTACGAGATCTCTACATTTTTCAAGAACGTTTACCCAAGTGTCGCTGTCACTTCCGTCGATTGGATTGACCCTGATGTGTTGAGTGCCATTCAGGCCAGCAACGCTAAGGACTTCCCTAAAGTGGAAACCTCCAGCACTGTCGCGTCCACTAAAACATCTGGGGCCACCACGGCTGCGTCTGACTCTTTGACTACTTCCAGCGCTCTAGACCAATCTGCCACAAGCAAAACACACGATGTCACCACTTCTGCCGCAGCTACTACCTCTGCTTCATCATGCTCCCTTCCTTCAGCCGTTCCCAGCACTGCTCTCGTTGTTGGACCCAAGAGCAATCCTTGTGCCTCCTACGACACCCTCGCGTCTGCAGTGGCAGCACTCCCCGCCGATGACACTACCCAGACCATCTACATCCTTGCTGGAACATACCAAGAGAAGGTGTCCATCGTCCGTGTAGGCGCTACTATTCTTCGCGGCCAGACCAGTGATGGCACCACGTACAAGAACAACAAGGTGACCATCACCGCCAGCAACGCTGTCTTGTCCAGCAGCGGTGGTTCATCTGGAACAGCTACCTTCTCTGCGAACAAGTATGAGGCCAAACTTGTGTCCTTCTACAACATCAACTTTGAGAACTCATTCGCGGCTAGCGCGAACAACATCGCTTTGGCAGTCTACGCCAAGGGTACCAAGGTGGCCTTCTATGGTTGCAGCATTGACTCAACCCAGGGAACCCTGTACCTCGACTACGGCAACTTCTTCTTCAGTCATTCGAGGGTCTCTGGAACCACCGATTTCGTCTGGGGCCAAGGCGCAGGTTACTTCTACAACAGTGTTATCGTCTCCAAGGGATCATCCACAGGCCAGGCTATTGCTGCCCACAAGTACCAAGGCCAATACGGCGGCTCTCAATTCGTGTTTGACATGTGTGCCGTTGTGCCCGAGTCTAGCTCCATCCCTGAGGACAGCACATATCTCGGTCGCGATTACAGTGCCAAGGCCAATGTTGCCTTCGTCAACTCGTTCTTGGACGGCCATATTGCTGGCGATGGATGGAAGGTTTCTTCGCCTTCTACCTTCACTGGTTCCTTCACCGAGGGTAACAACACTGGACCCGGTTATGACTCTTCAGCTCGTATATCCTCCGCCACTGTCATCAAGGATACCTCTTCTTACAGCTTTGCTGGTATCTTGGGAAGCGACGCTTGGATTGACAAGACCGCCATTGCTCCTTTCCTAGGCTGGCCCGAGTCGAAGTATGGCAAAGATGCCGCTAGTGTGACCACCACTTCAGCTGCTACCACTGCATCAGAAACCACTAGTGCTACTGTTGTCGGCAATACCTTGACTGTGGCCCCATCTCCTACTGGTAGCCAGTTCAAGACGGTGGCCTCTGCTCTCGCTGCCATTCCCGAGGATGGGGAGGACTACACTGTCTTGATCAAGGCTGGTACCTATAATGAGCAGCTTACTCTCAACCGCGCAAAAGGCCGCGTCACTCTTCGCGGCGAAACAAGCTTTGAGAATGATTTCACCCAGAACGAGGTTCTCATTTCATTCTCCAAGGGCTTCTCGACAGGTGCTGGACGAAATGAAGAGACTCCAGTCCTTTTCTGGAAGACCACTTCATCCGCTGGTCTCTCTCTGTACAACCTGAACTTCACCAACACCTTTGAGCAGACCCGCGACACAGCTGCTCTTGCTGCCGATTTCTTCGGAAACGTGGCAGCCTATGGCTGTGCATTCAAGGGTTTCCAGGATACTTTGCTCGTCAACCAGGGTGTGCAGGTTTTCAGCAATAGTTATCTCGAAGGAAGTGTGGACTTCATCTGGGGCTACAGCAAGGCCTACTTTCACCAGTGCTACGTTGCATCTAACACAGCTGGTGCCTACATCACTGCGCAGAACCGCAAGTCTTTATCTTGGGCTGGTGGTTTCGTTTTCGATACCTGCAAGGTCACGTACACTGATAGCTATGGATCTACCTTTGGCACAACTTCATTGGGTCGTCCTTGGTCGCAATACGCACTTGTTGTGTATATGAACTCGTTTCTCGATAAGCACATCTCTTCAGCTGGATGGTCCGCATGGTCTACAAGCAGCCCTCAGACATCCGTGAGTACATCGATGCATGATTCCCGTGAACCCGTCGAAACATACTAATTCTTCGCAGGATGTTCTATTCGGCGAGTTCAATAATACTGGCCCCGGAAACTGGACCTCCTCTCGTGCAAGCTTCGCGACAAAGCTCACCGAGTCCCAAGCTGCTGCTTACTCCCTGGGATCGTTTATCGGTAGCACGAGCTGGCTTGACATGAAGGCGTACAACTATGTCCCCAGCTATACTATTGGTGACTCCAACGCTGCCACTGACCCAGAGACAGACGTCTCTTGGCCATCCCACCCTTCTGATGGAACCACACCCCCCAAGAATGCAGTCCTTGTTTCTGTTGGCGGAGAAAAGTCAGGCTCTTACTCGAGCCTCACTAGTGCGCTCAAGAGCCTCCCTAAAGATTCGACCCCGCAAGTCATCTTTATCTACCCCGGATCATACGAAGAGCAGGTTCCATCTATCAACAGACCTGGTCCAGTTACCATCATCGGATACACAGAGAGCGAGCCCGGAAAGACCTATACTACCAACCAGGTTACCATCACCCAAGCCAAGGGACTTTCTGTTGCAGGAACCATTCCTGCTGGACGCAGCAACGCGGACACGGCTACCATCGCAACAGCTAGTTCCAAGATCGCCGTCTACAACGTCAAATTCATCAACACAGAGAACCTCGATGGCGCCACCCCCAGTTATGTCACTCTCGCTGCCAGTGTCTACGGCGACAAGATTGGTTTCTACGGATGTTCTTTCGACGGATGGCAGGACACTCTTCTCACTGGTGCCACAACTGGCTATCAGTACTACGAAAGCTGTATGATTGATGGAGCTATTGACTTCGTCTGGGGCTACAGCAAGGCCTACTTCAAGGGCTGCACTCTTGGTGCCAAGCGCGCCAAGTCTGCCATTACTGCGCAGAGCCGCAATGGTCCTAATGCAGTCGGTGGCTACATCTTTGACCAGTGCCTTTTCACCGAAGCTGCCTCGGCCACTGCTGATCTCGAAGGACAAGTCTATCTCGGCCGACCCTATAGTGCTTACGCTCTTGTCGTGATCAAAAACAGTTACCTCGACTCAACCATCCAGCCAGCAGGTTGGAAGATATGGTCTACCACTGATCCTCGTACCGACCACATTACATTTGCGGAGTATGCCAATGAAGGTCCCGGAAGCTGGGAGAAGAACGTAGCAGCTCGAGAGGCGTTCGGTTTTGCCACTCTTTTGACCAAGGACGATTACTCTCTTGATACTGTTATGGATAGCACGGATTGGATTGACAAGACTCACTGGGACTCGATCACAACGCCAAAGCCTAGCACACCTGTCGTTCCTGTTCCTGATCCCAATGCTGTTTACAGTGGCAAGACCCCTCCGCCAGGCGCCTACATCGTCTCCAAGGATGCCATCAATGGGGTCACTACCTACGACACGATTCAGGCTGCTATCGATGCACTGCCACTCTCATCCAAGGTCACGCCCACTGTGTTCATCTACCCTGGTACATACAAGGAACAGATCGTCCTCAGCAGAGCTGGAACCACCTTCTTTATTGGCTATTCTGAATCGCCCGATGATTACAATAAGAACCAAGTTACCATCACGTACGACAAGGGCATTGATACACAGGCCGAGGCGTCCAACTCTGACTCGGCAACCTTCTATGCTACTGGTAATTATTTCCAGGCTGTGAACATCAATTTCGAAAACACATTCGGCACAGCCAACAAGTAAGTTTGTTCACGCAATTGGCCCGGCGGTGTATTAACAGACTTATAGCTACGCCAGTCTTGGCTTTGGTGTCAAGAGTAGCAAGTTCGCTTCGCTCTATGGATGTCAAGTTTACGGTAACCAGGATGCTCTACTCATCAACGGCAATCTCTTCGCATACAACAGTCTTTTCACAGGAAACATAGACATGAGTAAGTAACAGCCTAGTCCGTAAAGGACACAGACTTCTGTGGCCACCGTATCATTGTCAAAATATACTAACAAGTTATAGTTTGGGGTTCCGGTGCCGGATACTTCCTCAAGTCTACTCTGTCGCCAAACAAGGACAAGATTGCCTTGACTGCAAACAAGAAAGGAACCAACACTGGCGCATACGGCTTCGTGTTTGATCAGTGCACTGTCACTCCCGCCAACGGAGCTTCTTTCTCGACTATCTACCTCGGCCGGCCTTGGGATCAGTTTGCTCGTGTTGCTTACATCGAGTCTGAACTCAGTTCCTGCATCCCTGGTGCCGGTTGGGATGACTGGACAACTGCAGATCCCCGAACAGCCAACGTCGTCTTTGGCGAATACGCCAACTCTGGTGCTGGATCATCAACCAGCAAGCGTGCTTCCTTCGCCAAGCAGCTTTCCGATGTAGAAGTTGCCCAGTTTGAACTGGGTACTTTCTTCCCCTCTACAAGCTGGATCAACATGACTCTGGTAAACGCGACTCCTTTTGACGCGGGCGTGGCGGCTACCCAGTCCGTCAGCTTGACAACCGTCTACACTACGAAGACTGTGACTTCTTCTCAGACCATGTTCATCACCACTACCGGAGTTGGTGTGACGGTCACAGAGAAGTCCACTTCGACTCAAGATATCGGCACTACCATCACACCTGATCCTGTTACTAAGACGACCGTTGAGAAGACTACCATCACTCAGGCCGCACAGATCACGCAAGCGGACAAGATTGTCACTGTCAAATCAACAGAGATTGTGGACGTCGGCAAGACAGTCACTCCCGCAGATATCACCGAAACTTCAACTAATGTCGTTGATGCTACTGTCACTTCTTGGGTAACAACATCCGCCAAGGCCATCACCACAACCGCGACCACTACAGGCGCGACAGTCACCCCCAAGCCGGTCACCGAAGTTGTGACTGATTTCACAACCATTTTTGCCACCCAGACTACAAGCCCCAAAGCTGTCACGGTCCAGAGCACGACTACCATCACAGCAGGCACCGGTGGTGCCACAACCACATCTTTGAAGGCTACCACTGTCTTCTCGACTGTTGTTACGACGTCTGTCAAGACTGTTGCTAAGACTACAACGATCAAGTGTATCCCCACTCAGGACAAGCGAGACTTGAGCGCCGCGGCGAATATCAGGCCTCGAGCTGCTATTGTTTTCGGCAACCCTTCTGTCGATCTCGCTTCTGGGCTTACTCGTCGTGACTTGGACCTTGGTTCAATCAACCTGGAGGCTCGCGCAGCTGCCGCTTCTGCAGTCACTGTCACTGTGGTATCAACCTTTACGACCAACGTCAAGACCACCACCACGACTGTTCCTGGAAGCACAGCTACAACTCAAGTCATCACCACAAAGGTCGTAGGAAAGGCTAGCACGCTCAAGCCAGTGACTGTGATCGACGTATCTACATCCGTCGCAACACTATACGTCACAGCTACCATTCCAGGAGCGACGTCTACCACCACTGTTGTCACAACCAAGGAGACCGGCAAGACCACAACACTCAAGGCCTCTACCAAAACAGTTGTTGTCCAGTCTACTTCTGTCGTCACAGAAAAGAAGACCTCCACGCTTCCCGCAAGCACCGTCACTGTATACAAGACTCTCACCAAGACCCTGCCTGCAGAGACTGCCAAGGTTACTTCTACTAGCACTGCTAAGAAGACGTCTATCGTCACTCAGGCTGCAGAGACTGTTACGAAATGGGCTACAGTCAAGACTACTCTCAAGCCATCCAGCACTGTCACATTGAGGAGCACTGTATCCAAGACTACTACATCTGTTGTGAAGCAGACCAAGACAACTTGGGCGACGAAGACTAGCAAGGGTGCCGCTGCATGCACCAACTAGTCCGCTACATTTTTATAATTCATTTAAGCCTCAAAGGGACCATCTTAAATAATTTAATATTATCGCCATTGATACCATATTTACTCACGTCTTGCTCCAGTCTACGTTCATTGACTTCCACTTCGGTTGTTCTAGGTCTTTCCCTCCTGCTGCTGGCTATGCTCCAAAACCCCAAGTGATGCGGAAATACAAGAACGTGGTAATAGATCTAAGTAACTATTTTCATGATTATTGACGTTTCTCAAACCACCCAACGCTTCGATCATAGGTCGAAGCTGTGTCAGGAATACACCATTTCCAAGATTCCTACTCTCATAAAGAAACTCCGCAGCAAAGAAGAGGGGCATTGTCATCATTGGATGGACCTGGGCGTTTTGTTCTATCAGCACATGACATACGCTCATAATTCGGTCTGTAAATTTAACGTATGCACAACAAGATTGACTTACCTTGGAGACGTGCTGGTCCTTCAATCCTTGCACAAGGCGGATGATCTCTCCTACAGCCATCAGTGCGCGTGCACAGCAATTTTGCGTTATAGAGGAGGGGTTTTTGGCTGGCTTGATGATACCCTTGTAAAACAGAAGTTCTATAACTTGGCCCAGAACTATCGCCAGGGTTCCCAGCGGATTTGATGAGTCCTCATGGGAGAGCATCCGGTTCCTGGTAGCAAGGATATTTTCCAGCAAGTTCCAATGCCCGTTCGAGTCTGTCTCGCAGTCTCCGTATGCCTTGGAAATGGTCTCGTGGCGGTTGCGAAGTAAGACCCGATCGCAGAGCGTTACCAGTACAAGACATTTGTTGAATGAAGGCTGCGTGAGAATAGGATCTGCTATGGCTTGAGAGAGAAAGGCGCCTGAGGCTTCAGGACCTGTTTGGAACTCCTCGTCGGGGATTGGTAACTTTGTGCAGATCTACTGGGGTTATTAGTTGTGACCGTGGACAGTCGAAGATAATTACCATGTGTTCGTTCAAGGTGACAGGCCAGTCATTTCGCAAACTAAAGAGGTGGTCGAGAAAATACGCCATCCAGAATACTCTTCTCTTTTCTTCTGTCTTCTGGTTGTCTATCATTTCTTGCGGGCGATTGTGCTTGCCTGGGATGTCGATCTCATGATAACGGAGTGCTTGAACCAAGCGAAACACTCGGCCAGCAGTAATCCAAGCCTGGCTATATGAAGCTCGCATCAACTCGCACACTGCGAGAAGCGCCCAAGCTTGAACATTCTCTACTTCAAAGCAGTCAACGGACTCTAGATCCTGCGTGACTTGTTTGTAAAGTGGCTCGATCATGTCGCGGAATTGGGAAGAGAGGAGGATTGCAAGTATCCACATGATACGCTGTAAGCATAACCGAGTGGTTGATTTGGTGCTTGATCTTGACCATGCCATATAAGAGCGTTGGTGAAGGATTGGGAATGAAGGGTGGACGCGATCGAAGTACAGCTGGTCCCTGGGTATGTTAGTTGCTTTCTGGTACCTTGATAGAGGGATCTGTGGTACAATTCTGCATGTACTGCAAGGTCAATTGGAAGCCCAATCTCAAACTGAGACACTTCTGGTGACTCGTTCAGGTTACCAAAAATGGCTTCTTGAGTCCCGATCGCCGACATGGGCTGTGCATTTCCAATTACTACTGGACTTTGCATTCGGTCCTGCAATATCTCTTCGAGCTGACCGAGCCGGTTCCGCAAAGCATTGAGATGACCTCTCTTAGGCCCTCGCTTTCCACGCGATGAAGCCTCGCAAGTAAGATTAGACCTCAAGCAGAATCCACATTGAGGTTGTTGGGCGTCGCATCGGAGCTTACGTCGTCTGCACTCATCGCAAGAGGTTGTATTGCGCGGTTGGCTTGACATGGTGGCTTGAGGATAATTGATAACACTAAGCACACGTTAATTGTTGTAGTAATGGTTTTGCAAGATCATTTCACAAGAAACTAATTATTCATCACCACTTGTGGTTTTGAACTGCTGTCGTACCAGGGGTTGGACTTATCAGACTCCTTAACTCCGTGCTTATCTCCAAACTATTTCTCCGATGCTTGTGTTGGCTTGTCATGTTTAACAAAACAATATTCCGAATAGTGAAACTATTAATCCGACAGCTCGTCATTGGCTGTGTATTAGAGATGATGAGGGCCTCCATCATCTCTTTGCTTTACACGGGGACATGGTAGCCCATAATGCCAGAGCAGTTCGTGGCAAATGTATGTTTTGTAATCAAGTCAACATGCAAATCTACCGATCTATCCGAGTTGTCAACAAAGTAGCTGTGCAGGAGAGTCCTGTTTGTGTGATAAGGTTGCTAGCTATAAGAAAGGTTGCAGTCTCTCGAAAGGGGCTGTCTACAGCAACTTACTTCACACTCAATCATTCGTCCATTAACAAACACAACAGTTGTGATCTCTTTGCTACTTACAATGGACTTGTTCATTCGAGGAAACGATGCACTCAAAGCCAATCCTCCGTATAGTGTCGATCATGCCCTACCCTCATCTGCTTCCGACTGGCTCTGGGCTGTCACTGCCATCTTTGTTTTGACCTTTGTAAGTCCTGGGTCGTATTGCTATACTGGAAGAATACCCGTTGATCATAGACACTTTCGGTAGCTTGTGCTTGTAGGGCTGTGCTTCGTCGCCCACGAAAGCAAACGTGTCTTCCATTACCTCTTCGCCATCGTCCTTCTCGTTGGAAGTACCTGCTACTACGCTGAGGCTGCCAATCTCGGCTGGGTACCTATTCCCATGCAGCGAAACAACGACACAACATATCAGCTGTTTTACGCCAAGTATATCTACTGGACTGTGTCGTTCCCCTCTCTGGCCCTAGCCTTAGGCCTTCTCGCCAACGTATCGTGGACTACCATCATGTGCAACATCGGCTCAGCCTGGGTTTGGGTCCTCACCTATCTTGCCGCTGCACTCACACCTACCGACTACAAATGGGGCTTCTTCGCGTTTGGAACTCTAGCTTATGTAATTCTCGCCATGAGCACTACAAATGAGAGTCACGAAGCAGCAGAGAAGATGGGCATTGGAAAGCACTACAGGCTGCTGTCGCTGTGGACCAACGTCCTCTGGCTGCTCTATCCTATTGCTTTCGGTCTGAGCGATGGAAGCCACAGGATCGCTGTCACAGCTGGGTCCATCTTCTTTGGGGTCTTGGATGTTTTGATGGTTCCAGTGTTAACGTTTACTTTTGTCTTCCTGTCACGTAGTTGGGATTGGAAAAGGCTGAGGCTTGCTTTTAGCGAGGTCCGTCATTGATGGATAGCGCTTGTCGATGAATTAAGGACGGCACTGAAGCGACTATCTCCTTTGATCTTGCCCCCATGAAACACTTATATCACTGTTTGATAGACATTCCAGGCTTCGGACTTTAGGTATATTCATTGGACCGAAATGATTCGTATTTGTTCAATCCATCCGTTTATTCACCCATCTTCTCTGTGTACAGTACCAAACTAAGCCATCAAAAATGCGGGAAAAGCTCGATCCATTCAGGAGATACAAATACGCCCACAGAAGCCCGGCGCAAACTTATGAAGGACTCGACGATAATAAAAACTCTTGCAAAGAGATATGCCAAAGCTAGAATCAGTACAATCGCCACATAAGATCCATCAAATAGATCGGACCCAGACCAAAATTCATAATCGGATCTATCCTCCTTTTTGACAAGTAAGGCCACGTAGATGAATAGTATGAAAGCGAGCACCGAAGATACGATGAGAAGGCAGCTGAACTTCCAGATGATCTCCTCCGGGTGGGAAGGGAAAGACCATCCCCATGCTACCATGTGTACACCACCATAAATACATGTAAGCAAAAAGGCTATAAATACGACCAGTGGAGACGCCAGGCTGAATTTGTGCGTTTCAATCAAGTCCCCCAGGAGTTGGGAGCCCCGTTTTGACCAAATCCCGTCGTCATCTATATGAACAATGGAATTACCTTCCCAAAATGGTCGATTCCATTGATTCGACACTCCTGGTTGAAGTTCCGACAACCGTGCAAGGTATAGAGGTTGTCTGTAGCTTGCCGTTGAAGATCGCAGCCCGGCTGGGTCGAATTCAAGCTTCGGGGAACTTTCTGCCAAACTCTCTCGCTCTTCAAAAGGGTACATTGTAAAAATATAGGCCCAGCGCCTAAGAAACTCGCTTGTTATCTTGAAAGACGAATTCGAGTCGAGATTTGTCGTCGGGATAGACTGCCCATGTGCAAAAGGTATCTTATTCCGGGTATATAAAGCAAGTCCTGATGGAAGAATATCGCCAACTTTCATGTCTATCTGAGGCTCAGGTATGATCCAGCACATAGGCTCCCCGTTAGTATATGTAGGGGGTAGCTGGCTATCTTGCTGTTTCGCTGGGAACAATGCCATTTTGTACGCCATGTTGATATAAAACTCTCTTTGAAGCTGGGTAGCAATTCCACTTTCAAATCCTTCAGTTGTAACGACGATTGCTTCTTGAACATCGAGTGGTTTCTAGATTCACATGGCTTTAGTCCAACGATCGAAAAGACAAGAGCAGGAGAAATATACCTGAAACCAACAAGCATAGAGTATGATAGCGCAAACAACATGTACCATAGTATGGATCTCCAATAGAGTAAGGGGTAAATTAGATGCCTTCCTGGCGATATACTGAATCACCATCCAAGATACTTGAATGAGGACCAGCGCTTTCTGTAACGTGTCTGCCTTACTCTTGTCGTCGATGTCTTGCTTTCGGACTTTGATCCAGTAGCCACTCTCTGCAAGCCAGATGATGAAAGCGGGCCCAGGCCGGACAGAATTTCGACGGTCCCCAGAGTCTTCAAAGAACTTGGCAGCAGTATCATCTAGATCCGGAATAGATAGAATGTCATGAACATCGAATCGAACAGCGCCCATTACAATAAAGAAGGCATACTTCAAGTTAATTTCAAACTAGACAACCAGTTAACCGCTATGAAGCTAGAGTCAAAAGTGTTTCTTACATCGGCAGCTTCAGTCCAGTGTTTCTCCTGCTCTTGTCGTTGTATTGTTCGTAGGGCCGATCTCAATTTCCAAGCGTATCGTAGTTGCTGCATCGCCGCAAAAACAGACATTTCAGGCGCAAAAAGGGTTAACAAAACGTATTTAGTCTTATGCATCAATAGATACTGCCAAGTTGTTTTTCGGGGCACGTCGAGATGCAGAGCCGTGTAGATACAAGCCACGAGTGTCAATATACAGCTTTGAAGAATGTCCATTGAACCTCTGACATTCGGGGAACTAACCCAAGCCGGGGCGACAAGATTTCTGAGTTGATCGGTCCCATTATCACTGACAACGGACATGTTCCAGGGCGGGGTGATAACTGATGAATTTAGGTCAACCATGGTTACTATGTTAGGCTTGATAGCCCAAAAGGAAGACCAGGCGGGTTGGATTGATGTAAAGGCCAAGTTTTTCTCAGAGCCTGATTGCAGACCTCCGGGCTTTTATTGAGTAGCAGTGTAGTGTTCACACCACCAACAGAATATTGGCATAGCCACACCTGAGCTGACAGGCAGAATTGTGTTATTGAATACCTGCATAGCCCAGACGCCCCAAATGTGACGTGGCGTGGCTTGGGAAGATGGCGAATCCTGAACATTCAGCTGATAGCTCTCGTTGGAAAGGATAACAGCGGCTCAATAAATTAAACGTTTCTCAAACACGCCGATCCTTGGACTTAGGGATCTACTAACACACGAGGCTTCCATACATTGGATAAGACCTGGACGAACATAACTGATTCGGATTGCGTGGCTTCTTCCCAATCTTACCTTTCAGCCTGACATGGTACCTCCAACACAGACTGTGTATTTCTGAGTCGCTAAGAACAGCCACTATATTCCTTTATTCTTGAGTCCGCAGAAGTTCCTCAGCCTGATCCCACGACTCACCATATGCCGTAAACTAATAGCAAATATTTTCTCGATGTACAGTCTAATTATCAATCCCAGTACTTCACCACCCCGGTTTTCTGTTTACAGTAATAAATTTGAAATGACATTCGATAATCAAGTTATTCCAAAATACACAGAATTTAATAGTAGTAGCTTTCCTTTTATAGGCCTGGAATGTAGGAAGTCTGTAGAAATGTATAGATTTCTAAGTCAAGGAGCTCTAAATTCATGCTCAAGTAAACTTCTATAGGCCCCAAAGATCTGATAAAGGTACACTGATTGAGAAAGTATAAGGCTTGCGGGTGTTGGTGTTCCACAGACTTCTATATCAGAGCAGGAGTAAAATTATCAGTAATCGATTAGGGCCCACTCATTAGCGGATAGTGATAATTGATTAGAAGCTCTTTATAATTCGTTTATTTTAGATTACTAGTTAGCTATGGGAATGGTATTAAAGGCTTCATTGGTTCCTGGCTATATATACTTACACCCTAATCATCACACATGATAACAGCAGTTTAATACCTGTCCTTTTTCATTAGCCTATTCAGTATCATAGTGCTACATCCCTCATGGTGGGTTATTCTATATTACGTAGACATTACATTGAGCATAACGGAAGACTTCGATAATAAATTTTACGTAATGTGTATGTCAAAAAGGCCCTGGACATTTCGAGTCTCACAATATCAACTGCTTCAATTCATAGCTATCTGAGTCATGGCGAGAATTTAGTCCCTCAATTCCGAATCCCCCCTGCTAACCCCGTTCAGGCCTTTGAACTTAGTGCATTCGTTATGCTGTCATCCATGTTAGCTATTTTTCACTGCCCTCTCGGTAACCATCATCTTGCCATCTAGCAGATAACGAAGTGGCCGTTCTGCTGTCTGCAGTAGTGGTCGCGGCGTTCAACCTGCTCCTCGGCGGGAGCAGGCTCGGCAACGGGAGCGGCAACGGCAAAGGCCAGCATGGTGGTGAAAACGGCGAGGATGTTCTGGAACTGCATGTTGAAGGATAGTTTATCGATTTTCTGGTGTCTTTAATATTGTGAAGAGTGAATGCTGTTGGGAAGTAGGGAATGGAAATCAACGAGCTCAGGTAGATGTTATATACTTCCGAAGGATTGTTATCCTGAGACTTGACTGTACAGTAATTCGTTTACACAATACCCAGCACACCCACTTGAGTTCTGGCCAATCCTGGAAGCATATATAGAATCCTATCTGGGTGGCAATATTGAACTAACCACATACATGAATCTGCACCATCGGGCGTTGGGCTTCTCTCACATGACTACCCTTCATATGACTTCTAGTCAACTTTCTACAACCCTGGGAGGTATCCCCTCGTTCTTCTAGTACACTAAGATGCAGTATTATAAAAACACAGGGTTTTGCACAAGTTTCTCTACTCTTTCTGTTTCTATCCCAAATATTATTATCAGGTCACAAGGCGATTTCACATCATGGGAATTTCTTTCTTGGCTTGATAGTTTACATGATACGTACCCTTCCAAGGAACACCACCCTACAAGCTCACGGAATGACTTCAATGTCACGACAAGACTTTTTACCTTCCCAAGTCAGTTTAGGTTTTTGTATGCATAACACTCTATCTGCTATCTCATGTGTAAGCGTGGCGTCGAAAGGATGAACCATCCTCGTATAGAGCCATCGAGAACAGCTTTTGGCGTAGTACGAATGAAAGCTATACCCAAATGACCTTGCATGCAATCCTATTGGGGCCTAATGTCTTTATTTCTCAATTTTAAAGTAATCCCCAGGCGGGGTAGAAGAGGACGGGTAAGTCAATGCTACTACATGTCTGTGTCGTGTAACTCAACATATAAGCGGCCTTTGAGTCCAATGTCAATAACCCCGGTCGCTATTGCCAGATAACTAATGATAAGTAATGCTTACAGATGACCTAGACCTTCGTGTTACACGACATTTGAGGATTTGTTGAAGTCTTGTGAGCGATTTACCATCCCTTAAACCATGATCGTTCAATTCTTGTTGCTTCATTCAGTATATCCTTCTCATCTTTCAGGCCCTACTGTGCATGTAGTTGTCATGCATACCGGGTAGATCGGCAGCAAAAGCTTGTATCATGTCGTTGCATTTCCCGTAGGATTTGCCTCCCAACCCCGGATTGGAAGGACGGGGATGATGTTCTAGACCGTAGGCGACAAGCCGTTGCTTACATGCATCGTCATTTCTAGCTGTATTCGGCAGGTCGCCAAGACATTGTCATTCGGCTTCCGTTATCTTGAATCAATTTTTGGAGGATCCTGAAGGATTCCAAGTTTATCCGTCGGACTCGCAAAAGCGAGCGTGAAGCCGGGAGAATAGATCTCCTTGGGGGTATGGCTCTCCCCATCGAAAATGAGAATTTTCAAAGCTTTCTGCTTTGATATTACCAATCAGTCGCGGGCCATGGCCGTTCTGAAAATATTTACAATGAAGAGTCATTATACAAAGCTGGGCGAGGATGACACTGAGAGTCGAGAAGTCGAAAGCGAAGGCTCTTCTTCAACAGAAACTCTCGAGGCGTCTGCACCAGCCTTGAGCAGACACGGAGCCTTTACTCTTTGTGGCCTTTACACAATCCTATTATTGGTGATTGGTTACACTATTGGGCATAGCCAAGGACGCCGCCAAAGCTCACCGAAGCTTTACGATTCTGATTGTAGGTTATATCATCGATAAATGCAGTGCGTGTTCCTAACAGTTCGCAGCCCCAATTTACAATCTTGTTCGTCCTACCACCAACAAACATCAATACAATAACACTTTCTGGCCTGGATCTAGCCCATCCATATTTCGACAACCCCCATCCGATGCCGTTGACGCCGCATGGGAACGAATCTCCAACGGCCGGGACATAGTCATTACCAGTGAAGAAGTGATAGCACTCGGCAAGAACCCTAATGAGACCGTCAAAGCAGACCCAGCATGGGGCTTTGGAGACGACGCCCATCTCGGTCTGATTCATGCCATGCACCAAAACCACTGCCTCAACGCGATTCGAAAAGCTGTTTACTACAATTACTACTACAGACACAAGCGAGGGTTTGGGGCTAATCCTCCCATGGACTATCGAGCCAAGTACTATAGTCATATGGATCATTGCATAGACTTCCTCAGACAGGATATCGCTTGCAAGGCAGATCTCACCATCTCCACATACCGATGGATGGATGGGGAGGTCACGCCTGAAGCTGATTTTGCTACGTGGCACCAGTGTCGAGATTTCGAAGCGCTACTGAAATGGCATGGAAAGCATGAGATCAATGCGGGTATGGCATCGAAAGATGTAAAGGATAGGTGGGATACATTTGATCCGAAGAAAGATGATGTAGTTATCCCGCAAGAGGCAGAAGCCAATGCATCCTTCTGGCAGGCAAATGAGGTTGAGGAATAAGGGAAGTCAAATATGAGAAAATCATTGTTAGCTACTTAAGATGCAAGTAGTATTGATATCCATTCATGTGTCAGGGTATGATATTATGACCCAAAATGCGACCTGTACAGCAACTTGATTTTCTGCTAAAAGTATAAAATAGTCAAGAAAATTGCGTGGACACGTTCGCATCCTCATTTTACTCATACAACTCATTAGATAAAATGAGATATTGTAGGAATATAGTTTCGTCTAATGTTCCCTCCTTCTTAGACATATCATTCGAAGTAAATAGCACTAACCGTCACGTGGTCTCACGCCAAGATATCCGACTACCGCACTATCCCAGCCTCTCCCCTAACATAAAAAAGCCATCAAGACATCGCGAAATAGAGCGTCTATCAATTAAAATTATTTCCATCATCGCAGCTGAAGCTGCAGCCTCCGTATCGCAGTCTAAACTCGATGAAGTGTTCGACGTATGGGATCTCCACGACAAACTCAAAGTTCCCGTAACCACATCAAGAAGTAATTCTCTGGCGTCATTCGCTGCAGTCTCGCGCGACTGGCAACTCGCGTTCGAGCCTTTTACGTTCCATACTCTCATTCTCTCGCCTAAAAGACTCGCGCAGGCTGAAAGGCAGGGTTATCTTACTCGACGCCGGCTTGGGTATATCCGCAGCATTGCCGTTCCCATCACATTCCCTCTTCCATGGCCATGGGATGTTCCGATAATATTCTCCCAAGCAGGGGATTGGCCGCCTCTTCCGGAAGTTGACGAGAAAAAGGATCAACTGTTAACTGAAGACGATGCGGGTTCTGAGGAAGAAAGTCCTTTGTCCAAGGGGGGGCCAGAAGATGAAGAAGACGAGGAGTACGACAGCTACCTTGACGACGAAGACGAACTCCCTCCACCACAAGAGAGAGGCTACGACAAGATCTTCACGTCCATTATAAGATCACTCTTTCGAATTCTTAAACTTGCCCCTGTGCACGAGAACAAACGGCCATATATAGATTTACGACTCGGATTTCCTGTGCCTAGGGAGTACGGATGGTGCTTTGCGACTCGCATCGAAGAGCCCGAGGCTGAGCGTACTGAAGTCGGCTGGTGCAAACCTCTCTATTTTGGTTTAGGTTTCAACAAGGACGAGTTACCAGAACTGCCTGTGATAGCTTCGTGTAGTTTTGAACTCGTCTCTTGGAGCCTCTTCTTTACGCCCGAAACAGCATGTGCGATGGCGAGTAGAATGCCGTATCTCAGGATAATCAATATGCATCTCAGTGATAAGGAGTGGAGGGATCTGGATCTGCGAACAAAGCTGCGTGATGGTAAGTGTTGTCTTACGGTTTGATATTTTTATGGCGAGCTTTAGTGACCTGCTCTAACTTATGTAGGCTTTGCCAAATCATTACCCAGTTTACCACAAAGCATCTACGATTTCGAACTACAATATTCCCGACGTGTTCCTCGAGATCATGCACATGCTCCTATCAGCATAGTACCACCAAACGAGAGATATGATCATCTCAGCCAAGCCCTCTTCAAATTCTCACAACGGGAAAACATGATCAGGTTTTCAGCAAACGGAAGCTTCGATATTGACATCATGGGATCTTCAGCAAAGTCACTTGCTGCAAGTACAGGATGGCCCAAACTAGAGTACTATCAGATCGGCCAACTCGCAATCACGCCATCGGGGCAATGGCTGGCTGCTCCCTTCACTGATAACCCCAACACCGACAGTTTTCGGAACGAACGATGGGGTTCTCCCAGTGAATCTTCGAGAAGTTCCTTGTCTACATTTGAAACCAACGAATTTAGGGGTCCGATCGATCCAGACTATGCGCATCGTCTTCTGTGCGCTGCAGGACGAGCAGCTTCCTATATGCCCTGTTTAAAGAAAATGGAGCTCAACGTTGGAGTCGTGGCGGGCTACAAAGTTTCGTATACAAGTAAGAAGGTTGAGACATGCATGAGAATCATTGGGAAGAAGCTCCGGCCGCCCACGGAAGACATGCTCCGAGTTTGGCGTCGTGTGGCACAAGACCACGACCAAAGGTTTGTCCTCGAGTGGAACGACACAGTCAAGACGAATAAAAGAAAGGAACGTTTTAGCTAGATGTATCATTCAAGACGATGTACCGAATAAGCTTTCTGTATTAAGAAGCCAGAACTATGGATAAAATAACAAAGGGTATCAATGTTTGCTGTCTCTAGATATATGGGTCCCGTAATCCCCTTCCTGAATTGAATAATCTGTTCCTGAACTCCTCCCAATGATATGCAATTGCCAAGAGCTTTTCCCTCTGCCGAGGTCACCAGCTCTACCTCAGGAATGTGCCGATTCCTTTGAGGCGTTATGTATCCCAGATATTCCAGATAAAATGCCCAGCCTCGTGGCTATTACGGCTGTTATAATTATAGCCAGATCGTCACTCAGCGATGCCAGATGTCCTGTCATATGCAACCCAAACGCCTGTGACGATGGTAAAATAGTGAGAGTTCCCTTTAGCGTCGCTGTTTCCCGCCACCACTGACATTTCATGTGGCTTTGTGGCTTTGTTCCAGGCTTAACGCCATTGGCCCTTGCATCTGATGGGCGCCCTTGATTCGGGAGTTGGCTTCGGCACTGGGGAGTCCGCAATAGCGGTGAGGGCCGTGCTTGTGTGGCTGTTTGAAGATGTCGAGTTCTGTGGATGGGGCGTCAAAGTTTAAGAATTATGTCGTTGACGTAGAATAAAACGTCCTGAGAGCTTGTCAGTACCGAGGTCATGAAAAATATGGGATTGACGAAAATGAGGAACTTACAGTATGGAGTCAAGTCGAGAAAGTCCCAAGGCTGAGACTTGGACTGGTGTCCTCTCGACTGTGACGACGCGTCGGTGTGGAACTTGTTCATCTGCATAGGCACGTCGCTCCCTGTTCTCGTAGAAGAATTCCGATCCATCGATTGGCGCTCGAGATGCGAGGGGTTCTGGGCAGTGTTCTCGGGCTCGCCCATAATATGCATGCAATTGCAGTCGCTGTGCTGTACCAGCAGCAGCAATTTGTTGAGCACAACGAATTCCATCTTGAGTTTGATGCTGTAGACGACGGGCTTGTATGTTGTTTGTATGTTGAAGTGGCTCATGTACTGCGTGACAATGAGGCTGATGTCGAGGAGGATGACGAGGATGTTGACGATGACGAGGTAGCGGATGACTTTGCGCTCCATGTCTTTGCGGACGGCGAAGATGGGTTTGAGCCCGCGGGCGGTTTCCCAGATGTAGAGTCCTGAGATGACGGTTTCTTGTATGCAGAAACCTGCGAGTTGTATGCGTTCGTAGACATTGAATGGTCCAATAAAGCGGCTCTCGTAGCGTTCTGTGTTACTCATGAGGAACAAGACGGTCGTGGGGACGTGGAGGATGAAGAAGTTGATGATGATCATATACAAGACCCATCGCGTCTTGGACTTGTCTTCGACGATTAGATGAAGCCGGGAATAAAGCACGACCGATTGCCCAGTGACCATGCCATACCAGCCAATACAGGTCAACACGCAGAGGAGAAAATTCGGGCCCAGGCTGTAGTATCTGAGCAAGACGACGATGCTGTGCAGCACTATACCGAGTGTCGCCGTGAGCATGCTCCAGAAATACAGGCCGTCGTGTCGTTTAAACCGGCTGAGGAGCGATATGAGGATCTCGAGACAGTTGTAACAGGCTATGGCAAAGAGGCCAGCGATGGCCATGTTCACGGGGAGTGAGGCCGAGATAGGCCCTGTCTCCCCGGAGCTAGATATATGCTCAGCTGCCATGATTGAGCTGCCGTCAGATCTACAACGGTCATGACAAGAAGGTTGGGAGGGATGGATGGATTGAGTTTCGAGAGGGCACGGTAATTAAAAATAATTAAAAAATAATACTCGGAATGGGGGCCCAAATTACATGGTGAGCTACCCTCATATGCTGGTAGCCGAGAACCAAGGTCAACAGCTCTTGGCACCTGGAGGTGGGTAAGGATAAAGGACAAAATGACAAAAGAATAAGAGGGACGCAGGTTGAGAAAGCTGCAGTGCTACGTTAATATGGTCGATCTTTGATGCTCCAGCGCGTCATTCTTCAACACCAACCAGCTCAGAGGTGACCCAAACGGACCCAAACCGCCCGCGATCGTCATGTCCCCCCAGTAAAAGAAAGGTAAAAAGGGATCAGCTAAAACCTCAGCTTTGGGCGCCTCCCTCTAGCCCCTGCATGGACGAGATGACACTGGCGTGGGTTGGTTTGCCCGTGTGCGTGCATGGTTGGCTCGGCTAGTGCCGTAACGAACTGAGCATGATTCAAGCCATACGAGACGGATGCTGAAGTTTGAGGGCGAGGGCATCTCACGCCACTACGGACTAATACTGCTAACCTCAAAGTTTATGCTTCCTTTTGTAAAGCCATCGCGTGAAACAGGCTGGAGATGTGGTGATTAAGAAGCTTTGTTAAAGCACGGAGTTTCAAAACGCCGGCAGTGAAAAGCCCTACTGGTATCCGTACTTTGCTCAATATTACCCCGTGCTCTGTAATTAAGAGCAACGACAGGCTACGGAACCACCCATCCCTTAGGCCGGTAGAGCTAAGCGGCGCTATCGACGCCAAGGACACGACGCACCTAAACCGTGAAGTCCTCAACCACGCCATAAAAGAAGAATTTAGACATGAATTTGGCACACGGCCCTTTACAATAAATAAGCATTTGTGAGCTATCGAAATAACCAATGTTGACTATCCAGCACCAGTTCCAACTTGGCAGCTGCAAATGTCATCGCGACAGGGGAGGTTAAAACAAGTGTAATATGGGGAACATGGAGGTGCCGCAATTTAGAGTTTATACCACAATGACACAAACAAGGCAAGACTGGTAAAATCTCTTCAGTGACATTGATGCCCGCCCATTGATGCCCAGCGACTCTGTTGCACGTGAAAAAGACCCGACCTCTCTCTGCTCTGGCGGCTGAATCCAGCAAGTCATGTCTCAGGTTTCCGTAGATGGTCAGAATGGAATGACTCGCGATGTGCATCTACGATCTTGGCTCTAGACTCTATCGTATCACAGCGACCGGCGCCCGCTGTCTCGAGCACCGGGAGGGAGCTCCATGTCTAGCGCCAGGGTCTGATCGCGATGCGGGTTGAATTATTAGTTGTTACGTTGTATTTAGGCATCCGTTGTTGATTAGCATGACCAGGATCCAGGAATAGGATCGAAATTAATATAAGCAGAGCCGCTATCCGTACAAGGATAGCTCCTCTCCCCGTAGGTACCTAGGTCAGATCTCTTCAGGGGATTAGCGGTTATCCCGCCAATTGCCGACCACTAACGCGCCGTTTCTCCAAGTCGGCCGCTGGCATGCCGAAGGATTTGCTTAGCACGCGGCACGCAGGGCATCTTCTTTCTCTTATATAGAATACCGTAATATTCTTCGTAGGCGGTTTCGTCTAACAGTTACTAGATGATTAAAGTTTCACCACTAGATCTACCTGCCGCTATGGTGCAGTGGCGCTGTCGCATAACCCCTAATGCAGTCCCAGGATGGTGACAGTCGGTGACAGTTTGAACCTCGAGCTGCGGCCCAACTACTAGCTACTTCATCTGACCCAGCACGAGGGTCAAGCCACGTGAATTGCAGTCACAACCACTGCATCTGTACGATCACATTAATATCTACAAGGCAAATATTCCCTATTGACACCTTCCTATCCTAGTCTGGCCTGTTATGTGATCTCCCAGTCGGGTATCTCACGGGTATGTTTCCGAGAGCCTTGACCACAGAGTGGTCTTTATCAGATCCAAGCAAAACAAGCTCAGTTCCACTACCAAACTCAAATTCTCAGTAGTCGCCATGTCAAATCTCCTAGTCATAATAAGCTCAAATTCAGGCACTATTCACGGCCCCGTTATCCCCACGCTTACTGCAAACGATGGCTCTCCATACTCTCCAATATATCCCCATCACTCTTCTCCCAAGGATACTTCTGCTCCAACGACCGGATGAACTTCTCATGGCGTGCAGATCTTGGCTTTATTATAGCCTTGAACGGCTCAGGATGGCTAACAACGCCCGGTGTAAACTTGAGTTCCATGTCAGGTTCCTTCTCATCCTTGCTAATGTTGAAAACGGCTAGAGACTGCGCAATGTTTAGAAAAAGAGCGTTCTCAGCCAGCACTCGTCCTGGGCAAACACGGCGTCCAAATCCAAATGCGTAGGTTTGCGGGTCTAGTTCAGGGTTGCCATCACTTGATAAGAACCTCTCTGGCTTGAATGCCATCGGTTCGCTGTATACCTCTGGATCGTGTGCAAAGTGTCTGTAGACCGTCAGGACAAGACCTAGCTCAAAGGTTGTATACTCACAGAATATTGGAAATCACCATGGAGCCTTGAGGGATTAGGTATCCGTCGAAAATATCATCTTCTGTGCATGTGTGAGGCAATCCCATGGGAGCAATTGGGTGCCATCTTAAGACTTCCTTCACTATAGCATCAAGATAAGGCATATTGGAACGATCTTCAGTAGTCGGTAGTCTCTCCCCGCCGACGACACGGTCAATTTCTTCTTGGGCTTTTCTTTGAACTTCTGGGTGGAGCTTCATGGCCAAGAAGAAGCACGCAAGTGAGGAGACGGTCTAGTATTGTCAGTTCGTCCTCAAATGGAGAAATTTAGAAGTGCCCACAGTGTCAGCCCCCGCTGCGTACAACGATGCAGCAGACCACTTGTTAGTCAACTTCTCTTCGGCGGTGGAGTCACCCGCTTCTAGAAGGCGTGTGACAAACGAGTTATCTTTCCTTCCGAGAGAATGTTGATGTTTGACAAAAGCGTAAGGCTTCTCGAGGAGATCCTCTAGCTCTGATGCCCATTGGCGGGCGAGCCTTTTGAAGCCGGTCCCTGGCATCCAGTCTGGAACATACCGTACTGTCCGTATCAGTATATTGAATTTTCAATAGGGGATAGGCCAAGCTTACAGAAAGGCAGGATATCAACCAGGAATGCACCAGGCACCCCGGCGGTAGCAAAATTGTCCATGGATTTACCAGCCATGTTGATGAGCACATCTTCCTTGAAAGGCTCTGCTTTGTAGTTGTAAGCGATCTTCAAGATAACCGAACCTGCTTCCCTAAGAGTCTGTCAGCATGAGAAGTAGTAACAAATGGAGAAAAACGAACTTCCTGATGTGATCCACCAAGTTCTCCGGCTTTTCTAACACGTGAAGCAAGAAGTGACCGACTTCCGCTTCCTGTAGGCCATTATACTCAGCTGCCGCTGTCTTGGAGCCGATGATACGAGCCATGTTCTTTCGGTAGGTTTTGAAGCGTTCGTTATATCCTGAAAATCCAACCGAATCTTCCCAGCCAACCCTGCACATATCGTTAGATAATTCCTCTGTTTGACGAACCGAGAGAGCTAACATTTCACCAGAGAAGACCAATTTGGGCCTGGATGAGTATTTGATAGATCGCTTATCCAACAGCTCAAATGCAATGTTGGCATCATTGATAATGACAATCGTTTGCCCCATCACTGTGACAGAGCTGATAGGGCCTGATTATCTTGAATTAGAAGTAGTTTCATAAGGATAGCATCAATTTCAGAACGAACCATAGAGCTCTTTGTGCTTCAGCCAGTGAGTTGCTTCAAGTATCCCAGGCGGGGGAAGATCTTTCAAATTTCCGAGTACTGGAAGACCTCTAGGTCCAGGAGGAAGCGGGGGTAATTTGGAAACTTGGAAGGCTCTAAGAATGAAATAGACGGCAAAGCCAACGCCTATGCCTCCGACCAGAGTCGACGCATCAAGCATGATGGCTGTACTGGAACTGATGATGGAAGAATGGTGACGGTGTAAGATACTCCGGGGGGTTACAGTATAAGTACTATCGAATCCTTGCTCCGTGACGTATGAACCCTTCACATCGCTATTAACCGATGTGCATGCAACGATTAGTTCATGCGTTTCTTAAGCTCGGGGGTGTAATCAGCTTATATCCGTGCCTCCTTCTCTATTTATTACCCAATGAACGGGTCTTCATTTGACAACACCCAGGTTTGCCAAGGCTAGTTACACGTTGAAGGAGTTGACGATCCAACGTCAGCTGGGGTATTTGTCCGTTTTCGGTAAGATGTCTGTCTATCTGAGTCTATCATACTGTCATAGCTAGATAAACTGTTAGCATGGTATACTTGTTTTCTTCTTTCTTTAATTACCAACGATACAATTGATAACTGGTAGTAATAATGGTTAAGTGAATTACCTTGTTCAATTTCTCGGCGAGTTAGATCAAGGTTAGACAGATAAAAAACACGGTTTCTTTCCACACATTAGGACATCATATCATAACCTCAAACAAGCTTTCTCTCTCGATAAGGACATAGTAGTAGCTGATAGTAATGTTATCTTTGTTCTCTTACTCTATTGGCCACCCAAAACCAAATATCATATTCGAGTATAAGAAGGTTATATACCATTCGTCATGTAATTGAAAAGCCCATGTATTTACGGAGTACTGAAATTTGTTGAGAAACATAACATACGGTAAACAGCTCAGCAGCTTATCAAGTTTAATAACCAATTGAAGTTTGCGTCGTCTTTTTGATCAACTACTTTACATGTGTTACGATGGCCATGCACATCTTCGAGATCCATCCTTCGCAACTTTTCCAAGGCAGCAACCGTCTCAAATACCACTGGTGCCACTATTTCTGCTGTGCCGTTCTTTATCCTCCACAATCAACAGGCACCATCGCCCTAGCTCAGGCTACCATAAGCGCTAACCGAAATCTGCTGGCAATAAAACACCATCATCGATCATCTCATTGTAAATTAAATGTCAATCCAACAAGTCTTCCTCTCTTGACACCAACAATCAACTCCCTTCGCCACGATGTCTTCAAACCAATGGCTGGAACTGCTGCCCAGTGAACTTCATTTCAGGATTCTCTCACACCTTACACCTCACGATTTGTCGAAGCTTGCACGCACCTGTCAGCGCTTCAATAACATAGTCACACCTCTCATCTGGAATGACATTGAGCTTCATGAGGAGGGATACCATGAATCCAAACATGAGCCCGACGTACCGCCTCCTGCGAGAGATCCTGCACGTCGGCCTTACCACTCAAAGCAGCCATGGGGAAATGGACAAGGTGCCTCAATGAAGGCAGAAGCCTTCTTCAACATGCTGCAGACGATGCACAAACAAGATTTTGAGCGCTTTGAGCATATCACGAAACGTGTCAGACATCTTTGTACAATTGTTGAACCCTCATGGCAACCGAGAACTGAAAACTATGAGATAATCGATCCTGAAAGCATCCGAATCTGGCATCTCTTGCCGTATTTTTCAAACTTGGAGACTTTGGAACTTCACGGGAATGAGGACTATCAAGATAAGAATAAGGAAAAAAACTTTGAGATTCTCGGCCCTACTCCACGCCTTCGCTTCGCCAAGCTCTGGGGGTATATGCCTCGAGCAATTCCAGCGTGGCTCCTCAGATCTGGAGAAACCCTTGAACGTCTAGAACTCGGCATGCTAGACCGCCCAATCTCAACAAACTTGTCAAACAGCCCCGATTTCACCCCTCTTCCCTCTGAGAAACTCAACGCCGACGCGGAGGGGGATGATGAATCAGATTGGGGCAGTCTACACGCAGAGAACGTAATTCCACGACCTCTAGGGGGGTATCTCTCATCCTACGGCACCGATGACCTGGTATTTCCAAATCTGAAGCACCTTTACCTGTGCCAACCATCCGAATCCTTATACCCTGACGATTTCAATGAATACAGTTGGTCCTCACGCGCAGAATCAGCCTGCCATGGCGACTGGCGTCGGATTATGCAAGCTTGCGTCGGCACACTGGAGACATTAGTGCTAGAGCAGAGGCCAGCAGCCGAATACATCGAAGGTGACGGTCTATCTGAACTGGAATGGATGACAGGCCGTACCACCAGCGCCGCATGTCGTGAGTTATGCGATATGACTCACGAGGTTTTGGCGACTGATGAAAGCCTGGCTCTGAAACGAATCTATTTCTACGGTATGTTGGTTAACTCGTCTGGTAACGAGTTGATGTCGCTTCTAAAAGATCGTGGAGTTGTGCGTGAAGCTAGGCTTGGGCAATGGTGTTACTTTGATCACAGCCCTGGAGTAGTACATTGGTGTTCATGGGATGCAGCCTATGATTCTGAGGATGAGGAAGATGATGAAGACAATGAAGAGGAGGAAGAAGAAAAAATGAGATGGAACAGTTTGCTGCCGATAGATTGATCAAGAGCTATCAAGCAATACAAAGCCTAATCATCATGGATCGATAAAAATAAAGATACAGACTATATACTCCGTGAACCCAACACACTCTGGGCAATATTCATTAATTGACTGTCCGATACTCAAATATCAGTCACACTTGTCGTGATATGGATTTATATCGGGCAGAGTTGACGCCATGCCGACCGAGTGTTCGGCCCCCTCGCCATAATACCGACTACCCCACTCTCCCATGGTTAAAAGACATCGACGTGACCCTTCACTTACATCCCAACTCATCATCCACAACTTCAATATCAACAATGTCCTCCTTCGCCGTGGTGAAAGACATCGACCACCTCGTGCTTACCTGCACCGACGTATCCGCCACAGTAGAATGGTACACTAAATACCTCGGCATGAAAGCCGAGACCTTCACATCCGCCACTGACCCCTCGGCCACACCTCGTACTGCTTTGAAATTTGGCACGCACAAGATCAACCTCCATCAGCGCGGTGCTGAGTTTGAGCCAAAGGCGCAGACAGCCCTGCCTGGCACGGCCGATTTGTGCTTTGTTGTTGAGGACGGGACGGATCTGCAGGGCTTGATTGGGAAATTCGAGAAAGAAGGGATAGAGGTGCTTGAGGGTGGCAAAGTGGTGAGTAGGACGGGGGCATTGGGGAAGATCCAGAGTATTTACGTCCGTGATCCAGATGGAAACTTGATTGAGTAAGTCCAACATAGCATATTCTCTGATAAGTTGACTGACGGGCCAGACTCTCTTACTACTCAACCTAGGTATACACAGCATGCAGCTGGACATGTTAAGCACTCAAAATAGGAGCGTGCAGTCCCAATTGCAAGCCGGATAAAATCATTTTACATCTTCTATTGAAAGTCTATCTCATAGAACAACACAGGCCACATAAGTCGTATATACATCTAGTTGTTATCAATCATGGTCTTCAGCTCAGCAAACTTGACGGGCTTCGGTAAAAACAAATCAACTCCAGCAGTCATGGCATCAAGCCGCGCATCTGCGCTCGCCAAGCCCGTCAACGCAAACACTGTCGTCCGAGGAACTTTGTACTCAGTCTCCAGCTTGCGAATTCTCTTGGTCGCCTCCACGCCGTTCATGACGGGCATGCTGATATCCATCAGGATGTAATCGAACCGCCTCTTGATAGGGTCAGAGGGTTTTGCCTCGCCGATTGTTGATTTCTTGAACGTCTCAACCGCCTCCTCACCGTTATCAGCCTCCTCATACGAGAAGCCGCACTTCTTCATGAACATCGTAAGAAGGTTGAGGTTAATTTTGTTGTCGTCGACGAGCAGCACATGACACTTTCCCTTCCACGTTTCTGAATTCCCTGATTTGTGTGCTTCATTTGTTGACTTGCTATCCTCCTCCTCTTTGTTGCTGTCTTTCTGACCGTCTGGCTGTCCATCTTTCTGGTTCTTATCCTTGCGGTGGGGATGAACCTTCTTGCTGTCGTCTTTCTGCTCGTGTGGCGGTAGTGGTGTAGTTCTTGGTTGGTCGGTCTTCTTATCCTCCGTCGGATAGTGTACTGAGTTCATTTGTTCCATCGCACGGTCTGCACTCTCCCTATCTGCAGTGCTGGTTTTCTTCTCCTTCTTATTGTTCTTTTTGTCTGTGTATTTGCTTCTGACCAGGTTTTCGCCGCCATTATTAGTTTTCCCCTCTTCGATTCTTTTCAGGCACCGACTGAATACTTGTGCAAGTTTCCTCGGGCCACATCTAAAATCATGTTAGTTTCTGCACCGCGCACTTTGATTGAAATTTCTCAAGGACTTACGGCTGTGGAATTACTTCAACCACATCGGACAATCTGGCTAAAGCTTGTGTCTGAGCTCTTGATATCTTGGCAGCTTCCTCTTCATTCAAGCTGATAATGATGATCGGTGTCTTTTTGTTACGCTGGCCTAACGTCGCTGTCTCTTCGAAGCGCGATTCCAGAGTCTTGGCAGATGGCGGCTCGCAGTACAGATAAAAGTCGGCCTCACTGGGGTTGGTATCGATTTCCCTTGAAGCCGTTATACCAAACCAGCCTGAGAAAATATCCATTAAAGCTTGATTGCGCACTTTTACTTGCTCGGTGAGGGTACTCGAATGGAAAGCCTCGCTTGCTTCCAGTACTACTAAGGATTGCCCTTGAAGCTGTTCCCGAACTGATCGCAGAGGCTCTTCTGATTTAGAGGAATTCTCTTCAGTGGAAAGTTCCAGACGGAGTCGGACCTCAATTTCAGTACCCTTGCCCTGTTCCGATTTGACCTCAAGTGTTCCTCCCAGCGAGTCCACAATCTGCTTGACAATACTCAGCCCCAGACCAGTGCCAGGCTGGAAAGAATCCTCTTGGCTAAAGGGAACAAAAAGACGATTCTGCTGGAAGTCTTCTGACATGCCCTTTCCAGTATCTGTCACCCGGATCGAAACCTCGAGCTTTCGTTCTTCAGTGAGCTCTTGGGCCCGAACGGTAACGCACACAAACCCCAAAAAGGTATACTTTAGTGCATTGTTAAAGAGATTCATAATAATCCTCCTAACTGCGCCGGGCTGTGTCTTGACCATCCAAGATGACCTCGGGCAAATATCCAAAAGAACTGATACTGGATGCTCACCACTAGGTTCTGAGACATTGTTATTATCTGTTCCACCCATCATTGCATCGCTTGCTTGGCTTCCTTGTCGGTTAGGAAGCTTCTTGAAGTTGTGACCTGTCGCCACAGCATCGACAACCTCCTCAACAAGAATGGAGAGGTCGACTGACGCAGTCATGTTTAAACTTTCCATAGAATCGGAAGAGAGACTAATGATCTTGCTGTGTTTTGAACCTCTTCTTGTCTGCCCGCTACCGAGGTTGTTGATTTTGCTGAAGTCGAGCACATGATTCAAGGTATCGAGGAGTGTCTTTCCACACGTCGCGATAGAGTTAACAAGGCCGGCCTCGTATGAATCAGTCACTGCATCCTTGAGAAACTCAGCAGCGCCAAGGATCCCGTGCAAGGGGCTGCGTAACTCATGGCTCATGCTCGCAATGAAGGTGGTTTTCGCCGCTTCGTTCTTCTTGGTGTTGATACGCCCGATCTGACTTGTGATGCTGTTACCAAAAGCTCGAAGATAAGAAAGATCCTCATCCAAGTTCATCATGCGACCTGGAACTGACGTCCAAAGGAAGCACCCGCCAACCAGTTTGTCCTCAACGTAGTCAAAAAGCGGCAGGAAGACAATGGATTTGGCACCGGGAATATTCTTAAGTAGTTCCCTATGGTCCATCAGATCCTTATTGCGTCGTTTGTGTTTTCCAGCTTTGCCAGGTGTATCTGCAAGAACACCCCCATCGCTTGCACTATCATCATCAGACGAAACACCTTTCCCTTCTTCTGTGAACGTAAACGTCTTACCCTTAGGGAAAAGTGAGAAGTATCTCTCGAGAGTTCCGATGGAGAAAGACGGCCCTTGCTCAAGGTCCAAAGGCTTGCTCTTGTCGGCCAGCGAGTAGGCGAGTAGCTTACATGGTCTTGACAGCGGGGATGTGTCAGAGTCCGAACTTTCCGTACTGAACCCATCAGGATCTGCTGCTATCCGTGTTGGTAGCCCATCAGAGCCTGCGGTATTACTGTGTTCCGTCTCGACTGTTTGGCTCTTGTGTTGAAGATTGGCAGCCGTGGAGCCGAAGAGCACGACTCCATCCGCCAATATCGAAGATCGCAGGTTGTCAGCAGCCCGGTTATACATTCGCGATAATCCGTCAGTCTGTGGTTTGACTTTCCGCGGTGGCGAAGGAGCTTTTTGAGACATTTTGGCAGAATCGGGGTCGACCTTGCGCATGGTGTTGTGGAGAGATGAGCGCCTTGTCGCCGTAATAGTCATCCCAGGGGGGCGTTTTATCGAAGGTCTCCGGGGCTGTTTGTCCTTCGAGACGGTCGGGTCGTCGCTCGAGCATCCCTCAATGAAGGTTGCCAGGCCACGCACGATGCGTTCTCCTTTGAACCTATCGACGCGGTCGCGAGCCCATTCCAAGTGCTCTGTGACAGCCTGTGCAACGCTCTGCATGAACTTTACATCCTCGGTCGATAATCCAGAGCGCGGTTGTTCGTCAGAAACCGAGTACGTTCCGATCTTATATCCTTTGCGTGAGTAGATGGGCACGCCAGCGTAAAACCTTACGCCTGGTTCGGATTGTACGTAAACGCGTGACTTGAAGCGATCATCGAGGCGACAATCGGGTATAATAAGGCCAGCTGCTCTGTATGTCGAGCCATCTGGGTCGCGACCGACGCATGTGTTGTGTAGACAGTGTTCACAGACAGCTTTCGAGCGGGAGAGAATTGAAGTTCCCACTGGAACCCAAATTAGTAAATTACATGAAGGAATGAAGATTTTGCCCTGGGTCTTTGTGCAGAAGGAAGTCTACTTACACCACAGGTCGCTGTTGTAATCGTCAATTTTGGGATTTTTCTTATTGCCGTCGGTTTTATCAACACCAAACTCGTCTTCAAGTGTTCCGAGTCGCAAATTGCGCGTGGCTTCGGCGAGGATGTACTGATGGGAAGTGTCGATGAGCGAGACCATAGCACGCTTCACGTTGAGTCGAAAAACGGCGAGTTGCGCAAAGGCTGACAGAGCCTTGTCGGAAGAAGGCTGCGGCGTATGTGCGTCATTGACCTGAGAAGGCGCGGAGATTCCGTCGACGTTTCTAGCGACTTTAAGAGAGGAGCCTTGTGCTATCTGCCAGCTCTGGAAATAACCCTGCACCTCGCGTTCGCGTTGCAGCTCTGCAGAGCTTGACATTGTATCGTTGTATGAGCAGTCATGTCATGTCTTGGTTTGTCGTGTGGGCAGATGATGCTCAAGGGACGTCAGAGAACTTGGGGTCAAGGTAGTAGTGGAAAGAGAAATTTGGGCGGTGCCCCCTCCATGGAACAGCACTCATTGCGTCATTCTTGCCCCAGCGTCACCTTGGAAAGGTCCTACAGGCCAGCGGCTCGGGGGTCTAGAGCCGTTCTAGAATAGTTAACTCGCCCCAGAAAATGTTTCTTCGCTGTAAAATTCGCATTATCATTCGTCTGCCTTTATTGTTTGGGCCCAAGATGAGGTCATGCTCAGGTACCGTGATCAAAATTCAAGGTTACAGATCGATTAGCGGTGAAAATCACTCAGGTCTGAGATAGTTGCTAACGCGATTAACGAACCATCTGCCCTGTTTATTCGTTAATCAAGTTCCCCCCGCAAGAACACCTGTTAAATCGGGCGGTTACAGTACAGTAGTCGGAAGCTTACACTGCTGCACCATGTTCATCCCTGGTCAAGTCAAGCCTTGCCAAGCAAAGCAAGATGTTAGCTTCCGGGAGTTGTGCCATTATTTATAGATGAATAAGACAAGTCTCCATATGTAGGATACCCGCATGGGTAAGGGTTCAATTTAAGATCTGATTTAACATTTAGATAAGACAGCTAAGTGCTAAGACTTACTACACAGCCATCAGAAATAACTGCCACACGTGAGATGATGTTCCCGCCTTGATCAACTCCGAAAACTCCGGCCCCCAATTGCCAGTTTGGGCAACCAACACTCAAAAGTCCCTGGAGAATCCTCCTTGGAGATGCGGCAGCGAAGCGTATCAATTGACAAGGAGTCAAGCCAATAAGACTGTGATTACTTTCGTATCAATTAACAAGCACCCCAATCCTTCAATCAATAAATAGGTAGCGCCTTTCCTGCAGTTTTTCTTATCGTAGTCCAAATTCACACACATCTTCACATCCCTCACAATCTATTGCTCAACACCATCTGCTCAATATGGCCACCACTAAACCCCACACTGCTCGATCAGTACTCGATTCATTCTACGACGCTGAGCGCATTTACATGGCCGCACCGCCTGAAGAGCGCGACTTTAGTGGCATGGCTGCAGCTCTCTCTAAAGAGGTTATCCTCAAACAATCATCAGGACTGCCCTACGCTGGCATCTACACGGGTCCCGAGGGCTTTCAGAAATGGGCACAGGACATGGCCGACTATTTTGACAAGGTCGATGTTCAGAACCCGGAGATCTTCGAAAAAGAGGGTTCCAATCGCATCATATCGCTCAGTTATCTGCATATGAGGGTTCGCAAGACTGGCGAGGAGTTGAAGTATCCTCTGTGTCAGGTTATCCAGGTTGATCTGGAGGCCGGCGTCATTAAGAGTATTATGCCGTTCTATTGGGATGTCTATGCGTTGAACAAGGCTATTGGATATACCCCAGAACTTTAATAGCATTTCTAAACATTCATGTATTTCAAACCTTTGGTTTCACTATCTAGCAACAAGAAAGTGATCACTGGTGGTCAGCGATGACTTTGTCGCAATACTCGGCAAACGCAGCAGAAGTTCCCGTTCCTCCATTCTCCTTTGTCTTCAAATTCTCCAACAAGTCTGCCCTAGGACTAGGATGAAAGCGGCCCCATGGCAAGATGAACCTACCTCCATCCTCAATCTGCAGGTCTGATGAAAGCCCGGCCCACAAGTTCGTATAGGCACCAAACTTAGGATGATAAAGAAGCGGTGCAACGACCCAGCCCACAAACGACGGCATGTGACGAAGAAGAGGCGTCTGGAGATTTCCAGGATTGATACAGACGCTGAGAACGCCATGAGGTCCAAGTTGATCAGCCAAAACACTGGCCAAATACCAGTTTCCGGTCTTGGAGTTTGTATAGTTTAGCTGTTGATCCTTTGTTGGGTTGAGGACCTCGTTCATGTTGATTCCTCCATTAGGAACAGAGAGGTCAGTGACAATCGAAGCAGTCCATGTCACACGAACTGATGCTGGAGGTTGACTCTTGGCAGTTTCTTTCAAAACAGGGGCAAGAAGCTGTGTAAGGTACCAAGGCCCAATAGCGTTCGTGGCCATACTGAGTTCATATCCTTGAGCCGAAACTGAACCCGCAGGAGGATTAGACACACCCGCATTATTGAAAAGAACATCAAGTCGTGCTTCCTTGGACTTGAATTCTTTCGCAGCAGCTTTTACCGAATCCAAATCATCGAGGGCTATCTGGAGAAAAACAAGAGTTCCGGAAGAGTCGGGATATTGTTGCTTCAATCTCTCAATAGCTGATTCTCCTTGCTCTCGGGATCTTCCCGCGAGGTATACAGATCCACCTGCTTGGTAGAGCATTCGACATATCTCAAAGCCTACGCCTGAGTAACCACCCGTGACGACGAAGACGCGGCCATCCTGAGATTTGATGTTCTCCTCGGTAAATGGTGGACTAGGCGGAAAGAATAAAGAGTACGTATTTCCCATAGTGGCCAGCGTTCAAAAGAATAGTTCCTGAGTGAGGGACAATGGATATTACGAAATAGACGAGGTCTGGGGATGTATTAAAGTCTAAAATCGGGAAGCGCGGGGGTAGTGCATCTAGTTCCAGTGACGCAACTCAACTTGAAGGATTGTCACATTTAGCGAATCCTACCGTACTCCGCATCTAGTCCTATTAACGCCACCACGTCGTCGTGACCCTTGTTCTTTGATGCGAACTTTTTGATTCGCTGATGCAACATGTATTTGATATCGTTTATGAATACATATTCATGTCTGTCCATGTCTATCTGGCTGCTAACATTTCAACTATGCGAGAGGTGAGTCTCTCAACCATAGCCAGCCCAGGGTCGTGATCTGGATTGACCTCCGCAACAGTGAGACCTGTAACATGGTCACTGCCAAGCAGCACTTTAAGCGCTCTCATCATGTTGTCGAATTCAACTCCCGTGAAGTTTGGCACATTCGCCAAAGGAAACGTTCCGGGATCAATCGAGTCAACGTCCAAATGAACCATGATGATATCAACCTTATCTTTCAGATATTCCAGTGTTTCCCTCGCCCGCTGTTCAGGATCTTTGGCAACAGAAGCTGAACTGACGACCTTGTAGTTGTTGTCAAAAAGATACTTGAAATGCTCTGGTTTGTTTCCCGGTAGAGACATGTTGGTGCCAAAGAACACGGTGTTGGTGGCATCGCAGACAGGTCCGCCAGATGAACGGGAGAATTGCTCCATGCGTGGAAGTGCGCCGGGCAGTCGTGCGAGATGTGCCATATTCATCCCGGCAAACGTCCCGATAGATGCAGGATCTGTTGGAGAGGTAAGATCGGTATCAGCGTCGATATAAATCAAACCAACACGCTTGGGAGAAGACTGCGACTCTGCGTGTTTCCAAAAGGCAGAGAGAATAGCAGGCAGCATACAGCATTCGCCACCGAGGATGAGCTGGAATTCAGGTTGGTCGGATGAAGAATCGAGGTTCTTGCTGATGGTGCGTTCAACGTCTCCACAGACAGAGATGTTGATATCCTCATTTCGGACACCGCCTAGAGCAAAGGTTGCTGTAGAAAAGGTTGCCGGTGACTTCAGCGCATGATGCTCTGAGATAGACGATATACCGACGTCTCGTAGTTTACTGACGATTCCCACGTCCTGAAAGGCTTTAGGAGCTTTGGATTTGCCGGGGATGATTGATCCGCAATCTGCTGGTACGTATGTAATCGAGACGGATCGTGAGGCTGCCATGCTGTCGAAAGATGCTATTCACAGAATGTTGTTAAGTTGAATTGTATTTTTTCGAAGTTCATGAGCTCTCACACCAGCTCAAGTAAACGTGAGTAAATTATATTGTGTCAAAGGTTGCATTTGAGCCACGTCTTACGCTTTATCTGATTCTCAAATGACGTAAGTTTGTCAACCACAAGGCGTACGTAGACCAAGGAATTCCAACTTCAGTTGCCCATTTAATTTTCCAACTGTAATAATGACAAGGCCAGAATAAGCACTAGAACTATCATCTTCGTCATTTCACACCTTTAATAATCATGCAACCAATTGTCCTCGAATGCAGAATATTCTCTGAAACATCTTCTGACCCTTTTCCACGGATCATTTACTTCTGTCAATAAAATCAATCGCACATATTACTAGTTAGTGACTTGGTGTATCGGGATCACATAATCATCAAGTATAGAAATATAGAGAGTATTGTTTGGAACTTTTCTTTGCCCTGACTAACTATTTACAAGAAGATCTCTGGCATATTAATCCACCATAAAGCTCATTGCCCTATAGGCATCCGTAGCTCCGAATATGTATCACTGAACTGGTATTGTTCTTGATACCTCTCATACAATATCATTATATCATGTGCTTCTTAGATACCAGCTCCGAGGCCAGCGAGGAGAGCGACAACGGGGGTAAGGACGGGAGCAAGGACACCGTTTCCGAGACCAGCAAGGAGAGGAGTGAGGCCAGCAATCAGGCCAGGAACGATAGCGCTGACGAGGCCAATGACGAGGGTGAGAACCTTAGCAAGGATCTGGAAGACGGAGTGGAGGACAGAGATGAGCTGAGGTCGGAGACCAGTGACGGTGACGATGGTCTTGACAGCGGTGAGGACCTCAGAGACGAGGACAACAACGAGGTTGAGGACCTTGTCAACATCAGAGTCGGCAACGTCGAGACCAGCAGCGCCGGTGAGCTTGGTGACAATCTCAGTGAGCTCGAAGTGCACAGACTCGAAGGTAGGAGCAGCCTTGGTGGCACCCTCGTCCTTAGTGAGTTCGCCGGCCTTGACCTTGTCGGCAATGGAGCTCAGGCCGCTGGTCTTGGAGTTGATGTTGGAGACACCGCTCTGGAGAACGGTGATGAGCTGCTGAGGGCTGGAGATTGCAGCGCGCTTGTGGGGCTCGGAGACCTCGTTGAGGATCTGCTTGACTCCGGTCTTGGAGACGATGTTCTCGGCGTTGCGGATGGCGCCGTTGACCTGCTCAACATCGCGGGCAGCGTTCTCACCCTGAGGGACAGGAGAGGCAATGGCCGAGATGGCGAGGGTGAAGATGGAGAAGAAAGTGGCCTTCATTTTGAATTTGGTCGATGGAAAGAGTTGGAGAAGTTGGTAGTGTTGAAGTGTGTTGTAAAGGAGTGTTTAGGTTGAGTTGATGAGGATAGCGAGAATGGATTTTGTGCAGCGAAGATAGATGTTTACATACCACCTTTGAAGAATAAAAGACAACCGATTTTACGGGTACCAATATGGGCTCCCTTTCCACAGCTCACCATCTCCATCCAAGGACGATCACTTAGAAGAGATTGAGTGTAGTCACTGGATGTCAACGATTGTCGATCACTCTCTAACACCCGAGTCGTGGGTGTTTAGGCTGTTGTGAGGTCCACCTATTAGCCCATGGCACTCGAAGCCCCCTGGTCTGAGCACGCCTTACGGGGCTTTGGTGACTGATTCGGCATTGCAAGCTGTTGAGAAGCAGAATATTTTTGACATTTCAAGTCTATCCGGGTTCATGAGAAGGACAATTCTTCTGAATATTTTGTTGTACTCTGGAAACCATAGGGTCAAAGCCCAATATCCTGACTAAGGCAAGGGTGTTGACCCTGTACCCGAACATTGCTCTTTCATGTCTCCAGACTGCAATCAATCGTCACGGTTAATACCATCTCGGCCTTCATTTCTCCCTCCTCCTCCCTATGTCATCGCCTCCTTGTCCCAGTGATGACTCCGTACGGTGAATTTCGTATGGATTTAGCCCTGTAGAGGACTGTGGGGTCGCTTAATTACAGCCTCACAGCGCGCCCATATTGTCGATCTTAGCCACACTTGTGATTGTCTCTCCCTTTGTGCTTTGATCTGCAAAACCAACCCAGCGGCTCGTTATTTTGTTGAAATTGTCCCATTTCGGTCGAGGGGGAATGACAATCTTGACTTGTTTGTGTGCACCCCTATCTTGATCGAATCGCCGCTACTGCACGTGTGTCAAACTACTCTCACCACTCAATTGCATTAGTTGCTACATCGTGGGTATATTTGTTCATTCACACAGACTGTCTGAGGGAGTAACATGACGCGTGGGAGGCTGAGTTTTCAGGTACTGAATTCCTGTCGTCCCAGAAACACCGAGACAGATAAGCCGTCAGTTTCAGCCTCACACAAATATGCCAAGTCTTCATACCGTCTACTCGTCCTGAGCTCGCATTCCTTAGCCACAGCTTCAGCCTTTAACTGAGCCTCCTATCGAGCTACCACACACTCGGTCTGCCCCACGTGCCCTTGGCCTTGAACCCAGGGTTAATCTGATCGGCAGTTGTCGATCAGGACCAGCGCCCAGGAAGCTGGCTGGCTGGGCTGGCTAGCTGGTTTTGGTGCCCTGGAATAGGAAATAAGCTCATCCACAGCACGGCTTCAATCGGGAATAGTGTCTGGTGATCTTTTGGTGAAGACCGGCTACTATTCTGCTTCCACTTTTCTTCATCATGCCTGACGACAATCGGGAGAAACAGGTTCAGTATCTGCAGGGTAAAAGCCAAAGCCATGAGGAAGACATCATTACCAAGGCGTGTTGAAGCTTCCGACGGCCTTAGATATGACGGCATTGTGCTCTGTTGTGGATTGCTTCCAAGTGAGTGGATGCCAGAATTGACATTACCGAGACTAGATGCATATTAAAGGAATGCTTGACTCGAGTTAAACTTGAGTTCCACTCATCATGACTAAAGCCACAGCCGCACAGCAGCAGAGAAATAAACAGGATGTGTGTATGGGAATACCATCTCGCTGATGACAGGTGATAACGCCGTACTAAGACTGTTGTATGGCAGTTCAAGGGCCATGTGGAAAACACATAGCAATTCTCAAGACAAATCACCATCAGTCTGTTGTAATACAAGCACACAGCATCTACCCTAAGTCATTACTATGAGAATTCAAGACTAAGCTGAGCTTAATTGAAGACTCAGATAATGTCAATGAGCAAATCCCTCTTCAACGCAGCACCTCGAGGTTGGAAACCCGAACTGTTCCCAAGCAACTTCAGCTACAGCACATAACTAACGCGATGGAGAATTCTCCCCACCTCCACCCTGCATAATGGCACTAGTGATAAAATTCTCCGTTATTAAATAATTGGCACTGAGATCCAGTGGAGAAGACCGGTTATCGATGATCCTCCCAGAATTGAACTTCGTCGATCGTTGTCCCCCACTCTTCTGGACAAATTGCTTTACAGTACTGAGTACTCTGCAGGTACTTCCATGATACAATACTTCATTGTGGATCTACCAGGTAAATAAATTCCAGAGTTGATAAGTAGTATATACAAAGAACGGCAGTATCAGCGTGGCACCGCAACACTCCATAGCCCTCCACATCTAAATGGCTCTCGTAACATCCATCTACTTTGCCGGACGAATACCCTGCGGATTCCAGAACATGTCCTTGGGATCATACTCAGCCTTGAGCTTCCTCAGTCGCCCCAGATTACTTGCGTAGTAGAGCTTAGTCGCCTCCTCATTGCCCAACTGCGTATCCAGGTAATTAGCATACATGCCCCATTCTCCATCGGCCATGGACTTTGTAACACTCTCACGGAAGCCCTTGAGGAGAGCGAACCCGTTCTTAGCGTACTGGGCGTAGTTTCCGCGGTCGGAGAACTGGTACAGTAGGAGCTTGTCGCGATGCGGGAATGCACTGTTGATCGAAGTGTTGTTTGCGATGGCTGAGTTGGGGCCGCCGAAGAGGTCGATTAAGAGATACCATGTGTGTCGCGCGTCGGCATCCCTGATGTTGCTAAAGAGGGCGCCAACAAGAGATTTGACTTGCGATCTTTTCAGGGCTTTCGTCATGAGACTGGTGCTGTAGAAGGTGGTGTGCTTTGAAGGTTAATGCTGATCTCCAAGAACACACGTAGACTTACCTGGTCGTAAGGACGTCTCTGATCAAGTGGTTGCCCATTGGTATACACTTGCAAACTCTCGATCCAGCCTCCAGTGCTCGCCTTTGAGATACGAACGCCCAGGTTTCCCAAAAGAGGCCGCAACGCTGCATCCAAACCCGCCCTGGTACCATAGTAAACACCCTGGATGGTCTGACCTGACGGTGCCATGTAGATCTGCATGTTGAGTTCTTTGGGGGCTTTCACTGCAAACTCCTGCAAAGCGACCAATCCTTCGACTGCGTCAGCCTCGCTCCAGTCGAGGTCAATGCTGAACGGTGTGACTGTGCTAGGTGCTTGAAAGGTCTGGAAGTCAAGCTCGGCAACGATGCCAAAGGAGGAGCCTGCGCCGCGGAGAGCCCAGTTCAAGTCACGCATCTCCCAGTCTGCTGAGTATCGCTTTGTGCCGTTGGCAAGAATGATGGTTGCGCCGATGAAGGTGTCGAGGGTGAGGCCGTAGGTTCGTGATGCCATGCCGTAGCCTCCGTGGAGGGCATGGCCAGCGATACCGACACTATATATGTTAGTTCAACCTACAACATCTTGGCGCCGTCTCTTACCCAGGACACGTTCCGTGAGGGAGAGCTCTCCGATTGAGCTTGTACAACTCCGAAGCTACATGCCCCAATCTAGCACCAGCCTGTACATTGCAACTCATGTCTTTGTTCAGTGTAACCTTATCCATGGCATCCATGACGATAACCAAGTGCCCATCCTCACCACCGTATCCGAACGAGCCATAGCTGTGACCACCACCCTTTGCGCTGACACGAACGCCAAGCTGGCTACCGCACTTGACAGCATTTTGGATGTGGTCGACGGTAGTGGGAAATGCAATTGCGGCAGGGTTATACGCCAGACGGAGATTATACGGCCTGGCTTCCTGGGTCCATTGGGCTGAGTTACGCTGGACAAGGGGAACGGCTTTTCCAGCGAGGCAGGCGTTGAGAGCAGCTGTGTTTGTTGCTGCGGCAAGAGCCAAGGCCGTGTGGAAGAGGAAAAGAAGAAGCTGGAAGTAAAACTCCATGATGATGACCTTCAACAAAGAGGTTTCTTCTGGTCAACGAGTTTCTCAATGATGTTTGCAAGCTTATTCTTCGCAATTGGCTATGCATCGGGATCGTAGCATCTTATAGACTTGATCATTATCCATTTGTACGAACACGAGATGTCTCACCTCCAGTCGTGCGATTTAGCTGCGTTGATGTCGAGGCTGTCACTTTACGAGGTGGATATGATGCATGCATGGGACTATGCAATTGCTAGGATCTTGAGTCGAGCTGAACTCAGCTCTCTCTCAACTCGAGCACGTTTTTATATTCATTTTGGAAACAATTCAACAAGCTCCTACAAATTTCAGCCATTGCGTGTCATTTATGATATTTTCTCCAGAGTTGCTGGAATACCCCTATCGCGACACTCAAGCACCCTCATAAATTTACAACCTCTCGTTTACCTTTTGATCACGAACTGGATATACATAAGCAGAGCTTCTCATCATAAATAGAAACAAACAAACAAACCCGCATCTTCGCCCTGAGGCCTTCCGCCTGGGTAACACAACCCACAGCCCATAGCCTTCAGCCTACAGCCATATTCCAACGATGCATGTCAGCAATATGCATCACGGCCCGGACCCGCCAACATCTTACATCCGAGACAATATAAATCACGCCATGGTGGTTTCCTCGCAGAATATTGATAGTATTAGACTCTACCACTGCAGAGCGCAGAACCCTGCCATTGGGTATATCTACGTGTCGCCGCATGCTTGTACAGCTTAAGCCTGGTTTGTTTTATTCTCGTGGAGGAAACAACTCTCGGGGCTTGTGGTTTGCTTGATTGGCTATACAATGGTGTTGCACAGCCTGAATGTGTGAGGATCTGATGCCAGGAACCGAAGCCACATGCAGGTTCTTCCGATAGACACGAATAAGGGTGTGATTGGAGGGGTTTATTGGAATCATTCGCATAATAATATGCTCCGACGCGTGACATTATATGCTTATTACGGATTAAGTTGAGTAAATGTATTAATTGAAGTCTATTCCGAGACAAGAGTCATCGCCCTCACTACATAGCTTCCACCAAACGGTCCATCTCAACCATATCCCAACAAGTCCATTTCCCTAAACTCCTATACTGTCGGACAACATCAAGTCCTTTCCCGGTCGCATCTCAATGCACAAATAGGGCTTGAGCAACTCCCTCCAAGTCCTCTTGTTCAACCTCTCACCACGACGTGTACCTGGCGCTCGAGACTCCGTTATTGCATGACAAATAGAGCACATGCTGTACGAAGGATGCATCCAGCTTGTGGAGGAAAGGGGGTTCGTTTGATGATTGCTTTCAGCTCGTGCTCGATTCGTTCGCTGTATATGTGACGGTGCTGTGTTGACTCGGTGTTCTTGAGAATGTGTCCGCGTGGCACTTAATGCTCGAGATTGGAATAATATTCATGTATAGAGTGTACAGGCTTAAGTCTTTGTTCAATGGGAATGGGTTCTCTTCTCATGCCCAAGATACTACTGTCAAGATCTCATCTTCTTGTGACTAACACAGGCACCTCTGCCCACTCGCATCTCATGAGTAGCGTTACTATTCCACTTGTAGAAACAACAAGACCCTGATCGTCAACCCTCAATCCCCGCCGTCGATCATCACACCTCAATTTCTCAGCTTCACCACCTCTAAGCCCATTCCTCCAAATCACGATTCCCTCCCCACATGTCAACGTCAACGTCGACACAGTAACACAGCATCTCCCCTCCCCCTCCTTTGACACATCCCCACCACCCTCTGAAACACTTCCCCAGAAAGTAGCAGGCCAATTGCATTCCTGCCATAACCACAGTAACTCTATAGAAAACTTCGAGTAACATTCATCTCCATTTCTTGGCCTTTGGCTTTTAAACGCGCGTGTTCTTGCAGCTGCTGCAGTGTGTCAATGCCAGTTGTTCTGAATAATCATGTGAAGGTTGCTTCGTTTGGATAAACTCTCCGGTGTAATTCGCTGAGGCATGTGCTTAGATTGCCATTGTTCTTCTCATGGTCTAAAGCGGGTTTCACCACTCGGTCGAGATGAGGGCTGTGAATCACTGTCTCTCCTCGACATCTTGGCTATAAGAGCGCCTCTTTCTTCCGCTTCAACGGGATCTTCCTTCTTCCCTCATCATCAACTTCAGCATTCTCTTCTTCCACTCCTTCAAGCAAGCCTTCGCAAGCACACACGTTCTCTCACAACGTATTCAGCGCCCACTCTTCAAGATCAACCACTCAACAATCTTCAACATGATCTCCAAGCTTGTCCTCCTCGCTCTTCCGCTGGTCAGCTTCGCTGCCCCAACCGTCAAGCACATCGACGGCGACATCACCTTCTACCACCCAGGCCTCGGCGCCTGTGGCAAGGACAACGGCGACAGCAGCATGGTTGCCGCCATCCCAGCTGCGCTCTTCGACTCTGAGGACCTCTGCGGCAAGGTTATCACCCTCAAGGGTGACAAGGGCATCGTCAAGGTCACTGTTGTCGAGTAAGTTTTGTCCTTCTCCGTACTTGCGTGTACTTTTTCTAACGAGATACCTGTAGCCGCTGCGAGGCCTGCGCCGAGATCGATCTCGATGTCTCTCCTGCTGCTTTCCAGTGGGCCATTGGCTCGCTCGACATTGGTCGCGGCAAGGGAACTTGGTCTTTCGACTAAACGACACCAACTGCTCTCTTTTCTAACGAGACCACGACTGTTTTTGGAACTCCTCAATTGGGGGAGCACGCACTGCTTTTTCTTCACCAAAACATTTTGACAACCTCGGAACATATGGGAGGTATTTTGACAGAGGCACAGGTTGCCGGGTGGTACTGAACTGCTATCATTAGCAAGGGGGACTTGAAGGTCAGCAACAGAAGTCAATAAAAGTTCACTTCACCTCATTGTTTGCCACTCTCCTGTGACATGTCTACCCTAACACTGCCATTCAAGTACACCACCATAATTTGAATTGTGTGAATTGATGTTGTCAATCTATGTTAAATCGCTTTAATGCCCAAAGCTGTCATAACTAGTCATGTCGATATGCGCCCCTTTTGATCATGAATCTGTAAGTCCTTTGCCCAAGCCACCAAACCCATCCGCCAAAGAAAGCAAATTGTACTGCCCTTACAAAGAAAAATGAAATCCAACGCCTGCTTGTGGTGTTCGTGTGATCCCTCAAACTGACACTCGACTGTGGTGCGTGTGAACAGTTTGATGTCTTGCGACGCAATCTTCTGTATGCAAATTTTATGCCATGATAAGTCCAAATCCCCTATCCTTGCTTGTTTCTAAGACCAAATGCAGGCAGCCATTTTCTTCTGGCTCCCGTTGCCCCGGTCGCTCTTGGGCTATCCGATTGCTCCGGTGTATCCCTATCATTCACTGGGCCTGGTAGCCTAGGTGTGGCCGGTGTACCTGGCCCCGGGCTCATCATTGAATTGTTGGCCATGTCTACATCAGCTGAGGCATGTCGACCGTGCCTGGGATTTCTCATAATTGGTGGAGGTGTTGCGCTGTCACGATCCTCATCTACGACTCCTGTTCGGCTCATCCATGATGGAAGCCCCGTTGCGCCATTAACGTTCAGGGGATCAGTCTTGGATAGTTCAGAGGGTCCCATGTCTGAGTTTGAAGTCGGGGGTGGTGCGATACTCGACGATCCGGGCCCTGTTGATGATCGACGGAAAAACTTGGTGAACTTATTCTGAGATGGCTGTTGACCTGTGATAGGGGGATAATGTTTCTTCTTCGGATCTCCGGTAGACGACGCTTGGTTTTGTGTATGCAGTCCTGCTCTGATTTGTATATCGTCGCTGTTCCTCCTCCTGTGTCCCTTCTTTCGACCTGCCTTAGAGGTCTTGGGGTTGGTCGGCGGCTGACTCAACAGCAAAGCTTTTGGCTGCACTGCTGCTTGTGCGTTCAAACTTGAACGCCTGTTAGGTGGTGGTGGGGGCAACGAAGATGAAAAGAGCTCCTGTTGAACCGGAAATAGATCTCTAATCATGTCGGGATCAACACCTGTGGTTGCACCTCCAGAATGGCCACTTCCAGGCCCGTACATAGCTTCCATCGCCCAACTGCCCTTAGCTGTGTTCGAAGGAAAGCTGAACAGGTCAGGAGAGGCACGACCACCGTTATTGGTAGGTTTGGCGCTTTCGCGCATCCAGATATCGAGATCCGACTCAAGGGACTCTCCATCCGAGTCATCAGTATCGCTGTCCCAATCATTTCCTCGTCTATTAGAGATAGTTGTTTCGTCAGCGGAACGAGGACGCTGGATAGACCTGCCCCTGTTCTCGGCGTACGCTCGGTTGTTCAGTTCGATAATCTGAGCCGGGCCTCTGATAGCTCGCATAGGCTGCTCCAGGCGAACACCTGTAAACATTTCCACATTCACATCATTTTCAGATGCCTCCGAGAGAGCGCCATGGCTTTCTCTCATAGTGGAGTGCTTAGATAATGTCTCGTCGGAGTTCTGATACCGCGACAGAGTAGAGGTAGAGATGGTATCAGGCGTGGGTGGGAGGTTCTGGTCGTGTAGTCTGACACCACCAGGGGCATCGGTCATGACTCTTCGAAGCGAATCTCGCTTCTCCTCCTTAGTGCGCCGATGGTTAGGAGACACAACAGCACGACCGGCAAACACAGCGGAACCATCTTGATCTTGGCTCTGTCGTCCGTCCGTCTTCTTAGGCAGATAGTTTCGGCTAGTCTTCTGCGAAGGAGAGCTGTGCTCGATAACATTATTGATCGAGTCGAACTGCGCTTGTCGAGTCGAGAGCGAGTTCGATCGAGCTGATCTGCTAGCCGAGACAGGAGATCTGGCAAATGCTGTCTTTGGCCGGTTGATAGTGCTTGCTTTGGCTGGTAGGCTAACGGCACCATTAAAAGCGATAGGCTCATCCGCCTCTTGAATATCACTGTTCACATCTCCTTTGGATCCGTATACACTAACGAAAGAGCTCTCGCTCAAGACGCTCACGCTCGGACTACCCGGACCGGTGCCGCGGCCGTTATCGACGTCACCAGGACCTTCAGGGACCTGCGCAAGACTGAGAACACTGCCTCTAACCCCAAGATAAACATTTCGTAGGTTCTCGGTCGTCTCACTACGGTCGGATAGAAAACTCGGCATGCGGGTGATGGCCTTACCACCTCCCATTTGCATCATCATATCCGGCGACTGCGTGGATGGTCTGGGGTCTTCGTAGCATGGGTCGAACGTGGGTCCTGCGTACTGGCCTTCAGCTTCAATCTGCTCGATGATAGAGCGTTGTGTAGAAAGTTGCTCTAGTCGGGCTTCGAGATTGACAATCATGGTGACGGCCTCCTCAATTGCCTTATCGCGCTTCTCCATCTCTTGTGAAAGATAGTCATTTGTCTCTTCAACTCGTGACTTTTCCCTCTCAAGAGTCTCGACCTTATCTTCCAGCGCTGTTTGTCGTTCTCGGCGATGGTACAACTCCAACTTGAGGTCAAAATTCTGTTTGTGGAGCGAGGATATGACCTGTTTCTTGTTAGGCCCGAACTATATGGAGAGAAATATGACCAGCTTACCTGCTCCATGTCTTTAACCCCCAGTCCCTTTTTCTTCGGCGCCTCATTCCCGGCAGCGGATTGAGGTCGGTGTCCTTCGATCTCCATTATCTTCATGGGGGAACTGAGACTCCGACTAAATTCGCCCGAAGAATTGACATCTGTATTGGCACGCGACCATGTCGACGACCTGTCACTTTCTGCTTGACGAGATTGTTGAAGCTTTTCCTGGAGGAACGATGATACGACTGTCTGCCGTGTCGATTCGCTGCTAGCTTCTCTAGTCAAGCGAGGCATTCGAGCTGCTGTTCGTGGGGTTGTACTGGATGGTCTTTCGCAAGTAGCATGATAAAGTCTGTGGGAATGTTGCGACTGAAATAGTCCAGGGGATCCGGGCGCTTGTGAAAGGCTGCTGTTTGCGGTATGCATTGTGGCTCTCGTATTAGTGGTGCTTGTTGAGGATCGAGAAGCGGTCCTCCCGTAGGAAGACCGCGAAGGTGGTCGGTCCATAATGGAATGTACGGTGGATTGGTATTATGTATAAGTTGATTAGGTGTCGCTTGTAGGTGAACCAATGTGAATTGGTGCTGTCGCAGAACACAACTGTTCAAATGCAGATAAGTGCCCAGGCCCGAACCCAAGAACAAGATGCAATGCAGAAGTTCGTGAAATATGGATAATATGATGGCAGAGACGACAATGCGATAATGCAATCGAGGTGTCCGTACCCTGTCGGAATTCGCCGCGTGTCTCTGTGTTCAAATCACAATGAGAGAAGTTTGATTCACTTCATCGCGAATTATGCCCAACGGTCTTCGGGTATGGTCGCAGGAAGCGATATGATGTAGATTAAACGATGCTGTCTTGGGGTTGTGGCCAATCGGTTGTATGAGACCTATCAATATGTGCAGTCCAATTGTAGTCGAAGCAAATGGAGTTGTCGCGAATGAGTATGTACAATCTTGATTCGTTTGCGTGAGGGATTGGGAGACTGAAGATGTCACGTCGAGGAAGGGTTCCGTAGGAAGAGCAGGTATTTGGTATCGAGCAAGTTCACAATGCCGACGATCAAATGAATTGACAATAGCAGCAAGGGAGAGAATAGCAGCCGAGCTAATTCAAATTTCGCATGAGTGAGGAAAGAAGAAACACGAGGCTGCTGTGCGTTGCGGCGCAAGGGAGTAGGTACGTAACATGTAAGGGTTGGAGGGGGATCAAAGACAGACGAGGGGGAAGATTCGCAGGGGAGTCGGAGAGGTCGATCCAATCTCGCCGGTTTCTTTCTAGGTAAGAGTTGGGGGGAGATGCAGACTTGGATGGTGAAGATCACCGGGCACAGGAGAGCAAGAGGTGCAGAGAAAAGAAAAGAAATTCTGAGTGTGAGGATATGGCCTGAGATTCTCAAGGTTCTGGTGTTCTAGTCTTATTGGTAAACCTCCCACCGCAGCTGCCACCAAGATAGGTCGGGCAAATCAACATGGGCCAATCGTCGCATGGAGTTCATTCCAATCCAGAGACCGATTCCTAGCTCGTCCAGCGTCCACAGTGGATGTCCCCGCATTAGCGCTCCAGCTCCAGGGCAAGCTGCAGCGAAAGTCAGGCACCAGACTTTTTTAGTTCCAGGTCTCTACTGTTAGTGCCGGGAGTGAGAATGTGTTGGGTGCCTTTGAGGCTTTGAGTGTGGGTGGTGATGGGACTGCTTGAGTGTGGAAATGCAAAAATGCATGGGCACAGACACCTCTTGCACTGCCGAGCTAGACCTTGTCTGACAAGAAATGCAACTTCACTTCTGCCAACTTCCTACGCGTCTTAATTTAATCATCCTTGGACCGTGTCTTGGACGTGTCAGCGTGCGACGTGCGTAAGGCACCATTCAAACTCGTGCCCAGGATAACTGACGGGGTCTCCGGCTGAAGAGTGGGGGATCTTGCCATATCTTGACGAGGAGACGACACGACTAGACAAGAGTCCTTGACATTGGTTCGCCTTGTGTCCGTAAAATAGAACCAATGTCATGCCCTAGCCTGGGCCTGTGCTTGTTTATTCACGATGGTTACCAGAGCAAAGCTGTCACCCAATCTCTCCATCTTGGGTTCATCTTTATGCAAACGAATAGTCTTTTTCCATCCCGTGTCTTGTCAAATATTCCCCCTCATCTTCTTCACATTAACGTATGTACCCTCCACTAACAACCTCTACCTCCCTGCCCATCACAGCCATCACTTCTTCTCGACTCCACCACCGCCAATCATATCCGTTTCCACCGGCCTGGGGAGCATGGACCCCCGGGTGCCGGCGTGCGGGCCGTGCTCCGAGTAGGGGTACGCAGGGGAAAGGAAACTCAGGTCCCCCCCCCATGTCGTCACTTTTTGCTCTAGATAAAGCGCTTCACTCGCTGTGACTGTGATTGTGACTGGCTAAGGGTTTGCTTTTTCGAGGGAAGCTAGTCTTCTCAAACTGGCTTGAAGAGAGCACACATGCAGTAAAGGTGCTGGGATCGGCAATACCAACGTTGGTCGTGTCAAGCCGTTGGGTTCGCAGCTCATCCCCCATGCTTTTGTTTTAAGTTGTCCTGGCCATTAAGCAACGAACTGAAACTTCCAGGGCAAATGTCTCACCCCGATTAACCATAACTCAAGAACTTCAAGGTCCAGTTATTATAGCAACATCTCGTATTCTTCCCTCAAGAATCCACCAGAAGAACAAAGTTGGATTTTGCAACCACTAAAACCAGTCCGATCTCAAGTTTGCTATGCATCGGTCCGCTTAAGACGGTAGTTAGTAGTTAGCTTCAGGCTTCAAGAAAACTTCCGTCCCGTCGCAACCTAAGCCCCTCAAGCTACCCACGGAAAAAAACTCTAACTTATGGAGTTAAACCTTTGACGGAAACGGTCGGTTCTCTTAGACAAAGCCCCTTCCGATTTCTTGTCCGATTGCCGCGACTTATCTCACTTCAGTCACCACTGACACGAGGCTTTCAACCCCTCGCGAAGTTACTATCCTATCCTACCCACAATTTTACCAAAACCATCTTTATCTATTAAACCTTCAGCAAGGGTCGTTTTTAATCGTATCTTGTCCTATCCGTTAAAGTCACTTGTCTAGATGTAGCAAAGTGGGATGGACCCTGGGTCCAACGGCTGAGGGGTGCATACCGCCTGGACCGCCGCAGCGCGCAATCGTACAACTTTACATGAAGAGTGGTGCAATTAAAGCAAATGCTGTCAAGCGGTCAACAGCAGAGCAGATGCCTCTTGCTGCCATATTGCACTATTGCGTCTCACAAATGGCACGCTTAGACAAGATTCTGAGCCGCAATCACGTATCCATACCCTGCGATAGACCTATCCCCTTTAGACCATCAAGAACTGACAAATATCAAGACAGCCAGCTTTGAATAAAACCACTTAAAAATCAGGGCATCTCTTTGTTCTAACGGCATGGCGCACAGCCATCGCACATATCGGGAAACGCCATTGACCACACGCCAACTGTGGCATTCCATCACCTTTGCCACGCCATATTGCGTCCAGATAATTGTAGTTTCCTGGCAGGTACCCTTCCGCAAGCATCATCGTCACTATGGCAGCCTTCCTTAAACTTCGTCAAGATGTAACCGGGCGCGCTGTATCGCGTCAGGTTATCTTCAGTATGGAGTATGGACCCTTTGCGTAGTGGCTGAAGGGTGATGCATTTTGGTGTCGCGTTATGGACGTGATCGTATGATACAGCATTTTGCTCCTATCATCACTCCGCGAAAGGATGTACCAAGTTAGGGCGTTCCAGACTCGTGAAAAATAAAAGTACCTAGGTACATTGCCGCTTCTTTCACTTCTCGTTGCAACTACCGAGACATCGCCCCTCGCCTCGGTTATGTATCTCAAACAATATCATCATCTAGGTGTATGATTAGGGGCAAATCCCTACTATGACCAGCAATTAACTTGCACTGTCATCAGATGAATGAATGATTTGACAACTTCACTTCCAAACTCAATATATGGCATTGGGTGTGAAGACAGTTAACGTGAAACAACTTTTATTCAGATAGTAGTATGACAACTTCAAAAGCCAACTACCGAGACACGGCTGTATGGTTGGGAGAGTAGTTCAAAGCATTGGCATATGTTTACGAGCACAAGTCGTACAACTCATGGGTCCTAGATGGCACAAGTTCAATCGCGAGTTTTTGTATATGGGAGTTTGCATACGTACATCCAACTTGGTGATTCTATAGTAGACCAGCTGTAATGTGGATGTCAGTGTCCTCAAGCTCTTGGTCATTTCTATAACCTCCATCGCATCTCTTCCACGCATAACCCATTAGATATATAACTTGTGACTTCCAAAAGTATAAACAGAATTGCTGTGTTTCAGAAAGCAGCTCTTCAGTCAGACGTAGCGAGATGGCCTACGTACGTCCGTTCAAACACCTACCCTAAGTCGTTCGAATGATGAACCCCTTGAAAGATCATCCATATACCTCAGCACACGAACTATATACAGCCAATAGAGTCAAGTCAAGGTTTCCAGCCGTTCATCAGATTCATGTAGTGAGCAATACTTTATATTCACGCTATAGTAAACGCCGTGTAGTCCGTGTACCTAATCGTCCTCCTCAAAGAATCTCCCTTCTCTACAAATCATCTTTCTTAAAGAATTTCTCCTCGCTACCCACGGTTGTATCCTCATCATTCTGACTATCCCCGGTGTCCTTCTTTTCCGCCTTCGCTTTGGCCGCAGCTTCATCCTTCTTCACCTGTGCCTTGTTCTTAGCAAGCTCTTCATCGTCCGCGTCGATATATCCTCTCAGCTCCTTTTCACCCCCTGGAAGCTCCACGAGCTCCAGCTTCCATCCAAACTTCCCTGCCAGCTTCTTCATTCGCTCCGTCATGTCTTTGACCAAGGACGGCTTGAGCTCTAGTCGTTCAAGTTCTGCGGTATCTAAAAGCTTTACGTCACCACCATCCTCCTTGCTCTTGCCCGATGCAACGACTTCGAGGAAGCGCTCGCCATCTGTATCGGTGTTGGTGAAGTAACTGCGCGGGGGCGCGAGCTTGGCGGGTGGTTTGCCTTCCTCGTCGGCACCAGAAAGGACATTGCGAGCGCCTACAATGACACCGCCAATGTTAACCGGTTCCTTGACGACATCTTCGGGCTTGGCATCTTCAGATTTGACTTCTGGATCCTCCTGTTTCAGTGGCTCCTGCGCTTCGGAGTTCTTTAGTGGTATCGTTTGGTCCAACAAGGGTGTCGTGTCATGTTCACCAACAATAAGTTGGCATTGAATGGGGTTCGCCCTGGTCTCCTCGGGTGGTAGGAAAGCAACGTCGTTGCAGAGACGTGGTGTATTGACGACCATCAAATACGCGCAGATGGTAACCTCCTTGATCCATCCGATTCTGTCGCTCTTCATTCCCGGCACACAGTGGTACTGGACTTCGATCGTTCGCTCCCTTCCTGTCAAGTCGCAGACTGTGCCTCCTTCCAACCTCTGGACGAGATATCGCTGGTCACCCTTAATTTGCAGTTCTGCTGGAGGTGGAACTTCTTGGCCATTCTTCTTTGCTTGGTGTGCAGCGCTGGCTGGAATTGCAGGAACCTTACCAAGCGTATAATCTGCTGTGTGAGGGTCGCGCTTGGGAGGCTGGCCGTTTGGTATAGATGGAAGGGCGTGAAATTGAACAATCTCGCGGTTGTTGCAGAAGCTGTAACTCCACCACCCAGACATGAAATAAAGACACGAGTCTTCTAGTTGAGAAAGAAGCTCCCATCCGCTGGCTGTCGCACGGCTGAGTTCGCGGGCTTCCTCTGCCTTCGCTAGCTCGTTGGCCGTCTTATTCTCAGGCTCGGGGGGTTGTATAATGGGTATAGAGCAAAGATATTCGTGGGGTGGTAGTTTCATAAGTTCGTATGTATGCGAAGGACCAGTTTGGTCCTGGTCACTACCTTCATTGTCGCGCCCGTCAGCTTCCCGAGCTTGATTGAGCGTCGATTGCGCAAAGTCGGCAGAGTATGTAGGATGTTGACTATCGAGGAGTGAATGGGCATCTTTCTCGGAGATGTATTGGTTGTCGAACACAACTTCAAACTACTAACGTTGAGCATCAAGACAAAGGTACAGTTGGTATCAGCGAGGGGTAGCTTACCTGGGGAAAGGTCAACAAGTCCTCGTGTATGCTGAAACCTGGGGAACGAGCTCCGACGAGCTGGACTGTAGCCAGGAGAATAAAATTGAAGCGGCGCATTATGCCGTAATAAGCCGGGAATAGCTCACATAGAGCTCAAAGGGTATCAACGTGAAAATATCAAGCCAACGCAGCGAATTCTACTATTACTGATTCCGAGCGTTAGTGGGAGAGGTGTCATGATGGACCGCGCTGTGGAGTTTCGCCCACGCCATCATCTCACTAAATCAGCCGGTGTTTTGCCGATAGCAGCTAAGCTAAACGCCCTCGCAATCCAAACCAAATGCTATCCGACAACTGCTTCCGGTCACCGTGAAGGATCCTTGCGCTGAACATTTCATCTCATCGCAGGCTGGATACCTATATCGGAGTCTAGGAGATGAAGAGGGGCCAAACATCGGTAACGCCGTTGAGGAACAATTAATAAGAATCCCGTCAATCTGGACCTGCTGACCATTACATCACAGCTCATCTCTCTTCGTCTCCCTGAAAACAACTACACAGACCTCTCAGTCCTGAAAGGTGGAACGATGAATAGTCATAATCTTCACTCTACACAGAAATACCAGCATGAGCGAAGTTGAGATGGCATTATCGCGGCAATAAAGGCCTAAACGCCAGACACTTGTCAACACATGCCCTTCATGGGGATATCCCGGCTTCAGAGCAAGCGTTTGTCAAAGCTTCCATGACTTGTACACGTGTCGCGCGGAGGTTTAACGATAACGTGTTCGTGGTTCGGACGATGGACAAATCGCAAGGTTCTTCTCCGCAAGATTCACGAAGTTTCAGGTTACGATCTATCTCAAAGTTGTCGGCCCGCCAGACCTTGGATGAGGACAATTACAGCCAAAACCCAGCGAGATGAAATTACCGTTTCCCATTATTGGTTTGTTGTGACGTAGGTTGTTGTTGCTGGACAGCACTAAATGATCATCATGGCATGATTTTGAGCTTTGTTCTCAAGGGGATCCCAGTCATATTTTGGTTTCGCTTGACTGCCGAGTTTTGACTCAACGGCTCACAACCTAACGAGTACCGGCAGGAGTTTGTACATACTCTCGTTATGGATCATCATGGCTTGTCTTATGCATCAGCCCTAGTAAATGCTGATTTGGGTTCGTTACTGGACTTACTTATGCGCTAGGACGGGTTGACGTTGAATGAATGTCTCAAACGCAGGGTCTCCTGGTCACAAGTGCTTTTCCTCCAGTATTTCTGGTTAGTATTAACGCTATGGCTCAAGGTACGCGCAAGACAATGGGCTGTGCGTTTGAATGTGTAATAGATGCAGGGTAGTTGGAACAAAAGGTCCAGCAGCAATCAGTCCCTGACGAAAATCACAGAGGTTGAAGACTAAAGACTAATTGCGAATCACACTCTATTAAAATTACGATGGAACGTTACTTGAGAAATAGCAACGTGAGCCAGATACGGAATATGGTTCTGGGTCATGGAGGATTGAAATGAACTGAAAGCGAAGTGCTTGCATACATTGTACATGATCCTGTATGCGGCATCTCCACCTAGTCGTCCAAATATCATAGCTCGACTCGACCCAGTAATCAACATGGTTGAAAGGCAAGCCGATTGTCGGATCGCAGGAAAAATGCCAACGCATCAGTGAGTCCGTGATGGGGACTTTACGTTACACGTGCGCCAGAGCCCGCACGTCCAGGAGGCAATCAATGGGACAATTTCATCAATGATCTACAAAATATCAAGTCGAGACGGGGGTTGAGCCTGCATGATCTCCGCAAGGAAAGATGAGGTCCAAGGGGGGGAGCCTGTGAGCATAGAGAAAGTGGAACTTTAGTCACGACTCAAGTCTATCTAGCCCATACAATATCCATTGCAATCTTCAGAGTTTGTTCCGGAGAAAAGGATGAAGAAGATGTAAGACATTGGACCCATTGGTCGACGACGAGCCCGAGCTATTGACCCGGGGCCACGTTCCGCGAAGAAACGGTTTCGAGATTGGCGCATTGCGTGCATGGGCACGGGCATAGGCCTGAGATAGATGGTCAAAGTTTCAAACTATAGCGCGGAGCTTCATGGACGAGCAAATTGCTGCCGTTCCTGCGTTGGGAACAGAACCACAGTCCAGCATCAGATAAATAACGCCAAGGCTTTTGGAGGTTGAGTCAGAAGAAACAAGCTGGTGCAAATGCCTGCATGGTACGGAGTGCACAATACTCGGGCGATCCTCTGACCAAACAGAAGAGCCCAGTGTTAGTGGTAGATGCTGGTAATGAAGATCATTAGGTCTAGACTGCGGTGGTAATACAACCATCGTTCGTCCTGGTTAAGACACAAGATGATCATCAGCGTCGGAAGGCACCTAGTCCTAGTTTCCGTCGCATTGGTTATCTCAGACTTAGAGCAGACAAGACAATACGAAGCCAAGAAGAGGGTGTCATTTTGCTGCTTCTTCTTTGGATCTGGTGAAGGATTATCTCTGTCCCGTCTAACGTTGGCTATGGTGTCGTCCGCCTCACTCTGCGCGTCCGCGGGAGCCAATCGAGACATGTTGTGGGGGTGCCTGACCATGCTCGACAGCCAATCAATGGATGCCCCGTCTCAGTGATTGCCTCGTTTTGCGTAAAGAGGTGGGTGCTAAAAGGAGATGGAGTGTGGGTTTGTGCAGGGATTCTACCCGTTGGAGATGGGATGTTGAAACCAAACCCGTTTTGGGGGGCTCTGATCTTCTGGTGATGGCATCTTTATGTGAGAGCTCAGTTGTGCTGAGGTTGAAGATGATAAAAAGAGTCATATGGGTAGAATGTTTGTCACGATCGGAAATGAACCTTGAGGATGGATTGAATCGATAACATTTTCCCACAACCCCAAACTTCAAAGCAAGGGTATTCAGCTGAGCATGTCCAACACGTACGTCGGCGGCACATTGATACTATTAATGACAGGGAAAATGGTGATCAGCGTCCCGCCGCCAGCCGGCTCTTGGGGTTAGTGTTGAGAATTCAGTACCGCAACTGATCTCGCCTACCTATGAGATAATCTCATTATCAGTGTGCGACTGTGCGTCTGTGAGTATTATGTTGCAGGGCTGAAAATAGCAGGTAATAGCGCTTGAACATCATGTTTAATCTACCTATGCTGAACAAACTTAGATACATGACCTGCCTTGTCGGGAATATCCTCAAACAAACTAAACCGAAACTGCCAACAACGACGACACCACCCACGGCACTAGACAGACTTTCATTGCTCGTCCCCGTGTCTCTTCCGGGACTTGACAGCAGCACCTGGCAGAAAAAAACGTGCAGCCGGTCAATGATTTAGTGGGTTAGCGCATGACAACTCCACCACGCTGCCAAAGAGAGAAGAAGAATCGGGCAAATTGAATTGCTTAGCTGCGGTTTGGCCTCTCTCCTACGATTTTAGTATCTGATCCAGAGCCCGAGCCCATGCCATGCTTTAATGGTGCCCAGTTTGCTTGCGCTTTGGTGTGTGGGATGAGGATGAGTCGGGGGATGACCATGACATCCCGCAACATAGTAACTCGTCGATGTCCTTAGTTGTATTTGCTTTTTCCGACTGCTTCTAAGCTGCGTACCCTGTAGCAGGGATTGAAAGGATGCCGTCATTGCTTTGACCCTCTGTTCTGCTTTTGCTTGTGTTTGCGCCATATCACATTGCTTCTTCTTGTCTCCTTTTCTTTGATTGTTTTTACTTCTGTTTCCTCGTAGTCATGAACCATGCTGGGGATGATGATGCTGTGCCCCCCATTACGTAGGCTCTTAGGAATGAAAGACGGCGGTCGGAAACTGGGAGATGTGAGGTATCAGAGAATATGCGGCTTGCCGTTTGTCTGACCTGTAGGTTAGGTAGGAGAAAAGTCCTAGAATGAGGTGCCTACTAATTATTGAGAGACGGGATCAAACCCAGCATTCCCCGGGCTTCCCTCGACGTCCAATGTACAACAGCAAATGACACAGCCCACCGCTTTTGATGCAGCTGAGCCTCTTGCGTGTAATGGCAGAAAAAGAGATGCCTCGTTTCAAAGCATCTCGTGGACAGCCAGCATAGGTTGATGAGCTGTACTCCGTACGCGCAATAAGATCAAAGTTGGTAGTGGTCGCAGCAAGCTAGACCTGACCAGAAACAACTCTGAGCATCCAATCGCTGTGAATATAACAGCTCTCACATCCACCGGGCGTCAGCGACATGGGTGGTTGAGTTGGCTCTTCTTTTTTTGATATGAGACGTTATGGATCCTTTTCCTACCCGGGGTGTTTTATTAGTGTGGATGAGAGCTTTGACTCGATGGGATGCATGGATGCTTGGTGTTGGGCTGTTTTCTCCAGCGGCCACCGAGCATTCCGGGCAGTTTTCAGTGGTTGCTTCTGCTGGAGTGACCGTTGGCCTAGTGGGTGAACTGCCTGTAAGGGGAAACACACGCGCTGTCAGTCCAAACTCAATGTTAATGTTAGTGACTTGTCCAGTCGCTGTCGTCGTCGTCACGCGTCCTAACTTCTCCGTTCCTTCCACCTTTCCCGTCTGACACTGGCTCGGTCCACTTTGAATCCCGCCCACGAGTCTCAATCATTTTCATGGTTGTTTCAATCTCGACTACAACGGCATTTGTTGAAGCCGCATCATAACCATCCCCACAAGCTTCTTTTTTGCGACAAGTCTATTGTCTTAGCCTACTTAAATCTTGGTCTTACTACCGTAGTAAGTGGTATCTCTTTTCGTTCATCGTCGATCAGGCCATTCGGGCACTACCACCACAATCACTCTGTCTGTCTGTCTGTCTGTCTGCCTAACAAACGCAAGCAAGATCGCCCATCACCAACCAGAAACATCGCAGCTTGTCTGGAATCTCCTTGTCGAAACACACCACCAAGACGCACGCTACATCATCATCATCACACACACATCCACACCCACGCCCGCGCCCACGCCCAAAACGCTGCAGTCACTGCACTGCATTTTCAGCCAGGCCAAGCCTAATTTGACCGCTCACCCACAGACATCCTTTCGTCAAGCACCCTACACACCGCAGGACGCAGCTACCGCCCAGTCCCACCACCCTTGAATATCCTTCCAGCATCCTTGCAACATCCCTGCGAGATCAGAGTGGGGATTGGAAGCCTCATTCAGAGTGACTGGCCGCCTGTTCTCTCCATCCTGGCTCACTATTAATCCTCCATCCCATCCGCGTCTCATTCACCTTCTTTTCTTCGTCGTCTCTCTTGACTCCCGTTATCCCACTTTTTAATCTTTCGCCTGTGGCACGCCTAAGCCTTAGACTCTTACTTGTCCTCATTACCTATTCAATAGTTCGCCTCGGGGTTTTTCACTTCTCCAGTCTCCAAGACTTTTGCTCAGCATCCACTCGCCTTACTTACACCAACACACCTCGACGTATCAAGGCTATCCCGTCTTCGAATCTGTTGTCCTATCTGAAACAATAATTCATTATATCTTATCCACACAAACATGAATTTACAAGGAAACAAAACTGTCGAGGAGCTACAACGTCAGCTAGAAGCCGTTAACGCACGGAATTCACAGCTCGAGCAGTTCGTGCAAAGTCAACTCAGAGGAGATCCTGCAGTATTGGATCAAGTCGCCCAAAATTTCCAGGCACCCTTTCAAATCTCCAGCAATGCCGTCTCAAATTCACGAAGTAGTGGTCTCTCTCGTAGCAAGTCGACCATCACATACCCTACCCAAGTGAAGTCTGCCATCACGGTAATATACCCTAAGCCTTGCGCCATCTCCATTGTCTAACCAAACCATATAGGAACGACATATTGGCCTTCAGGCACATAAGCGCGAGAGGAGAGCCTTTTCTCAACAGTCCAGCTCTGCCCTTCCCATGAGCCGCAGTGTGTCAAATCGTTCAGACTCGCACATGCCTTTCTCACAAACTGGCAACCGCATCGCTCCTTTGAGTGCTTCCATGGACCGATTCAGCTCTCCTCAAAATGAGTCAACTAGCCTACCCCTCGAGGGCGCATCAAATCAACTACCTAGTGTTCAGGAGAACCAGCCTCTACTCAACATCGGCATGGACCCCGAAGATTTCCTAAAACAGTGCCCCGAGCCGTGGGTTGGCCCTCAGCACTACGACACAACCTACTCGGGACTCGCTTACAACCTGGCGCCCGACAACTCGTTCTCTAGCCTTTCAAATGCTCCCTGCAGTTACCCCATGTCTTCGGCCTGCCCCTCCATGATCTCGGGTCCCTCTGCTGCCGAGGCTGGAAGCCCTCTGACCCGACAGAACAGCTCTTTCGACAACTACGGCATTGGCATGGAGCGCATGGAATCATCTCAATCTCAGGCTGATGCGCTCTATGTCTCTGATCTTTCCCCCGATCCCGCCAGCATGTACCCCACCGGCAAGCAGTACACTTCTGAGCATGACCTGTTCGGTCTCGGCGCCAATCTCTCTCCCGCCAATGTCCAACAGTACATCGACGCCCATGGAAACACTTTGATGACATCGCCAGAATCTACCGACATGGAGCGCTCTTGCTCCAACACCAGCATGTCCAGTGTTCGATCAAATGCCTCCAACCTTGAACGTCGAGCAAAGGAAGCTCGTGAGCGTGTCCTTCAAGCTGCCAAGACCATCCAACTCGCCCCGAAGCCGAAGGATGAACTTGCCAGGAACGAAGCCAACTTGAACACTGCCAACAAAGAGCCTAAATTGCCTGTCAACAAGAGCAACTACCAGCGCCCCAAGCACCCCAAGGTCTACTGCACTCAGTGCACTGAGCACCCTGACGGCTTCCGAGGTGACCATGAGCTTCGCCGACATGTCAACGCCAAGCACGAGGGCACTGTCAAGAAGTTTGTCTGCCGTGATCCTGCGACCGTCGGCATCGAGACCGGTGTCAAGGCTGTCAACCCCTTGTCCAAGTGCAAGGCATGCATCTCTGGGAAAGAGTATGGTGCTTACTACAACGCCGCTGCGCATCTACGACGTACTCATTTCAAGCCCAAGACTCCCCGCGGCAAGAAGGGTGCTAACTCTGATGAGAAGCGTGGTGGTAAGGGTGGAGGTGATTGGCCCCCCATGTCCGAGTTAAAGGCCTGGTTCGTCGAGAAGAAGGTCAAAGTTGACTTCAACGATTCTCCCATGCCTGATCAAGATGATGCCGACGACATGGTTGATGGTGAGACTGAAGGTTCAATGCCTCCCCAAATGGACATGTTCCAAGGCATTGGTAGCAACATGAGCCCATATCATATGGAGACTGGTTATGATCTTGCCGTCGACGGTGCCGCCGACCCCGCTATGATGGCTAGTGTCAATGGCGAACTTGGTATTCCCGCTCCCATCTCATCTGCCTCCGGCAACTTTGGTTACGCAACCTTCAATGGCTCACCCATGGGGCTCACTGATAACTATGCTTTTTCCGAGCATGCCAATTCCGCCTATGGCTCTGCCCTCTCATCCTCTAACACCATCACTCCGGCTACTTTTCAAGACATGTCTCATTTGAGCATGCATGACACTGCTCTATGGGCCGCTTGAGCTATTCAAACTACGAGCATTGATGATGAAACCCATCTTCTTACGTCGAAGTTGTCCCTATTTCCACCGGTTGGTGTGCTGTATTGATGACGTCTCAACGTCAACCTGTCGAGCACCCTTGTGCCCCAGGGGATGATAGTTGCATAAGAAGAAAACCTCCCAAAAAAAACTACCGCGCGTCCGAGCCCGAGTCAAAGATGAGTCGATACGATACTGACACATCTGGGCAATGCAAATGCTCGGTTTGTGCCGTTCTGGTGAACGAGCGCATCAACTCTTTCATGAGCAAGGATCCCAAACTTGCTTATCTCGTTTCCAATTCACCTTCACACATTATGATTTTCAGAGAGTCTGTCTTATGATTTCTGTTTCTATTTTTCGCTATCTCGACTTTTATTTTTTACTTTCTTTTTCTTTACCGTCACGGCGTCGATGATTACCTTTTCCTAGTTTCTTTTCAGCAGTCTTGGCAAACTGAACTGGTGGATACGTTCAAACTGGCTGTGACCCTAGATGGGCGGCCTACGAGGTTCGACCGCTCAGAGCGGTGCGACACCTATACGTTTATTCAGCGTGATCGAAAGTGCTTCATCGCGTGGCTACGATATATACTGGGCCCGGGTCGGTAACTGGGTGGTTTTCCCTGCAGAGGAAAAAGAGGAGTCTTGCATTTTTATTATCCTGTACATGACATGGGATGAGGAGTTTAAATGCTGTTGAGCATTGAGCACGGCGTTTTTGTTTGTGGGGTCAATGTCCAACAGCGCTCAACCTCAGGACAAAGAGGCATTGAGTCGGTTGTGTTTACTGATTAGAACAGAAATGGGATATGTTCCGGGGATATTACACTATTGAGGTTTTTAGAATCTGAAGGGCATGCTGGGAAATGTTGGAGCTTTCTGCTTAGTTGGAACAACACCGAGCGGATATAGTGGTTTAGTACCATTTGCCTACAGATAGGAATCAGGAACCTCGGCTGGCTTCCAGGCGTAGGAGTCGGAGTCAGTAATAGACTGTGCTGGAAACGCACGCATTTATCCCTGCATATGCTGCTGTCTGTGTGACTTTGCATTTGTTTGCATTAGTTGAAAGCAATGATTCTTCTATTCTGCATTGATGTATTGCAGACGCGTAGTGCCTGTAGGCAACTCATGGGTATCTCAATTCTAGTCAACATCTCAACTTCATGTCTTCTTGACCTTGTCCGTCCACTCCTTAGCTCCTTTGACACCCTCGTGTCCTCTTCTAAATAACCCTCTCTCCCACTCCTCAAGCCCTCTCAAGAATTCTGCATTACCTCCCGTGCCCTCATCAGCCTTCCTTGCATGTAGCCCGACCTCGCCCGCCCTGACAACAAACGTCTTCCTCAACACCTCTGCGACATCCTTCTCATCGAACAGATCCAGCATGCGCACGCCCACGCCATAGAAGTGCGGACTCTGGTCGCGGAGGGGTACGGCGCGCGGGTCGGCTTTCAGAGCTGACAGGACAGCGGTGGAGAGGCACGGCGGCAGGTTGAGAGTCAGCGGCGCGCTGGATGTTGGCGTTGAGGCGAGGGCAAGCATTTCGGCGAGCCAGAGGGGGAGGGTGAGCGGTGTGTTGGCTTTCAGGCCGTGAGGGGAGTTGTCGAGATGGCCGAGGTAGGGGACGTCTATTTCGAATTGGCAGGGGACTTTCTGCATCATAGTTAGTATTTGATCGGATGTTTCTTGAGAGAGTAGTGCGCTACCTCTGCATCCGTGAGGATGGCATCGATATCGTAGTATGACATGTTTGCGGTCTAGTCAAAGTTGAACTTTTTGGTGTTTAGTTTACCTGTGAGAGGGAGACGCGTAGAGGGGTTCAATCCCACGCGCCGATGACATAATCTCAAGTTCACTACCCTACAGATAATTGACAAATAAACGAGGTAGAATAAACATCAGTTCCCATCTGTTTGTCATCTATCGGATATTAAGTAGAGTCGATAGCGTTGAATCCATATATAGCGATGCTGTTGTATCGCATGCAAGCTGGTCTTCAGTTGCGTCATTCGTTCGGGAGTGCGAGATCGGCACAGCGGTGATCTCGGAGACATGGGGGATTCAAATTCATCTCGAGAGCTACCTTAGGATTTGATTCCAAATAAATCAGAATTTGGTTCCATAGAAATACACAATTGGGTGATATGATATCGCTATTCGGTACTTTGAACGTCACCGAGCTCAGCCGTAGCTCAACTTCATGATCATGATTTAGTTAGGCTTTCCAGCAGTTTTGCGCAATTGCAGCTGGAAAATGATGCCTCTGGTAGATTCACAACAGAGAATTCAAGGGTTCATATTATATCATTAATATGAACAAGTGTATTCGCAGACAAGAGCATAATTTAACTTTAAGTACGGATACGGATACTAAGATTATACAGGAAGCAACTCCAAAGCCACAACACCAGCCACTAACTATCAAGCCTCCAGGTGCAAGCTCTCTCAATTATGACGACACATTGATCCAAGCTCCTTCGGCAGTCCGACATTGCCGTCCCCGTCTTCTCTTTAACCAGAACAGCCCCTCCTCCTAAGCCATCCCTCTTTCAGTTTTTTTGACATCGCAACTCCATCCATATCACAACCAGTCAATCCTCAGTATGTTACCTACACTCCAATTGTCTCACCAGTGAGCAATCTGCTTCTTTCCCACAGTTGCTAACATCCTTCAGGATAATCAATCATGGCTTCCGCACTCCTCCGATCAACTCCCGCCCTCCGCGCCGGTCTGCGCACCCGCTCAACTCCCCTCGCCGCTATGGCTACCACCAGCTTCGTCCGTACCAAGGCCACTCTCCCCGACCTTTCCTGTAAGGCTCATCAATACCCCGTAGAATTCAGCGTCGCATAGCTAATCAATTGCCTAGACGACTACGGCGCCCTTGAGCCTCACATCTCCGGTCAAATCATGGAGCTTCACCACTCCAAGCACCACCAGACCTATGTCACAGGCTTCAACAACGCTACCGATGCTCTCGCCGAGGCCCAGCACAAAGGCGACGCAAAGGCTGCCGCATCCCAGGCTCCTCTGCTCAACTTCCACGGAGGTGGTCATGTCAACCACTCCCTCTTCTGGGAGAACCTTGCTCCTAACGGCAAGGGTGGAGGCGGCGAGCCTGAGGGAAAGCTCCTGACTGCCATCAAGAAGGACTTTGGCTCATTCGATGCCTTCAAGAAGCAGACAAACGCCACCCTCGCTGGTATCCAGGGCTCTGGCTGGGCCTGGCTCGTCAAGGACAAGAACTCGGGCACCCTCTCCATTGCCACCCGACCCAACCAGGACCCCGTTACTGGCACCCTTGAGCCCCTCCTCGGCATCGATGCCTGGGAGCACGCCTACTACCTCCAATACCAGAACCGTAAGGCCGAGTACTTCAATGCCATCTGGGAGGTCATTAACTGGGGCACCGTTTCCAAGCGATTCGAGAAGTAAATTATTTATGTGAACAAAGTTGAAGAATTCGAATGAGGCGAACGAGGCCGAAATAGCGATTAACTTGTACGTGGCTATGGTCGATGAAACGATCCCGCGTCATCTGTTTGTTTGTCAGAATATCGAGTGTGTATAGTACCACGAGGTTCAATAAAGAATCAATAAAGAGTAGCTACACTTGTTGCTTCCACCTAACCTTACAATATTTTATATCGTTGCACAATCGTTTCGCCATACCACGGACCGAAGACCAACTGATCCAAATGCCACAACTGGACCCCCAAGTAGCATGCCACAATACATTCCCACCGTCAAGGTTGCTGACACCTGGCTATGCCCTGATAGGCCGCCAGCTCTCCCGGAAACTCATCCTCGAATATGTCAGTTGCATAATCGTACCAATCACTGTTTTCCTCGATGGTTCTTGCTTCGAAGAAGCGCACATACTCCCACCAAGCTGGATACAATCCTGCGCAATCCCAACCAAGGATCCATGCGATGGTGTTGTTGGAGACGACAATGTTTCTAGGGCATATAGCCCCATGTGTGAGTACCACCGGATAATCGACTCGAAACTGCGATACCAAAGCTTTAGCCACCGGCTTGGGAACTGTTTCATAAAGGGTTGACATAAGCAGTGCCATGAACTGCTTCTGTTTGGGATCTTTACGAATAGCATAGTACGTGTGGTCTGGATGCTTGTCCTGCAGCAAGCTGTACTGTCCTGATTCGACCGATCCCAAAGTAGCGTCTGGACCAGCTCTACTTCCTTGTCGGATCTTGCGGATTATATTACGCAGTTGTCGGGCGTACCCATACTTCTCGTTCTTGTTCAGCCTGGGCCAGACATCCTCGAGCAGTTCGCCAACTATGGTACTAGAGATGGCTCTTCCGGCACCATCTACGCCTTTATCATGCAAGGATAAAGGGAGAGCTCGGGTGTAGCCCTGGGTTGATAGTTTCTCATGCTGGACCAGACCGGCTTGGGAAATACGAAAGTCGTATGTCTTTGGCTTGTTGAGAGTACCTCCCTTTTTGGCAGCAGACTGCAAGCAGAGAGTCAAAGTTCGGTTGCGAAGGAGTGATGTCAAGTACCGTGTGTTTTCGTCTGGCCGCGGAGCTGTGCACATGTCAACGACTGCCTGAACGAATGTAGTCCCTAATTTCTTACCATGACCAAGGGATTGAATCTGGGTATAGAACTCATCTGTCTTCTGCTTTTTCTTCTTGTTCCCCTTCGCCTCGTCCACCAAAACACTGGCGGGCCGCTTTACAGAGCCGCCTGTAGGCGGCATGGACTCTCTCAAACCTCGTCCAGGTGTAGCGAGGTTGGAGTTGGAAGCCATTGGCGAACCTTGAGATATCTGCGAGCCCCGGGAGGCGCGCAGAGATGCATCACCCAAGACGCTACGGTTGGCACCAGTCATGCAGAAAGCAGACAAAGAAGGGTCTTCGATCTTAATAGGGGATGCTGGATTTGTCAATTCTTCTTGGGCGGCGTTGGCGAGCATCTGAGCCCGAGCAGGATTCATCGTTTCCACATGAACAGTAGGCATAACAGACTCATCCAAGCCCGGGAGAGACATCGCTGAAGAGCTTGAACAGGCGTGACTCTGTAAAGGAGAGAAAACAAAAGAGACAAGTTTGTCGATCTATCAAAGGATCAAGCGTTTGTGCCCGTTCTTGCAAAGAGATAACAGCCGAATGAACAAGACAAGGAAGAGACAGGGTTGACAGAGAAAAGAAAGTGAAACCATGTCGATTCAAATATGTGAAAGAGACTCGAGGACTTAAGTGCCTTGCCAACTGGGTACTTGCTCGTCACTGTTCCTTCCTTTTGGGCAAGTGGATGCCAGATGCAGACGTTGCCTTGCACCTGCCAGAGCAGTGATATTGTAAAGTAAGGCACTACTCTGATTCATTGAACACCCCCCATAATGACGGGAGCACCCAGGTATGCTCATCAGAAAGAGTCTTTCAAATGCAAGGCTGAAAGGAATTTCTCATTCAGTACTGTTTACAGAACGTCTGAACACGGGAGCCTGCATAGGCAATCCATGGTGCCGATGGCAAACATCAACGCATCACCATGTAGCACCAGCGAACGGAGAAACACATAAGCAATATATTTTTGTCTTTGAAGCTCAACAGTAAAAAGCTACACTGGAGATGAGTGGAATTTTCTGACCCTGCAGGCAGACATATCATAAATCAACCAGCCGTTCCATCGTAGACTCGGACAACAATCCGAATAATCTTTTGTGACTGCTAACACACATACACGCACGTATATCTACTCCTTGACTTTCTCTTACCCCCGATATTTCCCGGTGAAATGGAATCTAAAACAAGCACCAACGGCTCATGATCATCTATTCGCCATTCTCCTGTACCTTCTCCTCATTCTTGCGTTGAGTGTAGTGACGAGGCAGGCGGTTCTCACCTTCGGAGTAAGGGTAGCCGGCTTCTTCACGAGCCATGTCGTTTACCCACTTCTCATCACCGCGAAGGCCTGGGCTCGTACCCAGCTCCTGAAACTTGGCAGCCAGGTAGAACCAGCCCAGAGCATTGCCAACCGTGCCGACCTCATCACTAACACCGGTCTTGGCTTCGTGGGACATCTTGGCATGAAGCTCGCTGTCGGTGTACAAGTCCATAAGGTGTCCAGCAACAGTTTTGTAGTCACCAGGGGTAACGAGGAATCCATTGACCTTGTCCTTGACCTGGAGAGGAATACCACCTTCATTGGAGACAATCACAGGAACTCCTGCATGAAGGGCTTCTGAGACTTTGATCTCAAAGCCCTCCCGAGTTGAAAGCTGGAGAATGACATAGGCGTTGGCGATGACCATGTTCAGAAGCTGATCGTTGGCATCGAGACGCATAACGCTGACGTCGTCGAGGAGGTGAGGGTAGTGGTCTTCTAGCTGGGTCATGGTCTGGTCAAAAATGATAGCACCATCAGGATCGTCAATGGAACCATTGCCACAGCTACAATAGTCAGTAATTTCATGTTTCGCATAGATAACGCAACTTACACGACAAGTTGAGGAATATCGGCGATATTGGCTTCGTCGCATCGACGGCGGAACTCTGCATATGAGTCGATGACAGTGGGGATACCCTTGGCAGGGTCGAATCGAGCGACCTGAGCAATGTACTTGCCTGTGAATTGGGTCAGTCATATTATACTTAACAAGGCAGAGTAAGATCTTACGGTTGGGCCACTCGAGTTCAGTCATACGCTGATTTCGGGACTGCTGGTTGTAGATATTGACGTAGTAACCGGTATCCCACTTGTTCATGGGTTTGTTGAGACCATCAATCCAGTCAGTGGTAGCGGGAAAGTATGCGACTTTCTCCTTTGGTACGTTGTGAGGGACGAATTTAGGGATTGGATGACTGATGAACATGTCGGACTCTTTGATGTTGCTCCAGAGGTAGTTCCAGATATCATTCTGAGGAGAACCTTCTTTAGCAACGAGATCACTTCGAATCTGGATGTGGGATCGGTAGAGAACTGGGCGATCGGGAGTGAGCCTCTTGATCATGGGAATAAGGCCAGGCATCTGAGGGTCATCAATCTACACTTGCCATTAGTCGAGTGCTTCTTACAATATCTTTACAGGGTTCCCAAGGTGCTGATTTAGACTTACAAAGATGATGTCAGCGCCGCCCTCCTGAGGGGGGCGGAGAGGACCGCCTTCAGAGAGCCAGTATCGCTTGGCATTGTCCTGAATCCAGTCGGTGATAGCTGCCTTTTCTGGGTCCGAGATACGTTGATCAGGGTGACTGACACCTTGAAGAATGTTGTGCTGGTTTTTGGTGATGCGGAATACACCAGGTCGCGGCTTGGGAACTGTAATAATTTTAGAGAACAACTCCGTGGTAAATTGATAGAGAGTGTAGGAACATACCATACCAAGTCACATCAACACCCAAGAGGCGGCTGAGACGGACGAGAGCATGGCGCATGAGAGCGACACCACCACCCTGGGGGGTGGCGCTGAAAAATGCGATCTTGGTTTTCTTCTCCCGGAGCTTGTTGGCATAGAACTGCATGGTATTCCATGTGGCGCTGGAGCAGGTGTCCTTGTGGTTTTGAAGATTTGTGATATGGACCCGGAACCCGGCGTCCGTCTGAACAATACCCCTGTAACCGACCTGTAGGTGAGGAACGAGGGAGGGCCCGAAGTTCCTAAATGTATTTTGTCAGGGTAGTTCGAGGAAAGTGAACAGCAGCGACTTACAGAATACACTTGCGGGCCATGGAATCAGCTTGCTCGTCGACGCGTTTGACATCCCAAAAGCTTTTCTCCTTGGCCTCATGGTCAGGTCGTAGCACCACTGGGACAATATCAAGTTCAAGCCAGAGACGAGAGCAAAGAGATGGGCTCATGTATTTGAGTGTGACGGGGATACCGGCTCCGATGAATTTGACGAAGTTCTCATGCTCATAAGCCTCAACTTCGCTGATAATGTGATCAGCGATGAGGTCAAGTCCCTCACGCATCTCCTCATCGAGTGAGATGTGCTTGATAGAGAAGTCATTGAGATAGACAGTGTCGTGAATGGCAAGTGCAATAACGGCGGTACGATCATCGGCGAAGACAGCAGAAATACCGAGGTATAAGGTCTAAGAAATCATTATGTTAGTCGCTTCAGTGCCAAAGATGACTGATCGTCGCTGGGCCCCCATAATACAGGGGTTAGAGGAAGCTCGAATTGCCATGACGCAAGTTGTCATGACAGAATATAAATCACATGATGAGAAGATTCAAGGCAGGAAAATAAGAATCAACTCACCTGAAGAGGGCCGTTGACGTGACCGTCCTTCTCGACCATAAGGCTCATCTGCCTCTTGCGGTGCGACGTGGCGCCCGTCGAAAACTTGCGTGTAGGCTTGTTGGAACTCATGATGGCGATTGAAGAAATTGGCGGGGTATCGGATATGAAGGAGGGGTAGCAGATTGGTTACAATTTAGAAAAGGTAAGGCTCCCTCGTATACGAGAAGTAGGAATATATGATGGAAACACCGCGGATAGATGTTTAGGTAGGGTGAAAAACGAACAAAACTGCGGCTGTGAGGCAAGTTATACTCTTGGAGTTGCTCCTTGATCAGGCCAGAAAGACGAAAGGCGGTGGTAAAGAGGAGGTGAAAGTCGACAAAGCAGTGGAGCTCGAACAGTAACTTGAATACAGACACCCCGGGTGAGATGGTTATGGCGAGTATGAGAAACCGAGAGCCCTAAGAGATTCGTGTTGGCAGTGGCCGAGCAAGGAATCTGCAAATATGGAAGGCCAATGTTCAGATACTTGGCAACAGACAAGGGTTGGAATCGTGGCTGTCCCCGTCAGCGCGGGTCTCTGCAGGACGGGAGGGGGGACGAGGGTTAGAATGTACTGTACTATACGGTTCTTGGTAGTATCGTTCTGGGTGAGACAAGAATCCCACGGGCAAGTCAAGTCAATTCGACGGGGGGCGGGGAAGGATGAGGCGGTTGGGCGTGGGGTAAACGGCCAGGGAACGAGGTGAGCAGACGATGATGATCAAGGTGAGGAGACGAGTGGCGTGGCAGAGCGGGAGAGAAGCTTGGGCTGTTGGGCTGTGCTTCAGCGATATCACGTTGGGAGGTGTTTTGATGATAGCCCGTATAGAGAGGAAGACTGATGATTGAGCTCGACCAGGGTCGGATGAGGAGGAAAGAGAAGAAACAGCGGAGGCCAGACCTCTGCGAGTTGATGGATGGAAGCAGGAGCGGGCGTATGAAACTGCAGGTGGCACCTTCTGCTGCTGCGATGCTGCTGCAATGCTCCGTCTGCGTGTCAGTTGACCGGTCTCCTGGTGAGATCTTATCTTGGTAGCTCAGCCTAATAGTCCAATCTCTTTATTACCAACTACAAAACGAAATTATACCGATTTATCGAGACCGAAGAGCCCGGGATTGTGGAAAATGGGGGGCCAGGATGAAAAGATGCAAGGAAGGGAGGATGAGGAGGTGGTCTGATATGCGCTATGAGATCACCAGGTTTGATGAATCAATTCGGGAAGCTAGTATTCCTGATGTTGGCGATGGAGAAATGGACAGAGAAAAATATCATTACAATTCACAGCTTTAGGGGAAAGAAGCGCCGCCAACGTGCTTGATGCAGGTACGGCGTCGTATTCGTCGGTGTAGCATTTGTTGGGAGGTTTGGATGAAGGACAAAGAGGGAAACTGGAAAGAACAGGCAGATGGGATGCAACAAGTGACATTCTGGACAACGGCAAGAACCTACCTGTACCACAAGATTGGCGGAACGGACGGGAAAGAGGAAAGCTTGAGCTATTCCTCTTGGGCCAATTGAGAGGGCAGCCACAGCATCATTGGATCAAGCTCAATCTTGCTGCTTTCCATTCTGTTGTGTAATGAACCCCAAAACGCACTGTAATAAAGTGTGGACTCCATGCTTCTTTTGCTTTAGGGTCTCTTGGAACATTCCCACGTTCTATCGTTTAGGAAATCCAGGGTAAGTTCTATTCTTGGAGCTGTCATCGATTAAGAAAGTACACTACTGTACGTGTTAACGGCCCCTAAACCGAGGTACCCGAAGTTGTGCAATCCAACCCCGCGCTGTAGATGCAGTTTGTTGCGTGGGTTGCTCTGGAACAAATCCATGTACCCCAGCCTGCTATAGAAAAGTAGGAAAGTCCAGGTTGAATTCAGAGCCTTGAATTAAAGAGACAATCTTCCTTCAACGTAATTCATAATGAATCAGCACATCGCTAGTGTTGTCATACTGAGTCTTATTGGTACATATGGATCTTTTTGATGACAGAGTCGCCTGCAGTACCTTACTTCACACAGGATTTTAGTATGAGCTGCTGAGCGATCGTCCCACAAGGCAGGTGCACGGTAGAACCATCCGGCCATGGGTTCCACAGGCGGACGCGGGCGGAAGGAGAGACCCTTGCCCCGCTAGCGAATCCCCCGCCCCCGCTGTTTAACTTGATCTCCAGGGACCGGGGAAGACATCCTCCACTTGACCCTCGGGGATCTTCAACAATAACTTATAAGTCAGTGAGGTATTCAGGAAGCTCACCTGAATGAATCCTCGCTGTCGGTATATATTACTATGGTGGCCTGTCGTAAACTGACTCATTGTCAGTTACCGAGTATGTATATGCTTGTCCCCGGAAACCTGGCTTGATTGGAGTTGACAATGGCCATTCGTTGTGTTAGCTAGACTTGACTGGGTTGACTGGCTCAACAAACGAGTCTCAATTTATTATCAAGGACCCTTCCTTACCCTCTACTCAACCCCAGCATCCCCAGCAAATTTTCCACGACAATATTTGCAAAGACCTGCCTCGCCGGATACGTACACGATTTCGTACGACTATTTCACAGATAGTGGCTTGTTTGTCTGTTCACCGTCTCGAACTCCGGTCAGCTGGTCTTCCAATCGTATGATGGCTCTCAGTTTCATCATAAACTTCAATGGCAGCTTACGACTAAGCCCTCTTCCTGAATCATCAATTCAATGCATCCAATGCATTAGAGCTTCAGATTTATTACTATCACTCTCGAGTCTCTACATACCTTGACCGCTGACCGGCGGTGAGCTAGTTGGGTTACAACTGATGTGCCTATCGTTCCACTACCGATATCGCGCATGGTCATTGGGCCTCTCTTTGTCATGGATGCGTCGTACACAGTTACCTTACAGATCCAAGACCTGAACGGGTGCCCTTCCGGACGCCGTGCAGCAATCGCATGTGCTGCAAGGCTCAAGTTTATGCAATCGTCGGCAGAAGCCTAACGATGGAGCTCAAGATCCAAGAACTGCATGTACCGGTACCAACAGGTCCGTCAATATCCCCGCTTAGAGAGTGTGCCTGCTTCCACAAAGCCCATGTCCTAACACTATAACAATCATAGATGGATTACTGTTCCTGAGTTAAAACAGCTGATGATCAATGGTATGAGCGCATGCGAATGATGTCTGTCACACATTGATGTGGGCAACAGCATAAACACTTCGACGCTGTCACAAAATGTGGAATCGTACCGTATTACAATTATCGATTATAGAGTTCGACATCACATTGCCCACGCTTTTCTTACGGTGCCCCTCGTCTACAGGATGGCGTGCAGTATTCCGGAGTTGAGGAAATATCCCGGTACTGACATGTGAGTTGTTATAAAAAAGCTATGGGTCGTCTGGTTGACAAACCTTGAAATAAGAGATACAGTGACCAGTCAGAGGCATTTATGTTGTTAGCAATCGTTTCTTGGGAATAAGTCCTTAAACCCAAAGCATTTTGTGATGATCAGATCTCTTCACACACAGATAAGATGGGTTCGATCTTGATCACGGGAAGTGGATAGTCGCGACTAGGATCGGCAATCTATGGCCGCGCGGCTGACAGATGAGCGATAAAGTCAGGTAAATTCGCTGATGTGAGTCAGGCTTGCTGACATTGGAGTCATGTAAGACTCAACTTCAACAAGACAACTCGAAAACCCTGGCTGCCAGGATGTATCCAAGGCCCAACTTCAGCGTTTTGCTCGCCTTGTCGCTTGCACTCAACATCGCGGGCGGTAACAGCGACAGAGATGACAGAATACAGCCGGATCGCGAGTATGCCAGAGACAGGGCGCACATGGTCTTTAACGCAGTCCACTCCGCAGGAAGACTATGGGGCTCTGCCTTATATCACAACGGGTTTGGTTTCTTCCCGGCTACAGTGCCCATGGGTACTACATTTTATCACGGCTCCCGATCTAATGATACACCGTCCAGCCCAGAATGGCTGGCCTTCGATATCGAGCACGCTGAGAACTTTGCACGCTCTTTTAGATCTAGACGCGGCAGAGGGCGTCCGGGACGCCCTCCACAGACCAAAAGTTCGAATGAAAAGGTAATTGGAACAGGAGAAATTGAGCCTGAAAGCGAAGAATACCGGGAAGAATTACGCCGGCGTAGCGACGACACGATCCTTAGTACTGGCGATGCGGAAACTGATGTTAGCGAGACAACCGAGGGCGATGATCCTGTGAACTTCCGTGGCTACCTCCATACGTATCAAACAAGCCGTGAACTAAATGTTCTTGTTGTTGACGGTATGAGTGCTGGAAAGACCAGCATGGGTACACTGGATTCCCAAGACCTCCTGCTCCGGGAAAACAACACGAGCGGTAAACTGGACGAGTGGGACCGAGCTCTTGATTTGTGCAAACTGGCTTCTGAATGGGGTTTGGATGGGTTTGTTCGGGCGGAGATTGGCGTTGAGATCATCAAATGCGACTTTGGCAACGGCTTGAACCTGGATAGCATGATACGCACGGAGTTGCACGACAAGACCATGGGAGGATTTCGCCTAGCTATGTTCCAGTGGGTGAGGGCGGTTGCTGAGCGTTACGATGGGGTTGGGGCTGATCGACTCCGGATTGATTTCTCTTCGATGGTATCTGGGCTGTTCTTTCCTGTCAACATCTCCAGCACAATGCCAGAACGACCAGATCTCAAAAGGCTCGGCGCAGCAACACTTGACGAGCTCAGAGACATCAAAAAGTATCTGAAAGATATTCTGCGTCAACCTCGGAGGTTTACCGTGAACTGGCAGGGCACTACCGACCTTATCATCAACCGGTATAGCAAGAGACTGGCACTCATGGCACACAGGTCCTTATCGTTGCGCCACTTTGTCGACGAGATCGAGTCTGCTACACTGACCTGGGTCGATGCACCACCAGCGCCTGACGACGTTTCCATGGCAGGCCGAGAGGCAACGAACCGGACTGCAGATGCTATTGAGCAATGCAGAATTCATTATCTCCGGCCAGCTCTGTCGGCTAAGGAGCGATGGAGTGCTGAAGACGAGTTGATATACACATCCTTCGATGCAGTGCTTAATGTGATCTGCCAAACACTGTTTTCGGTGCGCAGTCGACTGCTCGAAGCATCTGGCTCAAATTTGACCGATTATAGGATCAAAGGTGACATGGATAACAATGCCGAACTGGAAAAGGCGATAGAGGATGGTCGGATTACGATCCAAGAACTGATCGACACGCTAGGATGGTCAATATGGAAGAGGCCACAACCCTGCGCACCGGACGAGACATCTATGATTGCTATGTGGCCGTTTGGAACGAAGGAAGACCACTGGCACCCAGGATGTCGCGCGATTGACACAGTCCAGCACCCTACTGATAGCTATTGGGATTTACACTTGCCTCGCAGAAATGCATGATCTCGACTCAACAGAAGGGCAGATAGCATGGCTTCCCATTTCTTTCAAACAGCCTGCCCCTTACTGGCCTACAGTATTTCGTGATGCAAGTGGTATCATTCCCGCAAGGCTCCTTGCAAGTGTTGGCGAATCGACAAACCAACTAGCTCAAGCATTGATACCCGAAGGATTCTTCAGCTGAACCACGGCTGGGTAATGATTATTAAGACGAAGGCAAAGAACCTATGAGAAGCTTGTTCAAAGATCAGCTTGATCAGATCATTCGACCACGCCAGGATTCGAATCTTTTAGTTGTTAGTGACTTGATGCGAAGATGAATTCGGAAGATCTACCTGGGAGAGCTTTCGGGGCTGAAGAATCGAAATCTAGCGCCTTAGCGATTAGGCCACGCGGCCGATATGAGAATCAATGGGAAACAATGATATGAGAGTTTGGGTGCAATTGTGGTGGAGTTGGATGGTGACATGTCTGTAGGTTGGTGGATATTGTTCGTGATCAATTGGGAGATGGATTCAGTGACCAACAAGAGACGAGCAATTGTCAAGCAGCGCGGAACAATTCCATGATTGTTTTATCAACTCTTTTCGGGTTTCACGCGATGCTGACCAAGTTGTGGAATACAGAGTGGGATACCCGGTTTGAGGAGCCTTGACGACTCGGCCAGTCCACCAAGATCAAGCTGTCAACGCTCACAAGACTAATTTATGCCCGGAAATGCTTATCAACCTTGGAGCGATGATTCGTTGAGATGTGTTCCGCTCCCTGACAAAACTGATGCGACACCAATCAATGACAAAAACTACGGTACAAACCAATAAATCAGCTGTTGTTGTAATTCTAGAGTTGCTCCCGTTGCAGCCGTAGGAGCCGTTCCGATCTATCCTCGAGAACCCGGGGTGATCCGAAGCTTATTTTTGGGTGTCAGCCCATTCTTTGTCACAACTTTGCTACGCCCAAGCTCGTGGCATCGCAGATTTTAAGGTCAAGAGGTGGTATTTCCGCTTCTCCGCGAAATGCATCTGCTTTGGTGGAGAAATTGACGTCTTGCGTCAGGGAATAATCTGGATTTTGCAGGGATTTATTGCATCGGACTCTAAGCCAAGTCACTACAATTCTTTTTGTAAGCACGGTGCATGAAATGCAATGCCTTGTACTTCTTCCACACATACTATTGCCAACCTACACGCAACATGGCGGGGCAGGATCGTGAAGGAATACATTTGGGAACATTTCTGGGCTGTCTGGATCTGATGAAACATAGCATTACTAACAGCAAACAGTAACTAACACAGAAAAACTGGTACCTGGAAAAATAAGCGTCAGGGCCCATCCTTAACGTTGGCTACAGCGACGTTGTGCCCGCGGAGATGCTACACCCAAAACCCATCGGACCACTCTGGTGATCGCGGCATACGGCGCTCTATTCGGGGCTACGAATTATTGTTTTTCACTTTCGCATCGCATGATGCTTGGCCTCTGGAGAGTCATTCTCGAGGAGCTGGGATATCAGCGTAATGCTCTTTCTCCGCGCCATAAGTGGTTCTCCGGGGTCGTATATAAAGAGTCCCCTGGAAGGCTCCTTACATTGTTGTTCTCAACATCATCCAGTGTATTCACTAGACACAGCCGAGCTATCAACTAAACACATCTTACAATATCTTTTGGCCAAGCCATACCAACCTTGCAATGGCTCTCACCGCAGCTCAAGTCGCGATAGTTAAGTCTACTGCGCCAATTCTAAAAGAGCATGGAAAGACCATCACCACCACTTTCTACCGCAGCATGCTTGGTGCCCATCCTGAACTCAAGAACTACTTCTCTCTGCGCAACCAACAAACTGGAGCTCAGCAGGCTGCCCTCGCCAACTCTGTCCTCGCCTATGCGACATATATCGACGACCTGGGCAAGATATCCCCCGCCGTTGAACGTATCGCTCAAAAGCACGTCTCCCTCTTCATCAAGCCCGAGCACTACCCCATTGTTGGCACGCATCTCATCGGGGCCATCGGCGAAGTCCTCGGCTCTGCCCTCACTAAGGACATCAAGGACGCCTGGGTTGCTGCATATGGCCAGCTCGCTGATATCTTCATTCAGCGCGAGGGTCAGCTTTACGATGCCAACACTGAGTGGAAAACGTGGCGCAAGTTCAAGATCACTAAGAAAGAGGCTGAGAACGACTCCGTTACAAGTTTCTACCTTGAGCCAACCGACAACAAGCCCCTTCCCAAGTTCCTCCCTGGACAGTATGTCAGTGTGCAGATTCCTATCCCTGAGCTCGATGGTCTTCTCCAGAGCCGCCAGTTCAGTCTGAGCGAGGCCCCTGGCACCAACCACTACCGCATCAGCGTGAAGCTGCAGGGTCCTGAGGAGGAGCCTGCCCTTGAGGATCTCCGTGATGGTAAGATCGCTGGTCTGCTCTCCACCAGACTGCATAAGCGATACAATGTTGGCGACGAGGTTGAGCTAAGCCCTCCTGCTGGAGAATTCTTCCTCAACCCTGCGGACCCCGCGTCAGCTAAGAAGCCTCTTGTTCTTCTCTCCGCCGGCGTCGGTGCCACTCCACTCGTCTCCATCCTCGACTCAGTTCTCTCCTCTGAGTCTGCCTCGAGACCTATCACCTGGATCCACGGTGCTCGTTACTCCGGCTCTACCTGCTTCGTGCCTCATGTTCTCGACGCTGCCAAGAGGCACGAGAACATCACCGCCAAGATCTTCCTCGAGGACGTCAAGGAAGGCGACCAATACGATTTCAAGGGTGAGATCAATCTTGCACGTCTCCAGAAGGAACAACTTCTCCAGCTCGACCGTGCTGATGCTGAGTACTTTATCTGTGGCCCTGAGGACTGGATGGTCAATGTCAGGGCGTTCCTTGAGGAGAACGGCGTTCCTCGCGAGCGCCAGCACCTAGAGCTGTTCAAGACTGGTGATGTCTGAAAGTAGCGCGACGCATACAAAGGATTAATTGGCTTTATTGTATTATTTGAACTAGTAACGAGCTTGTCTGGCATATGGAGGGCGTTGGGAACTGCTGTACTGTGTCTTTGCAGCGGATATTTTGTTTACTCAGATTGAAGAAAGAGTGCATATACTAGATACTTGATACCACCCTAAAAAGAATTATCGAATTGCAGTCTCGCTTCTGACCTCGGATTGTGCAAATGTGTCTTGGTAAATAGCCGACCATGACCTAAAAGGTCTCAGCGCACCATGTACCACAGCCCAGATCAAAACATGAATAGCAACATCTTTCACAAATTGTGAGACGTCAGACGAGGAGCCACGAGTAAAAGTAACGAGAGACAATGACAAGAACGGAGACGAGGCTCAGGTTACGACTGGACGCCACCGTCCAATGTCTCGCCTGTCTGTGGACGACGTTGGTCCCTGGTGTATGCAGTCACTTTAAACGGCGGTATACTAATTATGGTGAGCATATGAGCTCAGAAGTATAAGATGTATGAATACGGAGAGAAGTTTGTCCTTGGCCATTTGTCTTTGAATGCAATGGGAAGTTGTGGAGAAGGTGTGAGATCGGATGTAACCGATCGAGATAGGGTTGGAGGATCATGCTTGTTATGTACTATGTCAGCATGGAGTGGAGAACTTGAGTGATAGTATTAGGTCATAAGATGATACTATGAGAGGAGGCAGTTCTAGCTGGGAATGTGTGAGTTGATTAAATTCAGCATTAATTGAGACACTGGAGATATGGGTACATAGATCAATGCAAATAACTCAGACCATAAACAAGTCTCTTACTTATCTCATAGAGCTAAAAACCACTGCTTGAAAGCTAACTCACCTATTAGGTAGCTAATCATATAAATACCCACATATGCAGCTCGCCGAATCGCCTCCAATGGTGCAAGCCAACGAACCGATATATTAATCAAGCCTCTCGCTCGAAATTACGGTGAGCGAAAGAAAAGAAAGATCAAAACGAGGCTCTCTGTTAGGACAGGGCTAGCAGAACGGCGTGCTTCATGTTACACAGCATGATCATCCTCGAGGTTTATCATGGCGTACTGGGCGTGCTGCTGTGACACATTGGGGGGAAGTGACGAGACACCACCACTTGTTGAGATGAGATGGGAAAGTATTATCAGAGATGAGGCCAATGGTTGGTGAATTGAAAGGGGTAACGGTATTGATACTCGATTCATCTCTTGACTATCAATTATCTGATGCTAATACCAACTACAGAGTATAGCTTAGATCATAGTACTTCTAGCTCGCATTTCTCTTCACCAACCTCGTCGACGCCGATCCATTAGATTGGATCATCCCTGACAAGGTCTCACGACGAGGGTACCGACATCATCGGAACCGCCTCACTGGCAAGATACAGGAGACGAGATGCCGCACAGCACGCTCTTTAGCCGAGTCCTTGCATGAGGGCTTCTCCTGCACTCCAAAATATCTCCCTCTGGAGAAGATAGTGTGAGTTAGAGCGGTTACTGTGCCACCAGAAGTCTGCAGTGCAGGATCGTTGGTGTCCCTTGTGAGCATGGCTCCCTTTTCCGTCGCCTTCTTCTCTTCTTCAATCTCTGGACAAAAGCCCTGGCCCCTTTTTATAAACGAAACTCAACACTTATGTCTTGACAGTAGTGTTCTTGGTCTCTTGTCGTCCGTCCGTTTCTCTTCCTCTGGAGAAAAGCTATGGCCGAGGCGGTGATTCGAAAGGCCTGCGATCGCTGTCATGCGCAGAAACTCAGCTGCAAACGATACAACGACGAGCCATGCGAGCGCTGCGTGAGACTAAAGACGGAGTGCAAGTCGAGTCCTTCTCTGCGGTATAAGAAGAACCAGCAGCAACTGGTAGAGAGTCAGCAACAACTCGTGGATAATAACAATAGCGGGAGTTCTCAACAGCAGCAACAGCTCTACTCAGCCCCGAGTGGACGCCGCTCTCCGAAACGACGACGGACCGACAGTCAGGACGATCCGAGTCTTGTCTCACCCGACACGGGTACTGGAAGTGGTATTGGTACTGTCACGGGTACGTGCCCTCTCTTCTCTCGCCTCCTCTCTCGCCCTCGCTCTCGTTCCCTTGTCTCTGTCTTGGATCTCAACCGACTCCGACTCACTGCCGAGTTGCCCAGTTCCAATAGTACCCCATACAGACAGCCTGACGTCTAAGAGTCATCTCGTCCCTGTCTCACCCGATCCCGTCGTCGACGGCTCCGACTTTGCCTTCACATTTGATCAGCAGCTGGCCTTCTTCTCCGGTCCTCAGTATTTATCTCATCCCGAGTTCCCTGGAAATCACCAGCGTTCTATGTTCTGGGAGCCTGCAGCTCTTTACCAACCTGAAGCATATCCTCATCATCATCAACAGCCTGAAGTTGCACCAGAGGGTGACATCTCCCTTCACCAACAACAACACGTTGTGCCCCTGAATAGCGCAAGTCGTGCACCTGAGCACAGCAGTTCCTCTGACAAGCGCGCGTCACTCTCACGGTCGAAACAGAGGCCCAGGCCTAGGCCTAGACAGATCACACTCCGCCACGACGCTGACCTGTCGCCGTTGCAGCAGTCCGAAGCTCCCTCGATTCACTGGATGGCGCACTTGTCCGACATCAACGCCCGGCTGCTGGACCTCGCGTCTGCTTTGCCTTCTCCCCAGGATGGTCCCTTGATAGGACGTCCTGTTGACGAGAGGTTCAGAAGCCAAGGGTTTCCCATAGAGGACATGTTCAAGCTGACCCGCCGAGTCGCCGACATCCTCGAGAAACCCCCTTCCAGCAGCGACAGCAACAAGGTTTATCATTCCACTATAGATGGAAGTGATCCTGGAAACGCCATGTTCATCTTATCGACGTATGTCCGACTCTTAGATATGTATCAACGAGTGTTCAGCCTGGTCCACACTGAGCTTGTATCCCAGACAGACTCCCGTGCGACGTTCAGTTTCTGGAAACTGCCCGACGTGACTGTTGGGTCCTTCGCTGTCGAGTCGTCTCCGTTTCTGCAGATGTCTCTGACGATTCAACTGGCAGAGGAGTTCTTGTCTCGTCTGAGGGGCTCGACGGCACGGTGGTCAGGAGCCGGGAACGCGGCGTCCATGTTCGCAGGAGTTGTGGATGTGTCTTTTCAGGCGTTTCGAGATCGAGAGGAGGCTCTGGCAAAGCATCTGGTTGAGCTGAGGAGTGAGATAGAACCTTTGATAGACTCTTAGAAGGAAGTGACGGGTTGGATACTGGGGTTGATGGATGTGTAGGAAGGAGGAAGGGGCATACTATCCGTATAGGGGCATCACCAGACTTCGGTTCAACAGGAAGGAGGCCCCAAAGAAGCAATTCATTAATACATACCTACCTATCTTTACTCGAGAGAGGTTCACTTCACGATCTGATCTGTCTGAGACCGTTCAAGGCCATACGACGACGACAACAACTGTCAACTCAACGATTTCAGGGGCAGCGATTTAGAAAGTCGACATGCACATTCACTCTTGCATTTCTCTAGCATCAAATTCCCCTACTACTTGGGCAACAATTTCCATCTTTCCCATATTGAAATCTCTGCAATTCTCAACCTTTGAAGCCCAATTCATGCCCAACAGACCCAGCGATCTGGTACCTATGTCAATCATGTCGCTCATTCTTCCCAGACAGGAATTTGATCCTCAGGGACCAAGATCCAAAGCGAGTACCCGTACGTACCAATCCGGATATCCACCCAAGGTACGGAGTACTAACATAGCCACCTCAAAAGTTACCTGGCCACTATTCCCGCTCGGCTTTCCGTTCGTAGTCTTTCCCTGGGCCTGTTGGCGATGGAGATGTTGAGACGAGACAAGAGACAACAACAATCTCTCCTCGCATATGACCGAGCACTCAGCACCAACCCCCCCGTGGATGTTGGATTGCCTCTATCGTATACGGAGCACGATCGATGCCAATAAAAGAATACAAAAAAGGCCACTATTCCCACTCCAGGCCAACAACTATCTCGGCAGGGCTACTGTACCCTGAGAAGAGTTACCGGCATTAGAGAGCACCCGCTAGGGGAAGTCGACGATGCATCCGGTTTCTCAGCCAAAGGGGTTCTCCGTTGTGTTTGATTGGAAAAGCGAGCCAACGCCAACGCCAAAGCCAATGCCCCCGTCGAAGCCAGCCGTTTGATGAGCCATGTGCCGACCACTACGCGCTACTGATGTGGTATCGCCTATAATGCCCAACTAAGAGTCCCCTGCAAACTCAAAAGGACAGCAGCTAGGCTCTAGCTATAGGTGATTGACAGGGTGTGTGCGATATTAGAGTTTCGCTTTTCCTCTCCAACCGCGTCGTAGAGGTTTCGAAAGGTGTCCCATCACCTCCGACACCGCCCATATTACTTGTGGTGAAACGGTTTTTGGTGAATGCGATATGATATTCGTAGTTATTTGTTCATATATCTCGTTCGCTCCGCAGATTTTCATGCAGTGGTAGGCTACTATGCTGCAATGCCGTGAGTAATCCTTGTGAGGTTTGATCGTCTGCACGATACGCGACAGGGGTCTTCATACGAGCCCTTGCTTCGCAGTGCCGCAGAAGTGAGAATCGATATCCGAACAAATCCTACACGTACGTCCCATAGGGATATCAATCCCACCTTCACGTCAAAACAAGAAAAACGCTTTGACTTCCAGGTCTTCAAAGCAACCGCACGCCCGTGTGATTAAACCCCAGGGACGTGCCGTTCACAAGGCAATTATTTCCCAAACAGATCGCAGATCCTCGAAGGTGCTCGCGCCGGGGCCCGGGGGCATGCAGGTATCAAAACGTGCATTATACCTCATGCACGTAAGTAGAGTAGTGGTGCTACCGTACGTACACGACCCCTTCCCTTCCGCCCTTCTAGGCCAAGATTCAACTGCCTATCGAAAATGACAGCTGACAAGGATGAGCTGATGATTGATTTGACCGTGAAATGAAACCTGCCACGGCTTC